CCACACCCTCGCCCTACCATCAGCAAATCGAAGATTAAATCGGGGTTCATCACTGAAGACGACTTGATTCCAATTCCTCTGAGTCCATCGTAAGTGTCGCTGTGCCCACAATTGACGTTGACGTCTGTGTAATTGAGTCAGAATCGGCCCGCAGTATGGCCGTCGTGCTTGAAAGTTAGCAGTTCTCAGACGGTTTCGAACAGTTTGCGCACTCAGTCTACCCCTAAACAGTTCATTTCTGGTTCATGTAGCCGTCAAAAATCGTTTACGGAGGTGACGTAAGACAATCTGACGATCCTCTGCATGTGACGTCACACGTGGTCGACCTGGTTGAGGGCGATCAGCGGTGGTACCCGTTTGCTGTAGACGCGTCTGTAAATCATAAACAGCCCGTGGACTACAACCCATCGTCCTTGCTACTTCAGCTACGGACGTTCCCGTCTGCAACATGCCGATGGCACGTTCACGTTGCACATTTGAAAGGCGTGGCAAGACTTTTGTTTTCTTGTGTTTTTCTTCTTTTGTTAATGACTGCTAACAAGTATTGCTGAAAACACGTGCGGTATTATGGCCACGTGAACAGTTGCACGTGAAAAACCTCTTTTGCCACTATAGAGCTGTGCACATGATTTTCATCGATTCACCTGCACAAAAACGGGTGTTATCTGAAGACAATACGTGGCCATTACTGTTTAAATACACAATAAGGGCCCACAATGATAACTGGTCAAAATGTTAAAATTTAGGATTGTGAAGTTTTTAATTTGGTTCAGTTTATATATGTACCTGTTAGACAAACAAAAGTTAAAGTGAGTGAGTGAGTTGGGTTTTACGCCGCTTTTAACAGTATTCCAGTTATATCGCGGCGTGTCAGCTTAATGTGGGAGGAAAGCCCGGAGTGATGCAGGTCTCAGACGTTTACCACTTCGGTGAAACCCACGAGCACGGGTATGGTGCTGACAAACCTAGAAACATAATCAGGGCGAACCGGGATTCGAACCCACAATCATAGGTTTCTGGCGTGCCCAAGGGGCGCAACTCTGCACAGCGAATCGCGGCGCCTTATACGACTGGGCCACCCCTGCCCCCTACAACAGTTAAAAGATGACAAAGTTGGAAACATAACAAGTATGCACTTTGATCTTTGCCTGTGCTTATTATCGAGCTGGCTTCCATGTGTCCATTGCCATAGCCATTCTATTACCTATCAGTGCTTATTACCCCCGGCCTCCTGTTTGCCCATTGGCCATTGCCTATTACCAAACAGTGATAATTTAAGTCCTGGTTTCCCGTTGTCCATTGCTTATCACATTTCAGCGCTAATAACTGTTGGCTCCCCTTGTTAAGTTTCGACCTTTGTTATCTTATTACTTTTGTTGTTCTTACAGATATACATGTATGTTCTCTGCTTCATAGCATTTATTCACCGATGAAGGAGTAGGAATATTCCCCGAAACGTTGTGTTCCTCAAAATAAAGAAGTTGACATCCATATTTTCTCTTCCTTATGTGTACCCGATATGGCTGAAATAGTGCCGATATGGCTGAGATAGTGCCGATATGGCTGAAATAGTGCCGATATGGCTGAAATAGTGCCGATATGGCTGAAATAGTGCTGATGTGGCTGAAATAGTGCCGATATGGCTGAAATAGTGCCGATATGGCTGAAATAGTGCCGATGTGACTTTAAATATTAACTCACTCACTTATGTGTATCACTGAATGTCATTCAAAGACTGGATAAGGAAGCGGTTAGCGATCGGGAAAAGCATTGACGCTATTGATTGAACAGATCGTTGTCACTTTAGCATCTAAAATAGATCCGAGACTTTTCTTGAGTGAGATCAAGTGACCAATTAATGACAGCACAAAAAGACACAAGTTATTATTAGATCGCCGGAAACACGATTCCATCATTACCGTGAGCGTTCCGAAATATCTCGGAAACACGACCTATCATGATGTACATTGTTAATCCTTTGCGAAAGGTGGGGTGAGGTGAAATTGGGTTTAACGTCGCGTCCAAAATTATTGCACTTATATAGCGACGTGCAGGCACGTGTGTATGTGTGTGTGTATGTGTGTGGCTGCTTGTACTAGTCCGGACTGATGCCGATTTATTGTGCTAGCTCACTGAGATAACATGCCGCAATTTTTACATGAACACCCCACTCATACACAGTATACTGACTCCGAGCCGACCAGTCCTTGTTTCAGCCCCTTAATGCCGTGCGCCAGACAGGTTTTAACGCCTTTTGTATTGACGCGGCCGGGGATCGAACCCCGGACCTTCCGCTCTCCGGGCGGACGCTCTACCACTAGAGCACGGAAGCGGTCCCAATAATTATTAAGATAAAAGACTCCTGTAAGTGTTCAAATGGTTTAATTTGCCATACTGACTTCAGAAAATGCGTGATTTCATAAAAAAAAACACATGAACATGCCAAAATGTCAATTTACAAATCAATAGCGTGTGTGTGTGTGTGTCCACCTCTGGTTGCGATGCAATCAACACATCTTCGTCCCATGGAATGGACCAGGCGTCGCACAAAGTCCTGTGGGATATCTGTCCATATCTGCTGGAGCAATATTTCGAAGTTCCTTGAGTGTCTATTGAACACGTGGTTGACGTCGAAGGCGCCGATCCATCTTACCCCACATGTGCTCGATTGGTGAGAGATCAGGGGCGCGAGCCGGCCAGGGGATGACATTCACGTTGTTTTGTTGAAGGGAATCCTGACCAAGTCGAGCAATATGAGGCCGGCCGGGCGTTGTCATGTTGAAAGGTAATGCCTTGGCCATGACGACGCAAAAACGGTAGAACAACAGGGCCGATGATCTCGTCGCGGTAGCGCTGTCCATTGAGATTTCCCTCTACCACTATCCAATGGGTCCTCTGTCTTGCCGTAATCCCACCCCATACCATAACGCTGCCGCCCCCGAACCGATCTTCTTCCATGACACATTGATTGACGTAACGTTCACCTCGACGTCGGTACAATCGAATCCGTCCATCGCTGTGTCTGAGGTGAAAACGAGACTCGTCAGTGAATAGAACTTGTCCCCACTGCATGGCCGTCCAGCGTAGACGCTGTCTGCACTACTGTAGACGTGCTTGACTGTGGTTTCCTTTCAAAATGGGACGTCTGGCGGGTCTTCTAGCAACAATCCCTGCACATCTGAGGCGGCGACGTACGGTTTGTGAAGATATTCGTCGAAGGCCAGGGATGCTTCTTGCAGTCACTGTTGCTGGCTGGAATCGATTTCGTAGGTGTGTTGTTCGAATCCAGTTGTCTTGTCGGTTATTGGTTACGCGTGGCCTGCCACTCCGAGGATGGCCTCTGACTGCATTCGTATGTTGCCAACGTTGCCATAAACACCAAATGGTTTTTCCGTGGACGTTAAATTGTCTTGCAATATCACGTTGACTCGATCCTGCTCCAAGCATACCGATGGCTCGCAGACGCTCAATTTCGGACAGGCGTGGCATTTAGTAATGTTGAATAATTGCGTAATTTTGTTGTTTTTCTGAGTGGTTGTTGTCAGCACGATGCCAAACAATGCATATGGAATACCGTTAACGCACATGTTTTTACACCAATTCTTGGGTAGTGAAATACATAGGGCTTGCATAAAAGTCAACCTTTGCATGGAACGCATGCTTTTCTGTAGCAGTTTTGTGACTTGATTCCATACATGTACTACAATATTGAAAACCAAACTGTACTTGTTTAAAAAAAACACTAAAATATTGGTGTCACAGGAACTTTTGTTGTTCATAGTATATATATATATATATATATATATATATATATATATATATATATATATGGGATTGTTTACTGATGGAAACGAATAAGGGAACAATGCAAAGGCTTCACTGTCAGTACATTTGAAATAGTGCGCATACAAATTCAACACATTTCAGTATTATATGTTGAGATGTGGTTTGTGTGCATTGTTTCCGACGGACCGCTTCCGTGGTCTAGTGGTAGAACGTCCGCCCGGAGAACGGAAGGTACGGGGTTCAATCCCCGGCCGCGTCATACACAAAGACGTTAAAACATGGTACTTGTTGTTACCCTGTCTGGCGCTCGGCATTAGTACGGACTAGTACAAGCACACACACACACACACACACACACACACATTCACGTCGCTGTATAAGTGCAATTGTCTTGGACGCGCCATTAAACCCAATGTGTATTTGGTAGTCAAGGCTAGGAACCCATGCCATTTTAATGTCACTAAAATTAAGTATTCCCTTATTTAATTCAATCAGTATATTATTTTTAAAATTCATATTGGAAATTTCAAAATAAAACGTTTCTGGAGTGTACGGATTTGGCCTCTGTTGGGAATTCCGAGTTAGAATAGGTACCCAGCAACCTAAGTTGGTAGTAAGAGGCAAGACCGAGAAGACCTGGATAGAGAATAGGTCTGCAGTAACCCCTGCTTGCCGTAAGAGGCGGCTAGGCCTAGGCTTGTTGTAAGAAGCGACCTGGCTTGTCGTAAGAGGCAACTAACGGGATCGGGAGGTCAGACTCGCTGACTTGGTTCATGCATGTATACCAATTGCGTGGATCGATGCTCATGATATAAATCAATGGATTGTCTGGTACAGACTCGATTATGTACAGACCGCCGTCACACAGCTGGAATTATGCCGAGTGCAAACAAACAAACAAAAACCAATTCAAAAGTGGCGACATGATGGTTCTGGTGGTCAGGCTCGGTGACTTGGTTGTTAATGTGTCATGGTGCCCGACGGCGTGGATAGTTATAGTCAAGACTCGAGACTATTTACAGACCGCCGTCATATAGCTGGAATATTGTGGAGTGCGGTGTTAAACAACAAACAGAAGTGCACAGGCATGCTTCAGATCAAGGAGATAAAGATACACACTCAGTCGCACCGTTAGTCTTTGATGTCGTGTTACGTCACGCTGGGGATCCACGTGCTTTAACTGTGTTTGTATTGACGATATTTCCAACGCAGAATACAAACCAAAATAGTTTATTCAGATCAGAAAATGAAAAAAGGATTAACAGCACTTCTACGCGTTCATAAAATATGGATAATATATTATCAATAATATGTAATATATTGTCAACTGATTTCATATTATACAAATTACGAAATAATCAGCAACAACTTGAGTTAATGCATGGTCACTCAAAACACATAAAGCTTGTAGAATGATAATTATCTCAGAAGATGTAACTATGGCACTATGGTCCAATATTGGAACCCCGCTTGTTTGGAACTATGCTTATCTCAATAATAGGCAGCAAGAACCAGCTGAAGTCAAGGAAGCGCCAGTATAAAAAATGTTTATACACGTGTGGAGTAAAATCTCTGATACTATAACTGTATCACATCGCTTAATCATGTAGCTACTGTCCTGGCGGAATCAACACTAACTATGGATAATTTGACATATTTCCTGGACTACGATGTTTTGATAAAAAAACATTGGATGTTACATGAGGATATCAAGATATCTACAGCCAGAAAGATGTTGACTTCAGACAATATTATACACAACAATCATCTCAACCGTGTCCCATACGAGTGAGTAAGTAAGTATGGTTTTACGCCGCTTTTAGCAATATTCCAGCAATATCACGACGGGGAACACCAGAAATGGGCTTTACACATTGTACCCATGTCGGGAATCGAACCAGGGTCTTCGGCGTGACGAGCTAATGCTTTAACCACTAGGCTACCCGACCGCCCCGTGTGCCATATGAACTCTGAGTGATCATACCTTAACAGCTAGAAGAGTATATATATAATACAAACGAGACTAAAGCAAAACAAGCAGGAGGATTCCAACGACTGGCTTAGGGAGCAGTCAAGAAAATAAACCGAGTGCAGGCTCTCCCCCGGAATTCTATTAATGCTTTGTCGTCTCTCTTCCTGAACCATTACACATTGAAGCCATATTAGGTTTGTGGCCATTTGTTTTTAAAGGCGTTCTTGATATTATGTGTCAGAGCTGTCCTTGAGTTTGTGTCTGGTTCACAGAACTGGTGCTACATATGTTTTACTACACGGCCTAAATCAGTCCACAATCGCTTCAGTTCTCAACTGAAAATGTTTACACTGTATAATTCCTCCCCATGTTCCATATTCCATATTTTTACCGATGTCATTATGTACAAGCTCTTTTCCCAAACTCCCCATAATCCAGGTTTTGTATGTTTGTTTAATTTATAAAATTCATTCGTCTCTTTTATATTTCCATGGAACAGAAAATCCACTAATTGAAAGTATTGCTACTGCAGCACATATCACTGTAACACCGCTACTTTTTACAAGAACTTTTACCCAGGATTATCTTTCTCTCCAATTTCTTCGACAGAAGTATGGCGGAAGTCTCGGATCCGATGACGATCTCGCGTGGTTTGGATGTGAAGTCACGCTTTCTCATCATGAAGAGAGCCACCATGCCCCCTGTTCATAAACAAAACATATACATTACCAGCAAACATACGGGGCAATAAGGAGATTGAACTTCACACATAGTTACGCTATGTATCGATGGTTGGTCAACTGACTTCGTGTTGTCTACCATTGTTATATTAGCGGCATATTGCCAAACCCCTGCGTTGTAAACACTTCGTATATACAGTTGGGAAAAAGAAAGTATACTCCCATGTTTGGTGGCGGCTAAAATATAACAAACAAGAATGGTTTTTTTTTCGAAAGTGAGGTACTTGATATGGGTATGGTAGTTGTGTGTTGGATCTTTGTGTTTATGTATAAGTGTGCAGTGTTTCGGCGACAGTTTTCAGACCAGTAATGTTTACAAAAACGTTTGTAAATTGTTGGTAAAATCCAATTCTCAAGTGTATCACAGCAAAAAAAGTGTAGGTTTCCGTCTTCCAGAAACCTTCCGGATACCTTCCCATTTTGGATCCGGCCCGGATACCTTCCGGAAACCTTCCAAAAAAATGTCAAAATTTGGGGGGTGCATTTTGTTCACATAAAAAAATTATCTTGAAAATACCAAGAAATTTGAAGGTTGCTGAAGGTATCTGGAAGGTTTCCGGAAGGTATCCGGGCCGGATCCAAAATGGGATGGTATCCGGAAGGTTTCCACTTTTATTTGCTGTGTATACGACTTTTGTCCAGCAGTTTAGAAGATAAACAAGAATGAAATAAAATATGATTTCCGCGTTTCACCCCAACACCTATGCTTATTGCTTGGTCTTACATCAAAGAAGATTTGAAATAGGTATTTGGATATCCCACTGTCAAAGGCTTTAGGTAACATCTTTACTTACTAGGTTTCAAAGTTTTGATGACATCACACGAACACTTCTTGTCAATCACCAATCTCAAGACACGTCTTATTTTCACCCGTTTCACTGGCCGGAAGTCAACAAGAATCTTGACCTTGACCCTTGACCTCCTGATTCTGATGCCGAGTACCTTGTATGCTGCCAAAAGAAGATATATGGATTGGGTACATATAAAAAAACAACATTTTTTTCTTTCGTTTATTCTTTTCTATTATTTTTGTGATTTATCGTTGACTACAGAAATCCTTTCACAGGAGGATATTCACATGTTGGATGCACTAATCCATCCCGGGGAATGGGGATCCCAGTCTAAGCCGCCGTAAGTAGCCTTTACCGTGCCAGAACCTTATGATCGCGTGTTCGAATCCCGCCCTGATTATGTTTCTGCGTTTGTCAGCACCATAACCCCTCGTCGTTGGTTTCTTCAAAGTGGAAAATGTCTAAGATCTAAATCACTTCCGGTTTTCCTCTCCAATGAAGCTGACACTCCTTTATATAACTGAAATACTGTCACATAACTGACAACAGTTCACAGTGGAGTTTAAGCAAACTCAGAAACTCACTTAAAAACCATTCGTTATCATTATAGGATGCTGTTGAATGTCACCCGTCCACCAATACACAATGTGTGCTAGTGTTGCCTACCACCATATCTCAAACATTTACTCATTTATATGGGTTAAAAATGTTCGTCGTGTGTATGAAGTGTATAGTTTGTTTACATATATGTTTCAAATATCGCAAGAGTAGATGTTCAGGGATCATAACAATACCTGCGGCAGCTTGACAATAGGCGAACATCGCCTGTTTCTCTGACATCGGCTCACAGATTGGACAACCTCCCTGAAACGTAATACATTATTCTCTATTATCCATACACGAATCTAGTTTTTGTTTGTTTGTTGTTTAACGCCGCACTCAGCAATATTTCAGCTATATGACGGCGGCCTGTAAATAATCGAGTCTGGACCAGAAAAATCCAGTGATTGACATCATGAGAGTCGATCCACGCAATTTGGGATACGATGACATGCATCAACCAAGTCAGCGAACCTGAGCCCCGATCCCGTTAATTAGTCGCCTCGAACGACAAGCATAGTCATCATTACGGCAAGCATGGGTTGCTGAAGACCTATTCTACCCCAGATCTTCACGGGTCCCACGAATCTTGAATCTTGTTTTTGTGAACGTTCCATGTATCACAGGCTATGGTCGGAATCGTACCCACTCAGCTACTGAGGCTTCCACAGCCTTGAATGGATTAGATCGCTGAATTTGTGTGCTGGCCATTAGGTTCCTCACTCTGGCAGTGTGGGTTCGAATTCCGGATGGGACACTGTACTTTAATCTGTACTTTACTAAGAAAGTGTTATCCCAGATATAACATTTGTTACGAACTAATTCTGTTCAAATCATTGTGAAACTGGGGGATTACTGAACTAATTAAATACGATCAGTTAAACACAAACCAACACCTATGATTATTTTTAAGTTGAGGGACACACAAATTCTTGGTTTTAGAGCTGTCCTGTAGATCTAATCTGTTCTGTCACGTCATCAATCCCGCGGTATTAATGTTAATATCCCCTTACTCCGCCAGTCAGCTACTTAGATCTGTCACTGCATTAGATAGACAGCAGACTGGATCGAAAACAAAGTATTTTGGTCCTTGTTTCCTCGCCATTCGTTTTCTTTCCCGAATGTGGCTGCACCGGATGTCAATCTAATCCAGGGGCGGATAACTCTACTCACGTTAAATGCAGTCATAAATCAGGTTAGACCAGGCTAGTTATTTATATGTGTTCAGCCACTATAACTGTCACTGCGTTAGATAGAGGGCATACTCGGTCAAAAACGAAGTATTTCGGTCCTCGTTTGCTCCAAATTTATTTTACGTCCCGACCGTCACTGTGCCGGATGTTAGTACAATAAAGGGCGGATAACTCTATCCACGTAACTTCCTATCACACATCACGTCAAACACAGACTAGTTATTTTCATGCCCCAAAACGTAAAAATAAAACAAAATAAAATGAAAAAATGCTTCGTTTGATTGCTTAAAATACTGAACAAGCTTCTTTTTCAAAAGTTCTAATTAGTTTTTAGATCATCTCTAATGATACCTTATATCATTTTTCTTCTTTGCATGGCATATTGAATCCGAAAAACAGGAAAACGAAAATAGTCTGGTGTTTGGACGAATATGGCTGCCGGTTGTTTTTTTTACTTCGAAAATCAGAAACCAAAATGTGTTATTGGTTTTACATTATCCAATAGAAATATCAGCACGACACACATACCGTGAAGGGAGTAGAGGGCTGAGACGTGGTCGTTGTGGGCGCGGCAGTGGTTGGTGTGTTGTCTGAAACATAGTGTATAGTCCATAATATATTCGAATAACAGAAGGATGTATAATTTAATGAAATTAGTTTAGACTGTTAAACACCATGAGACCCGTATCTTCATCTCTGGTGTAGTCTGGTACTTAACATGTCATCACGTTCTTCCAAATTAGGTTGCCTTCTGTGATGGGCAGGGTTACGTGTTAAAACTCTCGAATGAAATGAGCTGTTGAATTTACGTATGGTGTCCAACCCTGATGACAATAAACCAAGAACAACCGATTACATTCCATTTGTCAAAACAGCTGTAACTGTAGGCATGGGCCTTGAACACCTGAGAACGATTCTGACTTATTCATAGCCGAACTCCATACAATCTCATTTAAAATCTGATCTTAGTTCTCGCTATGCTAAACAAAGATCTGAGGACATCCCATTAAGGGTCACGTCAGAACGACCTTTCATCCAAGCAATCAGAGCGTCGCTTACCAGATCATGAAAGTGACAGTCGGAATGTGTTTTTTAATCATGCAACCACGAAATATTTAACACGGGGTATTTCGAACGACAGTAACGGGTTTTACGATTATATCCATACAATCTAGGCCATCTATAAGCCATTTCAGAACGTTTTAATTTTTTTAATCGAGAATACGTCAAAATATGTTTCGAAGCGTAGTCGCCAGTTTGTAACTAGTGTCGTAAAGCTCGAGAAAGCTGCCTTCTGATTGGCTAATGTCGATTTCTTGTCAGTCATTTCAAAGGTCGTTCTGACATGACCCGTAATGGGATGTCCTCAGATCTTTGTTTAGCGGTAGCGAAAACCAAGATCTGATTTTAATGAGACTGAACTCCAAAGCCTTGTCACGAATAGCATACACCCGTTGTGGATTCATGGTGAGAGCAGGTTCCTAGACTGCAGCCTGATGCCTGTAAGAGCCGACTACAATTGGTGAACGTCGGCGTATGGGGACCTGGGGCCTGACAGCGTGGGACGTTGAGCATGCTATCAAACACTGCCTCTCTTAGCCGCAACGATACCGCTAACGCAGGATTTACTGTGACGTAAAGACGTAACACAACGAGCATACACACCGTATAATGTAACAACCCTTGACACGATGCCATATTCGTTGCGGATCTCACACGTGTAGTCATCGTAGTCTCTCCTGACGAGGTCGTTGATGCGGAGTTCGGTAGAGTAGGTGTTGCTGTCCAGGGGTATGGTCTTAAAACTGTATTTGTCGCCGCTTAAAAGGACACGCCCTCCCTTGGTCCAGCTTTGCGTGAGCAGGGGTGAGGCCTTCACAACACATTCCAGCAGGACAGTCTCGTTCAGACGACCACCGACTCGGGACAGCGTCTTCGGCAAGATGAAAGGAGCAACTGAAACAGGAAGTCACGTGGACATTCTTCAAAAACCAATTGAACAGAATGACGCCCCTTCTCTATAGCTATGGCTATGTCTAAATCTTTACGTAGCACCACAGTGCTACGGCACTGGTGTTCTGACTAAACAAGGCGAATATTCGTCTTCGATATAACATTGCCAGTGGTCAAAGTGTCGTTATGGCTAAAAAGGTGTGCTTGGTAAAATATAAGCTTTTTCAGTTTAGATCAAAGGTCATGATCAGACAGGTAACATTGAGTGAGTGAGTGAGTTGGGTTTAACGCCGCTTTTACGTTATTCCAGTTATATCACGGCGTAGGTAACATTGGATTCCGTATAGGTATTCCGTAGGATACATAGTAAATGATTTACGGATCAGGTCATCGCTACGGCATATAGTTAGCACTACTATCAGACATAATCGGGGTGGTCGGGTAGGCTAGTGGTTAAAGCGTTCGCTCGTCACGCCGAAGACCCGGGTTCGATTCCCGCCGTGATATTGCTGGAATATTGCTGAAAGCGGCGTAAAACTATACTCACTCACTCACTCACTCAGACATAATCTGATTGATATGTTGCGTCCCAAATCGATTAAGTTGATTTATGTTCATCAACCACTGGTTTGTCTTCTCCGGAATTGATCACACATCTAGACTGCGATATTTCTCACGAGAATGTGAAAAACACCCATCTCACCCACTTTCAAAGTTTGTGTGATGGTTTCATCGAGGACATTTACAACATACTCACCACTGACCCTGAGCTGGATCAGCCTGGAGACGCTTGGTGGGACGCCATTATTGGCCACACACAGGTACGTGGCGGACGCCTGGGCCGACTTGATGACCAGCTCCTGCCCCTTCCCAACTCCTGGGTCATGTAGAAATAGTTGGGAGCATGGATAAGTAATTTCAACAGGACATGGCAATGTAGGAATGGTGGGGAACATGTATAAGTAATTTCAACAGGGCATGGCAATGTAGGAATGGTGGGGAACATGTATGAGTAATTTCAACAGGGCATGGCAATGTAGGAATGGTGGGGAACATGTAGAAGTAATTTCAACAGGGCATGGTAATGTAGGAATTGTGGGGAACATGTAGAAGTAATTTCAACAGGGCATGGCAATGTAGGAATGGTGGGGAACATGTATAAGTAATTTCAACACGGCATGGTAATGTAGGAATGGTGGGGAACATGTATAAGTAATTTCAACAGGGCATGGTAATGTAGGAATGGTGGGGAACATGTATGAGTAATTTCAACAGGGCATGGCAATGTAGGAATGGTTGGGAACATGTATAAGTAATTTCAACAGGGCATGGTAATGTAGGAATGATGGGGAACATGTATAAGTAATTTCAACAGGGCATGGTAATGTAGGAATGGTGGGGAACATGTATAAGTAATTTCAACAGGGCATGGTAATGTAGGAATGGTGGGGAACATGTATAAGTAATTTCAACAGGGCATGGCAATGTAGGAATGGTGGGGAACATGTATGAGTAATTTCAACAGGGCATGGCAATGTAGGAATGGTGGGGAACATGTATAAGTAATTTCAACAGGGCATGGTAATGTAGGAATTGTGGGGAACATGTAGAAGTAATTTCAACAGGGCATGGCAATGTAGGAATGGTGGGGAACATGTATAAGTAATTTCAACACGGCATGGTAATGTAGGAATGGTGGGGAACATGTATAAGTAATTTCAACAGGGCATGGTAATGTAGGAATGGTGGGGAACATGTATAAGTAATTTCAACAGGGCATGGTAATGTAGGAATGGTGGGGAACATGTATGAGTAATTTCAACAGGGCATGGCAATGTAGGAATGGTTGGGAACATGTATAAGTAATTTCAACAGGGCATGGTAATGTAGGAATGATGGGGAACATGTATAAGTAATTTCAACAGGGCATGGTAATGTAGGAATGGTGGGGAACATGTATAAGTAATTTCAACAGGGCATGGTAATGTAGGAATGATGGGGAACATGTATAAGTAATTTCAACAGGGCATGGTAATGTAGGAATGGTGGGGAACATGTATAGGTAATTTCAACAGGGCATGGTAATGTAGGAATGGTGGGGAACATGTAAAAGTAATTTCAACAGGGCATGGTAATGTAGGAATGGTGGGGAACATGTATAAGTAATTTCAACAGGGCATGGTAATATAGAAATGGTGGGGAACAATTTCGACGGGGTATGGCAATGGTCGGGAACATGTATAAGTACACTCAACTGTTTATCCTATATTTTGGCTCCTTTTAGGGAAGGTAGAATATGACTAATTACTGCATTTTTTACCCTGGTATACAAGTTATCGAAAAGTTATGTTTTTGTATTAAATATGCATATGATTCAGATTTATACTGAACCGCAAAAGAAACGTCACCATCGATAGATATATGAGAAACCTTATTTGTCCAAACACTAAACATACTTGGAGACATATTAAAAAGAGGAGACTTGGCAAAACTGATCATCAAGGTTGAAATTAAAGTGTCGAATGTTCTTAAAGTGAAACACAACACTAGTCTCTGAGAAAATGGCATCACAAGTCAGTATCTCGTGTGTCCGCCATGTGCATTGCTGACTGCCGTGCAACGTCGATACATGGAATGGATGAGGCGGTTGATGAAGGCCATAGGTACTTGAGCCCACACTCTGAGGAACGCCTGACGCAGTTCAGCTGCAGTTGTCGGCCTTGGTCGGACGTCATTCAGCCGTCTTTGAATCTCGTCCCACAGGTGCTCAATGGGACTCAAATCGGGACTGAGGGCAGGCCACTGCATGGTTCTGATGCCATTATGCTAGAGGAAGTCGCTTGTCGCTCTCGCAGTGTGGACACGGGTGTGATCATGCTGAAACTCGTGGTTACGGTGACATGCCAAATGAGGTATAGCGTGTGGTCTCAAGACTTGATCAATGTACCGAGCTGCTGTGACACCATTGCCTTTCCCTGGACCGATGTTCTGGAAGACCACAGGGCCGACCCTCTGTGCAAGACCAATTCCACCCCACACCATGATGCTCTGACTACCCCACAAGCCTCTCAACAACACAAGCATCCGAATAACGTTTCCCACGGCGTCGCCAGACTCTCTCTCTGCCATCTTCTGTTGAGATACAGTAACGGCTCTCGTCTGAGAAGAATCCTCCACTGCTGGTGGCGCCAATGCTGGTGATGTGTTGCCCACTGAAGACGGTCCCGGCGATGACATGGTGTCAGAATGGGTCCTCGGTGTGGCCTGTGACAGTGGAGGTGTCTGCTCGTCAATAGTGTCCGCTCTAATGTGTCGCCGGTGTGTCCCTGTTGTCTGTCGAGAAGTTTCCGTAACAAAGCGATCTGGAAGATGCTGTCGCCAATCTGACGATCCTGACGTCGGGTGGTGACCCTTGGTCTTCCACTACGTGGTCGGTCATCTGTAGTCTTGGTGGTCTGGTACCGTTGCTGAAGCCTGTATATTGTCCTTAGGTGGACTTGACATGCATTGCCTACTTGCCGGACGGTTTGTCCAGCTTGCAATCGTCCAAGGGCTTGGTGTCGCTGATTTCTTGTCAATCCTGGCATGTGGTAGCAATTCAATAACGAATGAATGTTTTCCGATCTGGGTGGATTTTTATAGGGCAAGAAATGGGGGAACGCATGTGCATTTCAGTTTGCACGGAACTCACGTGCATCGGGTTACCATGGCCGTTGCCGTGATGCGTGAGGGCGATTGGTTTTATTGTCATCTGCTTTGTTTTTTTATTATCAAATTTCATTTTTCCGGACAAGGTAATGTTAAATTTTAGAAACTTTGACAAAAATTACCCAGATATTTAAATGACAACTTAAATGTTACTTGGGGTGACGTTTCTTTTGCGGTTCAGTATAGTATTCAATTGACATTGGGAAGAAAAGATAGTGAAGATATTAAGAGAAACCCACCGCGAGGGCAACACGGGACCTGAGACCAATATTTTGGTAAAAGCTGCTGTTACTGCAATAAGCAGTCATTGAATTTCGCTTCTTACGTTTTTTCTCTTTTTGACCCACTGACCGGTACCACGTGATCTTCGGTTCTGGACTTCCAGTGACGTTGCAGAACAGTGTGACCTGCTCCCCCAAGGCAGCAAAGGTGTCGTTAGAGGAAACCACGATCACTGGGGACTCTGAAACGGAAGTAAAGACGAACCCATGTATCCTGTCAACAAGAAGACAAAATCATGGAACCCGTGGGATTCCGGGTTAGAACTGTTCCCTAGCTACCCATGCTACCTCCCTAGCTACCTCGAGGCGACTGATGGGATCTGGTGTTCTCGCTCAGTAACATGGTTGAGTGGGGGTCCTCGTTCTCCGACGGCCTGGCTAGATATTCTATTTGCCCGGCCCTTTTGAATACGATCATAACATCCAAAGATAAAGACTATATTTGTGTCTGGTTATTACAATAAAAAATATGATTATAAAGCTTGTGAATCGAAGTGACATGATGTTGGAATTTGAAAAAATACACTGTTCATTATAAGCCTACGCCCAACAATCCCTTTAATTCTTTAAACGTTTTGCATACCTTCTTGTCCAGTGAATTAATAGTGATACCTATCGATAGACAGGACTATTCATCTGACGGTAATGGTACATATTTCTGAAACTCTAAATTATGATATTTCCTTAACAAAATACAAAAACAAATTAATCTTTCCTGCATTGAAGAGTGATGTTTTGTCTTTTTGTTAACACCACACTCAGAAAACTTCCAGTTGTACCACGACTGCCATTTGTCTAGGTCAGACAAAAAGGAAGTAATATCATTAGCAACGTACGATATTACACATCGTCATTAAAGTCGCAGAGCCTGATCACCCGATCCATTTAGTCGCCCTTCACATACAGAGGTTGTTAGGGAATCCCCACTCGGAATCGCCACAGGGTTGTGTGATATCTGATGTGCATACAGAGTTCCATCAAGAAATACTATGATGGACGGAAGGAGACCGTTTCTATTTTTCCCGCCTGACTTCATTTTGGGCGTTATACTGAGGATGGCCTTGACCTACCTTGGATGGTAAGACTGATGGCGGCGGTTTCAACTGGAACAGTACTGACACTACACAAATATTTCCCAGAATCCTCCAGTCTGGCGTTGTCGATTCTCAAGTTAGAAGTCTCAACTACGCTGTATCTTTCTTCGTCCACAAGCCGAACTCCATCATGTGCTATCACTGTGTTCGTCTCTTCATCCACCCAGGTCAGCTGAAGGAACAGAGCCCTTATCATACACAACACATCCACAATGATAGTTGAAAGAATGACTTATCCAAACAACAACCTATTGCAGGGTACTGACATATTTGTTTCCGGGACGTACTTAAAGTTTTAAGAAAAGTACAAATATTCAATACGAGTGTTGTGCACGCCGCTTTTAGCAATGTTCACCGCGGGGAACGCTGTACACATTGGACGCGTGTTTGGATTGGAACCCTAGTACCGTCTGTGTATTACTGACATTTTAAAGTGAAGTTTGAAACTAAATACACTATTCAGAATAGCATACAAGCGTCCGCCCTTCAAAACGAATTCAACCCTTAACTTGCCAGATGCTAACGAACACTAACTCAGCACTGGGAGTACGAGAACCAGGCCTTACCTTGTATTGTCTCTCTGGGGTATTGCTGTAGGTTGATGCAAGTGGACATATCAAAATCGCGGTTGATCCGACCCTGACCTTCACCTCCGTCGCTGAACTATCCTTCTTCTTCTTCTTGCCGTCTGGAGTCTCTGTTGGTGAGATAGCGGTGCATGGTAGGGCGGAGCACGGCGGCACATGTTTGTAGCATTACAAAATGCATGTTTTATTTGAGCAAATTCCGGATGTATCACGGTGACAAATAATTAATCGAATCTGGGACAGGTTGATGAATTGATAGCATGAACAAGAATCCACAACATCAGGGTACGATGACAAGCAATCAGCTCAATTACACAAATCTGTGACCTCACGCGAGCCAAACATGGAATTTAGTATGAGGGCAGAGCGGAATGACCAGACCGATATTTTAAGTGTGATGAGAAACATATTACTAATCTTCTAATGAGTTATACCAAAACAAAGGTAAATGGAAATATTACTCCACGATAAAGCCTCTTAAATCTCTAATACATACAGAATATGACATACACAAAGATACCTGCTTTTTAAGCTGATACTTTATAAATCACAAGTCAGATGCATGACGGTGTACCTTTATCGAGGTCGATTTCCTCCGCCATCTTGGAATAAAGGTTCATGACTGGGATACTGTCGGGCTGCGGTACAAGCCCATCAGCTAGGTAGACTGGGTCCACGTTGTCCAACACTCCACTTCCATCCTCCTTCTCGCCTTCGTCGATGTCAGTCATTCCCCCGTCGCTTCCGTCGATGTCTGTCCCCATACCGAGGCCAGTCTGACTAAAGTCGGGTGCCGCGGTGCTGGATGTGACACTGGACGTGGCCATCTTGTCTGGTGGTGGGCGCCGAGGTGTTTTGGGCGTACAGTCATTCTTGATGTTGTAGAAGACTTTTGTCACCAGCTCTAGAGTATAATATATAAATATGTACACGATTTGATATGTACTGTTATAATGTTTGAACACAAAAATACAGTGACACGTACGGTACTAATTAACACAAATCTAACATTTCAGGGTAAAAGAGTCAAGAAAATCCATCGTTGAGGTTAAATTGGGTTTAACGTCGCGTCCAAGATTATTGCTCTTTGATAGCGACTTGGGGGGGGGGGGGGGATGTGCGTGTGCGTGCATGCGTGCGTGTGTGTATGACTGCTTGGTTCTAGTCCGGACTGATGCCGATTTATAGTGCTAGCTGAGATACCATGCCGCAGTTTGACATGAATACCCCACTCAGACACAGTATACTGAGGCCGACCCGACCAGTCCTTCGACAGACCAAGCATGGTGAGGCTGTATGTAACCTGAGGGTGGAAAATTGCCAGAAAAATCTCCCTTAGGCTAGCTTATTACGAAGTATTTTGATATCCTGTACGTATATACAAGGTGGTGATTTTAAGATTCAAATAAGGATCGCCATCAAAGTAGTCGCATTCAATGCAGTAAACAATGACAATAACCTTAATGGAAGACAGATGTGTGTTTGTTATGTATTAAGGTCAATTGTTCCTTAAGGATTCCATGACACAAGAGACCTCACGTGCCTCATCATCTGCCAGTTTCTTAACGCAACAACTACTACCCTCAAGTCGCCACACCAGTAGTATTTGCTGAAGAAGCATTAAAGTTTCTTGAGAGTGGTTATGTTAAGAAGCTCATCCGCAATCGTGAAAATAATGAACACATTCTACTTCGTGTCAATTGAAGAAACGTTTGCTGTTATGTAGCGTTGCTATAGGTCATGGGGGTAAGACAAGATGATAAAAGAGACCAATAAGAAGTGTGCCAACATCTCTGAAAGAGAACATCTTCAAGTCACCGTGCATTCATTGCCAGAAGGGGGCGGTCGGGTAGCCTAGTGGTTAAAGCGTTCGATCGTCACGCCAAAGACCCCGGTTCGAATCCCGACATGGGTACAATGTGTGAAGCCCATTTCTGGTGTCACCCGCCGCGATATTGCTGGAATATTGCTAAAAGCGGCGTAACACCAAACTCACTCACTCACTCATTGCCAGAAGAAGCGGAAGAGGATAACCACCTCACGTGAAGATGTAAAACCAATCCTGTTAAAGGACCTCAGACTAAGACTCGGACCTCTCACCTTCACATTAGCAGCAGAAGTCAGTAACCAGTTTCGGAATATGTTCCTGTTATTGGGTGCACATGGTATCCTTAATCGCGACAATCGTTTAGGATTCACCGGACAGGTCATTATAGAGTAGGACCGCCTCCGTGGTCTTGTAGTAGAGCGTCCGCCCGGAGAGCGGAAGGTCCAGGGTTCGATCCCGGGCCGCGTCATACAAAAAGACGTTAAAAGATTGTACTTGTTGTTACCCTGTCTGGCGCTCGGCATTAAGGGGCTAAAACAAGGACTGGTCGGCTCGGAGTCAGTATACTGTGTCTGAGTGGGGTATTCATGTTAAACTGCGGCATGGTATCTCAGTGAGCTAGCACTATAAATCGGCATCAGTCCGGACTAGTACAAGCAGCCACACACACACATACACGTGCATGCACGTCGCTATATAAGTGCAATAATCTTGGACGCGACGTTAAACCCGATTTCAGCTCAGCATTATAGAGTAGAAGCTGATATGGCCTGATCTTGCCATTGTTTATGACAAGCCGTTGCATATACAGATGTGAAAGACATGCAGATTGCCTTTTTAGCCGACAGCACAACCGATGACTGGACTGTTTTGCTGCTTTGTTGGGTTGCGAAGCCAATATTAGTTTGACATCTTCCTGTCACCAACAAGAAGTGGGTGTGCAGAGTTGCGTCCCTTTGGTACCCCAGAAACCTATGACTGCAGGTTCGAATTCCGGTTCGCCCCGATTATGTTTCTAGGTTTGTCAGTACGTGCACGTGGGTTTCACCAAAGTGGTAAACGTCTGAGACGTGCATCACTTCGGACTTTCCTTCCACATTAAGCTGGCACGCCCTGATATAACTTGAATACAGTTCAAAGTGACCCAATTCACTCACTCATTATAAAAAAGGTATCAAATTGATAGAAAAACTAAATTAGGCGTAATTCTTAGGTGGGACATGAACATTTTCAAATTTTCAGTTTAGCCAAATTCAGACGATGTTGTTGGATAACAACGGACAACCAGGCGATGACATGCGCTCATTGGGGCCTTCCTTTAGTCTGTCTTACAGACCCTGATACAAATATATATCAAATACAGCCAAAGAAAGTCTATAATGTTTGGCAAGTCTAGATTACTGCAGTATCAGGAAATGAAGAGAGTCAATGGGCTCCCTTTTATTATATTTTTATTAAGATAACTGAACAACTGTTTTTTCTGTACGATATGTTCATTTCAGAGACTAGATGTTAGTCTAGCCTTCCTTCAATCTAATTATTTAAACATATTTCTAATAGCACTTTCTGACATGCATTTATATCTATCAACCACAATGGGCTGTTTGGTATCAATGAAGAATTCATTTCATTGCATTATGCCTGCTTTGAAACGCAAGTATATGCCCCTTGTCATCCATATTGATTTCCCAGCATGCAGTGCGCCTCTACCTGTGTCATAGTAGTCGTACACCTGTATGAGGGCATCCTTCGTGTTCTCCACCTTGATCTCCTGAATCACATCAAGAGTCAGGCACCGCGGGGCGGGGTTCAGCTGAAACAGTGGTGGTGGCTGTGAGTTGTGGAAGTCTCTGGTAGTATCGGGGGTACTGGCAGACTCGTAAGTCTAAGGCACTGCAATTCGCTCTGCAGAGTCCGGCGTGCCCGAAACATAACATCGTAGGTTCGAATCCCTGATCCACTCTGATTGTCAGGAGCTTAACTGTGGTCATGGGTTTCACCAAAGTGGTAAACGTCAAATGCCTACATCATTTTCCTCTAACATCAAGCAGACATGTACCTGTCTAAAGCCTTGTTACACCTCACTCACTAACTCACTCACTCACTCACTCACTCACTCACAAGTAGCCGTCATATCGCTGGAATATTGCCGAGTGCGACGTTAAACAACAAACCAAACAAACACTCTCGAGTATGTGGGTAATACAGAAATGAATAGAGAATATTATATGAGTGTTCACGTAATACTACGTTTACAACACGAGTGTCTAAATTCCGGTATTTAGGCACGAGTGTCGTAAATATAGCATGGCATGAACACGAATATAATGTTCTATTTTTTACCGAAGAAGATGTCCACATACAGAGACGAATATTAGTGTTTAACTATAAAGACAGCAAGTCGCAACAGCAGCGGAACAACAATTTGTTGAATGACGTCAACAAGCTTCTGCTATGATGTCGTTTCTAGTGTGACGTCATTCACACCTCACATCACATTAAGATGTCCGGATGACGGAAACAATTCACTGTTGTCTCGTGACGTGATATGACCCAAGGGCACATATGATATTTATGAACCCCGATATGTTTGCCCTCGAAGGTAATAATTCATTATGTTCATTTTGTTTTTAGTGATTATTTATAACATTTCATTAGGAAATGGTACTGGCAAATTTAGACCAAACGGTAAACGTGCTTGAAATAGTTTAACAAGAGGATTGCACTGTAAGCCCTTTAACTCGATACATCGTACGGTTCTGGCAAAATGATCATCGGCACAATGGATTGATGTCAGTACTCCTCTTGTCTCGAGCTACGGTAACGGTTAACACGAAATATCGCTGATATTCCGGGTGACTATATGTCTGACCTCCTCAAAGTAGAAATGCACACTGTCAGGCCTCTTGGAATCAACCTCGTATCTCTTTAGTTTAAGATCTGTGTCATTCTTCAGCTGAAAAAGTAAACAGTGTTATCAAAGTAATTATTCTAATCTAAAGGGCCGATGGTTAAAGTGTTCGTTCTTCCCGCCAAAGACCCGGGTTTGATTCCCCTTATGGGGTGGGTCACTCACTCACTCACTCACAGATAATGATATTACATGTATCACACCAATGAGTATCTTACAACAGGTAACGTCTCTAGAAACCTTGGATTCGCAATTTCAAAGTAACATAATGAGCAGAGGCAAAAGGTATTTCCGGCAGTTTAGATTAGTAACAGAGGCCATGTTAATGGAGTTAATGGTCACTGACTTCAAATATTTATCTAATATACCATATAATATCATATACTTCAGAGGATGGCAGAAATAATAAACTAAATGATAACATGCAACAACATTATACCACATCGAGTATGGCTGGACAATTGGCGCTAGCTAGCCCGGCCCCGTTACCTAATCACTGGTCGGGCGGTCGGGTAGCCTAGTGGTTAAAGCGTTTGCTCGTCACGCCGAAGACCCAGGTTCGATTCCCGACATGGGTACAATGTGTGAAGCCCATTTCTGGTGTCCCCCGCCTTGATATTGCTGGACTATTGCCAAAAGAGGCGTAAAACCATACTCACTCACTCACTCAAGAATTTCAACCACAGGCTGAAGGTCGTTGTATGGCTGAGGTGAGGTGAGGTGAAGTGGGGTTTAACGTCGCATTCAAGATTATTGCACTTATATAGCGACGTGCATGCACGTTTGTGTGTGGCTCTTTGTAGTCTGGACTGACGCCGATTTATAGTGCTAGCTCCCTGAGATAACATGCCACAGTTTAGCATGAATACCCAACTCAGACACAGAATACTGACGCCGAGCCGACCAGTCCTTGTTTTAGCTCTTAATGCCTAGCGCCAGACAGGGTAACAACAAGTAGCATCTTTAAACGTCTTTTGGTATAACGCAGCCGGGGATCGAACCCAGGACCTTCCGCTCTCCGGGCGGACGCTCTACCACTAGACCCAGAGGCGTTCTGGTTGTATGGCTTTACACATGGTTATTCCATACATAAACGTTTCAAATTTATTCCTGTCCATAAACAACGGTTTCCCTTTTCCAATGTTGTCCTAAGCTTTTTTCGGAAACAAAAACCGTTCTGAGTGAGTGAGTGTGTGAGTGAGTAAGTATAGTTTTACGCCTCTTTTAGCAATATTCCAGCAATATCACGGCGGGGGACACCAGAAATGGCCTTTACACATTGTACCCGTGTCGGGAATCGAAACCGGGTCTTCGGCGTGACGAGCGAACGCTTTAACCACTAGGCTACCTCACCGCCCCAAATACCGTTCTGCATCTTCATAGGGACAATGTCGCGTACACATTATTCATGAATATATTAATCCGGAACAAGAACGGTGTAGTCCGTATTAAAGGTGTTTCGCTGTGGACCGCCTCAGTGGTCTGGTGGATAGAGGTAGGTTGTTCGATCCCCGGCCGTGTCATACCAAACGACGTTAAAATATGGTACTTGTTCTTACCCTGCTTGGTCCTTTGGGCAATAATCTGGAATGCGACGTTAAGCCCCATTTCACCCACCTCATTATACTGTGAAATATGGAAAGTGGCGAATTCAAACAACCTACCCTTTCCAGGGAGTCTCCGTCTATCAGCCAGCCGGTCACCATCTTGGCGTTGACAATGGCCATACCAGAGCTTTCATTTTTCACAAATCTGAAGAGGGAGAAGCGTTATCAGCTGTGAAACGACTCACCCATATATTATTGCCTTGAATATGTAGATGTGTATATCACTCCCTATCACTACCAATTTCATTAAAATTATAGATCCAAGTTAAACACAAATGTGAAGACATCACAATACGGGTCTAGTAAGAACGACCTTACGCGAACTGTGACCGACCAATGAAATGACTAACAAGGAGTCGACATTAGCCGATCAAACAGCAGCTTTCTCGAGCTTTACGACACTTGTCTCAATCAGGCGACTTTTAGACTATGCTTGAAAAATATGTTGACAAAGTTCTCGATTAAAAATTAGAAAACTCATCGGCTATGCAACGTCTCTCCGTTCAAATGTTTATCCTACTGAAGCGAGAGATAGATGAAGTTTGGAATACCCCGAATTAACCTTTTCGAGGTTGCATGATTAGGAAACACATTCCGACTGTCACTTTGCTGATTTCGTAAGCGACGCTATGATTGGTCGGATGGAAGGATGTTCTGACGTGACCCATAATTGGATGTCCTCAGACCTTTGTTTAGCGGTAGCGAGAACTGAGATAAGATTTTAATTAAATTATATCACTACCAACACAAGGCTCTACTAACGCTGTACAGATGCTGTGAAAACCCTCGTTCCCTCACTCCATCTATCACTACCAACACAGGGCTCTACTAACGCCGTACAGACGCTGTGAAAACCCTCGTTGCCTCACTCCATCTGTCACTACCAACACAAGACTCTACTAACGCTGTACAGATGCTGTGAAAACCCTCGTTCCCTCACTCCATCTATCACTACCAACACAAGACTCTACTAACGCTGTACAGATGCTGTGAAAACCCTCGTTCCCTCACTCCATCTGTCACTACCAACACAAGGCTCTACTAACGCCGTACAGATGCTGTGAAAACCCTCGTTCCCTCACTCCATCTATCACTACCAACACAAGGCTCTACAAACGCTGTACAGATGCTGTGAAAACCCTCGTTGCCTCACTCCATCTATCACTACCAACACAGGGTTCTACTAACGCTGTACAGATGCTGTGAAAACCCTCGTTCCCTCACTCCATCTGTCACTACCAACACAAGGCTCTACTAACGCCGTACAGATGCTGTGAAAACCCTCGTTGCCTCACTCCATCTATCACTACCAACACAAGGCTCTACAAACGCTGTACAGATGCTGTGAAAACCCTCGTTGCCTCACTCCATCTATCACTACCAACACAAGGCTCTACAAACGCTGTACAGATGCTGTGAAAACCCTCGTTCCCTCACTCCATCTATCACTACCAACACAAGGCTCTACTTACGCTGTACAGATGCTGTGAAAACCCTCGTTGCCTCACTCCATCTGTCACTACCACCACAAGGCTCTACTAACGCTGTACAGATGCTGTGAAAACCCTCGTTCCCTCACTCCATCTATCACTACCAACACAAGGCTCTACTAACTCTGTACAGATGCTGTGAAAACCCTCGTTCCCTCACTCCATCTATCACTACCAACACAGGGCTCTACTAACGCTGTACAGATGCTGTGAAAACCCTCGTTCCCTCACTCCATCTATCACTACCAACACAAGGCTCTACTTACGCTGTACAGATGCTGTGAAAACCCTCGTTGCCTCACTCCATCTACCACTACCAACACAAGGCTCTACTAACGCCGTACAGATGCTGTGAAAACCCTCGTTCCCTCACTCCATCTATCACTACCAACACAAGGCTCTACTAACGCCGTACAGATGCTGTGAAAACCCTCGTTCCCTCACTCCATCTATCACTACCAACACAAGACTCTACTAACTCTGTACAGATGCTGTGAAAACCCTCGTTCCCTCACTCCATCTATCACTACCAACACAGGGTTCTACTAACGCTGTACAGATGCTGTGAAAACCCTCGTTCCCTCACTCCATCTATCACTACCAACACAAGGCTCTACTAACGCTGTACAGATGCTGTGAAAACCCTCGTTCCCTCACTCCATCTACCACTACCAACACAGGGTTCTACTAACGCCGTACAGATGCTGTGAAATCCCTCGTTCCCTCACTCCATCTATCACTACCAACACAAGACTCTACTAACGCCGTACAGATGCTGTGAAGACCCTCGTTCCCTCACTCTATCACTACCAACACAAGGCTCTACTAACGCTGTACAGATGCTGTGAAAACCCTTGTTCCCTCACTCCATATGTCACTACCAACACAAGGCTCTACTAACGCTGTACAGATGTTGATTGTCCTGCGACCGCAGTCCGGTTTCACTGGATCCGGAGGCTGCACAGTGGCGTTCAGGGTGAAGGCGAGGTCCACTTTGTCAAGGTCGTAGGTGTTGTAGCGAACTGTGGCCTGGTAAACACAAATAGATCACACGGCAATATATGTCTGGTCTCATATTGGTTCTGTGTAAAAATTAACAGGATTGTGTCTTCTCGCTGTCAGAAGTACCTAAAAAAAAACAGTACAGAAATGACCCCCTTAGCCGTTAGCCGCTCCATAAGTCGGCATTTTAGTTGTGTACATTGATCTTATTCTGCTCTGGAAGTCGACATACCTGGAACAGAGCACAGCCAGTGCCCACACCATTCAGCGTGATCTCATTGGGCACCTTCAGCGGTTCTGTCTGCATCACCATACTGTTGGACCCTGACACGATGAAGTTCTTGTGGACATCCTTCCCCTCCACAGTCAGTGACATCTTGAGTTTGTCTCCGATAGCAGCAAGTTTGGCGAACTTAGACAGAGCATCTAAAGCCACCACAGTGTCCTGGGAAGACAAACGGAGATCAACATTTCGATCACATTCAGTCCGACCCTTTATTATTCCTCTTCCAGATAAAAGCAACCCAGACGTATGTTGCGTTGATACTACGATAAAAGCACACACTTATGTGTGCATGTAGGTGACAACTGACCTAAGTGGAGGCAAATCCTCCCTATGTTCCACGTGTGTATGTGGCAACTGACCTGAGTGAAGGCAAATCCTCCCTTTGTTCCATGTATGTGTGTGACAACTGACCTGAGTCAAGGCAAATCCTCCCTTTGTTCCATGTGTGTATGTGACAACTGACCTGAGTGGAGGCAAATCCTCCCTATGTTCCATGTGTGTATGTGACAACTGACCTGAGTGAAGGCAAATCCTCCCTATGTTCCACGTGTGTATGTATGTGACAACTGACCTGAGTGAAGGCAAATCCTCCCTATATTCCATGTATGTATGTATGTGACAACTGACCTGAGTGAAGGCAAATCCTCCCTATATTCCACGTGTGTATGTGACAACTGACCTGAGTGAAGGCAAATCCTCCCTATGTTCCATGTGTGTATGTGACAACTGACCTGAGTGGAGGCAAATCCTCCCTATGTTCCATGTGTGTATGTGACAACTGACCTGAGTGGAGGCAAATCCTCCCTATGTTCCATGTGTGTATGTGACAACTGACCTGAGTGAAGGCAAATCCTCCCTATATTCCATGTATGTATGTATGTGACAACTGACCTGAGTGAAGGCAAATCCTCCCTATATTCCACGTGTGTATGTGACAACTGACCTGAGTGAAGGCAAATCCTCCCTATGTTCCATGTGTGTATGTGACAACTGACCTGAGTGGAGGCAAATCCTCCCTATGTTCCATGTGTGTATGTGACAACTGACCTGAGTGAAGGCAAATCCTCCCTATGTTCCATGTGAGTATGTGACAACTGACCTGAGTGAAGGCAAATCCTCCCTATATTCCATGTATGTATGTATGTATGTGACAACTGACCTGAGTGAAGGCAAATCCTCCCTATATTCCACGTGTGTATGTGACAACTGACCTGAGTGAAGGCAAATCCTCCCTATGTTCCATGTGTGTATGTGACAACTGACCTGAGTGGAGGCAAATCCTCCCTTAGGGTTCCTCTGTTTCTGCAGCCACTTGACGACCTTCAGGCTGGACTCCAGGTCATCCTCCTCCAGGTAGGCCAGCAGGGCGTAGGCGGTCGTCTCCACGTTCAGCGACGATGCGCGGTAGTAGTAGCTCCGCTGACGGTTCGCGTCCTTCTTCGTCTCCCAATGCATCAGGGTACCTGGGGAAAACAGTGATGACAGTGCGTGAAGAAGGGATTTAACACAGAAAGTATGCCTTACGTTGAATACGTACCATATAAGTTATCATAGTGATCCAGATGAATGCCCCCCGCCCACGGAGCCTTCATTTTGACTAGGCGGTCAAAGTTCGCTCAAGGTGTACGTGACTCGACATTCAATGGAGATGTCCTCAGATCTTAACGCAGAGAGGTATCTTATCGGAGTAGCAGATCTTATTATAATGTAATTGGGCTGGATTATTGCTAAAAATGGCGTAAAACCATTCCCACTCAATGGTCCATCAAACCCCTGTATCAATATCAAGTATCAATACAGGTAGGATAAATGAATGGAGGAGTATGCAGGATAAAGACGCCAGCAGTGTGTTATTACAACATTGGAATGTTTCTTATATAGGCATGTGTACCATTAATGATTGCATTGGAGTGAAGGCCTCTCTGTACGTCGACGTGCACCTGACTGTTGGCGTCCTGGAGCGACGTGGCGTAGGCAGCGGCGGCCATGGTGTAGACGTCGGTGATTGGCTGAGCAGCGATGCATTTGATGGCGTTCCGAATCGCACGATCCTGGTAATAGTTCAATAGATTTAAAGTAACCGTATTATCACTGCACTACACGTTGTTCTATAGAATTAGGGGCGGTCGGGTAGCCTAGTGATTAGAGCGTTCGCTCGTCACGCCGAAGACCCGGATTCGATTCCCGACATGGGTGCAATGTGTGAAGCCCATTTCTGGTGTCCACCTCCGTGATATTGTGGAATATTGCTAAAGGCGGCGTAATACCATATTCCCTCACTCACTCACTCACTCACTCTATAAAATTATCTTCTCATACGTTTCATGTCATCCAACATCCCTATCCGTCGAGCATGACATGACAATGTTTTGCACAACCGTATAATTGATGACAAACATACCTCTTTGGGGGTGCCAGCAATGATGAGAGCACCGATGACGTAGGCAGTCAATGTCACGTCACTGTTGGCGCCGTCAACACCCCCTCTCATGGAGGAGTGGATGACACGACCGACCTCGGTGAAACATCCGTTTGCACTTTGCTTCCTCTTCAGCCACAGCTATTACAAACCAATATGTTAGCCACACGAATACCATTGGCTTTCAATGACTTTTAACAACAGAGACCAATCATTAAGCTTTGATAAACTAAACTAATTGGTATGTTTGCGTTCGGTCTATCGCAGAATTTTTATGCAGTGACGTCAGACTGTGATTTGAGATGTGGAACCAATTACCACTTACTCCGTAACCTGCAAGAAGACTCGTCCCCCTATCGATGAATTAATGTTACGTGCGAAAATACAACAAACCAATCAGAATGCGCGAATGACTTCTAGTACTTCGGTCAAAGAATACCTCAGGATTCATTTTTGATTTCATATTTGTCCTGCATTTAAGAATATACAAAAGATACAGTTAAATGTGTTCAGTCATCCTCTATAATACTGTTAGTCTCGATGTGTTTTCAATAGCATCTGGAATATACATGATATATGGGGGGAATGTACGTGAATCATTACGCAACGAGTTGACCATTCTTTTAGCTATGCCCTTTTGCGCTTAGACGGAACCCAGTCTCATAATGGCCACGAGAGGGGCACGAGTCGCTACACGGCTTGTCTCGGAATAATACGAGTTGGTCACGAATGATAAGGAACAAATTGGACTGAGCGTGCCACAAGAGTGTCGCCTCACCCTCGCCCTACTGAGGACGTTCTGGTCAATCTCCAGGAAAGGCTGGGCCTCGGTGAAGGACTTGATCACGAAGGCAGTGAGCCACGTGCTGCCGCTCCTGTCGGAGTTGCCAAACGCGCTAAAGGACCCATCATCTCGCATGTAGTTCAGCTCCCGCTGGTAGCCTGCACAAAACAAGAGAATTGGAAACATGGTTTAAGTAACTGCTGTCCTAACATTGAACGGACCTTTCGGAAATAATGCCCTTTGTATAACGTTGTTCTTGAAAATACTAAATATTCTTTCTTTGTGTTGCAATTGAAATAAGTAAATAGGCAAAACGTGAATTGGTTTACAAGTTAAAAAATTCAACTTACCGAATGATAATTGTCAAAGTTACTTAGCATCAGGTTATATGCATATAAATCAAAACGTATAGCGGTCTCAGAAACTAGGTCGCCGACATCACGTTATCTCGTTGGGTACTGTGGTTGGACAGTGTCTCAACGCTCTTATACACTAGGCGGCGGTCGGGTAGCCTAGTGGTTAAAGCGTTCGCTCGTCATGCCGAAGACCCGGGTTCGATTCCCGACATTGGTACAATGTGTGAAGCCCATTTCTTGTGTCCCCCGACGTGTTATTGCAGGAATATCGCTAAAAGCGGCGTAAAACCATACTCACTCTTTAACAGGAGCTTTAACAGGCTAGAATGACTATACTTATAAGTAGGGCGTAGATAAAGGTGCCGCGATGGACCGTGAAACGTTGTGCCCCTGAGTTGTGTCAGGATCCACTGACTGCTGATTTGAATTCAAGTCTTTCGCCCTGATTATGAACTTTGGTTTTACAGGAAACAATGCCCGTGCAAGTGGCTTTCACCAAAGTGATAGCATCTGCCACCGAAACGTTTGGGTGTGGTCCAACAAGAAGCCGACACGCACTCTATGAGTAGATTCACTGATTTGACCCAGGTATACTTACCACTTCCGAGGTACTTGTTGATGGTCTCAGATATCTCTGGTGTCAGCTGATTGGTGGACTTTAGGTAACTCATGATGAACACATTCGGGGCAAAGTTGATCATGTTCTGTTCTCCGCAGCCGTAGGGAACGCGGAGGAGGTCGCCGATGTTGCTAAAGCTGGGCCCCATCAGATCACCTGGATGTAAGATAGATGTAACAGTAAATGGTCATTCTCTGAACATATCCAAGTAAAACCAAACTAATTAAACTCGTCTCCAAATTGGCTTGGCCCATCAGATAACCTAGATGTAAGGCAGGTGTGACTGTAACTGGTCATCCTCTAAATTGTCAAAGTAAAACCAAACTACGTAAACGAAAACTAAATAAACTCATCACCAAGTAGGCCGAAGTTGTTTCGATTCCCTAACACCATAAAAAGGTTAAAATCATGTACTCTCAGAGAAGACCCGTGAAGATCCGGAGTAGAATAGGTCTTCAGCAACCCATGCCTGCCTTAAAAGGCGACTATGCTTGTCTTAAGAGGCCTCTAACGGGGTCGGAGGGTCAGACTCGCTGACTTGGTTGATGCATGTCATCGTATCCCAATTGCGTGGATCGATGCTCATGATGTCAAACACTGGATTGTCTGGTCCAGACTTGATAATTTACAGACCGCCGTCATATAACTGGAATACTGCTGAGTATGGCGTTAAACAACAAACAAACAAACAAACAAACTCCGCAGGGTACATGCTATATCAATTCCAACTGATTAAGAAGTTCTGAAAAAAAGAAACGCAAAAGTGATTTTAGATGTATATTTTATATATCATAAAAATAATCAACAGATCGACATCCTTAAATAATCGATAGTTCAGAATTGGCACACGTCATTGTCAGTGACCCAGGTTCGATAAGGCACACATGGAACAGTAGATTTTCAAGATGAAGGTCATCTGTTCTCAATATCTTGTATGGCCACCATTAGAGTCCAAAACTGACTGGCATCGTCGTGCCATGGAAGCAATCAGATCCCGAATTGTAGCTTGGAGAATGTTCACCAACTCTGCCTACAGTGCTTGTGCCAACTGTTCCGTGGTTGTTACTGACGGGCTCGCAGTCGTTGATCCAATGCATCTCATAAATGTTCGATTGGCTTTAAATCTGCAGACCTGAAGGACCGTGGCAGGACCTGGATGGTGTGTTTCCTGAAAAAGGCTGTTGTCAGTCTAGCCGTGTGAGGTCGGCCGTTGTCTCGTTGGAAAATGACGTTCGCTTGTTGCTTCATGGGAAGGACGTGTGGCCGAAGAATATCATGCGTGTAACGTTAACGTTGTGTCGTTAAATACCCCAGACCTTGCACCAAGTTGTTCTACCAGTGTAGGAGATGGCCGCCCACATCATCACACTACCACCACTAAATCTATCCACTTCCTGTGTGCAGTTTCGTGCATAACGTTCCCCGCGACCATCCGCACGGCGAAGCATAAAACGTGATTCTTCACAAAACCAAACTTGTCTCCATCGCAGCTGTGGCCATACTCTGTGACCTTGACACCATTGATGTCGCAGCCGACGATGCAGGTCAGTCAAAATGACACCTCGAACTGGTCGACTAGCGCGAATGTCTGGGCTGATATCCTGCACAATCCTGGTATTGCCGTAGTTGTAGAGGTGGTCGTGATGGTTCTTTCACCTAAGTGGCGTAGTCGTATGAATCAAATAATTAGTCGACCGGAGCTAGAAAGGTCCCGTGTGTCTAAAAACGGTTCGACAGTCCTGTAATGTTACTTGGTGCTACACGGAACGTGGCAACAGCTGAAGATGATTCTCCTGTTTGAAGTCGGCCGATGGCGTTGTTACGTTGGACTTCCGTCAGTCGTGGCATGTTTTCTCTGTTAACTTGCAGTTAGATTGTGAGGGCATGCAAATGTAAATCCAACGTTTATATAGCCCAACAAGTGATATTGTACTTTCATGTCAGGTTGGTGTGTTTTGGTGCCAGGGACTCACGTGGTTGTGTGTTTACGATTTTTCAATCTTTTCACCAGATTTCAGCTGTACCTTATTCTTTCCACGCAAATCAATCCCAATCCATGCCGAATGACCAGTTCATTTTTTGTTTTAATTTATATAAATGTCGGCAACACACTGTCGGGTTTTACTACTTTTGCGTCCCATTTTTTGCAGAGTATATACTATATGAATATGTTGTCCCTAAAACAAAGGGATAATGAAGAATATTGACCATGCATCCCAACAACATAAGAAACATCAAATGAAAATTATATGTATCTGAATTTGTTTTCTATTTAGTTTTGCAACATTTCTGATAAATTTGAATCTCATTCGAACTCCAAGTGTTGGGTAAACTGTAAACAATCCTCACCGATAACGCTGAGCACACCCCTCCCGGAGTCGGGCACAATAGCTTGATCCGCGGGGAGGGGCAGGTCGATGGAGTCAAAGAATTCTGTTCCTGTTTCTGAAAACAAGGGAAACAAATCCGTCACTGACCACAATACTGAATATACATGTAAACGTCAAGTTCCCACCCTCGCCGAACTAGGCTGCAATTATGGAGTTATATTTTGGCTGGACTAACGAGTCTATGCATAGTCCAATTAAATCGGGTAACGAAATCAACATCCGGTTCGTAAACTGCCGTGCAGATTTCGGTCGATTGCAGGAGTTGCAAAGCATATGTACTGTCAACTTAGCGTCAACAGATATTTTCCAAATCTCTTCATGTTTTGTAATCATGTTGCTCACGTGATTTGATGCATTTTGCCAAGTAAGAGGGTTTTATTACAATATAGATCTTGATGATCGATCAGATCGTCTTGACTGGACGCCGTCATTTTGTTTGAAGCAAATGCAAGTGATATGAAAGGTGGACTACTGACGTACCTGAACACGCCATGGTGATGTAGGTGTAATACTGACGTACCTGAACACGCCATGGTGCTGTAGGTGTACTACTGACGTACCTGAACACGCCATGATGCTGTAGGTGTACTACTGACGTACATGAACACACCATGATGCTGTAGGTGTACTACTGAAATACCCGATCACGCCATGGTGCTGTAGATGTACTACACACATACCTGAACACGCCATGGTGCTGTAGATGTACTAATGACATACCTGAACACGCCATGGTGCTGTAGATGTACTACACACATACCTGAACACGCCATGGTGCTGTAGATGTACTAATGACATACCTGAACACGCCATGGTGCTGTAGGTGTACTACACACATACCTGAACACGCCATGGTGCTGTAGATGTACTACACACATACCTGAACACGCCATGGTGCTGTAGATGTACTAATGACATACCTGAACACGCCATGGTGCTGTAGATGTACTACACACATACCTGAACACACCATGGTGCTGTAGATGTACTAATGACATACCTGAACACGCCATGGTGCTGTAGGTGTACTACTGACGTACCTGAACACGCCATGGTGATGTAGGTGTACTACTGACGTACCTGAACACGCCATGGTGCTGTAGGTGTACTACTGACGTACCTGAACACGCCATGGTGCTGTAGGTGTTCTACTGACGTACCTGAACACGCCATGGTGCTGTAGATGTACTAATGACATACCTGAACACGCCATGGTGCTGTAGGTGTACTACTGACGTACCTGAACACGCCATGGTGATGTAGGTGTACTACTGACGTACCTGAACACGCCATGGTGCTGTAGGTGTACTACTGACGTACCTGAACACGCCATGGTGATGTAGGTGTACTACTGACGTACCTGAACACGCCATGGTCCTGTAGTTGTACTGCTGACGTACCTGAACACACCATGATGCTGTAGGTGTACTACACACATACCTGAACACACCATGATGCTGTAGGTGTACTACACACATACCTGAACACGCCATGGTGCTGTAGGTGTACTACTGACGTACCTGAACACGCCATGGTGATGTAGGTGTACTACTGACGTACCTGAACACGCCATGGTCCTGTAGTTGTACTGCTGACGTACCTGAACACACCATGATGCTGTAGGTGTACTACACACATACCTGAACACACCATGATGCTGTAGGTGTACTACACACATACCTGAACACGCCATGGTGCTGTAGGTGTACTACTGACGTACCTGAACACGCCATGGTGCTGTAGATGTACTACTGACATACCTGAACACGCCATGGTGCTGTAGGTGTTCTACTGACGTACCTGAACACATCATGGTGATGTAGGTGTTCTACTGACGTACCTGGCCACATCATGATGATGTAGGTGAGCTATTGACGTACCTGAACACGCCATGGTGCTGTAGATGTACTGCTGACGTACCTGAACACACCATGGTGCTGTAGGTGTACTACTGACGTACTTGAACACACCATGGCGCTGTAGGCGTACTACTGACGTACCTGAACACAACATGGTGATGTAGGTGTTCTACTAACGAACCTGAACTCACCATGGTGCTGTAGATGTACTGCTGACGTACCCGAACACACCATGGTGCTGTAGATGTACTGCTGACGTACCTGAACACATCATGGTGCTGTAGGTGTGCTACTGACGTACCTGAACACACCATGGTGATGTAGATGTACTACTGACGTACCTGAACACGCCATGGTGCTGTAGGTGTGCTAATGATGTACCTGAACACACCATGGTGATGTAGATGTACTACTGACGTACCTGAACACATCATGGTGCTGTAGGTGTGCTACAGACGTACCTGAACACGCCATGGTCCTGTAGTTGTACTGCTGACGTACCTGAACACACCATGATGCTGTAGGTGTACTACACACATACCTGAACACACCATGATGCTGTAGGTGTACTACACACATACCTGAACACGCCATGGTGCTGTAGGTGTACTACTGACGTACCTGAACACGCCATGGTGCTGTAGATGTACTACTGACATACCTGAACACGCCATGGTGCTGTAGGTGTTCTACTGACGTACCTGAACACATCATGGTGATGTAGGTGTTCTACTGACGTACCTGGCCACATCATGATGATGTAGGTGAGCTATTGACGTACCTGAACACGCCATGGTGCTGTAGATGTACTGCTGACGTACCTGAACACACCATGGTGCTGTAGGTGTACTACTGACGTACTTGAACACACCATGGCGCTGTAGGCGTACTACTGACGTACCTGAACACAACATGGTGATGTAGGTGTTCTACTAACGAACCTGAACTCACCATGGTGCTGTAGATGTACTGCTGACGTACCCGAACACACCATGGTGCTGTAGATGTACTGCTGACGTACCTGAACACATCATGGTGCTGTAGGTGTGCTACTGACGTACCTGAACACACCATGGTGATGTAGATGTACTACTGACGTACCTGAACACGCCATGGTGCTGTAGGTGTGCTAATGATGTACCTGAACACACCATGGTGATGTAGATGTACTACTGACGTACCTGAACACATCATGGTGCTGTAGGTGTGCTACAGACGTACCTGAACACACAATGGTGATGTAGATGTACTACTCACGTGCCTGAACACGTCATGGTGCTGTAGATGTACTGCTGACGTACCTGAACACACCATGGTGCTGTAGATGTACTGCTGACGTACCTGAACACACCATTGTAATGTAGGTGTACTACTGACGTACCTGGCCACACCATGGTGATGTAGGTGTGCTAATGACGTACCTGGCCACGCCATGGTGCTGTAGGTGTACTACTGACGTTCCTGAACACACCATGGTGATGTAAGTGTGCTACTAACGTACCTGGTCACACCATGGTGCTGTGGGTGTTCTACTGACGTACCTGAACACACCATGGTGTTGTAGGTGTACTACTGACGTACCTGAACACACCATGTTGCTGTAGGTGTTCTACTGACGTACCCGAACACACCATGGTGCTGTAGGTGTAATACTGACGTACCTGAACACGCCATGGTGCTGTAGGTGTACTACTGACGTACCTGAACACACCATGGTGATGTAGGTGTTCTACTGACGTACCTGAACACACCATGGTGATGTAGGTGTACTACTGACGTACCTGGCCACACCATGGTGATGTAGGTGTGCTAATGACTTACCTGGCCTCACCATGGTGATGTAGGTGTACTACTGACGTACCTGAACACGCCATGGTGCTGTAGGTGTATTCCTTCTCATCGCCTTCCGGCTGAAATGAACAATTATATCATGCTAACATTTCCATAGAACATATTCGGAAATATCTTGTTTGTATAATATATTAAATTATCAGTTACACAAAGCGATTCCACCAGATGGTAGATTTGTCGATGGATTACAATATGTTTGCGATGTTGTTGTAGTTATACGACACTGCCTTATGTCAAGCTCTGCAATGGGTGGAGAACTCTGGAATGGCTGCCGACCTGACCAGCTGACAATGTTATTACAAAACAAGCTTCTAGATCGGTTCTGCGAATTGCACTGGAGTATATTTGTATATAACATGTGACAACTTACCTCCACGAGGAGTTGCCTGACCACGGCGTCCTTGATTCCGATTGCCTCCCCTGCAGCCGTTACCTTGGGGCACTGCGAATCCCCGGGAATCGACTTGGCCTAACATTAATCAACATATAATTAAAGCATATACCCTATAATAACTTAGTAAATGAAATATTACCTTGACCGACATCTCGTTAACTTACATGTCGAATTGATGGGGAAAGAGAAGTTAATGAAGATAATGTTTATAGAAATGGGCTTCTTTGTGAAAAAAAACTTCAGGAACTATGGGCGACCACTCGGTGTAATAGATTGTGCACCTACGCGCGCATTTCTCATATCCACGGCGGAACGAGACGAATAAACTCGGAATGTTTTAGAAATTGCAGCGCCATCTGGTGTTCTTTATTGTTGTCCTTTAGTGTCCTTTTGTGTGCACTGACGTTCTTTAACATTGTTTAGTACACATTGTTCTTTCTTTTCATGTGACGTCTTTTGTTTGCGAGTTGTTCATTGGTATCTGTTTGTATTTTTAGGTCATTATTCGTATGTAAATAATGGCCTTTATTGGCAACATTTATTCTTTATTCGTAACATTTGACTATCATTGCCTACTTGTGACTTTTTCAACTGTGTATCTTCTGACTGAATGGCCGCCCGTAACGGACTTTTTGAAATAAAAGACTTAAACTGTTCCATAAGATAATCCGGAGTTACGGCTGGATTCCAGAGAGTAACGAACGTTATGTCCGCATAAGAAAATAATTTTGTGACGATTGTAATCACCTGTGCCGTGATGTTGATGAAACCGATATTTCGCGGGACAATAACGTAATCATGACGTTTCGCCTCGTTTCCACATATGCACATCCACGTGACTCGCTCAGGGTTCAGAAGGTCAAACTCACTTGACTCGTTGAGTCGCAGTTCAATCTGAAAAGACACCACAAGCAGTCAGTGTTTTTACAGGTGTCTAGACTGTGTCAACTCCAGTCGCTGTTTAATGTCTGCTGAAATAATTCGTCTCCCAGTAGTGGACTTGTGGGATCCCAGACTACGGGAGGAAACGCCTTGATTGTATATTTAACCGAATCTTTATTAACGATCATTTAGGTTAGTATGACAACAAAGGTAATGACATTACATAACTCCATTCCCATGTATGCGTGTGGAAAGGGCAGTGAATAGTACGGATCATTTTACCATCGAAAACAGATTTAGTTACATCAAGTAAAACAGGTTAACGAAAATGTCCTTGACCCAAGAGGAACAAGAAGACAAAGCCCTCTTTACCCCCTGTCTATTGTCTGATCTTGAAGAGAATGACGTGTGCAAAGAAATGTGACATCGTAAATATAAACTGGTTTGCCCACCTGTATGTGGAAGATGTGGAATGCAAGACCTACTGTATGGCATCTCCATAAAACTTTGTACAAATATTTGCTTTAGTAAGACTGAAATTATAAACAATAGTTCTAACCATCTTTGTGAAGGCTTAGAGTATTGTATATATTGTGTGCGTTCATTTGAATTTCATGAATATTAGTATGTAGCAGGGGGCACGGGTGGCCCAGTCGTCTAAGGCGCCGCGATTCGCTGTGCTGAGTTGCGTCCCTTGGGCACGTCAGAAACCTATGATTGTGGGTTCGAATCCCGGTTCGCCCCGATTATGTTTCTAGGTTTGTCAGCACCATACCCGTGCTCGTTGGTTTCACCGAAGTGGTAAACGTCTGAGACCTGCATCACTTCGGGCTTTCCTCCCACATTAAGCTGACACGCCGCGATATAACTGTAATACTGTTAAAAGCGGTGTTAAACCCAACTCACTCACTCACTCACTCACTCACTCACTACTATGTAGCACTGTTACACAGTCAGGTATGTTTGCACCCCTAACCTTTACATCTGAGTAACCAAATCTTTGAAAGGCATTTAGAAGTGATACACATAAGGAAGAGATTTATAAGGATGTCAACTTCTTTATTATGAGGAACACATCATCTGTTGGCTTCCGTTGCATTTTTGTCAGTTCCTACCCTTTGTTATTTTCCACCTTTTGTTATTATTTTGTTGTCCTTACCTGTACATATATATGCTTTTTGCCCGATGGCATTCATTCACCTGATGAAGGAGTAAGCATATGCTCCGAAACGTTGTGTTCCTCATAATAAAGAAGTTGACATCCATATAGTCTCTTCCTTAAGTAACCAGAGTAAGGTACACGGTACAGGTAAGGTACAAACAGTGTGGACATGCTTGCCCCTCAACATCTGTTGAACTTCTAATGCATCTCCCATGAATGCTTTCCCTTATAGCTTCGTTTATTGCAGTGTCTACTGGTGTGACAACTTATTACAATAATCATTGAACCAACGTAGAGATGAACTGAGAAAAAATTAAAAATGAATTATTCATAATTAATTAAAACCAAGCCTCTTCAAAACCTTAAACGTTTGAGAGATTTTTATGTTTAATCAAATAATGAGAAATATAAATGGATATATTTCAACTGACTTTGTTTCTTTGTGCTGAATATGAGTCGAAAATATAGCTTACTGGATCAATATTAATGATTGATCGGTTATAATGAATCAATCATCAATTCTGAAATTGAAGCCAATTCCCAACACTAACAGTTTCATGATTTAGAATCGTTAGAACTTATCGCTATCTAAGAACACTAGGGAACTATTGTGAGTAAAGATGGGTTTTTTTGCGAATTGAAATATCAGTTTCATATAAATTTATTATGAACAAAGAATAAATAGTAAGAATTGTAATGATTTGTTTTGTTTCATATTTGGTGATAGTGAAAACTGAATAAATGTAATCAATATACACATGTTTGTTTGTGTATGACAAACATACTAGAATAAATACCATTAATAGTTACCAGTGGCAAGTGAAGTCGAACAGGTACAGGATTAGATCAGAACAACGAAAATACTCACCTCAATACATTCTGTGAGGTAGTTGAAGACGGTGACGGTGAGGGGGATGTACTCCCCCCTGATGGCGGCGTAAGGGAGGGTGAAGGAGACGAAGAACGGCTGAAACGCTGTCACGGACGCCGACTCAGACACGCCGACACCGACATCCGACTTGGCACAGACAGTGCTACCGACCCACTCTGTAATGCTTCCGGGGAGAGTCTTATTCAGCTCCAGTTTCCCAGAATCACTGAACCGGATAACAATGTTATCATTATGTCCCTATATATTCACTGGACACGATAACAATGTTATCATTATGTCCCTATATATTCACTGGACAAGATAACAATGTTACAATATGTCACTATATAATCACTGGACAGGAAAACAATGTTACAATATGTCACTATATAATCACTGGACACGATAACAATGTTACAATATGTCACTATATAATCACTAGACAGGATAACAATGTTATCATTATGTCCCTATATAATTACTGGACACGATAACAATGTTACAATATGTCACTATATAATCACTGGACAGGATAACAATGTTATCATTATGTCCCTATATAATTACTGGACACGATAACAATGTTACAATATGTCACTATATATTCACTGGACAGGATAACAATGTTGTCATTATGTCCCTATACATTCACTGGACAAGATAACAATGTTATCGATATGTCAATATACCATCACTAGACAGGATAACAATGTTATCAATAAGTCACTATACAATCACTAGACAGGATAACAATTTTATCATTATGTCCCTATACATTCACTGGACAAGATAACAATGTTATCGATATGTCAATACACCATCACTAAACAGGATAACAATGTTATCATTATGTCCCTATACAATCACTAGACAGGATAACAATGTTATCAATATGTCAATATACAATCACTGGACAGCATAACAATGTTATCAAATATGTCGTCAATGCGCCATGCAATGTCACTGGACAGGATAACAAAGTTATCAATATGTCATTCAATCACTGGACAGGATAACAATGTTGTCATTATGTCCCTATACATTCACTGGACAAGATAACAATGTTATCGATATGTCAATATACCATCACTAGACAGGATAACAATGTTACACTATGTCACTATATAATCACTGGACACGATAACAATGTTACAATATGTCACTATATGATCACTGGACACGATAACAATGTGATCAATATGTCACCATACAATTACTGGACAGGAAAACAATGTTATCAGTATGTCGCTGAAATAGTCAGTGAGCAGGGTAACAATGTTGTCAGTATACACTATGAATAGTCACTCGTCAGGATAACATTGTATCAATATGTCGCTATACAGAGTCACCCGACAGGATAACAATGTTGCAATGTATCGCTATGCAGTCACTATACAGGGTCACAATGTTACAATATGTCACTATATATACAATCACTGGACAGGATAACAATGTTGTCAAAATGTCGCCGGAGACTGGGATCACCCACTGGCGTCAAACCTGCCCAATGATCTCCCTAGAGACCAAAGATCCCCACAGGCGTCATACCTACCAAGTGATCTCCTTAGGGACCGGGATCCCCACTGGCGTTCAACCTGCCCAATGATCTCCCTAGAGACCGGGATCCCCACTGGCGTCTAACCTGCCCAATGATCTCCCTAGAGACCGGGATCCCCCTGCCATACTTACCCAACGATCTCCAGGTCCCACAGCCAGGTCTCAGGGAAGTATTGTCTCAATGCTACCGTCTTTTTCTTCGGGTCTGGAGCTTCTTCTGGAAGAATACAAAGCAAATGTCTTATCTTTAATTGGAAACAATTCTAAATCAAATATGATCTTTTCTTCGGGACATTACTGATATCTAATGAACCTTCCCATAATGTATGTTCCAATATATAAATACGTGCCATTGTATCGTCCACATTTCACTGTAGTGTTAAAATGTTGTGTCATGACGACTCCTAGACAGCACAAGGTACATCTGCTCAGGAATGAAGTGAGTGGGGAACGATCACTCACATAGAAGGTTAACATTGTGACTACCCAAGCCTCCTTGTAGTCAGCTTCTAAGACAGTGAGTGAGTGAGTGAGTATGGTTTCACGTCACTTTTAGCAATATTCCAGCAATATCGTGGTGGTGGACACCAGAAATGGGCTTCACACATAGAACCCATGTCGAGAATCGAACCCGGGTCTTCGGCGTGACGAGCGAACGCCTTAACCACTAGGCTACCCGACCGTCCCGCTTTTAAAATAGGAATGGTGTGCTGGGGTCCAACTGTGATCTGGAATCTCCATAACGACCATGTCCATGATGGCGATTGAGCATCGACACTGGCACATTAATACTCTACATATGCCGCGAAGATCCGGGGTAGAAAAGGTCTTCAGCAATCCAAGCTTGTCTTAAAAGGCGACTATGCTTGTCGTAAGACGCGACCAACGGGATCGGGTGGCCAGGCTCGCTGACTTGGTTGATGCATGTCATCGTATCCCTATTGCGTGGATCGATGCTCATGATGTCTATCAATGGATTGTCTGGTCAGGACTTGATTAGTTACAGACCGCCGTCATATAGTTGGAACATTGCTGAGTGCGGCGTTAAACAACAAGCAAACAAACAAACACTACATGTGCTGAATGTTGTGAAGTATCTCTTAGTTGATCACTTGCTGAACATAGTTATTTTACACGTTCAAATGTCAAGAAGTGAGAAGGCAACTAGTTTGCTTTGTCAACATTTTTAGTTCTATGAAATTTGAATATTTTAAACATTATAAAAGATATCTACCTACGCGGGGCCTACGCAGAAACTTGTACGTTTGTGTTGTCCAGAGAAGGATGCTGTCGGTCATCTTGCAGATTTAGATATGACTCAAAATGTGTTCATTCGAATTAGGAACGGGAATATTTGATTATCATGAATATATATTATGCAGTTAAAAGTTGTACCATGTACATGTTTTCACTATAAAGTCGAAAACGACCTTAGACCTTCGCGAGGGAGTTGAATGGTCCAGGTTCAAATGTTTTTTAAAATTTGTTTATAACAGGTTTGCAAAATATAATTATGAAACGAATTTCTTTTTCATTCCTTTCATTCAGTATGTCTTCGGAAATTAAATCATGCTTGAGATAAAGAGCTGACATATACGCTCTTTGTTCAAGCAGGAATATACAGGAGATAGGGTGAAAAGGGGTTTAACGTCGCGTCTAAGATTTTGGCAATTATATAGCGTCATATAGCTGGAATATAGCTGAGTGCGGCGTAAACCAACCAACCAACCAGCCAACACTATTGTCAATATTGGTCGTCCGATAATCATATACAGCAACCTTCTATATATTTTTAAAAAGTATAGTTAATACAACTTAACAGTAGAATATACTGATGGTGGTTCATATAGTGGTTCATTCCCATCTAGATCAGCTTGGTGAGCTTTTGTACACAGACGTTAGAGAATGAAGTAAACATTTGGAGAGAGAGACTAGCGCAGAGACCATGGTACCGTTGTACAAAACAACCTGTCGTAAGTCTATGGTAAGGTATGGGAATTACGATCACCTTAGCCCTAAGATCGCTTTGTACGACGGCACCCAGAACTCTAACGATACCATACAACCCACACACGCTTACAAATTCTTTGTTCTTTGTAACATATGCATCTCTATCCACATTTAAGACCACCCCTGAAACTTTGTATTAAAATCAAGATCAAACGTGTCGAAGTATAAACATTGAAATTAACATTGCTATGACTATGATTGCCATTATCATTTTGCACTGTGAATATTTTATGTCTGAAAGAATCAATTTCTTTTCATGTCTGATTGATACACTTGATGTTACTGTTTGTGTGAAAATATGCTCGACGACGATGGGACGGGTAACTCGGGTACCCGGGTCGGGTGGGTACTGAGTAGGACCCGGGTACCCACAGGACTACCCGGACCCGTGGTTAGTCACTTGATATATTGTTTATGACAAAAAATATCTAGAACTCTATGGTTAAACTAAAAGTAACTAATGTTCGCATTTCTTTCTGACTATGCACCCATTCCTTCTGATTTTCCATATGGTTGAATAAAGATATAACTTAATTTCAACTTCAGTGTATGAATGACCAGATTGTTTAATACGTGTACCTAAATACGTTTTTGGCAGGGCTATGCTCAAAATGTTCCCAATCAGACATTTTGAGACATCTCCTGAGACCTACAGTGGGTACCCGGGTAGGGTCGGGTAATAGGGGTGGGTGGGTAACCGGGTAGTGAATTTGGACTCGTCCCAGCCCTCATGCTTTCTTTTTTTCTCGGTGCAGGTGCTCTTGGCTTAAAGGTCAGTAAAGGGAAATGATGATTGTTTGAATGGCATTCTAGAAATTGGCAAATAAGTAATAAAAACATTCAACTTTAAGGATAACAACTTCTGGTATATTGCATATAGCGACCTGTCGATGCTGGAGTGACAGCAACCCGTGATGAGAGGTATATATGCATGACATGTTGTGATAAGCAGCAGATTAACAACTGTATAATCCCGTTAATCCTTATCCTTGCTGTGTATCTGGCTTCACTACCCGTGCGCTTCATTGTCTGTGCTATTCTAACTGACAGGTACATTTGGTTTCATCCAATTACCTGTATGGTATCTATTACCGTTGTTGTCAATGTTAACGGCATGAGAGTCCAATAAAACTTCTAATTAGTGCCATAACATAATAAAATAGTCTTCGCAGAAGTCATCGAAAATTCGCAGATTTTTTGCGAATTATGCAACCTATCCTCGGATTATTCGCGGACTATTCACAATTTTACTGCAGAACACGATGACAAACCTTTGTGTTGTAGTGTACTCAGATTTATTTAGAATCATGCTTACACAAATACGCACGAAATTGCTTCCTAGTCATCACGTCTACCGTAATAAGAACAGCGTGGCTGCTTCCTTTGGCTCCAGAACTCCGGAGCATCTATCACGCTTTACACCGGCTTTCATATTTCTTTTTATCACGTCCATATCGAGCATCTTTCACACCGACTACTATCTTCCTAACTGACAACCAGGATGAGAATCAGTTAGGTTTTACACTACTCACCATCCTCCTGATCACTGTCATCATCTCCTGACCCCGCCAACCCGCCGCCGTCCGCCTGCCACCCGTCGTTGTCCGACTCCACGGACCTCCGGCCCCGGAAATACCTAAATGTGTGCTCCTTCCGGCAGGGCCTTGAGTCCAGCTTCAGCGGACCAGCAGTACTCAGTGATGATAACTGATGGACAAAGAGGGCCAGACTTGTAACACATTTGTCAAGCTTTACAGCACGTTTAGTCCAGCTGCATCTGTCCAAGCTTCTAAGCGTTTATCAGAGTACCGGTTATTTCATCTTCAAGTGACCAAACTTTACCTGGTAACTGTATTGGTCTTTACTAACCTTAACTAGTACCTGGTTCGTCCTTTACTAACCTTAATTAGTAAATGTTTCGGTCTTTACTAACTTTAATAACTAGTACATGGTACGTACTTTACCAACATCTCCAAATCAAATACATCCGATCATATTTACGATACATGTTCATAAGGTAATCTCCCTCAAGTATATTGAACCGATTCAGAAATACACTCACCAAGAAAGCCATATTTGAGTCGACATAATCTGAAATGTACTTGTATGTGCTCCTAGCTGTGTAGTAGGTGTAGTGCGGTGGCGCTGAAACAACAACAGTGCACTGAAATATCAAGCATATTGAATATATATGCACTTGTAAGAGTACGAACATGACAGTGTTTTCTATGGGGGTTGGATACCATATTTATTTTCATAAAGTGAGTGAATGACCGTTGTTACATGTTCAAGTCACCAACACTCCATCTTCAGAATGTTAATCTGAGGGGCGTCGGGTGGCCTTGTGGTTAAAGCGTTCGCTCGTCACACCGAAGACCCAGGTTCGATTCCCGACATGGGTACAATGTGTGGAGCCCATTAACCATACTCATTTACTCACTCAATATGTTGTTCGAAGTTCGAAGTGTAAGAAAGATGGAAAAAAACTATTTCCCGTTGGATCACTGATATCCCAAATTGAGGCTTTGATGTCACATGTCGCGATATGACATCATGACGTCATTGTTGTGCCAAGTATATCGGGTTGCCCGTTCGTTTGTATAATTTGTTTGTATAATTGATAAGTTTATCTGATCGTTAAGTATACCTAATCATATCATTACACCCCAATGTTAACATTGATTTTATGTCTCTCTGGACTTAAAACAGGAGTAGGTGCCGCGATCTTGCACCGAGTCTAGACTTTTAATACGCCCTGAGCCTAGTACCCTTTAATATATCTATACCCATGCCCTGAGCATAGTCTCCCTTTAATATGTTTATACCCATGTCCTGAGCATAGTCTCCCTTTAATGTGTGAATGGACATCCTCTGAGCCTACACTTCCTTTGATATATATATACCCATGCCCTGAGCATAGTCTCACTTTAATGTGTGTATGGACATGCTCTGAACTCTTCCTTTAATATGTTTATGGACATTGGTTTATTCTTCTTTTACTATCTGTAAGGACATGAATTCCATTCCCGTTCCACAAGGGGAGGTGGGGTAGCTGAGTAATTAAAGTGTTCGCTTCACTAGCCGATGGATAAAATGTGCGAGTCCCATGTCTGTTTTCCCAATTATTGTAATATTTTTTTATTTATTTTTTTTTTTTTTTATTGTAATATTACTCGCACTCCCGTTCCACGACATCAAACAAGCAAATATCAGACAATAAAAGTTCAAACATGCATACTTTAACGTTTTAAAGAGTTCATTATCCTCCTGCATTTCAGGAGACTTTGCGCAACAAGTTAAAATCAAACGAAGACAATATTTCTTTAAAACAATTGTTTCCTGAATGATCACCTATTTCGTCGGAGTTGGATAGACCGGTTCTCTTCAGATATTCCTGACAATATTGCGTCTTTGCATCCTCGCTGATGAATTGCTTGCTTGGGTCGGCGTTGTAGCGTTCCAGAGTGGAGAACAGCTGGCAATGTAAAATGTTATTAAAGACGGACTCTTCACTAACAGAGACCCGTGAAGATCCGGGTTAGAATAAGACTTCAGCAACCCATGCTTGCTGTAAGAGACGACTATGTTTGTCGTAAGAGGCGACTAACGGGATCGGGTGGTCAGGCTCGCTGACTTGGTTGATGCATGTCATCGGATCCCAATTGCGCGGATCGATGCTCATGATGTCAATCACATGATTGTCTGGTCCAGACTCGATTATTTACAGACCGCCGTCATATAGCTGGAATATTGCTGAGCGCGGCGTTAAACAACAAACAAACAAACAAACAAACAAACAAAACAGAGTGAACGTGCATACAAGGTTAAACCTTTAACCAACATGTACATCCTTCATCGGGTTGGTTGATATCGGAATATTATGTATTCAAATTACAGCGTGTGGTTCAGACAAACTAAGGGAAGATCTATGTTGTTGGTTAAGGATTTCGGTTGGTCTCTATACAGCATTTTTAACATTCCAATTGAAGAAGGAAGTTGGTTAGTCACCATTCTAATGCCCTGGGAGCACTTATTGGCTGCCGCGCCAAATTCACACTAACTTTATCAAGTTAAAAGGAAATCGCTCACGGTGTTAAAAGTTTTACAAAAACATCCACTGTAAGAAAACACCATAATTTCGTTATGCCAGTGTGCAATAATATTAGCAAATGGATAAAAAATGCGAACTTAAGCATTACTCTAAATTTCTGACGTGCAGCGACATTGTATTGATGACGTCTTAAAGTGATTTGATTTAAAAGAACACTGCGGCTCTACTTTAAATCCCTGTGCCGTAAGCAGTGAGCAACGTGGCGTAATTAATTCACTTATTGTTTGGTATATTAGGCCATTTGCATTTCTTGTGAATGATTCTCGGCTACATCACTTCATAGTGCCGATATACTGACTTTAAAGGGCGTTAAAGGACTTGCGATACAGTTCAGTTCGAGCTGCGCATTGAACACAAAATCATACCTCCAGACAACCTTAATAGGTATATTCAAATGTCATTATAATGATTTAAGATCTTAAGCTTTAATACAAGGGTGCCGAATCTGAAATAATTTTTTCATCAGCGGAACCTTGTTTACGGGTCTGCAAAGAATGTATGTCATATACTGTTGTTTTATTTCATGTTTTCCTGAACTCCAACTGATTCCGCACATATACACGCATGCACGCACCTGCTTGGGTGTGATCTGGTTCTTCCCTCCGAGAACGTAGACGCTCTGATCCACGACCCCCACCATACAGAGAGACCCCGGGGCCGCAGTCAGTGACAGCTGGGTCGGGTAGCCGGGGTACTCCTTGGACGGCGTGAACGCCATCTTCACCTACAAACATGGGCATCACAATACAGTTTGTCCAATGACGATGCAAGGCGTTCTAAACGCTTGTTGTACGAAAGTACAAGTTAGAGGTGTAACCATGCTACGGCACCCGCTGAACAAACTCAACCACGTGGTACACAATGTTTCTGGTGTATCGCTATGTATCGTTTCAAGACAAGAGGGATGACTTCAACTTTCCAATAACTCCCCCTTTATGTCGGGCAATACTCCATTGCAATATTGGTGCTTATGTGGAGGTACAATTGAGCATACTCTTTCTACGAGGATTTCAAAGTCCGTCATACGACTCTTGCTCAATTGGTTGGTATATTATCAAGGTTACAACATTCAAATTCTAGTAAAGCAATCACATAAGTTTTATGGTACACATATGGAGGACATTTATAAATTTGTGACCGGAATCGTAAATCTACTTTTAGCAGATTGTTCAAATGATTATGGAAATGGTTTTGTCATTTTTTCGGACATTTTAACTTGTTCACATAAGTGAGTGAGTGAGTATGGTTTTACGCCACTTTTAGCAATATTCCAGCAATATTACGGCGGGAGACACCAGAAATGGGCTTCACACATTGTAGCCATGTCGGGAATCGAACCCGGGCGTGACGAGCGAACGCTCTAACCACTAGGCCACCCAACCGCCCCTTGTTCACATAAGATGGTTAATACACTGCTGGTGATGAGCATTGTAGCTGTTACACACATAATTACACCATTTCCGTTAGTCAATCTGATCATTAATAGGTTTCTTCAAACAGCATGAACATTTTACAAAAAGGTATTTTGAAAACGACATTCAGCTTTGGTATAACACAACCGTTACTTTAATGACATGGCATATTATGGGCAAAGTGTGTTGCCGCTTTGTGGACGAGAAATAAATTTGACCCGTTCTGTTTCGGAAAACAGTAAACGCTTCTCACCGGGTTGGAGAAACAAGGGGCCACCTTGAACGTCTCCGCGTCTGCAACAACTTCGCCGCTGTTGGTGAGGTAGTAGACAAGCATCGTAGCCTCCGGAGCCATGGAGCAGGTGACGTTCACGTAGACGTTGAAGCTCGGGACGTCGGGGGAAAACTTCTTACTCGTAGCGCCTGTAGGTAGAATCGGAGGAGGGGGAGTTCAGTGTTCACAAAGAGAAACTGGTTTTCACGGAATTGGATGAATAATTTGATATAATGTTGTGTGTTTATCAAGTAGTGGATAAATGGGTGTCTCTAAGAGTGTATTTTGTAATGCATTTCATTAAATTAATATTCTTAAGGTACAAAGTTTCGTGAAATTGATAAAAGTATATTATGATGACGACATAAAAATTAGATATATGTAGAGTGTCTTCATATTGCATGTGCATTAAGTCGTAAATTCATTGGTTTGTAGTTGGCACGCACGAAACAATGTTAATATATACAACTCAAAACGAGTCAAAGAACACCCGGTTCTTTTATATTACTAGTGGCATGACATATTAACTATAGTAATATGAAAGAGGGGGTTCTTAAACTCCTTTTTTTTATAGTATAGATCGACATGCCATGCATTTTGTTAACATAATGTGTTTGTTCATATAATGTCTAAAATTACATTTGTGTCTACTAATTGAAAATTTAAGAATATACCAAAAGTTTCACGAATAAAGAATAATGAATTGAAAAATTATACTATTGTAATAAATATCTTATACTATTCGTGAAACTTATGAAATGGCTGAAGGCATATTGAAATGTTTCTTCAATGGAAGATATCCCACATCCACTCACAATGCTTCCGCTTTGCGCACCAGGGTGGGCTGGCCCGGTAGGTACCATCCGGGTTCTTTCTAACTTTGTACCGGTTGTGGCTGTGGTGCACGATGCGCCCTCGACTCATGATCTTCAAAAAAAATAATTTTTTAATCAGTTTAACAAAAATATTCCAAAAGATGTGTTCTCTCTGAAAGAAATTCATTTTTTTCAGGTCGGTGAATAATAATGATGTTCACGAAACTGCAGCTGTTCTTTGAAAACGATATGACTAATTATGTCGTGTGGAAATAGTTCATATGCTAAGGCCAGACTTAAAACTTGGGACCCGTGAAGATCCGGGGTAGAATAGGTCTTCAGCAACCCATGCTTGCCGTGAAAGGCCACTGTGCTTGTCGTAAGACGCGACTAACTGGATCGGGTGGTCAGGCTCACTGATTTGGTTGATGCATGTCACCATATCCTAATTGCGTAGATCGATGCTCATGATGTCAATCAATGGATTGTCTGGTCCAGACTCGATTACTTACAGACCGCCGTCATATAGCTTGATTATTGCTGAGTGCGGCGTTAAACAACAAACAAACAAACTTTAAACATGGTTTACGAATCCACCGACTCCAAATAAATGGCTGGCCTAACCACCCTTAATACATAATGAATAATATTTTTTGAATGATGTAAGCACGGTCACCTGGGCAACTACGCGAAATGGTGTAGTTGGGGGGTTAGTCCTATAGATGGCGATTGGTCCAAGTCCAGGGGAAAGAGGTTTGCTGATTGGCTGGATTTCGAGGTAACTGTCACTTGGGGAAAACCACTGAGCCACGTAGTATGTGCTTGGGTGTCGACTTTCAGTGTCGTCTGCTAAAAGCTGGAAATATAAAAAGGACAAGACAAGATGCCGTCCTTCTATTATGTTATCAGAATCAACATGAGTCACCGATATTTGTTACAAAAGGACGATTATGTTATATCCGAAAGTAGGACGAATGTAAAATGAATAATAATGTAGTGTCGTTTCGGCATTGTCCAGCCATATTGCTACCAGTGGGAAAAGGTCATAGTACCATATAAATATACCTCAAATATGACCAATGGTTTTTCTGTGCCAAGCCGTGGGAAGAAATAAGAAGCAAAGCCTTTATTGTCGGTCATAATTTTCCCAGAGAAGCCCGTCTGCTTGCAAGACAGCGTCATCATCAGATGTGAGACTGGCTTGCCGTCATCCCCGGTAACTAGAGCCTGAAAAAGTCAGAGAACGCTGAAAAGACTGAAATTCTGCATCCACTAACCCACTCGTACACCTGCACATGTTCTACAGGTGATGTGAGGTAAAATTGGGTTTAACGTCGCGTCCGAGATTAGAAAAGAAGGATATTGCTATATAGCGACGTGCATGCACTTGTGTTTGTGGCTGCTTGTACTAGTCCGGACTGATGCCGATTTATAGTGCTAGCCCACTGAGATACCATGCCGAAGTTTAACATGAATACCCCACTCAGACACAGTATACTGACTCCGAGCCGACCAGTCCTTGTTTTAGCCCCTTAATGCCGAGCGCCAGACAGGGTAACAACAACTACTATATTTTAACGTCTTTTGGTATGACGCGGCCGGGGATCGAAACCCGGACCTTCCGCTCTCCGGGCGGACGCTCTAACACATGACCACGGAGGCGGTCGTACATGTTCTACACATGTTGGGAGTCGAACTGAGATCTTGGGTGTGATGTGTCAACGCCTTAACCCGGCTACTTCAGCTCCCTAATTAGGACTGAAAGTCGGGAGATAGGGGGGCAATTTCCTGTGTACTTCCCGTGCCCAGAGATTGAGTTGAACTTCTCCTGTGACTGATTTTAAGAAATTGTTTCTCTGCACAAATGATATTTGACACGGTCTTCACGGGATACAGATGCTATCGCCGAGAAGCAAAGTATCGGCGTCTGATAGGTGTACCTGTGGTGCGTAAGCAAATTCCCTTTTTCATCTACCTGTATAACGGGATGGCTTGAAGGATTATCGGGTTGGATGACTGTCAGAGACTTTGAGAGGGCTATGTGATAGTTATTTGCCAAATAATGGTGTGTGTGTGTGTGGGGGGGGGGGGGGGGGGGGGGGACAACCATTGCAACAGAAAAGCAATTGCTTACACCGAAATGAAAAGCATATTTTTTACACCTAAAAAAGCACAATTTTTAAAGAAGGAAACCTCAATTTACCAGCTATGCAGTAAAGTATTAAACCAAACTGTACACGGCTGAGCGTGCTATTTATTGTTTAACTTGAAAATCGGAATCTTTACGCACTTTAGGATTTTTGTGGTGGATGGTTTGTGACGTAAGTAAACCGCGCTCACACAATTATTTTCATTATAATGATAGGTCGGCTCTCGATAAAATATGAAAATATAAATAACCATCACATTTTAAAGTAATATTATCAATTCGTTTAATGCCCTCGAAACATTGGTTTTGCTTACATTAACAATTAGCCTAGTTGCGCGCCTGGTATGAAAAGTTATGATTACAACGCGGTTTTGTACGACTGGACAACAATCATAGACACAACACTCATGGGGAATAACACACAACAATTATGGTCATCAACATTGTCATTATTTTAATGCAGTATAATATACTCACCGCCAAAAAAACGCGAAAACAAACATGTTGGTTAATATGTGAAGACTTACTCCTATTCGAGAGATGTTAGATTGGTTCGATGCACAAACGAATACACTGTTGTGTTGTGTTGTGTGAACCGATGTCCATGAACGCATCACATGTGACGTCATAGATCTATGACTCGAGATCCACCATTTGTCTCGTGCAGGATTAGCGTGTAAAGTTTGGAAATCACGTGCAACACATGGTGATAAGAATAAAGACACTCTGTGGTAACACCTGACTGATTAGTTTTGGCATTAATTGTTACCCGCTGGAAACATTTCCTCTTAACGTACATACTTCCCTCGATGTTTCTATGGTAAGCGTTTCTTTTGGCGGTGAGTATACATTTAACCTTCATGTACTGACCACTGAGTTTCTTCATAACACAACCGTTACATCCTTACCCTGAATTCATATGGCAAGAGCGGTTTGAAAAACTTCCTTGTGTAGGTTTTGATGTCAACTTTCACGGCAAACCTTTTGATGACGGGGCCGTCAACTGTCTGGTTGACCAGCAGACCTGAAACATAAACACAGACGATAAGGCTATACACTGCCCTCTCCATCATACAACATGATGGCTTGAAGGTCAAATCAAGGACTGGAACTACTGGAATACCCTACATACACTAGTAACGTCGGATCATCGGTTTCGGGCGGCCCTGTTTATCGCGAATACTCCTACTATAATAGGGGTGGGGGGGTGGGGGTGGGGGGGGGGGGGGGGGGGTGTAGCATCACACAGGAATTGTAAATACTGAGATGATGGCTTGGTTTTAAGAGAAAGTTGTCTTTTATAAGTGAATGAGATGTTTTACAGTTCTTCATGTGATTTGAGACAAAACTATGAATGTTCGAAAAGCGTCAGAAAACCCATAACACGGGGATATACCATTTGTAACCAACTCTTGTCATTCCGGAACAAGCCGAAAGCCTCTCTGTAGGTTACGGAAAGATACGAGTATGGAATGACATACATACCGGTCGCCTCTTCCAATATGGCCACGAAGGTACTGAGTTTGAGAGCGTTGTAACGGTTTTCGAAGTACGGTCTCAGGATGGAGGCGGCAAAGGAGTAGGTAAAGCAGCCATTTATCTAAAACATGACATACAGCCAGGTACATCAGAACACATGTAACAGTGTCCAAACACACCGAGGGATAACGTAATCAATACTAAGAAGTAAAAAGTAAGAGTATCAATACGAGCATAGTGACAGTTCATGCTAACAAGCACGTGTATCTATGTTTGAGGCCAACATACAGAGCGTTCATAATACAACAACAACATTCAAAATTTAACTTCTACTTTTGTTATATAAGTAGATTGGCTATATATTATGAAGCAGTGTTACATGTTTACCCACATTTTGTTTGTTTGTTTGTTGTTTAACGCCGCACTCAGCAATGTTCCAACTATATGATGGCGGTCTGTAAATAATCGAGTCTGGACCAGACAATCCTTCGATTGGCATCATGAGCATCGATCCACGTAATTGGGATACGATGACATGCATCAACCAAGTCAGCGAGCCCGACCACCCGATCCCGTTAGTCGCCTCTTACGAAAAGCATAGTCTAATTTCACGGCAAGCATGGGTTGCTGAAGTTATTCAAACAGGGATCTTCACGAGTTTTACCCAGATTTAATTTCATTAGTTAGTTTCAGACAAATTTTGTATTTCGATAATTTCAACAGAAAACCTTTAAAAGTCACACATACAATGATTAGTTCAATGACCATTTGAATATCACATGATATGATGATAGTAATAGAATGTCCTAAAGATACATAAGAGGTGTCAAGCAAGGTGTCTGTATTACTTAGTATATTGATGCTGTAATAGATTTTGATTCTCAGTTGGGATACTTCTGTTTAATATAAACAGGCTGTCGTGATTTCTGTTGCATGTCATTCATCTTACATAGTTATTCAGATGTTATCTTTCGATTCAGTATTTGAGGTAACTCGTAATACATTTTACAAATTGTTGACGAGTTTACAATTACAGGAACTCGCGGAGGTCACACACGCGGAATCCTTCAGGTTAATAACGCCAGGTGTATGTAAATTAAGAAAGTCTATGCAGTATTCAGTGTTTGTTTGTTTGTTCTTTAACGCCGCACTCAGCAATATTCCAGCTATATGACGGCGGTCTGTAAATAATCGAGTCTGGACAGACAATCCAGTGATTGACATCATAAGCATCGATCCACGCTATTGGGATCGATGACATGTATCAAACAAGTCAGCGAACCTGACCTACCGATCCCGTTAATCGCCTTTTACGACAAGCAAAGTTGCCTTTTACGGCAAATATGGGTTGCTGTAGACCTATTCTACCCCGGAATCTTCACGGGTCAGTATTCAGTGTAAATGGATTGGTGTATCTTACTAAATTTGAATTGGCTAATGAGCGATAATCACTTCCGGTCAAATAATTGCGCTGAATACGTGCTTGAAAAAGAATCCGTTTTAAAAATGCGTTTTAGTCATTTAGACCAGCGATAAATCTATTCTGTTTTAGTGAGTGAGTATGGTTTTTACGCCGCTTCTAGCAATATTCCAGCAATATCACGGGGGACACCAGAAATGGGCTTCACACATTGTACCCATGTCGGGAATCGAACCCGGGTCTTCGGCGTGACGAGCGAACGCTTGAACCACTAGGCTACCCGACCGCCCCTATTCTGTTTTAATTTTGAGGTGCTTCATCGTTGAATAAACACCGCTGTCTGTTACATTCAGAGGTGTTTAATTAACGATGAACCACCTCAAAAACTATTTAGCGGCGTTTTAATTAACGATGAACTACCTGAAAATCGACAAAAGAATATATCCTAATTTTATGTCGAATCCCTTGTAAACCTTTTACTGATTGTTTCAGCAAAAGACTGACCGATAAAATACAGCTGCCTATTTGGACACTATAATACTGAACAAACTGTGGAATATTCTCATTCTTCCCTATATAGACGGATGCAGGGAGTGACAATCTAGCCCTAGAGTGAGTGAGTGAGTATGGTTTTACGCCGCTTTTAGCAATATTCCAGCAATATCACGGCGGGGGACACCAGAAATGGGCTTCACACATTGTACCCATGCCGGGAATCGAACCCGGGTCTTCGGCGTGACGCTAGCCCTAGATGCACAAGCCATCTACCTTACCTCTCCATGGATGACGGCGCACGGCTTTCTGCCCGTGCCGTATGTCTGGAACAACTCGGTAATACACGTGTCCACCATGATCTTGCCCTTCACTGGCTGCCCGTACGTGTACCTGAAACAACGTGCGTCTGTTAACATGACCCCCAGCTAGTAACGAGTTGACGCGAAAGCAGGTATTATGGAAACGAGGGTCAAAAGAATTGAAAGACGATATTTAATGAGCGACCTGCTAAAAGTGAGTGTGTGAGTGGCGTTTAAAGCCGCTTTTAACAGAATTCCAGTTATGTCATGGTATGTCAGCTTGAAGTGATGCAGGTCTCAGACGTTTACCACTTCGGTGAACCCCACGAGCACGGGTATGGTGCTGACAAACCTGAAAACATAATCTAGGAATCGTAGCACAATCATGGGTTTCTGGCGTGCCAAGGGTCGCAGCTCTGCACCGCGAATTGCGGCGCCTAAGGCGACAGGACCACCCGTGCCCCCATGTAATAAACGAGTCTGGCCGGACAAAGCAGTGGTTGATATCACGAGCACACGGGCAACGATCCACATCGTCGGGGTACGATGAAACACAATCTGCCAGGTCACAACTTGTGACATGTAGATATAGCTTAGGCTCGACATGTGAATATCTGCTTTATCCGGGTTTACATGGGAAATGTGTGTCTGTTGTCTGTCTGTACTAATATTTTGTTCTTCTCCAACGTGTGGTCAATGTGACAGGATAGGTTTCTTCCTGAATAGGCTGTTTCATCAACGTGGTCCACGTCTACTATTCATATACAGTAAACACTCAGTCCGTCCTCAATTGTTTGTTTGTTTGTTGTTAAGCGCCGCACTCAGCAATATTCCAGGTGTATGACGGCAGTCAGTAAATAATCGAGTCTGGACCAGACAATCGAGTGATTGACATCATGAACATCGATCCACGCAATTGGGATATGATGACATGCATCAAGAAAGTCAGCGAACCTGACCACCCTATTCCGTTAGTCGCATCTAATGGCAAGCATAGACCTCAATGGTATTACCTCCCTTACAATACGCATCCATGCGATACTACACACATTACTCTAAAAAATCTATAAAAATAAACCGTCCTACTTACTTGGAGCACACCTCCCCCTCAATCAACTCCGTCTTCTCATTTACACGTGACGGGGGCGTCAATGTGATGGAGAACTTGGGCAGTACTGAAACAGTTAGAATGCGTTGCAGTTTTATCGTGGAATAGAAGAAGTCTATGATATCGTGATGTCAGGGAGTCTTCACGGCGAATTGCTGCGCCTGAGACACCTGGGTGATCCGTGCACCTGCAAATGTAGCATTGTCATCATATACGACGCTGACAAACTATACTGGTGTCGAACATCCCATCACGCCACACACAGTAATGCTTGTGGTGTCGCTGTAACTACCAACGGAACAGAGGTTGTGGTGACCAAGTATTGTTTAAGATGTGTCACCTGTGCAGAATTGCTTTCCTTGGTCGTGTCAGGATCTGCTGGCCGTGGGTCCAACCTGATGATGTTCCTGTATCTATGCGTTTCACCTGATGATGACACTGTGTCTGACAGCACCATACACGCTCGTGGGTTTCACCAGACTGCTCATTGAACTTACTCTCTGTTATATTACCAAAATACTCTTCTAACCAGCTCATTTAATTGTGTTGCTGCCACCTACGTCGAATGAGATTCTTTCTTCAACAGGGAAACTGTAACTGTTTAACACTGATGTCTTCAAGTGCCACTGAGGGGCACGGGTGGCCAAGTCGTCTAAGGCGCCGCGATTCGATGTGCAGAGTTGCGTCCCTTGGCCACGCCAGAAACCTATGATTGTGGGTTCGAATCCGGGTTCGCCCCGATTATGTTTCTAGGTTTGTCAGCATCATACCCGTACGCGTGCTCGTGTGTTTCACCGAAGTGGTAACCGTCTGAGACCTGCATCACTTCTGGCTTTCCTCCCACATTAAGCTGACACGCCGTGATATAACTGGAATACTGTTAAAAGCGGCGTTAAACCCAACTCACTCACTCACTCACTGAAGCTGTCACCGCCATTTTTGGGTTTAGTATGTTCTGTAAATCCTCTACGGTAAAACCCCGCTATTCCGAACTGTTCCATTCCCAATCCGAGTAACAAACACCCAGAACAATCTTATTGCGCCGAGAGAACTATACAATCATGCATGCTTACGAAATTAAGTCCCTTTGTATATTTCACTACGTACAAGAGTTATGGCCAGATGAGTCGGGGTTCCGGATAACAAGGCTTAACTGTGGTTAGAATTTCAATGATTCATCACATACCGTATTCGGCTATTTCAAACTTTACTTGCGTCTCTTTGCCTCCCGTCTCCGCCATAATAGCCCAGTCTCCGAGCACTGGCTCTGCCGCCAGTTGAAACTCCAGAGTCAACATCCCTGCAACAGGTAGTTGTTGCCACATAACCATTTGGTCATAATGCGTGGTTTGTTCCTTTCCTCTTGGAATAACGTTTACAATACTGCTATGAGAACAGTATTCCAGCAATGTCATTGCGTGGGATACCAAGAACAGAGAGCACATAATTTGTCCATTTTGGGAATCGAACCCTGGTCTTCAACGTGAGGAGCAAACACTTTAACCACTAACCTACCCTAGTTTATCCTTGGATAATATTCCTCTCTGTCCTGCACGCATTTTAGTATCAAGAAGAATAAATCTGTCGAAACCGATTTTAGACAGACTGAGGCGTATTTAATGAAATTATTGAATAAATGAAGAATTAACATACATTCGACAGTATTATTTACCTTTTTTATTGTCGAGATCTCGCCATTGTTTCATAATGACATCATTTGGTGTGATTATCCGAACGAGTGATATCTGCAACGAATTGATAATATTCTTATTAACAAAGATAATAATTATATACTTAATTATTTTATATACACATGTAATTAGTATATACCCTCCTTTAAAAAGAATCGTTTCGGTGTCAAAGTATGACAGACCAGGGGTCATAATCGGAACGAATATTCGATTCGAACACACGATCAGCGGATCCTGGCACGAGTAAGGGACGCAAATCTGAACAACGATTCGACCCCTTTGACAACTGGTCAGATCGAAACCCTTATTTCTCTGACACACAGGGGCGGTCGGATAGCCTAGTGGTTAAAGCGTCCGCTCGTCACGCTGAAGACCCGGGTTCGATTCACGAGCCCCCCGCCGTGATATTGCTGGATTATTGCTAAAAGCGGCGTAAAACCATACTCACTCACACTCACTCTGACACACAACTGGGGACCAACGAGACAGGAAAGCTGATGTGTGGCCGAGAAAAGAATCATGACGAAATGAGTCCAGAAGCATACGCTCAAAGAAAACGGAATTCGTTCCCTGTACCAGCAACATCCCGACGGGGGACACCAGATTTCACTAAATTGTATCCATGTTGGGAAATGAACCTTTAACCACTGGATACAGTGATCAGGAGGTAGACGTGCCGCTTACCTTGTCTGTCACTGGCATCAGTTCGGAGTCGACGGTCATGATCCTGATTCTCACTGTAACATGCAGACAGGAAATGTAACAACCCTAATTACATCAATTGCCTCGGCATTAAGGGGCTTATCCAAGGACTGGTCGGCTCGGAGTCAGTATATGGTGTCTGAGTAGGGTATTCATGTTAAACTGCGGCATGGTATTTCAGTTGGCTAGCACTATAAAACGGCATTCGTCCGGACACACACACACACACACACACACACACACACACACACACACACACACACACACACACACGTGCATGCGCGTTGCTATATAGGTGCAATAACCTTGGACGCGACGTTAAACCCCATTTCACCTAACCTCATCTTTCATATGTGTTAAATACGTGTTACACTTGTCAAATTAGCCTATAAAGACAAGTGTCATACATTTCGTCATGAAGATCTCTTGTTGTATTTGCAGTAATTATAAACGATATTGCAATAAGTACTTGAGTTAATTCATGTGACATAAAATCCATCGAAAATCACAATCACCGCTGACTTCAATGAAATCATGATGGAAGGTGGCGCCAAAGGCTCGGTAGATGCCAAGGTCATACAATAACACACTTTAAGGGACACATATTACTGTTTAACATCGACTAGTTCACTATAACTGACATTAAAGTGATTGCGTGTTCACTAGTGACGAGTCAGTATATTAATATGATGTTCTACCCAGCTGCCCAGGCTTGTAAATGGGCTTGTCCGTGTGGATGAAGGTGGTCAGCTGTGGCGCCAGCGGAGTGAAGGTGTGCGAGCTGTGCTCCCTGAAACGTCTGGGGCCGATCATAGCCAGGGACAGCTTGTGTCGAAGTCCCCCCAGATTCTTGGGTATGGTGAAGGTGATGCAACCGCCCTGACCTGTGACGCAATGACAGGTGATTTTACTGCACATATTCTCTGTATAGCTGACACACTTTCTCCAAAGCCCCGATCATTAAACGCAATTTACAAATTAGTAATACATTTGGTGCAATGAAGTTGCTTTTATTGGAAAGTTGGTGACAGTGATAATATTGAAGGCATTAGGGCGTACTGATTCTGTAGGACACTACTTCATATAAAGTGGATCGTGTGTATTGCATGGTCATGTGTGTGTATTCCTGTATATAGCGTGTATAAAATAAAGGCTGAGTGTATTACGTATCTGTATAATCCCTTGTATTACATGCATGTATATTGCAGTGTTGTAAAGGTAAAGTAAAGGGCAGTGTATTAAATGTATGTACATTAAGGTGTGTTTTATGTATGTAGATTGCAGTGGTTTAAGTGTATGGAGATTGCAGTGAATTAAGTGTACGTAGATTGCATTGTATTAAGTGTATGGAAATTGCATTGTATTAAGTGTACATAGATTGCATTGTATTAAGTGTATGTAGATTGCAGTGTATAAAGTGTACGTAGATTGCAGTGTATTCAGTTTATGGAGATTGCATTGTATTAATGTACGTAGATTGCAGTGTATTAAGTGTATGGAAATTGCAGTGTATAAAGTATGTGGAGATTGCAGTATATTAAGTGTTTGGAGATTGCAGTGCATTAAGTATGTGGAGATTTTAAGTGTATGGATATTGCAGTGTATTAAGTATGTGGAGTTTGCAGTGCATTAAGTGTATGTAGATTGCAGTGTATTAAGTGTATGGAAATTGCAGTGTATTAAGTATGTGGAGATTGCAGTATATTAAGTGTTTGGAGATTGCAGTGCATTAAGTATGTGGAGATTGCTGTGCATTAAGTGTATGTAGATTGCAGTGTATTAAGTGTATGGAAATTGCAGTGTATTAAGTATGTGGAGATTGCAGTATATTAAGTGTTTGGAGATTGCAGTGCATTAAGTATGTGGAGATTGCAGTGCATTAAGTATGTGGAGATTTTAAGTGTATGGATATTGCAGTGTATTAAGTATGTGGAGTTTGCAGTGCATTTAGTGTTTGGAGATTGCAGTGTATTAAGTGTATGTAGATTGCAGTGTATTAAGTGTATGGATAATGCAGTGTATTAAGTGTATGGATAATGCAGTGTATTAAGTGTATGTAGATTGCAGTGCATTAAGTGTATGGAGATTACAGTGCGTTAAGTGTATGGAGATTGCAGTGTACATAAAGTGTATGTAGATTGCAGTGTATTAAGTGTATGGAGATTGCAGTGCATTAAGTGTATGTATATTGCAGTGTATTAAGTGTACGGAGATTGCAGTGCATTAAGTGTACGGGGATTGCAGTGCATTAAGTGTATGTATATTGCAGTGTATTAAGTGTACGGGGATTGCAGTGCATTAAGTGTACGGGGATTGCAGTGCATTAAGTGTATGTATATTGCAGTGTATTAAGTGTACGGGGATTGCAGTGTACATAAAGTGTATGGAGATTGCAGTGTATTAAGTGTATGGATATTGCAGTGTATTTAGTGTATGGAGATTGCAGTGTATTAAGTGTACGGGGATTGCAGTGCATTAAGTGTAGGTATATTGCAGTGTATTAAGTGTACGGGGATTGCAGTGTACATAAAGTGTATGTAGATTGAAGTGTATTAAGTGTATGGAGATTGCAGTGTATTAAGTGTATGTAGATTGCAGTGTATTAAGTGTATGTAGATTGCAGTGTATTAAGTGTATGTAGATTGCAGTGTATTAAGTGTATGTAGATTGCAGTGTATTAAGTGTATGTAGATTGCAGTGTATTAAGTGTACGGAGATTACAGTGTATTAAGTGTATGGAGATTGCAGTGTATTAAGTGTATGGAGATTACAGTGTATTAAGTGTATGGAGATTGCAGTGTATTAAGTTTTCGGAGATTGCAGTGCATTAAGTGTAGGTATATTGCAGTGTATTAAGTGTATGGAGATTGCAGTGTATTAAGTTTTCGGAGATTGCAGTGTATTAAGTGTAGGTATATTGCAGTGTATTAAGTGTATGGAGATTGCAGTGTATTAAGTGTATGGAGATTGCAGTGTATTAAGTGTATCGAGATTGCAGTGTATTAAGTGTATGTAGATTGCAGTGTATTAAGTGTACGGAGATTGCAGTGTATTAAGTGTATGGAGATTGCAGTGTATTAAGTGTAGGTATATTGCAGTGTATTAAGTGTATGGAGATTGCAGTGTATTAAGTGTATGGAGATTGCAGTGTATTAAGTGTATGGAGATTGCAGTGTATTAAGTGTAGGTATATTGCAGTGTATTAAGTGTATGGAGATTGCAGTGTATTAAGTGTATGGAGATTGCAGTGTATTAAGTGTATCGAGATTGCAGTGTATTAAGTGTATGTAGATTGCAGTGTATTAAGTGTATGTAGATTGCAGTGTATTAAGTGTACGGAGATTGCAGTGTATTAAGTGTATGTAGATTGCAGTGTATTAAGTGTACGGAGATTGCAGTGTATTAAGTGTACGGAGATTGCAGTGTACATAAAGTGTATGGAGATTGCAGTGTATTAAGTTTTCGGAGATTGCAGTGCATTAAGTGTAGGTATATTGCAGTGTATTAAGTGTATGGAGATTGCAGTGTATTAAGTGTATGGAGATTGCAGTGTATTAAGTGTATGGAGATTGCAGTGTATTAAGTGTATCGAGATTGCAGTGTATTAAGTGTATGTAGATTGCAGTGTATTAAGTGTATGTAGATTGCAGTGTATTAAGTGTACGGAGATTGCAGTGTATTAAGTGTATGGAGATTGCAGTGTATTAAGTGTATGTAGATTGCAGTGTATTAAGTGTATGGAGATTGCAGTGTATTAAGTTTTCGGAGATTGCAGTGCATTAAGTGTAGGTATATTGCAGTGTATTAAGTGTATGGAGATTGTAGTGTATTAAGTTTTCGGAGATTGCAGTGCATTAAGTGTATGTAGATTACAGTGTATTAAGTGTATGGAGATTGCAGTGTACATAAAGTGTATGGAGATTGCAGTGTATTAAGTGTATGTAGATTGCAGTGTGTTAAGTGTATGTAGAATACAGTGTATTAAATGTATGGATATTGCAGTGTATTAAGTGTATGGAGATTGAAGTGTATTAAGTGTATGTAGATTGCAGTGTATTAAGTGTATGTTGATTGCAGTGTATTAAGTGTATGTAGATTGCAGTGTATTAAGTGTATGTAGATTGCAGTGTGTTAAGTGTATGTAGAATACAGTGTATTAAATGTATGGATATTGCAGTGTATTAAGTGTATGGAGATTGAAGTGTATTAAGTGTATGTAGATTGCAGTGTATTAAGTGTATGTAGATTGCAGTGTATTAAGTGTATGTAGATTGCAGTGTATTAAGTGTATGTTGATTGCAGTGTATTAAGTGTACGTAGATTGCCCCACCTCGCCTGTACTTATTTCTCTCGTAGAAGTATCGCTTCTTTTTGTCGGGGCACCTCAGCGTGTAGTACACGTCCATGCGGCGGTACTTGTACAGAGTCAGACAGATCCTCTGTTGTTTCCCCACCTCCATCTGACTCGGCATCGTCAGCAGGTAACTCCTGGCAAAACAACACGCAGTGTTATGTACATCAGTAAGTGAGTGAGTTGGGTTTAACGCCGCTTTGAACAGTATTCCACCCCTGCCCCGCTACATTCAACAGAATATGTAGAGGTGTACAGTCCGTTTGACTCCAAATGAGAACGATGAATTGCAAAATAACTCGAAATCCAGAAAAGTGTATGAAACATCAATACGGTACTTGACCATGAATACCCTGTACCCAACAAAATCTGAATTTTGTTTATTTTAAGACCCATGACGGATGAAGTTCTTTAAGAAACTATCATGTGTGTGTGTGGGGGGGGGGGGGGGGGGGGGGGGGGGGGGCACAAACCGTGGAAGGCACAGCGCAAGCACGCATGCACTGCACGGTCTGTGGTAGGGGAAATGACAGAGCGTTAGAGGGGCCGTCTCATGATAATTTCAGTCGCAATCTGACTCGCTCATGCCATAGATCTCGTCGTCGGAACTGCTGGTGTCTGAACCGACTGCCACTATTATAGGTTAGACTGTTGCTGGCCGTAGTCCAGCTCGTGACCAATAACGTGGCTCTCTCTCGTCAACGACTGTGGCCACACAACGCCTCCATGTTTCTATTGTTACCCGACCAAGGGATTCCTTTACGAGTTGTTCAACGTCTCGTAATTTGAACGTTGTGTTCGATCGTCCAACGTCACCCTTGACGATGCCCCATACCAATTCGATTGGATTCAGGTCGCAGTGATAAGGTGGCAGTCGTAAGACAGCGTGACCCCGACCCTTGATGTAACTGTCAACTTTATACACGGGGTCAGGTTTCATAGTTTTGATGATTTCATAGAGCTGTGGTTTCGTCACTCGAGAAGGAAAGGTAATGTTCCTCCGTTGCAGCCAAGTAACCATGTCTCCTTTACGGTTATTAGAGGTTGGAGTCTTGCTTTCTGGATCCTGCACACTATGATACGGTGAATTGTCCATGACAATGAGAGACTTGGTAGGCAAAGCAGGGACTAATTTATCGTTCACCCACTCCAGAAATACATTGCCGTTCATTTCTGTGTGGTAGTCCCTGTTGTCTTTGGCCTTGGCTCTAAAGACGAGGTCACAGTCTGGGAGAAAATCCTGACTAGCAGAACCAGCATGGAGAACTATGAGTCTTTCACCCTTTCCCATTGGTAACTTTCTACCAGACTCCTTACAGTCACCACTGGGTTCCCACTGACTGCTGGCTGTGCGTGACGCATTTACGCATGTCTCATCTAAGAAGACGGGCTCATATCCTTCTTCACGTTTCTGCTTGATGGTACGAAGGTAATGATTTCGGAGACGAACAATGTCAGACCGGTCACACAACACAGCCCCTTTTTCTCCAGTTATCTTTTTGTATTTGTAACCAAATGTATGCAACAGCTGCCATAGTTTGTACTTTGTAACACGTAAATCATGGTCAGTTTCAAGGTGTTTCTTCAAAATTCTTAGGGACAGGTATTTATTTTCTGAGTGCAGTTTAACAATTGCACGTCTGACTTGATCCCTCTGAAAACTGTCTAATTTATCAACCTTGCGTGGTTTTGACATGTTCCCTACCTCATTGGCCTGAATATTTGTATCTCGTCGACTAACAACATTTTTAAGTTTCTGAGAAGGACATACCAAGAGCTTTTGAATTTATTAATTGCATAAAAAGGCTTTGCTCTTTCTGCTTCACTTCTAAAGAAATCATACACATTCAACATCAACTGTTTAACATCTGCTGAGTAGCGCATCTTGTCATTGAATGAACACGGTCACTGTGTAGCACGCGCAGACCGTGCTTGCGCTGTTCCTTCCACGGTTTGTCCCCCTACGTGTCATGTACACATTTCTATACAAAATTACATGATAGTTTCTTAAAGAACTTCATCCGTCATGGGTCCTAAATTAAACAAAATTCAGATTTTGTTGGGTACAGGGTATTCATGGTCAAGTACCGTATTGATGTTTCATACACTTTTCTGGATTTCGAGTTATTTTGCAATTCATCGTTCTCATTTTGGAGTCAAACGAACTGTAGCAGGAGCAGAAACAACAGGTTTTCTAAATGGTTTCTTGCTCATGAGGCAGTCGTAAGGTACAATAGCGTATTCTTTAGTGAGTGAGTGAGTTGGGTTTAACGCCGCTTTTAACAGTATTCCAGTTATATCACGGCGTGTCAGCTTAATGTGGGAGGAAAGCCCGAAGTGATGCAGGTCTCAGACGTTTACCAGTTCGGTGAAACCCACGAGCACGGGGACGGTGCTGACAAACCTAGAAACATAATCGGGGCGAACCGGGATTCGAACCCACAATCATAGGTTTCTGGCGTGCCCAAGGGACGCAACTCTGCACAGCGAATCGCGGCGCCTTAGACGACTGGGCCAACCGTACCCCGCGTATTCTTTTAGCAAGATTTCGTACGGCTTTGGAAAGATTGTTTGTTTGTTTTTATTTAAGAGATCGAAGCATGTGTTGCTTGAGCATTACGGATTAGAGTGAGTGTCGGAGTGAGTATGGTTTTACGCCGTTTTAGGACACCAGAGATGAGCTTTACACCTATGCCTGTCGTACTGAATGGATCGGTGGTCAGGCTTTTGACCACTGGTTCGTCTGGTCGAGACCAGATTGTTTACAAGAACGACTAGCTGAAAAAGTTGCGTGTTAAAATATGAAAAAAATATGCAATGGTGAATAAAATCACGCCAAAGATGTCGCGTTGTTGCATTTTGTTAAATATATGTACAGTAATGAATTACATTGCGTTAACGTTTTGACCAAATGACGATTTATCCCCACACCCCCAGCGTCTTTTTGTCAAAACGACTTAAAGGAGTGAGTGAATGAGTTAAAACCCCGTAGTATAACTGGAACAGCGACAATTTATACTGAACCAAATTAAAAACTTCACAATCCTAAAAATTTAACATTTTGACCAGTTATCATTGTGGGCCCTTATTGTGTATTTAAACAGTAATGGCCAGGTATTGTCTTCAGATAACACCCGTTTTTGTGCAGGTGAATCCATCAAAAGCTTATGTGCACAGCTCTATAGTGGCAAAAGTGTTTTTTCACGTGCAACTGGTCACGTGGCCATAATACCGCACGTGTTTTCAGCCATTAGCAGTCATTAACAAAACAATAAAAACACAAGAAAACAAAAGTCTTTACGGCCATTTGTCATGCCACGCCTTTCAAATGTGCAACGTGAACGTGTCATCGGCATGTTACAGACGGGAACGTCCGTAGCTGAAGTCGCAAGGACGATGGGTTGTAGTCGACGGACTGTTTATGATCTACAGACGCGTCTACAGCAAACGGGTACCACCGCTGATCGCCCTCGGCCAGGTCGTCACATGCGACGTCACATGCAGAGGATCGTCAGATTGTCTTACGTCACCCCCGTAACCGATTTTTGACGGCTACATCAACCAGAAATGAACTGTTTAGGGGTAGACTGAGAGCGCAAACTGTTCGAAACCGTCTGAGAACTGCTCACCTTCAAGCACGACGGCCATACTGCCGGCCGATTCTGACTCAATTACACAGACGTCAACGTCAATTGTGGGCACAGCGACACTTACGATAGACTCAGAGGAATTGGAATCAAGTCGTCTTCAGTGATAAATTCCGATTTAATCCTCGATTTGCTGATGGTAGGGCGAGGGTGTGGGGGCGCCGTCATGAACGTTATGCCCAGTGTTGTGTACAGAAAGTTGACAGATTTCGAAGCGGAAGTGTCATTGTGTGGGGTGCTTTCTGTGGCAATGCACGTTCCAGGCTTCTTGTCATCCGTGGCAACCTCAACGCAGCTGCTCACCGCGACCAGGTACTGTCACCAGAACTTCTGCCTTTTATGGTAGCACATGGACCCGGTTTGATCTTCCAACACGACAATGCCGGACCCCACACAGCAATTTTGACAAGGAGTTTCCTTCAGAATGCGGGAGCCAACGTCATGGACTGGCCGTCAAGGTCTCCCGACCTCAATCCCATCGAACACGTCTGGGATGCTCTTGGCAGAAGTCTGTGCACTCTCCAGAACCAACCACAGAATTTGCAAGATCTTGGCACCATTTTGCAGCAACAATGGCGTCGTCTTCCCAATCATGTGTTCACAAGCATCACAAGGTCAATGCGGAGGCGTTGTGTGGCAGTTGTCAACGCACATGGTGGCCATACACGCTACTGAACTTGTGTGCCATCAGATTCTCGTGCTTGGGACTTATGATTTAAACTGTTGATGTTATTACCGAATACCGTAGGTGCTTGGAACAAATTATGGTTACCACCGTTAATTAAAATCCTTCTTTGGACATTAATGATTAAAAATTACCTTCTCTGATACATTTGTCCGTTGTATATCATATATGGGATTACGTTTTAAAATGTGAATTTTTTAATTTGACTCAGTATATATATCCACCGATATATATCCTATCAATGCCTAGTTAAATCTATTTAGGTTTTTATTCATGACTGAAGCTATTAATGTCCAGCATACCTTGTACTTCAATATCCGAATTAGCACCCTTTTTTTATGGAAAATGCAGTAAGAGTCAATATTTGCATGCCATCTAAACGCAGATCGCAATAGCTACTGTGATATTGGAATATCCCCCAAAGTGTTGAAGCCATCTGATGTTCTGAAGACGTTCCGGACGCCGGTTACCAAGCAAGATACGACAAACGGATATTCAGATAAGCGACACACTTCCAACATAGCACTTGACTCCATAACATCTTAGTGTGTGCGTACTGAACATGTTCAATACGCTAGTCGGGTCAAGGTCAAACCCGCAAAACGGTACGGTGCAGGGGAGATCTCGTCTCATATCGTGGCAGAAGGGTAAGTGAACTTGTAAAGCTATGAGCTCAGGGTGATGACGGATGACAAAACTCAGGGGTGAGGTTTAAGACGACAGCAGCCATGTTTATTGTTGATGGTTTGGAATAAATCGGAAAGGTACATGCTGATAATATCGTGACAGAACGCACACCGGGACAGAGTGGCCAATCTTCCCGGGTGGGAGAACCGTTCTGTCACTTACACGGGTCGATCTTCTGGCTGTCTCCCTGACTGACCATGTCAGTCGGGTTTTGTAGAGCGAGGTATTACGTAACGTGTGGCAAGGTCATTGTCCCACGTGTATGTATAGACGTAAGATCCGGCGACGTAAGGAGGTGTTAATTGAAATTCATAGATAGCGCTGGAGATTAAGGGTCCTGCCCGGAGGGGATTATGATAAGAGGGAATACGCTGACTAAATTAAACAGACAAAGGGCATAGAATTTCGGTGCACTTATTGAACCAGTTAGGTGTTTAGATAAATGAAATGTTTAATAAGTATTAAAATGGTTTGCACTATTTTAAATAAAAGCATTGAAATGGTTTGCACTTTAACAATTATATGATTCAACACATTAGGATGTAGGCTGGTGAGAGAATTGCCGACGCTAGTGTATATTATCTGTCAGTGGCCTGTAAGGAACCTTTTTATCTTTTAACAATCATTATATTTTTAAAGTTGTGGTTCGAATCCATTTCAATATGACCTTTTCACCAATAATGCAGAATCCATGCTTCACTCTATTCGATCCAAAATAGGTACATCACATCTACATTATCCCCATGTACCGCGCACTCTTGTACAATACATGTACCTCCCCATCTTCTATTGTATTAGCGCACTCTTGTACAATACATGTACCTCCCCATCTTCTATTGTACTAGCACACTCTTGTACAATACATGTACCTCCCCATCTTCTATAATAATTGTATTAACACACTCTTGTACAATACATGTACCTCCCCATCTTCTATTGTACTAGCACACTCTTGTACAATACATGTACCTCCCCATCTTCTATAATAATTGTATTAACACACTCTTGTACAATACATGTACCTCCCCATCTTCTATTGTATTAGCACACTCTTGTACAATACATGTACCTCCCCATCTTCTATAATAATTGTATTAACACACTCTTGTACAATACATGTACCTCCCCATCTTCTATTGTATTAGCGCACTCTTGTACAATACATGTACCTCCCCATCTTCTATTGTATTAGCACACTCTTGTACAATACATGTACCTCCCCATCTTCTATTGTATTAGCACACTATTGTACAATACATGTACCTCCCCATCTTCTATTGTATTAGCACACTCTTGTACAATACATGTACCTCCCCATCTTCTATAATAATTGTATTAACACACTCTTGTACAATACATGTACCTCCCCATCTTCTATTGTATTAGCACACTCTTGTACAATACATGTACCTCCCCATCTTCTATTGTATTAGCACACTCTTGTACAATACATGTACCTCCCCATCTTCTATTGTATTAGCACACTCTTGTACAATACATGTACCTCCCCATCTTCTATAATAATTGTATTAACACACTCTTGTACAATACATGTACCTCCCCATCTTCTATTGTATTAGCACACTCTTGTACAATACATGTACCTCCCCATCTTCTATTGTATTAGCACACTCTTGTACAATACATGTACCTCCCCATCTTCTATTGTATTAGCACACTCTTGTACAATACATGTACCTCCCCATCTTCTATAATAATTGTATTAACACACTCTTGTACAATACATGTACCTCCCCATCTTCTATTGTATTAGCACACTCTTGTACAATACATGTACCTCCCCATCTTCTATAATAATTGTATTAACACACTCTTGTACAATACATGTACCTCCCCATCTTCTATTGTATTAGCGCACTCTTGTACAATACATGTACCTCCCCATCTTCTATTGTATTAGCACACTCTTGTACAATACATGTACCTCCCCATCTTCTATTGTATTAGCACACTATTGTACAATACATGTACCTCCCCATCTTCTATAATAATTGTATTAACACACTCTTGTACAATACATGTACCTCCCCATCTTCTATTGTATTAGCACACTCTTGTACAATACATGTACCTCCCCATCTTCTATAATAATTGTATTAACACACTCTTGTACAATACATGTACCTCCCCATCTTCTATTGTATTAGCACACTCTTGTACAATACATGTACCTCCCCATCTTCTATTGTATTAGCACACTCTTGTACAATACATGTACCTCCCCATCTTCTATTGTATTAGCACACTCTTGTACAATACATGTACCTCCCCATCTTCTATTGTATTAGCACACTCTTGTACAATACATGTACCTCCCCATCTTCTATAATAATTGTATTAACACACTCTTGTACAATACATGTACCTCCCCATCTTCTATTGTATTAGCACACTCTTGTACAATACATGTACCTCCCCATCTTCTATTGTATTAGCACACTCTTGTACAATACATGTACCTCCCCATCTTCTATTGTATTAGCACACTCTTGTACAATACATGTACCTCCCCATCTTCTATAATAATTGTATTAACACACTCTTGTACAATACATGTACCTCCCCATCTTCTATTGTATTAGCACACTCTTGTACAATACATGTACCTCCCCATCTTCTATAATAATTGTATTAACACACTCTTGTACAATACATGTACCTCCCCATCTTCTATTGTACTAGCACACTCTTGTACAATACATGTACCTCCCCATCTTCTATAATAATTGTATTAACACACTCTTGTACAATACATGTACCTCCCCATCTTCTATTGTATTAGCACACTCTTGTACAATACATGTACCTCCCCATCTTCTATTGTATTAGCACACTCTTGTACAATACATGTACCTCCCCATCTTCTATTGTATTAGCACACTCTTGTACAATACATGTACCTCCCCATCTTCTATTGTATTAGCACACTCTTGTACAATACATGTACCTCCCCATCTTCTATTGTATTAGCACACTCTTGTACAATACATGTACCTCCCCATCTTCTATTGTATTAGCACACTCTTGTACAATACATGTACCTCCCCATCTTCTATTGTACTAGCGATATACCACACACTATTGTACAATACATGTACCTCCCTATCTTCTATTGTACTAGCCATATACCACACACTATTGTACAATACATGTACTAACCACGTACCGCACAATATTATGCAATACATGTACCTCCCCGTTTTCTATTGTACTCGCACACTATTATACAATACATGTACAAGCACCATCTTCTATTGTACTAGCCACGTGTCCCATATTATTTCAGAATACATGTACATGCACTGTAGTCTATGCATGATCGCACTAACCATGCCCCGCACTTTGTAACACCGGGGAGAAACTACACTTGTACCAGTAACATTCAACCGACTCCGTGGTCTAGTGGGAGAGTGTCTGCCCGGAGAGCGGACGGTCGGTGGTTCGCTTCCCCGACCGCGTCATACCAAAAGGACATTAAATGATGGTACAAGATTGCTGTTACCCTCCCTGGCGATCGGCATTAACAGGGGAAAACAGACACAAGTCAAGACGAGTACAAGCAGCCACACACACGTGGATGCATGTCGCTACATAAATGAAATAATATTGAAGGCCACTCGTACTATGCACCATCTACTGGTGTACTATACATCATCTACTGGTGTACTATACATCAACTACTGGTGTACTATGCATCATCTACTGGTGTAGTATGCATCATCTACTGGTGTACTATGCATCATCAAATGGTGTACTATACATCATCTACTGGTGTACTATGCATCATCTACTGGTGTACTATACATCATCTACTGGTGTACTATGCACCATCTACTGGTGTACTATGCACCATCTACTGGTGCACTATGCATCATCTACTGGTGTACTATGCACCATCTACTGGTGTACTATGCATCATCTACTGGTGTACTATGCATCATCTACTGGTGTACTATGCATCATCTACTGGTGTACTATACACCATCTACTGGTGTACTATACAACATCTACTGGTGTACTATGCACCATCTACTGGTGTACTATGCATCATCTACTGGTGTAGTATACATCATCTACTGGTGTACTATACATAAACTACTGGTGTACTATGCATCATCTACTGGTGTACTAAACATCATCTACTGGTGTACTATGCATCATCTACTGGTGTACTATACATCATCTACTGGTGTACTATGCATCATCTACTGGTGTACTATACATTATCTACTGGTGTACTATGCATCATCTACTGGTGTACTATGCATCATCTACTGGTGTACTATGCATCATCTACTGGTGTACTATACACCATCTACTGGTGTACTATACACAATCTACTGGTGTACTATGCATCATCTACTGGTGTACTATACATCATCTACTGGTGTACTATACATCATCTACTGGTGTACTATGCATCATCTACTGGTGTACTACACATCATCTACTGGTGTAGTATGCATCATCTACTGGTGTACTATGCATCATCAACTGGTGTACTATGCATCATCAACATGCGGAATGGAATATTGCTGAGTGCGGCGTTAAACAACAAACATCACATCCTAGGGGATCCATGGAATCCGTTTGGAATTAAGAGCAATAAACTACTTACCCAGTGGCGTTGTTACCCTCGCAGGGAAGCACCACCATGGAGGCAAGAACGAGGAGTCCAAGGAACATCTTCATGTCAGTTTAGTTGTTTGAGATAAAGGATAGAGTTCACCTTCAAAACACACCTGTGTCTGTCAAAACATTCACAAATGTCTTTCCGATCAAGATGTCGAAATACCAGTGTTTGATATCCACAAAGAGTTGATACATTCAAGTTGTGATGGTGATTATCTTTTTCAAGAGGACCTCAAAGCATACTCGTCTTCCTACCAGATCAGGCTTGGCTTGGCAATCGGGTACAAAACCGGACTTGGCTATCGGGTACAAAGCCGGACTTGGCTATCGGGTACAAAGCCGGACTTGGCTATCGGGTACAAAGCCGAACTTGGATATCGGGTACAAAGCCGGACTATCAGGTGCAGATGACTGACCAGATACTTCCAGACTGCAAGCGTGTGCCCGGCACGACTGACCATAGAGCCCTTAAGACGATGCAATGTATCAAAGATGGGGATGAGGGCGTGACACGGAGGGGAAACACCAAGTGTTGTAGTAGTTGAGACATCCTCCAGCCATGAAGTGCCGACATCACTGTCACTATCTATCCCTCCCACCAGCCTCTGTGACAAGTACCTGACCTCTCTCACAGACGCAGTATAGGACAACCTCCCACAAGCCTGTGGAACAAGTAGCTGCCTTCTCACACAAACGCAGTATAGTGCAACCTCCCACCAGCCTGTGTGACTACTGAGAAGTAGCTGCCTTCAAACAGACGCAGTATAGTGCAACCTCCCACCAGCCTGTGTGACTACTGAGAAGTAGCTGCCTTCACACAGACGCAGTATAGTGCAACCTCCCACCAGCCTGTGTGACTACTGAGAAGTAGCTGCCTTCTCACACAGTAGATCTCCATGTGTGAAAGCACATGTCAAAAAGCGTCTGCCTTATTTTCGATATGAACGTGGCATGATTCTCTAAGAAACCTTGGTTGTACCAGATGTAACCACACCCACTTTTAAACAGTAGACATTTAACGTTGTATGCCCGATTTTGATCTCCATTCTTTTCATACAATAGCATCATGCAATTTCTTTCTAGCATTTTTAGTAATTTTAACCAATATCTTATGATTTTTTATATAGTGATATATATACAAGGACATGCTACCACATACACACCCCATAAACGATTACGTTAGAAGTACCAAGAAATATTTTACAAGCATATGAATGTACGGATTCAATTTCTTTAGCCTCTGCAAAACCCCATATTTTCGAACCATAGGAAAGAATAGGAGCTATTTTTTGTGTCAAAAACTTTGAACACAGATTTATAAGCACAGTCGCTAAAATGTTCAAACGTTTGTAAAATTCCTAATAACATCTTTTTAGCTTGGATTGCAGCATTTCGCATATGTCGGTTCTGTAATAATTTACTTGAAAATATTACGCCAAGATATTTATATCAGGTTTCAGTTTGGAGTTATTGTCCCCGAAAGTACCACTTTTCATTTTTTGACAGCATGTTTCCCTTGTTAAATACAACAATTTTTGTTTTATTAATTAACATTAAGTTTCCACGTATCACAGTACAATTATAGCTGTTTTATCAACATTTGTAAACCTTTTACAGTACTTGAGTACATGATTATATTCATTTTTCATAAGTTCAGGATGTAATTGTAAACCATCATCATAATTTCTTTTGATTTGGGCTGAAGGCGCATTAATAAATAAAAACAGAACAAAATAGGACTTAATACACATCCTTAGCGTACACCAGTATGGCAGATATAAGAACCTGAATACATGCCGTTTTGTTTAACCCATGATTTAACTTCCTTATAAATACCACTGACATAACAATTTACCCATTTTATTACTGACACCGTGTGAATTAAATAGATACCATGACTTGTCTCTCTACAGACTGAATCGAATGCTTTAGAAAAGTCTACAAATATAGCGTACAATTTTGAATATACTTATCTATAAGAGCCTTGAGGATAAACATATTATAAGTGGTAGAGTAACCTTGTAAAAAACCTGCTTGCTCTTTCTCGAACTCATCAAGTGTATCCGACCACAATACCAAGCGTTTTTTTAAATAATGCTAATAAATACCTCACTGAATATACTGGTAAGTGTAATCCCCCTATAGGTTTCTACATCTGTCACTGAGCTTGTTTGTGAATTGGAACGATAGTACCTAGAGTCCAATCTTTTCGAAAGTAAGAGGTACCCTTTTTTTTATTAAAAAATATTTCCAAATACGACAGGTTGTTATGAAGAGAGTATTTGAAGAATTCTGTTAATAGTCTGTCAATTACAGAGCCGTTCAAGTTTTTAAGATTGTGAATAGCAGATTTAATTTCTTCTTTTGAGATTGAGGAATCTAATACTTCCGCTGCAAAATTGGTTTCATCATTATCAACAGACAATTTCTTTGTTACTTTTCGTTTCCTTCCTTTTGCGAATGCTTTTCAAGGTCGTCCAAAACTGTTTTGATGAGCTGATACTTTCTTCTAGTGTTTTTCTGCTTCTATCCGTGAAATTTTGTTTCTTTTTTCTGCAAGTTGCTTTATTCATACTTTTCGAATCAGTGTACTTAGCAAGTGAATCTTTATCCTTTTAATTTCCTGAAATGGTTTAAAAGAGTGTATCTTTCCTTCTTTAACAACATACACAGTCAAACCACTGTTTACTTTCTCTGTTGGGGGTTACTTCCCTTTTCATTACATTCCCTGCATATACAATAGCTTCTGTAAAGAATGATACACTTTCATCAATATTTGTAAAAACAGATTCAATAGTTTTTTTAAGAAGCATGCGAAAGTGTCTGATAACAGACGTTCTTGGAAAATATCTGCTTTGCTGTCATCCCACTTAAACAGTGAATGAGTATGGTAGGCGTTATCAAACGATGGGTATCCGCATACATGAAGCACTCGTAAAGACGTTATGATAGGCAGATACTGTGATTCGTGGATTGACTCAATATCAAAATTTTGACACAAATGAAATATGTCTATGGTGTTAATAACACTTGCCCCAGCATTGCCAACAAATGTAAAATCACCTTTCCCGGAATCACTTCCACAGCGGCCATTCATAGTGTATACATTTTATAACAGCACATAAATTAATAAACCATTTTCCAAAATTATTAAGAACAGTATCGCTTGAATATCTACACAGATTAAACCTATCTAAGAGAAAGTCCCAGTATATATTCAAGTATATCACCCTCTACATAAACTGGCTCTTTGCTAGTTTTTGCATTAAAGTCATCCCCTAAAATGCACAAAACGTCACCAACTCCACTTAGAATGTCAAGCAGTTCATCCTGAAATAGCAACATACCGTTTTTAGATCCAACATTACTGTCGCACCAAGTAGATCCTTCTGGGTCCAAACAGTGACCTGTCAAGTAATAGATATACACCATTTGCTGTGATCCACGAGTTTTTAACATAATCTATAAGATTCTTTTTTACGAGAACACAAATTCCACCTTAAGTTCTTCCAAAATTTGTTATCTTTTCTGCTGTTTTAAAAAAGTTGGTATATTCGCAGAACGTATCATCAAAATTCATTTTCTGGGTCCATGTTTCTGTCAAACAAATTATGTCAAATGTTTTTAATAATGATCGACACTCACGGTCTGATAACTTGAGAGCAATCCTGATATATTCCAAAACACAAGTTTCACAGCATTAATGATACTACAAGTAGGTTCAGACGACGCCTCCTGTATATCCGAGCCCTGGCCACACCCCTATCTCTTCTGTGTCGGTCTCCCACCCCTGCCTGCGTTACCTTTGTCGGCCAGACGTGGGTTGTTTCCGTCACGTGACTCGGGTAGAGTCACATCTGTATTTACGCGTGAAGCGTACGTATCACGTACAGGAGCAGACGACAGTTTACCACCTTTAAAGAAATAATGTTTGCTTGGGTCTGCATTGTTTTATTTCTTGTCTCTGGTTCATCGTCAGATCGTTTGCTATACCGTAGCCTCTGGACTTAAGAGAACCTCTCAAGTTCAGGGTCTTTATTTTATCGTCCCAATGAACCATTTTTGCAATAAATGGGCTTTGTTTATCGGACGACATGCGTCCTATCCTACAGTTCACACATACGCAGTAGAGGGCAACATCCCAACCAGCCTGTGTGACAAGAAGTTGATGTCGTCCACTGATAGTTCATTGTCATCAGGTCTGGCAGAGTTCAGAACATCCAATGTTTTATTTTTGCAAACAGAATAAGATTCGTTTGCACTCTCAAAGATACCATAGATAATTATGTTGTTCCTTCAAGATCCTCTATGCATGAATCAATAGCATCAAAACCATTATGGATCTCATCAACATTATCATTAACAGCATCAATATCTAATCATCATGATGTTATTTTCTCCCTTGAGTCCTTGAGTTGTTTTTCAAGATCTGTGACGTCACCACGTAACAAATAAATATCGTTCCTCATTGAACTGATCTCGTTTGTTAGTTTATCCTCTGAATCTTTTATTTGCTGAATGATTGCTGATTTCATGTCTTCTAGATCTTTATTTAATGGCCCAGGTTTTAACTCTATGTCTCCTGACAGATATATAAGAATACCTGCACATGGATTGCACATACAGACTGATGGGAGGTTGCCCTATACTGCGTCAGTGTGAGAAGGCAGCTACTTGTCACAGAGGCTGGTGGGAGGTTGCCCTATATTGCGTCTGTGTGAGAAGGCAAATACTTGTCACACATACTGATGGGAGGTTGCCCTATACTGCGTCAGTGTGAGAAGACAGCTACTTGTCACAGAGGCTGGTGGGAGGTTGTCCTATAGTGCGTTTGAGTGAGAAGTCATCTACTTGTCACAAATAGCTGCCTTCTTCAAATGACGCCGTATGTGGGCAACCTCCCACCGATACAGAAAGGGGTACAATAAGTGAAGTTATTTTGGTCACTACAACCCCATACCCCGTCGATCAACCTGTCCTAGAGTGGCCAAGTGCCTATTTGGCGGTAATTACCAAACTACATACCTGTGTTTTGTATCCCCGATAGGTTGGGGTTCGAATCCAAGGAATATTTCAATTGATATGGGTTTGAGTGAATGAGTGAGTCGGGTTTAAAGCTACTTTGAACAACTTCCAGTTATGTCACTGCGTATCATCTGAATGTTGGAGCTTACCAACGAGCACAGGTATGATGCTGAAACATAGTCGGGGCGAACCGGGATTCAAACCCACGATCATAGGTTTCCGGCGTGCCCAAGGGGCGCAAATCTGCACAGCTGCGGCGCCTTAGACGACTTGGCTACTCCTGTCCCGATGTGGGTTTCAACTAATATGAAAAGTTAATGTTACTATTTAGTGGACGTTGAACACTGAATGGAGAATAAATGTCATATATATTATCAGTTGTCGCAATTCGCTGCCCAGAGTTGCGGCCCTTTGGAAAGGCCAGAAACGTTTGATTGTTGGTTTGCCCCGGTTATGTTTCTGGTTTTGTCAGAACCATACCCGTGCTCAAGGGTTTCACCAAAGTAGTAAACGCTTGAGACCTTCCTTCCACTTTACCCATTTCTGGTGTTCCCCGTCGCGATGTTGCTGGAATATTGCTAAAAGCGACGTAAAACCATACTCACTCACTCACTCCTCCCACTTTAATCTGACACGCCGTGATATAACTGAAATAATGTTAAAAGCGGCGTTCAACTTAACTCAATCTCTCACACAAGAATCTGGGAAAACAAAATTTTCTGCTTAAAAATTAGCTTGGGTAGGTCGAAGTAACACTACAAATATATACTTCTCAAAAGTTAAAGAACACCCGACGATAGTTAATCTGTCAGCATGAAAGCAATATGAGAGGATCGGTTGTTCTTAACTTCATTTGAGTACTACATATAAGATTATGTATATATTGACAAGACAAGTGAATAATTCAATGTTTATTTGCATTACATACCATGTATATGACATATGCCGTGTAACAATACAACAAAGCTTAAGCTTACGTGATATAGGGCAGGTAATATGATAAATAACACACCGCTATAGACAGTAGGTAAGGCTATAGGGCTATTATATACACTGAGAGTAGTGTTGGTGTGATAGTTGCACAACTTAAAGAATATAGGTAAACTGGCACAATATCAAAACATTTCGCAAACAAAAAGTCATAAATTTGGGAGAGAAAACCAGAATTACAACGGAACCCGGATAATCCCGACAACGCCATTTCCCAGTACAATTGTCAGTATTAACACCGAGTTAGCGAAATCATGGTTAAGTGTGATTGAGTGAGTATGGTTTTACGCCGCTTTTTTAGCAATATTCCAGCAATACCACGACGGGGGACACCAGAAATGGGCTTCACACATTGAACCATGTCGGGACTAGAACCCGGGTCTTTGGCGTGACAAGCGAACGCTTTAACCACTAGGCTACCCGAACGCCCCTCATGGTTGGGAACCGACGCCCTGTTTATTATAAGGTTGTACCAAGTAATAGTCAGAAAGCCAGGATATCCAGACTAACATGGTCAATACTAACATAGTTTATTAACGTTCTATTTTGTTGAAAAGGACGAAACACATCAAAACAATTTTGGTGATGTTTTGACAGGTGCCGTTGTTGCTATACTCCACGGTGAGTCAATGATAGAAGACAACGCTTCTACAGTAGTATCTGGTGAATACTGAAACACACAAGTCTGGAACGGGTTAAACATGACATATTGTTGTCAGTATGTATTGTATATAGTCTTCATATATCAACAACACAGGGTGATAGGTGCCTGTGTTTTGTGAGCTGTCTCAGTCTTCAATATATACTATTTCTTCACGTGGCTTCCTGTCTTTGTTGCCTGTTTCGTACTGCTGGAGTCTGCGGACAAAGAGATATGGCCAGGTTTATGATCAGTTCGGCAACCCTCCACCCATATATTTTCCAAACGGGTAATTCTAAATGGTAAGCTGTAAGCCGTAAGATACTAAGGTGGGAGATGGCTTTCTGGCTTACTGTCTTTCTGGGTCGTTGGCTCACTGGCATACTGGCTCACTGTATAACTATTCTGGGAATCTGTGCCTTCAACGACAGTCGACCCGTGAAGATCCGGGGTAGAATAGGTCTTCAGCAACCAATCGCCGTAAAAGGCGACTATACTTGTCGTAAGAGGCGACTAAAGGGATCGGGTGGTCAGGCTCGCTACTTGGATCGATGCTCATGACGTTAATCGCTGGATTGTCTGGTCCAAACTCAATTATTTACAGACCGCCGTCATATAGCTGGAATAATGCTGAGTGCGGCGTTAAACAGCAAATAAACAAAAACAAATCAACGTCAGTCAATCTTCCGCTAAAAAACACAAACCATCTATGAACAAGACACCGTCCTGGCCTGCTTTGACAGCCGCGGGCAATTAATTCCGCTATGCCACGATGGTGTGACTACCAGTAGCGATACACTGGATTAAAGCCGACACTATTCACCATGGCTCTAAACGTGATCTTTCTCATGGCTTCGTGTCTTTAAGTTTAATGAAAGTGCTAGCAATAGCCAAAGGTGCAAATACTGTTTAATAAACAGGCAAAATCATCACGTTGATGCCACTTATCATGCCTGTAGGACCTTGTTTTCTTATTTACAGTACAATATTTTCCATTTCTTTCATAAACCAATCTAGAAAGTCTTCAAACACGTTGGCTGAGGCATCGGACATTTTAACGAACGTGTTTGTTTGTTGTTATTTTTATTTATTTATTTTTTATTTATTTTTTTTATTTTTTTTATTATTTTTCTATTTTATTTATTTATTTTTTTATTTTTTTTTTGGGGGGGGGGTGTAATCATAAAGAGCCAAGTTGTACATTAATACATTATTTCACTTACATCTTTGTGCAGTTGGTTCTCTCACGAATTAACTTTCTCTCCAGAGTTTTTGGCAGAAGAATGGCTGAAGTCTCGGCTCCAATGATGAGCTCTCGTGGTTTGGAATCGAGATCAACTCTTTTCATCATGAACAGTGCAAGCACGGCTCCTTGTGACATAGAAAAGGAGATTTGATAACACGGGCATTCTAAGGACGTCTCCAGTTTATGTGTTAGTCGTTGGCTTTTATCTGGGATGATACCGTACAGTAATGCACCATGCAATGTTTCATGTAATCTGTTAGAAATTCACAATAAATAACTCAGAGATAAAAGGCCGAATTTGGATATCATCGTTTGTTTGGGAAAGCAATTGCTACAAGGAGATAACACCACAGTGGCTGTGAAATCGTAGCAACAGTGTGTGTATTGATTGTTTCGAGTAACTGATCTGCAACGGCATTCACAGGCTCCCTAAAGATAAATCCACAAGAAACAGCGTTATCACTATCCCCCGCCACAGGGCACGTTAGAATTTTCTTTATCCATTTAAAGTGAATAACATGAAAGTTAATGTTAACTATGAAAAAAGAGTCCTATATATACTAAAGAAGAGATAGGCACTGGGGTGGCATGAAAAAATATGATTTTACTTTCCCCAGTGCTGACACTGTGCGCTACATAAATAAAAATAACATGGGTCAAGGGCCCTAACTGCGTTGGCACAAAATCTAAAAAAGATGTAACTAGTGATGTAACTCTGGAAAAACTCAATTTACGGCACCAATTTTCATACTCAGTCTTGACAAGTATCTCTTAGATAAGCATGCAAACTTTCATTCATGTCACTTCAGTAGTTTCGGAGTAAACATGTGCCCATTTCCCGCAGTATGAACTTAGTTGATAAGCACGTAAGGAAAGGCCAGAGCTCTGTACAAAATAATTTTAAGACACAAATTTTCAAACTCATTTGAGATCGTGACCAGTAACATCAGTGTGTAAAACTTAAAAACTTAAATAGCTTTTGAGAATATTTGTTCCCATTGAGTAGCCAACGGGCGGACGAACTCCATTCCTATATCCCCTGTCCCACTTCGTGGCGGAGGGTAATAAAATCGTTGATTTTTTATACCCCCTAGTTCCCAAAACCATAAGGTTCTTTGTAAATGTGATAATCTGATTGAAGACATCCTTTGTCAAGCCCGGACAGCACGGTTGCTGTTACTATTCTTAAATACGACGGCGAGGGAGCTAGTACATATGTTTGATAGTGAAGCGGATAAGTACATTTAGCTATGACCTCTCAGAGATGTACCAGGTGCTGCCCGTGCAACCATATGGGCTTATCAACCACTGACACAGGACGAGCATCAGGAATGGCCGTCCTATGAGCCGGACGTAGATGTATTTATGCAATGAAGTCAGTTCACTTACGGGGTTTCAGTTTGGTGATGAGATCACAAGAACATTTGCTGTGAATCACCAGTCTCAATCTACGCCGTGTCTTCACCCGTTTCACAGACCGGAAGTCAGCTAGAATCTTGACCTTGATCCTTGACTTTCTTATTCTGATGCCGAGCACCTTGTAAGCTGCCGGGGAAAGTCACATAGTGAATCTAACAAAAATTGCCTCGAGGAATTAAAAGTAATAGCATCTTTAAAGCATTAAGAATTACTGTTTATACTAACTATGTCATCTTAAATTCAAAGATGTTAATCACAGGAAGATTCGCCATACTGGTTTCGCTTTACGTTATCAATGCATGTATTTTACGGTTTATACTTGTTCATACATCCTACATTTAACCGACACAGAATTAACCAATACTGACTGACGTAAGTTACATTACAGTGTGTCAGTTTATGAAAGTAGAGGAAAGCTCTAGGTGCCCCACTCACGATCCTAGATATGCTGATAGACAAGGGATCACAATCACCTCGAATCTAGGATCCGAAACAGCGACCATAGGATCACTGCATTGCATACTAACTAAACTTTATCAATAATTGTAACATATATACCTTACTCATCAAACAGCAGAGAGGAAAATATGTATAGATACATTATCTAAACTCTTCTCTGTAACACGTTTTTTTTATTGTATCTGCACTAATAACCTATTACCTGAATAGAAGCTCTTAACAAAGACTCTACAGATAAAGAACAGGTTCTACCTGCGGCAGCTTGGCAGTAGGCGTAGGTAGCCTGTTTCTCGGACAGGGCTTCGCACGAAGGACAACCCTCCTAGAACATATGCATTGGTAAGTAGTACTATATGAAATAGTTGTATTTCATGATAAAATTACTGCTAGGGTAGTCCTTAATGTCATAGATAGTTTGTATGTACACATGAAACATAAATTATGTGTATTTCATTATAAAAATACTGCTAGGGTAGTCCTTAATGTCATAGATAGTTTGTATGTACACATGAAACATAAATTATGTGTATTTCATGATAAAATTACTGCTAGGGTAGTCCTTAATGTCATAGATAGTTTGTATGTACACATGAAACATAAATTATGTGTATTTCATGATTTACACAGATTATTTAAACTGCATAAATATTAATTTGGGTAATATTACTGTAGCTTATCTGAATATGTTGGTTAACTTAAGATTCACTATCATTCAATTATAAAAGGTCCATGGGCCATGATTGTACAGTGTAACCTCATTAATTCGAATTTCATGAAGCAGCTAAAATGCGTCAGACAGTCTGAATGTCTTTCACATGACTCATTGCTTACCGCTGACGGGGTCGTGGGCTCTGGCGTTGTCGTCGGCGCTGGAGTGGGTGTAGTATCTTAAAGCATAAAACAATGAGGTAATAGGCATGTAATTTTGTCCTTATTGAAGTTTCTCTTTTTTTAGTGTTGTTTAATCGTCTTAATTGTATTTGTGCACACAGGTGCAGAATTTGATGACAAAGTTTTCATCGATGGAGGCGAACAGGGTCGCAACTTGCCCTATTTCAACTAAATTTACGAGTGCTCGCTAGGGGGTTTAGGTGGCATGCTCCCCAATAATTATTTTTAAATAAGATGCACTAAAACCCTATTTCCTGCATTTTGGGGATGTTTATGTTAGATTTTTCATTCAAGAAATATATATGACGTCGAATGAAATTTGAACATTCAGTCGAATCGATTGAGAATAATCAGTCTCGATTATCTGCAAAATAGATTCAAAAGGGCGTTAAAGGTCGAATAGTGGTGACAATCATATCAACGAAAAATAAGTGATTACACTAGGTGTTCGCGAAGACACCTTCAGAATGTGCAGTGTCGATTGGTCACTTAATGTCAAGGGCAGATCCATAAAGGTGAAACTGGAGGCCCATGTTTCGGGGATTCCAGCTGAAGGATAGGCACATTTGTTTCAGCACAATTAATCAACAGTTATATATAACATAATATTTACCGTATAATGTGATAGTCCAAGACACAACGCCATATTCGTTGCTGATCTCACACGTGTAGTCATCGTAGTCTCTCCTGACGAGGTCGTTGATGCGGAGTTCGGTAGAGTAGGTGTTGCTGTCCAGGGAAATGGTCTTAAAACTGTATTTGTCGCCGCTGAAGAGGATACGCCCTCCCTTGGTCCAGCGTTGCGTGAGCGGGGGTGAGGCCTTCACCACACATTCCAGCAGGACAGACTTGTTCAGATGACCACCGACTCGGGACTGTGTCTTCGGCAGGATGAGAGGTGCAACTGAAACCCGAAGACTAAGGATTCTAAAAACCAACAGGATTACGCCCCTTGCTCTAAGTGTCCTGAAAAGCAATGCTATGGGACTGATTTGTTGAGATTGCGACCAACAATCAGTTCACTGATTTTTCTTGACATTCTATTCACATGTAAAATAAACAGATGTAAAGAAAACATACTCACCACTGACCTTGAGCTGGATCTTGGTGGAGACGCCTGGTGGGACGCCATTACTGGCCACACACTGGTACGTGGCGGACGCCTGGGCCGACTGGATGACCAGCTCCTGCCCCTTCCCCACTTCTGGGTCATGTTGGAACATGTATAAGTAATTTCAACAGGGCATGGAAATGTAGGAATGGTGGGGAACATGTAAAAGTAATTTCAACAGGACATGGCAATGTAGGAATGGTGGGGAACATGTATAAGTAAATTTGACAGGACAGGGTAATGTAGGAATGGTGGGGAACATGTATCAGTAATTTCAACAGGGCATGGTAATGTAGGAATGGTGGGGAACATGTAAAAGTAATTTCAACAGGACATGGCAATGTAGGAATGGTGGGGAACATGTAAAAGTAATTTCAACAGGGCATGGTAATGTAGGAATGGTGGGGAACGTGTAAAAGTAAATTTAACAGGACAGGGTAATGTGGGAATGGTTTGGAACATGTATAAGTAATTTCAACAGTTCAACAGGACATGGCAATGTAGGAATGGTGGGGAACATGTAAAAGTAAATTTAACAAGACAGGGTAATGTAGGAATGGTGGGGAACATGTATAAGTAATTTCAACAGGGCATGGTAATGTAGGAACGGTGGGGAACATGTATAAGTAATTTCAACAGGACATGGCAATGTAGGAATGGTGGGGAACATGTAAAAGTAATTTCAACAGGGCATGGTAATGTAGGAATGGTGGGGAACGTGTAAAAGTAAATTTAACAGGACAGGGTAATGTGGGAATGGTTTGGAACATGTATAAGTAATTTCAACAGTTCAACAGGACATGGCAATGTAGGAATGGTGGGGAACATGTAAAAGTAAATTTAACAAGACAGGGTAATGTAGGAATGGTGGGGAACATGTATAAGTAATTTCAACAGGGCATGGTAATGTAGGAACGGTGGGGAACATGTATAAGTAATTTCAACAGGACATGGCAATGTAGGAATGGTGGGGAACATGTAAAAGTAAATTTAACAAGACAGGGTAATGTAGGAATGGTGGGGAACATGTAAAAGTAAATTTAACAGGCCATGGTAATGTAGGAATGGTGGGGAACATGTAAAAGTAAATTTAACAGGACAGGGTAATGTAGGAATGGTGAAGAACATGTACAGAGTACTGCCAAGACAACATATCAATAAACAAAAAAATCATCTTTCAGTCACATCAACTTCATGTGTTTCAACCCTTCACTAAATGAAGTCAACATTTTTCAACACGTTAATATGAACCGGCTTGATAATGTGGAGACTGTGCAGCAGAAGGGATGAAGATATCAATATAATCTCACTTTTCCGGTTACTTTTCTCCACGAACTGATACCACGTGATCTTCGGTTCTGGACTTCCGGTGACGTTACAGAACAGTGTAACCTCTTCTCCCATTGCAGCAAAGGTGTGGTTAGAAGAAGCCACGATCACAGGGGACTCTACAATAGATAGATATATATGGATTTTGAATGGATCAAAACCGATATATAGACCAACTTACGCAACCTTCTTCGGCTGTGTGAACGTACATTCGTTGTGAACGTACCTTGCACAACGAGGTTGACGACGACCTTCTGAACAGGATCGGTGTTCACCTGGCACTGGTATTTCCCAGAATCCTCCGTACTGATGTCTGTGACTATCAAGCTGTAGTTCTCCATGACACTGTAACGGGCCTGGTTAACGAGGTTTCGTCTGCCAAGTGTCAGTAATTCTTGCGTTTGTTCGGCGACCCATGCAATCTTGAAAAGAAGTGACAATAAACAACAGCTAATATTTCTAACAAAATTCAATTATTTTACATTATTTTATTCGACTCACCTGCCATACGCATGCATCAGTACTTGCCTTGTCATATGCAGTATCTTGTAAAACATGCACCTAGTTTCCTTTGTCAAACCACCGTCAAACTTTGTCAAACCACCGCCTTATATATACCTACATTAACTTTCATTTGCGCCTATGTTTTCAATGTGAGTCCTTTGGGCACGCCAGAAACCTATGACTGTGGGTTCGAATCCAGGTTCTCCCCAATTATGTTTCTAGGTTTGACAGCACCATACCCGTGCTCGTTGGTTTCACCGAAGTGGTAAACGTCTGAGACCTGCATCACTTCGGGCTTTCCTCCCACATTAAGCTGACACGCCGTGATATAACTGGAATAATGTTAAAAGCGGCGTTAAACCCAACTCACTCACTAATGTGATTTTTCTTGATGTATATGTAACTGCCCCTATGACTTATAGTTAGTAATGTTATAAGTACCTACCGAGTAGCGTTGATCATGACTCTGTGTGTAAGGGGCACCCAGGTGACAGGGCAAACTAACTTTTGACCCCGACACGGCCTTAACCTCCATCGTTGAAACCTCTTTATCATCAACATCGGCATCTGTGGGAACAAAGACAATTTAAGACGATATAAAAATAGGTACTGTTTGGGAAGGTCAGTATTGACACTCGGACTACAGGAATACTGTCCAGCAGATAAATGTTTGCAAAGTTTTCACTTTTGTCTTAAACCGCTATCTTTATCTACCTACCATCATTGATGCAATGAGAATGTCAACGGCTTAATGTTTTAGCATACATTAATGTCACCTGTTGGGGATAAAAACATTGATCTTGTTGCATGTCAAGCATGGAATAAACTTCATCAGAGCTGCGTTCTTTCACTGTGACTCTTACTCATCAGGACTCGAATGAGATAAAATTTAAAGTCACGTCATCTTCCTGAGGCATGGGAGGTAACTGACTATAAAAGTCCCGTTTCCACCCTTGCCGAACTAGGCTGAAAATTATGGAGTTATATTTTGGCTGGACTAACGAGTCTATGCATAGACCAATCAAAATCGCGTGTGTACGGTCAACTTAGCGTCAACAAGATATTTTCCAAATCTCTTCATGTTTGTAATCAAGCTGCCAACATTATTTGTTGAATTTCGCCAAGTATGACCCGTTTTATTACAATAGAGATCTTGAATATCGATCAGATCGTCTTTACTGGGCGCCGCCATTTCGTTTGAAGCAAATGCAAGTAATATGAGAGGTGGAATCTGATTGGTCAATAGGAGGGACATAAAAGAGACATAACTCATAATAGCCACTGGTGGCGCTACGATTGAGCTCAGAAATTCCGGCCTAGTTCGGCAAGGGTGGAAACTGGACTTTCATAGTCAGATAATCCCCTCGCCTCGGGAAGATGTTGTCACGTCGACCATGAGGCCTTAAGGACATAATGAACCACAACGCATGCTCGAGACCTGTGGCATACAAAGACAATCAACATAAAAACATGAAAAAAGTACCTTCTTTGGCGAAATCGATGACCTTGGCTTCATTATACAAGTTGACAACAGGGACACTGTTGGGCCGAGCCTTGAATCCCGCAGCCAGCCACACAGGGTCGATCCTGCTCAGTACGCCGCTTCCCTCCTCCTCCTCCCCCTGCGGTTCTGTGATATTTTCACCAATCACCTCAAACACTCCACCAAGCTCCCCCACACCCAAGCTGTCTGTTGTAACTGCAGCAGAGAGATCTGATGTCGTTGGGGCCGATGGTGTTGTGGTCGTTCCTGAGGCCGTTTGTGTGGAATTCTGCCCCTTTGATTTGCAATCACTCTTGATATTGTAGAACACCTTTGTCACTAGCTCTGGGGATGGAAAGAATATCACAGGCTGTTCTTTGGAGAGTCAGATTCTACACCGCTCAAGCAATATTCTAGCAATATGAGAAACCAAGAATGTGTTACACACATTGTACCCATGTAGTGATGGAACCTGAGTTTTAGGTGTAAAAAACTAACACTTCAAACACCAGGCTACCCCACTGCAAGTGAGTTACTTTGTATATGATCTTGCCAAAGAATTTAAAACGCCTGAACATGTGTACAGACATGGCGTTACATCGGGAACCAAAACAAAGATTTCCATTGAATTTAGAACATCCTCATACATGCCTGTGTCATAATAATCTTACACCTGGGAATATACATAGCTGTGTTATGATAATCATACTTTGGCTCAATACATACGTGGGTCATAATAATCATGCACCTGGGCTCTACGCATACCTGGGTCATAATAACCATACACTTTGGCTCTATACATACCTGTATCATAATAATCATGCACCTGGGTTCTATGCATACCTGGGTCATAATAACCATACACTTTGGCTCTATACATACCTGTATAATAATAACCATACACCTGGGCTCTATACATAATGTGTCATAATAACCATACACCCGCGCTCTATACATACCTGTATAATAATAACCATACACCTGGGCTCTATACATACCTGTGTCATAATAACCATACACCTGGGCTCTATACATACCTGTATAATAATAACCATACACTTGGGCTCTATACATACCTGTATAATAATAACCATACACCTGGGCTCTATACAAACATGTGTCATAATAATCATACACCTGGGCTCTATACATATCTGTGTCATAATAACCATACACCTGGGCTCTATACATACCTGTGTCCTTATATTCATACACCTGGGCTCTATACATACCTGTGTCATAATAACCATACACCTGGGCTCTATACATACCTGTGTCATAATAACCATACACCTGGGCTCCATACATACCTGTGTCATAATAACCATACACCTGGGCTCTATACATACCTGTGTCATAAAAAACATACACCTGGGCTCTGTATATACCTGTATAATAATAACCATACACTTGGGCTATATACATACCTGTGTCATAATAACCATACACCTGGGCTCTATACATACATGGGTCAAACAATCATACACCTGGGCTCTGTATATACCTGGGTCATAATATCCATACACCTGGGCTCTATACATACCTGTGTCATAATAATCATACACCTGGGCTCTATATATACCTGGGTCATAATATCCATACACCTGGGCTCTATACATACATGGGTCAAACAATCATACACCTGGGCTCTATATATACCTGGGTCAAACAACCATACACCTGGGCTCTATACATACCTGGGTCATAACAATCATACACCTGTGCTCTATACATACCTGTGTCACAATATTCATACACCTGGGCTCTAAACATACCTGTGTTATGATAATCATACTTTGGCTCAATACATACGTGGGTCATAATAATCATGCACCTGGGCTCTATGCATACCTGGGTCATAATAACCATACACTTTGGCTCTATACATACCTGTATCATAATAATCATGCACCTGGGCTCTATGCATACCTGGGTCATAATAACCATACACTTTGGCTCTATACATACCTGTATAATAATAACCATACACCTGGGCTCTATACATAATGTGTCATAATAACCATACACCTGCGCTCTATACATACCTGTATAATAATAACCATACACCTGGGCTCTATATATACCTGTATAATAATAACCATACACTTGGGCTCTATACATACCTGTATAATAATAACCATACACCTGGGCTCTATACAAACATGTGTCATAATAATCATACACCTGGGCTCTATACATAGCTAGGTCATAATAACCATACACCTGGCCTTTATACATACCTGTATAATAATAACCATACACCTGGGCTCTATACAAACATGTGTCATAATAATCATACACCTTGGCTCTATACATATCTGTGTCATAATAACCATACACCTGGGCTCTATACATACCTGTGTCCTTATATTCATACACCTGGGCTCTATACATACCTGTGTCATAATAACCATACACCTGGGCTCCATACATACCTGTGTCATAATAACCATACACCTGGGCTCTATACATACCTGTGTCATAATAACCATACACCTGGGCTCTATACATACATGGGTCAAACAATCATACACCTGGGCTCTGTATATACCTGGGTCATAATATCCATACACCTGGGCTCTATACATACCTGTGTCATAATAATCATACACCTGGGCTCTATATATACCTGAGTCATAATATCCATACACCTGGGCTCTATACATACCTGTGTCATAATAACCATACACTTGGGCTCTATACATACCTGTGTCATAATAACCATACACCTGGGCTCTATACATACATGGGTCATAATATCCATACACCTGTGCTCTATACATACCTGTGTCATAATAACCATACACCTGGGCTCTATATATACCTGGGTCATAATATCCATACACCTGGGCTCTATACATACATGGGTCAAACAATCATACACCTGGGCTCTATATATACCTGGGTCAAACAACCATACACCTGGGCTCTATACATACCTGGGTCATAACAATCATACACCTGTGCTCTATACATACCTGTGTCATAATATTCATACACCTGGGCTCTATACATACCTGTGTTATGATAATCATACTTTGGCTCAATACATACGTGGGTCATTATAATCATGCACCTGGGCTCTATGCATACCTGGGTCATAATAACCATACACTTTGGCTCTATACATACCTGTATCATAATAATCATGCACCTGGGCTCTATGCATACCTGGGTCATAATAACCATACACTTTGGCTCTATACATACCTGTATAATAATAACCATACACCTGGGCTCTATACATAATGTGTCATAATAACCATACACCTGCGCTCTATACATACCTGTATAATAATAACCATACACCTGGGCTCTATACATACCTGTGTCATAATAACCATACACCTGGGCTCTATATATACCTGTATAATAATAACCATACACTTGGGCTCTATACATACCTGTATAATAATAACCATACACCTGGGCTCTATACAAACATGTGTCATAATAATCATACACCTGGGCTCTATACATATCTAGGTCATAATAACCATACACCTGGCCTTTATACATACCTGTATAATAATAACCATACACCTGGGCTCTATACAAACATGTGTCATAATAATCATACACCTTGGCTCTATACATATCTGTGTCATAATAACCATACACCTGGGCTCTATACATACCTGTGTCCTTATATTCATACACCTGGGCTCTATACATACCTGTGTCATAATAACCATACACCTGGGCTCCATACATACCTGTGTCATAATAACCATACACCTGGGCTCTATACATACCTGTGTCATAATAACCATACACCTGGGCTCTATATATACCTGGGTCAAACAATCATACACCTGGGCTCTGTATATACCTGGGTCATAATATCCATACACCTGGGCTCTATACATACCTGTGTCATAATAACCATACACCTGGGCTCTATATATACCTGGGTCAAACAATCATACACCTAGGCTCTGTATATACCTGTGTCATAATAACCATACACCTGGGCTCTATACATACATAGGTCAAACAATCATACACCTGGGCTCTGTATATACCTGGGTCATAATATCCATACACCTCGGCTCTATACATACCTGTGTCATAATAATCATACACCTGGGCTCTATATATACCTGGGTCATAATATCCATACACCTGGGCTCTATACATACATGGGTCAAACAATCATACACCTGGGCTCTATATATACCTGGGTCAAACAACCATACACCTGGGCTCTATACATACCTGGGTCATAACAATCATAAACCTGTGCTCTATACATACCTGTGTCATAATATTCATACACCTGGGCTCTATACATACCTGTGTCATAATAACCATACACCTGGGCTCTATACATACCTGGGTCAAAATAACCATACACCTGGGCTCCATACATACCTGTGTCATAATAACCATACACCTGGGCTCTATACATACCTGTGTCATAATAACCATACACCTGGGCTCTATACATACATGGGTCAAACAATCATACACCTGGGCTCTGTATATACCTGGGTCATAATATCCATACACCTGGGCTCTATACATACCTGTGTCATAATAATCATACACCTGGGCTCTATATATACCTGGGTCATAATATCCATACACCTGGGCTCTATACATACATGGGTCAAACAATCATACACCTGGGCTCTATACATACCTGGGTAAAACAACCATACACCTGGGCTCTATACATACCTGTGTCATAATGATCATACACCCGGGCTTTATACATACCTGTATCATAATAATCATGCACTTGGGCTCTATACATACCTGTATCATAATACTCATGCACCTGGGCTCTGTACATACCTGTATCATAATAACCATACACTTAAGCTCTTTACATACCAGTGTCATATTAATAATACACTTGGGCTCTATACATACATGGGTCATAATAACCATACACTTAAGCTCTTTACATACCAGTGTCCTAATAACCATACACTTGGGCTCTGTACATACCTGTATCATAATAATGATACACCTGGGCTCTATACATACCTGTGTCATAATAACCATACACCTGGGCTCTATACATACCTGTGTCATAATAACCATACACCTGGGCTCTATACATACCTGTGTCATAATAACCATACACCTGGGCTCTATACATACCTGTGTCATAATAATCATACACCTGGGCTCTATACATACATGGGTCATAATAATTATACACCTGGGCTCTATACATACATGAGTCAAACAATCATACACCTGGGCTCTGTATATACCTGGGTCATAATATCCATACACCTGGGCTCTATACATACCTGTGTCATAATAATCATACACCTGGGCTCTATATATACCTGGGTCATAATATCCATACACCTGGGCTCTATACATACATGGGTCAAACAATCATACACCTGGGCTCTGTATATACCTGGGTCAAACAACCATACACCTGGGCTCTATACATACATGGGTCATAATAACCATACACCTGCGCTCTATACATACCTGGGTCATAATAATCATACACTTGGGCTCTATACATACCTGTATCATAATAACCATACACCTGGGCTCTATACATACCTGTGTCATAATAACCATACACTTGGGCTCTATACATACCTGTGTCATAATAACCATACACCTGGGCTCTATACATACCTGTGTCATAATAACCATACACCTGGGCTCTATACATACCTGTGTCATAATAATCATACACCTGGGCTCTATACATACATGGGTCATAATAATTATACACCTGGGCTCTATACATACATGAGTCAAACAATCATACACCTGGGCTCTGTATATACCTGGGTCATAATATCCATACACCTGGGCTCTTTACATACCTGTGTCATAATAATCATACACCTGGGCTCTATATATACCTGGGTCATAATATCCATACACCTGGGCTCTATACATACATGGGTCAAACAATCATACACCTGGGCTCTATATATACCTGGGTCAAACAACCATACACCTGGGCTCTATACATACCTGTGTCATAATAACCATACACCTGCGCTCTATACATACCTGGGTCATAATAATCATACACTTGGGCTCTATACATACCTGTATCATAATAACCATACACCTGGGCTCTATACATACCTGTGTCATAATAACCATACACTTGGGCTCTATACATACCTGTGTCATAATAACCATACACCTGGGCTCTATACATACCTGGGTCAAACAATCATACACCTGGGCTCTATATATACCTGGGTCAAACAACCATACACCTGGGCTCTATACATACCTGTGTCATAATAACCATACACCTGGGCTCTATACATACCTGGGTCATAACAATCATACACCTGTGCTCTTTACATACCTGTGTCATAATGATCATACACCCGGGCTTTATACATACCTGTATCATAATAATCATACACCTGGGCTCTGTACATACCTGTATCATAATAACCATACACCTGGGCTCTATACATACCTGTGTCATAATAACCATACACCTGGGCTCTATACATACCTGTGTCATAATAACCATACACCTGGGCTCTATACATACCTGTATCATAATAATCATACACTTGGGCTCTGTACATACCTGTATCATAATAACCATACACCTGGGCTCTTTACATACCTGTATCATAATAACCATACACCTGGGCTCTATTCATACCTGTGTCATAATAACCATACACCTGGGCTCTATACATACCTGTATCATAATAATCATACACCTGGGCTCTATACATACCTGTGTCATAATAACCATACACCTGGCCTTTATACATACCTGTATAATAATAACCATACACCTGGGCTCTGTACATACCTGTATAATAATAACCATACACCTGGGCTCTGTACATAATGTGTCATAATAATCATACACCTGGGCTCTATACATACCTGTATAATAATAACCATACACCTGGGCTCTGTACATAATGTGTCATAATAACCATACACCTGGGCTCTATACATACCTGTGTCATAATAACCATACACCTTGGCTCTATACATACCTGTATCATAATAATTATACACTTGGGCTCTATACATACCTGTATCATAATACTCATGCACCTGGGCTCTGTACATAATGTGTCATAATAACCATACACTTAAGCTCTTTTCATACCAGTGTCATATTAATAATACACTTGGGCTCTATACATACCTGTGTCATAATAACCATACACTTAAGCTCTTTACATACCAGTGTCCTAATAACCATACACTTGGGCTCAGTACATACCTGTATCATAATAACCATACACCTGGCCTCTATACATACCTGTGTCATAATAACCATACACCTGGGCTCTATACATACCTGTGTCATAATAACCATACACCTGGGCTCTATACATATCTGTGTCATAATAACCATACACCTGGCCTTTATACATACCTGTATAATAATAACCATACACCTGGGCTCTATACAAACATGTGTCATAATAATCATACACCTGGGCTCTATACATATCTGTGTCATAATAACCATACACCTGGCCTTTATAAATACCTGTATAATAATAACCATACACCTGGGCTCTATACAAACATGTGTCATCATAATCATACACCTGGGCTCTATACATATCTGTGTCATAATAACCATACACCTGGGCTCTATACATACCTGTGTCATAATAATCATACACCTGGACGACGGCCTCCTTTGTGTTCTCCACTCTGATCTCCTGGGTGACCTCGAAGGAGAAACACTGTGCGGCCTGGCTCAGCTGCAGGGAGAAGACTACGCGTGAGATAGATTCACATGCTGACACAGAAAAGACACCTACACTGTTCCCAAGTAGTCTGAATGCACAGCTGCTAAGGGTTATTAAAAACACTTTGAAATTCCAGAACATGAAAGATCAATTTTGTGAGAATGATAAAGTGTGTAAGAGTGAAAGTTGGTGTTGATATAAAATATTGTTTGCTTATGTGAAATTAATGCACTTTGATTCGTAAATTAGTGTGTATGTGTTTTATTACCATTATTCCTCTTGTGTCTAATATCAATATATCAATATCATATATAGTGCCGTTTATTGCCATCAACAACTGGATCCTATTCTTGTTCTTGTCATGAGCGCAGAGTGTGTCATTGATGGATAACCAACGGTGCAGTTTAACTGCACGCCATTGTTTCACACGTGAGTGGACACATCGACCATGGTTTGGTTGCAAAGGGACCCGTCGAAAGTTGCGGCCGTAAGTGTGTTGTTTAAGTGTGATTAGTGACGAGTGACGAGAGCCTGAATCCTGTGACCAACATGTTTACCTCATCAAAGTAGAAATGAACACTGTTCGGATTCTTGCTATCCACTTCGTATCTCTTCAGCTGGAGAACCGGATCCTTCTTTAACTGGCAACATATTACAACATATATTGAACTATGATGGCTCAGTAATCTGATGTGCTGAACTTCGCTGTGAAGAGTTGCAACACTTAGATACAGGGTACACAGGAGCTACCCCGCAAGTACAGGATACACAGGAACTATCCTGCAGGCACACTGTACATAGGAGCTACATCGCAAGCACAGGATACATAGGAACTATCCTGCAGGCACAGGGTACATAGGAGCTACCCCGCAAGCACAGGGTACATAGGAGCTACCCCGCAAGCACATGATACATAGGAACTACCCTGCAGGCACAGTGTACATAGGAGCTACCCCGCAAGCACAGGGTACATAGAAACTATCCTGCAGGCACAGGGTACATAGGAGCTACCCCGCAAGCACTGGGTACATAGGAGCTACCTCGCAAGCACAGGGTACATAGGAACTATCCTGCAGGCACACTGTACATAGGAGCTACCCCGCAAGCACAGGGTACATGGGAACTATCCTGCAGGCACACTGTACATAGGAGCTACCCCGCAAGCACAGGATACATAGGAACTATCCTGCAGGCACAGGGTACATAGGAGCTACCCAGCAAGCACAGTGTACATAGGAGCTACCTCGCAAGCACAGGATACATAGGAACTATCCTGCAGGCACACTGTACATAGGAGCTACCCCGCAAGCACAGAATACATAGGAACTATCCTGCAGGCACAGGGTACATAGGAGCTACCCCGCAAGCACAGGGTACATAGGAGCTACCTCGCAAGCACAGGGTACATAGGAACTTTCCTGCAGGCACACTTTGCATAGGAGCTATCCCGCAAGCACAGGGTACATAGGAACTATCCTGCAGGCACACTGTGCATAAGAGCTATCCCGCAAGCACAGGGTACATAGGAACTATCCTGCAGGCACACTGTGCATAGGAGCTATCCCGCAAGCACAGGGTACATAGGAACTATCCTGCAGGCACACCGTACATAGGAGCTATCCCGCAAGCGCAGGGTACATTAGGCATATCCTCCAGGAACAAGGTACATTTGAACCTTTTCAATTTGATTTTACTTCTGTCATATCTAGAGTAACTATATGTGTTGGGTCTTCACATGGATAACACTTACTCCCTCCAATGAGTCTGTGGCCACCAACCATCCGGTCACCATCTTTGCGTTGACAATTGACATCCCCGAACTGCCACCTTTCACGTACCTGGACACAGAACAGACTGGGATAACAGAAAGAGGATTTCTCGGTAGATGTGCTTCATAATGTTATTCACCGATCGTCAGTGTTCGTCACCACTCGCTCGTTTCCGTAACCTACAAGTCTTGTCCCGGAATGACACCAGTGAATGTGAAATACACGAAGCAGCAAATTAATCTGCATCTCTCTCATGGTTAAGGAGGTTGATGAGACAGTATGTGCGCATGTGGTCTAAAATACATTATGGGGCGGTGGGGTAGCCTAGTGGTTAAAGCGATGGTTCGTCACGCCGAAGACCCGGGTTCGATTCCCCACATGGGTACAATGTGTGAAGCCCTTTTTCCGGTGTCCCGCGCCGTGATATTGCTGGAATATTCACGGACACTCACGGATGCCTACCTGCACATCTGTATAACCTCCCGTAAGCCTTTTATTAGTCAGCCTCTCAACGTCACACTCTTTGGGAACTAGAGGGTCGCAGACCAAAAATGCAAACACGATAGTGACGCAGGTCATAGACGTTTGCTGCCTTGGTAAAATCCCAGAGTACGGGTATGGGGCTGACAAACCAAAGGATCAAAATTAGGTCAATCAGATTAGAACCACATTCACCGGATCCTGGTACGCCAAACGACCAATGGGCCTCCGTGTCAAATTCTATTCGGATGTGTTATCATAATATTGTCTGGAGGGTTGTGCTTGATGTGTGCATGAGGCAATCGTAGAAGATCGTTTGCATGAAAGAAGTCACATCTAACGTTAATGATGTGTCTGTTCCAGATTCAACCACAGACAGCTACTGTGAAAACCCTCGTTCCCTCACTCCATCGATCACTACCAGCACAAGGCTCTTCTAACGCTGTGCAGATGCTATGAAAACCCTCGTTCCCTCACTCAGTCTATCACTACCAACACAAGGCTCTACTAACGCTGTACAGATACTGTGAAAACCCTCGTTCCCTCACTCCATCAATCACTACCAACACAAGGCTCTACTAACGCTGGACAGATGCTGTGAAAACCCTTGTTCCCTCACTCCATCTATCACTACCAACACATAGCTCTACTAACGCTGTACAGATGTTGATTGTCCTGCGACCGCAGTCCGGTTTCACTGGATCCGGAGGCTGTACAGTGGCGTTCAGGGTAAAGGCGAGGTCCACCTTGTCAAGGTCGTAGGTGTTGTAGCGAACTGTGGCCTGATATATAAAAAGATATAATGCCAAGAGAGCATTTATCACTGAGTACATTCTGAGTGAACTGGAAGTATGTGAAGTGAGAGGCCTTAAATAAACTATAATAGTTTAATTGTCATTATCATTTTCACACCTGTGCGCACGAGAAGCATATTTTATACATTTCAAGCTCTTCAGTTTTCAGAACACAAACATCTACATAGTCACTGTTATGCTATAAATTCTACCCGAGCTTCTGCTCATTCGGCCTTGTTCATTCCGAGAAGACCGTGTTTATGAAATATATTCACTCCCTACCTGGAACAAAGCACAGCCAGTGCCAACACCACTCAAGGTGATCTCATTGGGCACATTCAGTGGTTCTGTCTGCATCACCATACTGTTGGACTTTGACACGGTGAAGTTCTTGTGGACGTTCTTTCCTTCCACGGTCAGCAATAAGTTGTGTTTGTTCCCAGTCGAAGTTGATCTCGCAAACCTCGACAGAGCGTCCAGTGCTATCACGGTGTCCTTGAATAACGAGACACACTCTGGTTAGCGGCAAACAAACAACATAGCCATCTCTTCCTGCGCGACCTTCATGTTTCCGTGGCAAGCACACGAGTATCGATACTTCGCGGTTTCCACTGGTGGACCCAAAAGGAAAACACAAAGGTGACGCAGGTCGTAGATGTTTTCTGCTTTAGTAAAACCTCAGAGCGTGGGCAGCGCAGGTATCAGCGAGCAATCTAGAGGCATTATCTCTCGGAAATTGACTAACTGTATCTCGGAAAATTGATACTCGCAACAAAATCGCAATAGTTTTTCACGTTACTTGCCCTTTAAGGCAAATCGTCCCTATATTCCATGTATGTATGTGACAACTGACCTGAGTGAAGGCAAAGCCTCCCTATGTTCCACGTGTGTATGTGACAACTGACCTGAGTGGAGGCAAATCCTCCCTATATTCCACGTGTGTATGTGACACCTGACCTGAGCGGAGGCAAATCCTCCCTATATTCCATGTATGTATGTATGTGACAACTGACCTGAGTGAAGGCAAAGCCTCCCTATGTTCCATGTGTGTATGTGACAACTGACCTGAGTGGAGGCAAATCCTCCCTTAGGGTTCCTCTGTTTCTGCAGCCACTTGACGACCTTCAGGCTGGACTCCAGGTCATCCTCCTCCAGGTAGGCCAGCAGGGCGTAGGCGGTCGTCTCCACGTTCAGCGACGATGCGCGGTAGTAGTAGCTCCGCTGACGGTTCGCGTCCCTCCTCGTCTCCCAATGCATCAGGGTACCTGATTTATTTTTATTTTTTTTATTATTTATTTATTTATTTATTTATTTATTTAAAGCCAGTTTGAGATGATAAATACACATGACTGTGTTATGATGCCAATTTACTGTCATAAATCAGGACCTAGGCCCCTCCTACCATTAACGACTGCCTTGGAGTGGAGGCCCCTCTGTAAGTTGACGTGCACCCGACTGTTGGCGTCCTGGAGCGACGTGGCGTAGGCAGCAGCGGCCATGGTGTAGACGTCGGTGATGGGCTGAGCAGCGATGCAGTTGATGGCGTTCAGTATCGCAGGGTCCTGTGGTATCGCATTTAGTTGGTCACCAACTGTATCATAACTGTAGCTTTGGATTTCATTAGCAAAACTTACAATGTACGTATAGTAACCAGTTTCCTATGGTTGGTCTTTGAGAAAGTGTTTAGCTATAAGAAAGTGATGCTACAAGCGCCTGACAGCATGTTAGACAAGAGGAAACAATGGTTACGTCAAGAAATGATTCACGATTCACACAAACAGTAACCAACAACTCACCATTTGGCTTCTTTTCGACAAAAAGGCTTAAGGAGATTTTCAGGTCCAGAAATCCGAATGTGACATTATGGGTATGGATGTACTCAACTATATATTTGAAGGTACATACACTCATTGCTCTGTGCTCTATGCCCATGGTCATTTAGCCCTAGGTGCGTGCCCCGTGTTTTACATAATTTAACAAACAACTAAACTACGGGTAAAACCTGATAGCTCTAAGGCCTTCGCGCATCGGATATATGTACACTTATCCGAAGTTCAAGCCAAGAGGAGAGACAACACCACCGCGCCGATATGGACCTACAAGTTATGTCATCTTTAATAAGATATCAAGATAATGTAAGAGTTAATTGTACAACTGTTTTCATACAAACGTTTTCAAAGGGCAAAAAACAAATAATTGTCTTGGTTCTCAGACAACGCCAATATCATCATAAAGTCCACCCCACGTTTTGTTTTTATTTCCATTTTCATTTTTATTTTGATCTTTTAATATTCCGCGTCTCGAACACACGACTCCGGCAGTGAAATGCCACAATATTTAAGAACAACGTGATTTCCCCTAAATTATTGTAAACAAAATTATGTTACATACTAGCTTGAACATCAACAAAAACACCGCCCGCCTGCACAATATTTTCAAAAGCCATTGCCTGAAAACAAATTCTATTATATATTTAAGTCAGAAGCATCTTGTTAAAGTGACAACCTAGACTTCTCAAGATTTGTCAGGAATGATTTGTATGTTCACATGGAGTGTGAGGTGTCCGGTTGCTTTGCGATGCCATCATTTGAATAGACCGCCTCTGTGGTCTAGTGGTAGAGCGTCCGCCCGGAGAGCGGAAGGTGCGGGGTTGGATCCCCGGCAGCGTCATACCAAAAGACGTTAAAAGATGGTACTTGTTGTTACCCTGTCTGGTGCTCGGCATTAATGAGCTAAAACAAGGACTGTTTGGCTCGGAGCCAGTATACTGTGTCTGAGTGGGGTATTCATGTTAAGTTGCAACATGGTATCTGAGTGAGCTAGCGCTATAAATCGGCATCAGTCCTGACTAGTTTGTTTGTTGTTTAAAGCTGCACCCAGCAATATTCCAGCTATATGACGGGTTGGTATGTACATAATCGAGTCTGGACCAGTCAATCCAGTGATTGATATCATCGATCCCCGCAATTGGGAAATGATGACATACATCAAACAAGTCAGCGAGCCTGCCCATCCGATCCCGTTCCTACGACAAGCATGGGTTGCTGAAGACAGTCCGGACTAGTACACACACACGCACACACGCACACACGCACGCATACACACACACATACAAACACACACATGCATGCATGCTCGTCGTTATATAAGTCCAATAATCCTGGACGCGAGGTTAAACCCAATTTCACCTCATCTATCATACGAATAGTTTTTTGATGTACCATAAAACTGAGGCATCCTTAGGTTCATTTCAAGTTGAAACTAAATATCAATTCACATTTCAAAAAAAATGTTCTCGACATTCGTAAAATTCTGAGCTAGCTTATTACACTAATCAACATTTGAGTAGGGGCGGTCGGGTAGCCTAGTGGTTAAAGCGTTCGCTCGTCACGCTGAAGACCCGGGTTCGATTCCCGACATGGGTACAATGTGTGAAGCCCATTTCTGGTGTCCCCCGCCGTGTTGTTGCTGGAATATTGCTAAAAGCGGCGTAAAACCATACTCACTCACTCACTCAACATTTGAGTAGTATTATACAGATGCTGTTTATGAATGCGTAATGCTGTGGCAAATACATACGCTTTTGGGTGTGCCGCCAGTGATAAGAGCACCCATGACAAACGCCGTCAGCGTGACGTGACTGTTGGCGCCGTCAACACCTCCTCTCATGGATGAATGGATGACTCGTCCAACTTCGGTGAAGCAGCCTGTGTCACGTGCTTGCTTGGCCTTCAACCACAGCTGTACGCACCCAATACACGATTAGAGGCAATTGGAACACGAACAGATGGAAATACTTGCCACACACATATAAGTCAATTATACGAAACATGCATAATTAATATTATTGAACACGTGTAGCACTAGAAGCGTGGTGTCACCAGCAAGTTTGATGTATCAAAATAACTACATGGCACTATTGTCTGGATGAGTTCAGTGATCTGGACCTAGCCGAAGAATTACCATCGGTAAGACAGGACATGTTTGTACGTTTATCGGACACCTGGTCACAACATTTTATTGTGTCAATGTTTTCTTGTGGCAGATATGTGAATTATTCTCCGAGGGCACTGAGACATATAGTTCTTGTTTCCTATTTGTCAAGGTTCATTATAAGAGGATCTAGTATTAACACTGCTATAAAGATAATGGCCCTCTCGTCCCTCACCCTCGCCCTCCTGAGGACGTTCTGGTCAATCTCCAGGAAAGGCTGGGCCTCGGTGAAGGACTTGATGACGAAGGCAGTGAGCCACGTGCTGCCGCTGCTGTCGGAGTTGCCGAACGCGCTGAAGGACCCGTCATCTCGCATGTAGTTCAGCTCCCGCTGGTAGCCTGCGGAAAGAGATAGGAGGTGTAAGTAGTATTGAGAGTTAGTGAGTGAGTTGGGTTTGATGCCGCTTTTAACAGTATTACAGTTATATCACGGCGTGTCAGCTTAATGTGGGAAGAAAGCCCGAAGTGATGCAAGTCTCAGACGTTTACCACTTCGGTGAAACCCACGAGCACGGGTATGGTGCTGACAAACCTAGAAACATAATGGGGGCAAACCGGGATTCGAACCCACAATCATAGGTTTCTGGCGTGCCCAAGGGACGCAACTCTGCACAGCGAATCGCGGCGCCTTAGACGACTGGGCCCCCCGTGCCCCTAGTAGTATTGAGAATACGGTGAAACTATTATAACTGCAGAGAACTTGATGTTCACCCTTGAAAACTACCTTGAAAGAGGTGAATATACCGCCTAAGATAGAAGTGAATAAAATCCCCGTAAAAGGGGTGAATTAAACCAGTGACAGAGGTTAACAATGAGATAAAAACCGTGAGAGTAGAAAATAAAATATTTAGTCGTACAACCTTTCATGTATTAAAAAGCATTCAGACATCAGGCATTCCTTCCATTCAGGAAGATGATCCTTCTATTTTCATTCAGTCGTGTCATCGTGGTAGAGGAATACACCCCAACATTCGGTCATGTCATCGTCGTAGAGGAATAGATCTCGACATTCAGTCATGTCATCGTGGTAGAGGAATACATCCCAACATTCAGTCATGTCATCGTGGTAGAGGAATACATCCCAACATTCAGTCATGTCATCGTGGTAGAGGAGTATATCTCAACATTCAGTCATGTCATCGTGGTAGAGGAATAGATCTCAACATTCAGTCTTGTCATCGTGGTAGAGGAGTATATCTCAACATTCAGTCATGTCATCTTGGTAGAGGAATATATCTCAACATTCAGTCATGTCATCGTGGTAGAGGAATATATCTCAACATTCAGTCATGTCATCGTGGTAGAGGAATATATCTCAACATTCAGTCTTGTCATCGTGGTAGAGGAGTATATCTCAACATTCAGTCAGAGATATAGCCCCATTCACATGGACAAAATTTACTCATGTAAGCAAATTTACTCATGGAGTATATTTACTCATGTAAGCAAAAGTATATTTACATTGCGTTCACATGAAGTTTATGCAAGGCAGAAGTAAACATCATTTCATAAATAAATTGTGGACTTTTATCATTTGAGGCCATGTTGCTGTCGAAGATAGTCAACCAGAGGCGAAAGAGAGATCACATGACCAGAAATACTCCAGGAGCATTTATACTTATGAGTTAATATACTTTTACTAGACCTCATCAGGTGTAGCAAATATACTTTTACTCATGTCTCTTTACTCCTGGAGTATATTTACTCACCCAAGCAAATGCGTTCACATGCCACCATAAGTAAATTTACTTATGTAAGTATATATACTCACGTAAGTAAAAGTGTCCATGTGAATAGGGCTTTAGTATTTCGTTGCAACGTCGAAGTTAAAGTACAGTTGAAGAACAGAGCCAGATTAATGGCCCTCTGGGCTTCATGTCATGACAATGCAGATTACAGACTCTCAAGAGAGTGTACGTCTGGGTTTATTTTCGAAAGGGCATATAAATAATCGTGACATGCTATGTATATCTAGAATGGATAACGGTAATTACTGAAACACAGAAATTTCTTCAATTATGGGAACATCAGGAATTTCCCGAATTTCGTCTACGCGTTGTTGAAATGAACACAGTTTGTTATTTACCACTTCCGAGGTACTTGTTGATGGTCTCAGATATCTCTGGTGTCAGCTGATTGGTGGCCTTCAGGTATCTCATGATGAACACATTCGGGGCAAAGTTGATCATGTTCTGTTCTCCGCAGCCGTAGGGAACGCGGAGGAGGTCGCCGATGTTGCTGAAGCTGGGCCCCATCAGATCACCTGGATGTAAGATAGATGTAACAGTAAATGGTCATCCTCTAAACATGTCCAAGTAAAACCAAACTAATCAAACTCGTCTCGAAATAGGCTGGGCCCATCAGATCACCTGGATGTAAGATAGATGTAACAGTAACTGGCGATCGTCTTAACTTGTCAAAGTATTTCCAAACTAATTAAACTCGTCTCCAAATAGGCTGCGCCCTATCAGAAAACATGGATGTAAGGCAGATGTAACTGGCGATCGTCTAAACTAAACCAAACTAATAAATAACATCAAAAAAGAGTTTGGGACTGTGTCGAAAAGATACTGTAAATTTGAAGACCTAGTTATATATCAATAGTAAAATGCCATCAATCCCATCGGTTACATGATGCGACCAGCCTCACCTATGGCGCTGAGCATCCCTCTCCCGGAGTCTGGGACTACTGCTTGGTCCGCGGGGAGAGGCAGGTCAATGGAATCAAAGAATTCTGTTCCTTTTTCTGAAAACAACAAACATCGAAACATTAATGCTCTATCCACACAACACGATGTCCGAACCACCCGATCACCCTAAGTCAGCTTCTACTACACATCAGATACTGGGTGAGTGAGGTTAAAAGAGGGTTTAACGTCGCGTTCGTGATTGTGCGCATGCACGTGTGTGTGCGTGTGTGTGGCTGCTTGTAATAGTACGGACTAATGCGCATTTTATAGGATTAGTCCACTGAGATACCAGGCCGAAGTTAAACATGGAAACCCCACTCAGACACCATATACTGGGCCGACCAGTCGTTTTATTAGCCCCTTAATGCCGAGCGCCAGGCAGGGTAACAACATGTACCATCTTTTAACGTCTTTTGCGGACGGATATCTCAGATCTCTTCGTTAACCCACTGGATCTCAATATCTCTTGAGATGAGTGGTGGAACATTGATCAGAATGTCGTGTGAAGGCAGTCAAGTGTGGCGTTAAAGGAGTAGGGAGGGGGAGAGGGACAATGTTCCATGATACTTTACCCATTTCCCGTCTAGTTCTATATGTTGTTATTAGAAACTTAAGGCTTATCTCTTTAATTGGTTAATGATTAACTGCTAAGATGATATAAACAAAAGTGGTGCTGTAGGTGTACTACTGACGTACATGAACACGCCATGGTGCTGTAGGTGTTCTACTGACGTACCTGAACACGCCATGGTGCTGTAGGTGTACTACACACATACCTGAACACGCCATGGTGCTGTAGGTGTACTACACACATACCTGAACACACCATGGTGCTGTAGGTGTACTACACACATACCTGAACACACCATGGTGATATAGATGTACTACTGACGTACCTGAACACGCCATGGTGCTGTAGGTGTACTATTGACGTACCTGAACACGCCACGGTGCTGTAGGTGTACTGCTGACGTACCTGAACACGCCATGGTGCTGTAGGTGTACTATTGACGTACCTGAACACGCCATGGTGCTGTAGGTGTACTATTGACGTACCTGAACACGCCATGGAGCTGTAGGTGTACTACTGACGTACCTGAACACGCCATGGTGCTGTAGGTGTACTATTGACGTACCTGAACACGCCATGGTGATGTAGGTGTACTATTGACGTACCTGAACACGCCATGGTGCTGTAGGTGTACTACTGACGTACATGGACACGCCATGGTGCTGTAGGTGTACTACTGACGTACCTGAACACGCCATGGTGCTGTAGGTGTACTATTGACGTACCTGAACACGCCATGGTGCTGTAGGTGTACTACACACATACATGAACACGCCATGGTGCTGTAGGTGTACTATTGATGTACCTGAACACACCATGGTGATGTAGGTGTACTACTGACGTACCTGAACACGCCATGGTGCTGTAGGTGTACTACTGACGTACCTTAACACGCCATGGTGATGTAGGTGTACTGCTGACGTACCTGAACACGCCATGGTACTGTAGGTGTTCTACTGACGTACCTGAACACGCCATGGTGCTGTAGGTGTACTACTGACGTACCTGAGCACACCATGGTGCTGTAGGTGTACTATTGACGTACCTGAACATGCTATGGTACTGTAGGTGTACCACACACATACCTGAACACGCCATGGTACTGTAGGTGTACTACACACATACCTGAACACGCCATGGTGCTGTAGGTGTACTACACACATACCTGAACACGCCATGGTGCTGTAGGTGTACTACTGACGTACCTGAACACACCATGGTACAGTAGGTGTACTACACACATACCTGAACACGCCATGGTGCTGTAGGTGTACTACTGACGTACCTGAACACGCCATGGTGCTGTAGGTGTACTACACACATACCTGAACACACCATGGTGCTGCAGGTGTACTACACACATACCTGAACACACCATGGTGATGTAGGTGTACTACACACATACCTTTACACACCATGGTGCTGTAGGTGTACTACACACATACCTGAACACACCATGGTGCTGTAGGTGTACTACACACATACCTGAACACACCATGGTGATGTAGGTGTACTACACACATACCTGAACACACCATGGTGATGTAGGTGTACTACACACATACCTGAACACACCATGGTACTGTAGGTGTACTACACACATACCTGAACACACCATGGTGATGTAGGTGTACTACACACATACCTGAACACACCATGGTACTGTAGGTGTACTACACACATACCTGAACACGCCATGGTGATGTAGGTGTACTACACACATACCTGAACACACCATGGTGCTGTAGGTGTACTACACACATACCTGAACACACCATGGTGATGTAGGTGTACTACACACATACCTGAACACACCATGGTACTGTAGGTGTACTACACACATACCTGAACACGCCATGGTGCTGTAGGTGTACTACACACATACCTGAACACACCATGGTACTGTAGGTGTACTACACACATACCTGAACACACCATGGTACTGTAGGTGTATTCCTGTTCGTCACCCTCTGGCTGTAACGGAATAAAACGATAATTGTAGGTCAGTTTCTTGCACAAATGGATGTGTTTAGGAAGGTTACCTGGATTGTAGTCTATATATATCATGTTAATATCAAAGTTGAATGATGAAAAGCTGTCAAGAGATTCACGTAGACACGCATCAAGATCATTATGACACTGGATACATTACCAACATGCTTAAGATTTTGATGTGTGTGAGATAGAATTTTCTTTCTGTTATTGTTATAATGTACCTCTACCAAGAGTTGTCTGACCACTGCGTCCTTGACTCCAATACCTTCCCCAGCGGCCTTGACCTTAGGACATTGAGAATCTCCAGGAACAGACTTTGCCTGAAGAATGTTTAGCTGAGCAATGAACTTGATGAATGAGAACATAGATGAATTGGTTGTTTTTTACGCCTTGTGACAATGTAGATGTTGTAGATCTTGATTACGTCACATATTAATCATAAACGCAATTAAAATATAAAAAACAACATGGTTCAACTCCATATTTGACGTCTATGTTATAGATGTGATGGATGTGACTAGCTTAATACTTACGGATGTGACTAGCTTTCGGACTTGACAAAGAAACAAGTGTTTCTACTGTGCCGATTACCACTTACTTGCACCGTGATGTTTATCTGACCCAGGCTTCTTGGAATAATAACAAACTCGTGACGCTTAGCCTCGTTTCCACATATACACATCCACGTGTTACGCTCAGAGTTCAAAAGGTCAAACTCACTTGATTCATTCAGCTTTAACTCAATCTGCAAATTCATAAAACACATCTGGTGAAATCAACTTCATATATCCGTGTTTGCAGGGGTATTTCAGTTATATAAGCTTGACATGAGACCAAAGCTCAAACGTAGACCGCGGACATCTTAATTTAAAAAAACCGACCATGGGTGTAGTGCTGACAGACCATGCTTCAAGGATAGGGTAATGTCAGTGGCAAGTTCTAACAGGTTTGTTTGTTTGTTTGTTTGTTTGTTTGTTTGTTGTTTAACTCAGCAATATTCCAGCTATATGACGGGGGTCTGTAAATAATCGAATCTGGACCAGACAATCCAGTGATTGACGTCATGAGCATCATTCTACACAATTGGAATACGATTACGAACATGAACCAAGTCAGCGAGCCTGACCACCCGATCCCGTTAGTCGCCTCCTACGACAAGCATGGGTTATTGAAGGCCGATTCTAAAACGGTCAGACCAGAATAACATATATATAATCACCTCAATACATTCTGTGAGGTAGTTGAAGACGGAGACGATGACGGCGATGTATTCCCCCCTGATAGCGGAGTAAGGGAGGGTGAAGGAGACGAAGAACGGCTGAAACGCTGTCACGGACGCCGACTCAGACACACCGACACCGAGATCCGACTTGGCACAGACAGTGCTACCGACCCACTCTGTAATGCTTCCGGGGAGAGTCTTATTCAGCTCCAGTTTCCCAGAATCACTGAACCGGATAACAATGTTGTCATTATGTCCCTATATATTCACTGAACCGGATAACAATGTTACAATATGTCCCTATATATTCACTGAACCGGATAACAATGTTGTCATTATGTCCCTATATATTCACTGGACAAGATAACAATGTTATCATTATGCCCCTATATATTCACTGGACAAGATAACAATGTTATCATTATGTCCCTATACATTCACTGGACAAGATAACAATGTTATCATTATGTCCCTATACATTCACTGGACAAGATAACAATGTTATCATTATGTCCCTATACATTCACTGGACAAGATAACAATGTTATCATTATGTCCCTATACATTCACTGGACAAGATAACAATGTTATCATTATGTCCCTATACATTCACTGGACAAGATAACAATGTTATCATTATGTCCCTATACATTCACTGGACAAGATAACAATGTTATCATTATGTCCCTATACATTCACTGGACAAGATAACAATGTTATCATTATGTCCCTATACATTCACTGGACACGATAACAATGTTATCGATATGTCAATATACATTCACTGGACACGATAACAATGTTATCATTATGTCCCTATACATTCACTGGACAAGATAACAATGTTATCGATATGTCAATATACCATCACTAGACAGGATAACAATGTTATCATTATGTCCCTATACATTCACTGGAGAAGATAACAATGTTATCATTATGTCCCTATACATTCACTGGACAAGATAACAATTTTATCATTATGTCCCTATACATTCACTGGACAAGATAACAATGTTATCATTATGTCCCTATACATTCACTGGACAAGATAACAATGTTATCGATATGTCAATATACATTCACTGGACACGATAACAATGTTATCATTATGTCCCTATACATTCACTGGACAAGATAACAATGTTATCGATATGTCAATATACCATCACTAGACAGGATAACAATGTTATCATTATGTCCCTATACATTCACTGGAGAAGATAACAATGTTATCATTATGTCCCTATACATTCACTGGACAAGATAACAATTTTATCATTATGTCCCTATACATTCACTGGACAAGATAACAATGTTATCATTATGTCCCTATACATTCACTGGACAAGATAACAATGTTATCGATATGTCAATATACCATCACTAGACACGATAACAATGTTATCATTATGTCCCTATACATTCACTGGACAAGATAACAATGTTATCGATATGTCAATATACCATCACTAGACACGATAACAATGTTATCATTATGTCCCTATACATTCACTGGACAAGATAACAATGTTATCGATATGTCAATATACCATCACTAGACAGGATAACAATGTTATCAAATATGTCGTCAATGCGCCATGCAATGTCACTGGACAGGATAACAAAGTTATCAATATGTCATTCAATCACTGGACAGGATAACAATGTTATCATTATGTCCCTATACAATCGCTGGACAGGATAACAATGTTATCATTATGTCCCTATACAATCGCTGGACAGGATAACAATGTTATCATTATGTCCCTATACAATCACTAGACAGGATAACACTGTTATCAATATGTCATTATACAATCACTGGACAGAATAACAATGTTATCAAATATGTCGCCAATGCGCCATGCAATGTCACTGGACAGGATAACAAAGTTATCAATATGTCATTCAATCACTAGACAGGATAACAATGTTCTCAATATGTCGCTGACAAAGTCAGTGAGCAGGGTTACTAATGTTATCAATATGTTGCTATACAGAGTCACTGGTCAAGATAACAATGGTATGAATAGGACACTATACGGAGGCACTGGGATGGGTAACAATGTTATCGATATATCTCATTACATAGTTATTGGTCAGGATAACAATGATATGAATATGACACTATCAGCTCACATAGTCACCGGACAGTTCACCATGTTACAATATGTCACTATACATAGACAATGGACAGGATACTAATGTTAAGCTATGTGACTATAAACCCAATGAATGGTGCAGGATAATAATGTTTATCGAGTTACTGGACGGTAAGGATATCAATGTTACAGTGTATCACCCCACAAAAAACAATGTTATCAAAATGCAATAATACAAAGTACAATATAAGAATATGTTTTAATTATCAAGCTATCAAAGTACCCCTCACCAACTACCTATTAATATATAAACCAATGTTATCAAATGTAATTGAAACATATATATGTCATTCAGTCCCGCCGTCATGTAGCTGGAATATTGCTGAGTGAGGCGTTGAACAAAAAACAAACAAACAAACCATTCAGTCGTTATGACAGAGTACGATATAAGAATGTATGAAACCGTCAAGCTATCAAAGTACCCCTCACCAAATACTTTAAAAAACACTAACATTATCAATGTAATTCTCACGTACAAAAATCAATCAGTCTCACCATCATATAGCTGGAATATTGCTGAGAGCGGTGTTAAACAACAAAGAAACTAAACCTTCAGTCGCTAATCTTAGTGATCCTCGAACATGGCCGTCACTGTGAAGTGAGTGGATGTTGTACTGCATCAGTATACATGATCTCCCTAGATACAGGGATCCCCACTGGCGTCCTACCTACCCAATGATCTCCCTAGAGACTGGGATCCCTACTGAAATCCTACCTATCCAGTGATCTCCCTAGAGACCCGGATCCCTACTGGCGTCCTACCTTCCCAGTGATCTCCCTAGAGACTGGATCCCTACTGGCGTTCTACCTTCCCAGTGATCTCCCTAGAGACCGGGATCCCCACTGGCGTCCTACCTACCCAATGATCTCCCTAGAGACCGGGATCTCTACAGGCGTTATACCTACACAGAGATCTCCCTAGAGACCGGGATCCCCACTGGCGTCCTACCTACCAAATGATCTCCCTAGAGACTGGGATCCCTACAGGCGTCCTACCTACACAGAGATCTCCCTAGAGACCGGGATCTCCACTGGCGTCCTACCTACCCAATGATCTCCCTAGAGACCGGGATCTCTACAGGCGTTATACCTACACAGTGGTCTCCCTCGAGACCGGGGTCCGCCTGCCCTACTTACCCAATTATCTCCAGGTCCCACAGCCAGGTTTCAGGGAAGTATTGTCTCAATGCTACCGTCTTTTTCTTCGGGTCTGGAGCTCCTTGTGAAGGAGACTCATCTTCCAGGTGATAAAACGCAGAATTAGCAAAGTTACAGAATCAGCAATCAGACTATCTTTATTTGCGGTCGGTGAAGAATTATGAAAGAAACATTAAGTACTTCGGAAACAACTTCATAATTTGGTTGACGATTAGTTTCCCCTGCTTCTGCAAAAATGACAGTTACATTGAAAACGAAACAGTAGGGGTACAACCACGACGGCCAAAGCACATTCGTTCACCTATAGGAGAGAAAAAGTATTAAGTCTGCGGGTTTATTACCATCTTTGAATAAGATTCTTTAAAAACGATTTGGATTCCATCAGTCGCGATTGAAGAAGTACTGTAACATTTACACAACAGAAGCATGTATACAGAGTCGAGGATAGAAGCACTTTCGCTGAGTAGAAGACAGAAGCACCTTTACAGAGTAAAACATAGGCGTACATTTACACAGAATCAGACAGAAACACAATTACAGAGCAGAACGTTAACATTGAGGTACATTTACTCAGAAGCAGATAGAACCACAATTACAGAGTAGAACATATATAGACGTACATTTACACAGAATCAGATACAAGTTCCTTCACAGAGTAGAACATAGACGTACATTTACTCAGAAGCAAATAGAAGCACCTCTACAGAAATGAACATAGACGTACATTTACTCAGAAGCAGATAGAAGCACCTTCACAGAGTAGAACATAGACGTACATTTACTCAGAAGCAGATAGAAGCACCTCTACAGAAATGAACATAGACGTACATTTACAAAGAATCAGATAGAAGCACCTTCACAGAGTAGAACATAGACGTACATTTACACATACGATAGAAGCACCTTTACAAGTAGAACAGACGTGCATTTACACAGAAGCAGATACAAGCACCTTCACAGAGTAGAACATAGACGTACATTTACTCTGAAGCAGATAGAAGCACAATTACAGAGTAGAACATATATAGACGTACATTTACACAGAATCAGATACAAGTTCCTTCACAGAGTAGAACATAGACGTACATTTACTCAGAAGCAAATAGAAGCACCTCTACAGAAATGAACATAGACGTACATTTACTCAGAAGCAGATAGAAGCACCTCTACATAATAGAACATAGACGTACATTTACACAGAAGCATATAGAAGCACCTTCACAGAGTAGAACATAGACGTACATTTACTCAGAAGCAGATAGAAGCACCTCTACAGAAATGAACATAGACGTACATTTACTCTGAAGCAGATAGAAGCACCTTCACAGAGTAGAACATAGACGTACATTTACACATACGATAGAAGCACCTTTACAAGTAGAACAGACGTGCATTTACACAGAAGCAGACAGAAGCACCTCTACAGAAATGAACATAGACGTACATTTACACAGAAACAGATAGAAGCACCTTCACAGAGTAGAACATAGACGTACATTTACTCAGAAGCAGATAGAAGCACCTCTACAGAAATGAACATAGACGTACATTTACTCTGAAGCAGATAGAAGCACCTTCACAGAGTAGAACATAGACGTACATTTACACATACGATAGAAGCACCTTTACAAGTAGAACAGACGTGCATTTACACAGAAGCAGACAGAAGCACCTCTACAGAAATGAACATAGACGTACATTTACACAGAAACAGATAGAAGCACAATTACAGAGTAGAACGTTAACACTGACGTACATTTACTCAGAAGCAGATAGAAGCACCTTCACAGAGTAGAACATATACGTACATTTACTCAGAAGCAGATAGAAGCACCTCTACAGAAATGAACATAGACGTACATTTACACAGAATCAGATAGAAGCACCTTCACAGAGTAGAACATAGACGTACATTTACACATACGATAGAAGCACCTTTACAAGTAGAACAGACGTGCATTTACAAAGAAGCGTATAGAAGCACCTCTACAGAAATGAACATAGACGTACATTTACACAGAAACAGATAGAAGCACGATTACAGAGTAGAACGTTAACACTAACGTACATTTACTCAGAAGCAGATAGAAGCACCTTCACAGAGTAGAACATAGACGTACATTTACTCAGAAGCAGATAGAAGCACCTCTACAGAAATGAACATAGACGTACATTTACACAGAATCAGATACAAGCACCTTCACAGAGTAGAACATAGACGTACATTTACTCAGAATCAGATAAAAGCACCTTCACAGAGTAGAACATATACGTACATTTACACATACGGTAGAAGCACCTTTACAAGTAGAACAGACGTGCATTTACACAGAATCAGATAGAAGCACAATTACAGAGTAGAACGTTAACACTGACGTACATTTACTCAGAAGCAGATAGAAGCACCTCCACATAATAGAACATAGACGTACATTTACACAGAAGCAGATAGAAGCACCTTCACAGAGTAGAACATAGACGTACATTTACTCAGAAGCAGATAGAAGCACCTCCACAGAAATGAACATAGACGTACATTTACACAGAATCAGATACAAGCACCTTCACAGAGTAGAACATAGACGTACATTTACACATACGATAGAAGCGCCTTTACAAGTAGAACAGACGTGCATTTACACAGAAGCAGATACAAGCACCTTCACAGAGTAGAACATAGACGTACATTTACTCAGAAGCAGATAGAAGCACCTCTACATAATAGAACATAGACGTACATTTACACAGAAGCAGATAGAAGCACAATTACAGAGTAGAACATAGACGTACATTTACACAGAAGCAGATAGAAGCACAATTACAGAGTAGAACGTTAACACTGACGTACATTTACTCAGAAGCAGATAGAAGCACCTCTACATAATAGAACATAGACGTACATTTACACAGAAGCAGATAGAAGCACAATTACAGAGTAGAACATAGACGTACATTTACACAGAAGCAGATAGAAGCACAATTACAGAGTAGAACATAGACGTACATTTACACAGAAGCAGATAGAAGCACCTTCACAGAGTAGAACATAGACGTACATTTACACATACGATAGAAGCACCTTTTCAAGTAGAACAGACGTGCATTTACACAGAAGCAGATAGAAGCACCCTTACTTAAGTTAATCCGCACAAGCGCCTTTTTTTAAATGTTCAAAATTCATAAAAGGTTTCGAAACGAACTTCAAAGACTTTACACTCCGAACCATTTTGACAACATATGAAGTAACAAGTCACTCATATCTTTCAAGCAATTGCACATGCACGCACAGCGGCTAGTGCGGTAATCACTGTTACCTGTTTCCTCAGCTTGCCCAGAACTTTCCTCCTGGTCAGATTGCCAGTCCTCGATGGCGGAACCGAGAGATCTGCCATAACGACGGTAAAAGTCGTAACTGTACTGTTTTTTACAAGGTCTGGTTCGAAGTTCCAATGGACCAATAACTTTAAGTGACGACAGCTGTGGAAATACAAGCCAGTACACCGTCACACAAATAATGTTATGTAATAAAAGAACAAGTGTCCACGTTCGAAATGTTGACAATGGTTTGCATACATTTAACCAGGGGGATGTTCATGTCATGTCTGGCTATACGGGGACTAAAGAGGAGAAGTGAGGTGAGGTGAGGTGAAATTGGGTTTAACGTCGCGTCCAAGATTATTGCACTTATATAGCGACGTGCATGCACGTGTGTGTGTGTGTGTGGCTGCTTGTACTAGTCCGGACTGGTGCCGATTTATAGTGCTAGCTCACTGAGATACCATGCTGCAGTTTAACATGAATACCCCACTTGGACACAGTTTTCTGACTCCGAGCCGACCAGTCCTTGTTTTAGCCCCTTAATGCCGAGCGCCAGACAGGGTAACAGCAAGTACCATCTTTTAACGTCTTTTTGGTATGACGCGGTCGGGGATCGAACCAGGGACCTTCCGCTCTCCGGGCGGACGCTCTGCCAATAGACCACGGAGGCGGTCCCTAAAGTGGAGAAGGGATAGCTACAGTGACTGCAGAAAATGAATATTCTGGAACGTTCTCAGGCCTGCTCTGGGTTTCTCTGGCAGTTCTGGGTTTTCTAAAGCAATAACACAGCTAGTTCCGGGAGATTTAAATGCGGTTTACGTCGAAACTCATATTCAATTATACAGAGTATTTTGTTATGGTAAGTAACCTGAACCAATTCTGCACCGCGTGGGTAGTTGCTCATACTATCAATCACTGGTTTTTCTGGACCATTAACATTAATTACAGGGCTCCGAGTTACAACCGAAATTCCGGACTGTGTAATCCACGAAGCAGCCACAGCTTTACCATAACGGAATTGAGATAATAAGATTTGATTTTATGCGTCTCGTGATCCTGACACAAAGGCTGGTTACAGGGAAACATAAGAATATGTAGTTCGGAGTTATTACGCATAGGCTATACAGTGAAACCCGTTCATCTAAAGGATAATGTTCCTAGATGCACAGTCAGCCTTAAAAATTAGTTTTTTAAACTAGTCCGGAGAATAGTGGAAACCATATTTTGCTAGTCCACCGAGTTTGAAGCTAGTCCGGCTTGAACGAGACAAAAATAAAAATTGTTTCCTATGTTTACATCTTTTCTGTCAGTCGTATTCCTTTCCATAGAAGTATTGAGTACTCATTCAGAATTAAAGCCTTCAAATGTTACTATTTCATGAGGACGTCCGTAATGCGTTTTTTACTTGTCTTCAGCACAATTTAGTTGTCTCGGGCTAGCGGACTAGCATGAATTTCAAAGGCTGATTTCAGGATTAACGGAATTTCACTGTAATAGATATTAATAAACCATAGGTTGTGTTAAGTCCAAAGCAAAAGCCACGTACCGAGAACGCCACGCTGGAGTCGACGTAATGGGACATGTACGTAAACCTGGTTCTTACATCGTAGTGTCTGTGTTTGAATTCTGAAAGGAAAGGGCGTTTTATTCATATAAACAATGAAACCTATACGGACGCCATGACTAAGTGAAATGAAAACAAATTTTTATCTTACTGAGTTCATCAGAATTGTAGACTCCGTGCTTCTGAAACCACGCTTGACAATACGTGTACAGGGACGAGGATCTCTCATACGGTGCGTCCTTGACAGCGTTGTAGCGATCCAGTGGAGAGAACAACTGTCAGAATATAACCGAATATCATACACTGCAATTTCCAAAAAAGAGTAAGGTCCCTTACCTTTAGAGATCAACTGTTTCTGACATAAGCCCAAGTACCTAACTACGAGACATGACATAAAAAAACCCATTTCATTTGCCATGAAAAGTCAAAACCAAACATTCATTAATTTAAGGATCTGGTTACGTTACGTTACGATCTGGTATTAATATATGGATCCATGTCTTTCAAAACTGTCACACAGTTGTGCGTTCCACGAAATGAATACCTGTTGAGGCGTGATCTGGTTCTTCCCTCCGAGTACGTAGACGCTCTGATCCACGACCCCCACCATACAGAGAGACCCCGGGGCCGCAGTCAGTGACAGCTGGGTCGGGTAGCCGGGGTACTCCTTGGACGGCGTGAACGCCATCTTCACCTACAAACATGGGCATTACAACACTGAAAACTCTGTCTCCAGAACGATCTTAGCGCTAAGACTATTGTAAGCCTATGTTAAAGTATGGGAGTTAAGATCATCTTAGCGCTAAGATCGCTTTGTGCAAGTGGACCCAGGTCACCTCGGCCTCACTGTATGTTAGGTAGGTAAGGAAGGTTAACACGATCCCTTTTATCGATTTTATATCGATATTACAGTCCCATATCTCACTGATCTTCTGAAATCTCATTCAAGCAGCCATCTCAAACCCTCACTTATCAATGTGGATTCTGGTATGATGGAATACAGGACATAATTCCTTAAAGTGATCTCGGCACAAAGTCTATGGTTGGCTAGTGTTACAGAAGCTGTATGGTAGGCATATCTTACAGAAGCCGTATGGTAGGCATATGTTACAGAAGCCGTATGGTAGGCATATGTTACAGAAGCTGTATGGTAGGCATATGTTACAGAAGCTGTATGGTAGGCATATGTTACAGGAGCCGTATGGTAGGCATATGTTACAGGAGCCGTATGGTAGGCATATGTTACAGGAGCCGTATGGTAGGCATATGTTACAGAAGCTGTATGGTAGGCATATGTTACAGGAGCCGTATGGTAGGCATATGTTACAGGAGCCGTATGGTAGGCATATGTTACAGAAGCCGTATGGTAGGCATATGTTACGGAAGCCGTATGGTAGGCATATGTTACAGAAGCCGTATGGTAGGCATATGTTACAGGAGCCGTATGGTAGGCATATCTTACAGAAGCCGTAGGGTAGGCATATGTTACAGAAGCCGAATGGTAGGCATATGTTACAGGAGCCGTATGGTAGACATATGTTACAGAAGCCGTATGGTAGGCATATGTTACAGAAGCCGTATGGTAGGCATATCTTACAGAAGCCGTATGGTAGGTTAGTGTTTTGAAGCCGTATGGTAGGCTAGTGTTACAGAAGCCGTATGGTAGGCTAGTGTAACAGAAGCCGTATGGTAGGCTAGTGTTACAGAAGCCGTTTGGTAGGCATATCTTACAGAAGCCGTATGGTAGGCATATCTTACAGAAGCCGTATGGTAGGCAAATGTTACAGAAGCCGTATGGAGGGATATGTTACAGAAGCCGTATGGTAGGCATATCTTACAGAAGCCGTATGGTAGGCTAGTGTTACAGAAGCCGTATGGTAGGCATATGTTACAGAAGCCGTATGGTAGGCTAGTGTTACAGAAGCTGTATGGTAGGCTAGTGTTACAGAAGCCGTATGGTAGGCTAGTGTAACAGAAGCCGTATGGTAGGCTAGTGTTACAGAAGCCGTATGGTAGGCATATCTTACAGAAGCCGTATGGTAGGCAAATGTTACAGAAGCCGTATGGAGGGATATGTTACAGAAGCCGTATGGTAGGCATATCTTACAGAAGCCGTATGGTAGGCTAGTGTTACAGAAGCCGTATGGTAGGCTTGTGTTACAGAAGCCGTATGGTAGGCTACTAGTGTAACAGAAGCCGTATGGTAGGCTAGTGTTACAGAAGCCGTATGGTAGGCTAGTGTTACAGAAGGCTTAGGGGGATTCCGGGTCGGAACAGGCCCTCAGTACCTCATTCCTGTCATAACAGACGTCGACAACGGGCACCGGATGGTCAGAATCTGTGCCCTCCTGATTGCTGTCGTTGGGTCGCTGCCTTTGTTTTGAGTCTATGGTCTGCCTGGCACATGCATTACAGGTCGCCACGATATAGCTGAAATGTCGCTGAATGTGGCGCAGCACTCACCCTGACTGACTGACTGACTGACTGACTCACTCACTCACTCACTCACTCACTCACTCGCAGGACGACAGTTACTATCACTTCTAGGAACAAGTCACATAAGCCTAAGATAAAGAGAGACGAAGGAAAAAGTCCTCTGGGTCCCGTCCCACAAAGCGATCTTAGCGCTAAGACGATCGTAACTCCCATAGTTTAACACAGACGTGTACCACAGCCGTAACGCAAAGATCGCTTTACGGAACGGGGCCCTTGTGCACTCTTACCGGGTTCCTGAAGCACTGTTCCACCTGAAACGACTCAATGTCTGCTACAACTTCGCCGTCAGATCTGATGCGATATACCAATAGCGTTGCTTCCGGGGCCATGGCGCAGGACACGTTCAAGTAGACGTTGATGTTAGGGACATCGGGTGCAAACCGCTTGGCAGAAGAACCTGAGAACAAAATTCAGGTCCAATCCATGGCGCGTCGCATGTACTGTGAGGCAATAATAACGCACATCAAATACGAAAAATGGCATTTATTTCATATCATGTGAAAAACGATTAATGTATGCAATCACATGACATCTAAAAACGTCAAACAACGCGGGGTCTGTACAATCACAGGCCCAGTGGCCATCTTGGGCAGCGATGGAGTTTGAAGTCTGCAGGGCGTGAATATACACAGACGATGGACCAGAGCGTGTGGCGCTGCTGTCCAATGGAACCGCAAAGCTTCAGTAAGCTCTACACCATAGATTAGAGGGTTCATTTCACATCGAAAAGGGCGACACAAATGCTCGATTGGAATCATGTGTGGTGATTGGGAAGGCCATTGCAAGACGGTTAAATGCTTTTTCATTGTGTCGTCCAGCATTGGGTCTCGTACTCTCATGTTGAAATACGTGTCTGCCCTTACACTGACGTTGTGTGGACTATTTCTGGTATCCTCCGCTGTGATATTGCTAGAATATTGCTAAAGGTGGCGTAAAACCATACTCACTCACTCTCTAATGCTGTATCGGCAAAAGGAGGAGAATCGGTCGTAAAATGTTGTCGATGCTGCCCTAGCTTATTTTCAGGTTACCTGAAATAATGACCAACTGGGATCGGAAATGCGCGTTGACTGCTTCCCAAACCATAACACCGCCACCGCAAACGACCTCACTCAATAATGACGCCGCAAAACCGTGTCCTTGCCGAAGGTACACGCAAAGTCATCCATCAGGACAACTGACGTTGAACCTTGATTCATGGGACAATAAGACGTCTCCAACCCAGAGTTTCACCCGCTACTGTCGTTCGATGTCGTGCAGGTCGATGTTAATGTCTCAAGATCTTTCCACGGAGAGGTCGACGACACCGTAAACCCCAGTGCAGCAAGACGACGTCGCTCGGTTCTGTCACTGATGAGTTGTCGACTCATGAAGCTTTTACAGAGGTGACTCTATCTGTTCTGAATATTACAGTGTGGAACAACTCCTTTGATGACTGATTCCATTAAACAACATGTCGATATCTTGGTTCCTCTGATCATTCGTTAGACGTGACATTTCAATTGAGGCCTTACAGCTTAGGCAACCTGTGTTTTTGAAGGGCATGGATACACATAAAAAGTGTTTGACGCATGCTCATCATTTCGATGCTTTGTCATGTAGCCGCGTTCAGACTTAAACGTCCTATCAAACACAATCAACCCCCATTACATACGCCCGTTATATTCGATGTAGATACATTCACCACATCATCCACGGTGTAAAAAGCATTTATGAATCAAATCATTTATTGATAACTTTGGAATATTCTTTTCAACAAGAAAATACTTAATAATATATTTCAATAACCACGGAGTACATTTGTAAAGTATAACCTCTGAAAGACTAGCTCACGCAAATCGAAATGTAACTTTAGACGCTGTACATACATGATCGTGACAAAATACATAGGGCCTTCCATCGACACCCGATGTCTCGAACTACGGGTAACTAGGATACATTGGATAGTCACATACAGACACCTGGAACATAGTTAGACAGCCAGAATGTTTACAGTGACTAATGTAGCAAGTACTGGAATGAAACTACTGACAAAGTGAGATCGGATCAACGAATGTGATCTGGAAAAAAACTTGAAACCAGTACCATTATCAGCTAAGGTGACATTTTAATCACGATATTGTAACACAACCACTGATGATATCTTCACCCAAATAGGGGGCGGTGGGGTAGCCTAGTGGTTAAAGCGTTCGCTCGTCACGCCGAAGACCCGGGTTCGATTCCCCACATGGATACAATGTGTGAAGCCCATTTCTGGTGCCCTCCGCCGTGATATTGCTGGAATATTGCTAAAAGCGGCGTAAAGCCATACTCACTCACTCACTTCACCCAAATAGGCATTATCCCTTTTAAGTATGGAGCTGCAGAGTTCATACGACGATTTCTCTCCAGACGTCGGATCGGATGAAGAGGCATCTGGAGCATCTGGAGCAAAGATGCTTCCAATTCATGTATATTCTCTACAGGAGGCCCCAGTGCCGGTATACGACATCTAAGATGTCCCAAATGTGCCACAGCGGATTCAGATCTGGACTTATGACGGACCAAGACAGAGCCGCCACAGTCTGGGAACGACGGAGACTGGCGTTGTCATCCTCGAACAGAAGTCTTGTGGCGTGTGGGTGGTTGTCGTAATGGGGGAAAACAACCGGTTCCAGGATGACCTGTGAGGTTGCCTTTTATGGTAAACAGGCCCTGCTCCTCAGTGATAATGCAGTATGCCTGTGCCTCCAAGCCCTCAGCCGTCCATCCGTGACATTAAGCAGCTTTCATCAGACCAATGGATTTTCCGCCTGGTTCTCGGACTCTCTGGTGGTGATCTGCCAGTATGGATTTTTATTGCTTTCCTGGACGCCATTCCGTTGCTATCTAGCGGTTCCTTAAGGTTCTGGTGGACTGAACTCCTGATCATAGAAGATCCTTCACACCAATGGTTTGACCTTGTTTTCTCACCAATCGGTGATCACTGTGTAAGCCAAGCCATGTTGACGCCTGGTAGCTTTTAGAGTCAACTCCGTGGAATGAATTTCGATTATTTGCCATCAGATCACCTCTAATTTCCTCCTTCGTGCCATATTCATAGGGAATGATTAAACATTGAACGACAGCGGATTTTGATACCGAAAATTGATGCCTGAACATATTGCATTTTGAAGAAGGCTTAAGTGGCATGCTCAAACATGAAAATATAAATTGTCCATGCAATAGAAACCAGCCTATGAAATTATATGAATGGACCCCTGAAACACCATACTTGTCAAATCATCATTGCCATTACACTTGAGACCGCCTCCGTGGTCCAGTGGTAGAGCGTCCGCCCGGAGAGCGGAAGGTCCGGGCTTCGATCCCCGATCGCGTCATACTAAAAGACGCTTAAAGATGGTACTTGTTGTTATCCTGTCTGGCGCTCGGCATTAAGGGGCTAAAATAAGGACTGGTCGGCTCAGAGTCAGTATAATTTGTCCGAGAGGGGTATTCATGTTAAACTGCAGCATGGTATATCAGTGTGCTAGCACTATTAATCGGCATCAGTCCGGACTAGTACAAGCATCAGAATCGGCATCACAGCCACAGACACGTGCATGCACGTCGCTATATAAGTGAAATAATCTTGGACGCGACGTTAAACCCCATTCCACACCACCTCACCATTACACTTGATAGTAACATGAACGTTATAATACATTTTCTCAGCGGGCGCTTACCATTTTTCCAGATGAATAATTTGTTGTTTTGTGCACTATATTAAACATATTTAAGTTTCTTACAATATTTCAGGTTCCGGCACCATGGTTGGCGGCTCCGGTGGGTACCATCCGACTGCTTCCTCACTGTGTACTTGTTGTGGCTGTGATGCATTATACGCCCTCTACTCATTACCTGGAGTGAGGAGGCAGATGAGAGATTACATCCTCAGCTAACAAAACAGTCTCTTAAATTAGTTTCTCTAAATACAGTAAACTACGGTTATAACGAACACGCTTATAACGAACTAACGGATATAACGAACTAATTTTTTAGTCCCGACTACTTGCTGTAGTTATACTGTAGATATGCTTATAACGAATTACGGTTATAACGAACTAAAATTAGTAGTCCCTTTGAGTTCGTTATAACCGTAGTTTAATGAACTATAGTTACCTGGGTAACCACCCGGAAAGCCTTTTTCGGTGGATTCGTAAGATATAATACGATTGGTTGAAGACCTGGAGAGATAAGCTTGCTGATAGGTTGAATTTCGATGTAACTATCACTGGGAGAGAACCATTGTGTTGCCTCAAAAGAGAAAGAGACCCGCGGTGCAGCGTCCGTGTCTGTTAGCTGAAAGTGGAAAGGGTTGGTGACATAAGTTTGATTCAAACACCAACGTCTGAATGTGTACGACTAATTAGAAACCTGATTTGGAACAGAAAGCGTCAATACGAGGTTTCAAATTTAACACCTACGTTCCCTTTATTCATAAAACAGCAGGGTTGTATCCTAATTTGAAACCCCTGGCGTACAAGTCTATAACATCATGGATGCATTCATGTTTGACATGTATTCTCTTATTTGACTAAGCGGGTATGTGTGGGATGTCACTCTATTGTTCAGGTAGCGTTTGTAAGATGCGGAAGAGCATTTATGGATGACAACGTCCACAACTACAGAGAAGGCATCGTGTTTATTAACAGGGACTACATCGTCTACGGCTACAGAGAACACATCGTGTAGTGTTACAGGGACGACATCGTCTACGGCTACAGAGAAGACATCGGGTATAGTTACAGGGACGACATCGTCTACGGCTACAGAGAAGACATCGAGTATTGTTACAGGGACGACATCGTCTACGGCTACAGAGAAGACATCGTGTATAGTTACAGGGACGACATCGTCTACGGCTACAGAGAAGACATCGAGTATTGTTACAGGGACGACATCGTCTACGGCTACAGAGAACACATCGTGTATAGTTACAGGGACGACATCGTCTACGGCTTCAGAGAAGACATGGTGTATAGTTACAGGGACGACATCGTCTACGGCTACAGAGAAGACATCGAGTATTGTTACAGGGACGACATCGTCTACGGCTACAGAGAAGACATCGAGTATTGTTACAGGGACGACATCGTCTACGGCTACAGAGAAGACATCGGGTATAGTTACAGGGACGACATCGTCTACGGCTACAGAGAAGACATCGTGTATAGTTACAGGGACGACATCGTCTACGGCTACAGAGAACACATCGTGTATAGTTACAGGGACGACATCGTCTACGGCTACAGAGAAGACATCGTGTATAGTTACAGGGACGACATCGTCTACGGCTACAGAGAACACATCGGGTATAGTTACAGGGACGACATCGTCTACGGCTACAGAGAAGACATCGAGTATTGTTACAGGGACGACATCGTCTACGGCTACAGAGAAGACATCGGGTATAGTTACAGGGACGACATCGTCTACGGCTACAGGGAAGACATCGGGTATAGTTACAGGGACGACATCGTCTACGGCTACAGGGAAGACATCGGGTATAGTTACAGGGACGACATCGTCTACGGCTACAGAGAAGACATCGGGTATAGTTACAGGGACGACATCGTCTACGGCTACAGAGAAGACATCGTGTATAGTTACAGGGACGACATCGTCTACGGCTACAGAGAACACATCGTGTATAGTTACAGGGACGACATCGTCTACGGCTACAGAGAAGACATCGTGTATAGTTACAGGGACGACATCGTCTACGGCTACAGAGAACACATCGGGTATAGTTACAGGGACGACATCGTCTACGGCTACAGAGAAGACATCGAGTATTGTTACAGGGACGACATCGTCTACGGCTACAGAGAAGACATCGTGTATAGTTACAGGGACGACATCGTCTACGGCTACAGGGAAGACATCGGGTATAGTTACAGGGACGACATCGTCTACGGCTACAGAGAAGACATCGGGTATAGTGCCAGGGACGACATCGTCTACGGCTACAGAGAAGACATCGAGTATTGTTACAGGGACGACATCGTCTACGGCTACAGGGAAGACATCGGGTATAGTAACAGGGACGACATCCTCTACGGCTTCGGAGAAGACATCGTGTAGTGGTACAAGGACGACATCGTCTACGGCTACAGAGAAGACATCGTGTATAGTAACAGGGACGACTTCCTCTACGGCTTCAGAGAAGACATCGTGTAGTGTTACAAGGACGACATCGTCTACGACTACAGAGAAGACATCGAGTATCTCAACTTCTATTCTTTAACACACCCTTAATTGTAGCCCTGATGCCGCTTTGTGGAACAAGACATTCAACGTTATACAAACCACAAATTTTATCTTCGGTTTCTCTGTGCCAACTCGAGGGAAGAAATAAGTAGCAAAGCCTTTTTTGTCAATGAGGATCTTCTTATCAAACCCAATCTCCGCACAGGTCAGTGCCATGATGTGACCAGCCGCCGGGATACCGTCCTGGGCGTTGGTGACGAGAGCCTGGAACGGCAATATCAACATTGTTAGACGACGTCACCACTGCATTTGGGGGTGAAGCCACACATAAGCCGGGTATTGTGCTGTAAGTATACACGCGGGGTGCTGGATACACTGAAGGTTTTATGGACATGCTGAATGCGGCATTAGTAAATCAAGAGACGACAGGCGGATTTATGAGTAAGTGAGTGAGTGAGTTGGGTTTAACGCCGCTTTTAACAGTATTCCAGTTATATCGCGGCGTGTCAGCTTAATGTGGGAGGAAAGCCCGAAGTGATGCAGGTCTCAGACGTTTACCACTTCGGTGAAACCCACGAGCACGGGTATGGTGCTGACAAACCTAGAAACATTATCGGGGCGACCGGGATTCGAACCCACAATCATAGATTTCTGGCGTGCCCAAGGGACGCAAATCTGCACAGCGTATCGCGGCGCCTTAGACGACTGGGCCACCCGTGCCCCCCGGATTTATGAAGTAATGTTTAATTCAAATTTGATCCAGGGTAAAATAAAATCTTCAGCAACAAATTGCTATACTTTCAATGGAGTTAGTGAGATGGGTTTTTCGCTGCTTTTAGCACTAATCCACGTTACAGTAGAGGACACCAGAAATGGGCTTTACATATTGTACCCATGTGGGGAATCGAACCCGGGTTTACGGTGTGACGGGCGAACACTTTAACCACTAGGCTATCACACCACTCTTGTTCACGATCAGTGGAAGAGCATGAAAACCGTAAAGACACAAGATTCTGATTGTATTCTGTATAGGTTTAAAGTCTATATGCTACCCCTTCATCGGGTGAATAACCTACAATGGTTGCTGAAAACACACACATGGTATATATTCTACAGAAGCTTGTATGCTTACGCACTGCAAGTAACCTCTTCTCTGTTGTATGTGGCGGATTTATGTGATAACATTTTGCCAATGTGATGGCCATGTTTTGAATAGACTGACTATAAGATGCTACTATTGTGTTTGAAAGAAACGACTTAATCGGCGAAACCTCGACAGTACGGACCCTGTGAATACGAAACCTCCGTATACAGACAACTATTTGATCGAAACGTTCATATTATTAACTAGAAATTGCTACGTACTCATGATTTGTTAAGGTGGGATAAGTGCCCCTCTTGACCCCGACCCGTGAAGTTCCGGGGTAGAATTGGTCTTCAGCAACCCATGCTTGCCGTAAAAGGCGACTATACTTGTCGTAAGAGGCGACTGACCGATCGGGTGGTCAGGCTCGCTGACTTGGTTGGTGCATGTCAACGATCCAAATTGTGTGGATTGATGCTCATGATATCAATCACTGGATTGTCTGGTCCAGACTCGATTATTTACAGACCGCCGTCATATAGCTGGAATATTGTTGAGTGCGGCGTTAAATAACAAACCAACCAACCCTCTTGACCCACGGGATTTGAACAATTTAATCAAAGTGTCAAAAAGAACTTTACTTTGTTCATTTCAACGCATCATATTTGGGATTTACAACAAAACAAATGAATAAGTAAATATAAGTTATTGATAAAACATTATAATGCTGATTTGAGAGGTTTTTAGGAACGTTATTCTAATATTAATTTTTAGCATTTTGTGTCATTTTTGAGCAAGGTCTCGGCCTTAAGCATAAGTGGAGTGGAGTGAGCATGGTTTTTACGCCGCTTTTAGCAATATTCCAGCAATATCACAGCGGGGGACACCAGAAATGGGCATCACACATTGTACCCATGTCGGGAATCGAACCCGGGTCTTCGGCGTGACGAGCGAACGCTTTAACCACTAGGCTACCCGACCGCCCCTCTTAAGTATAAGCTGATAGGTAAAGACTAAGGGTTAAAAAATCATAACTTGCTCTTAATTACTTTTTCTCTTCATGTTCGAAAACCTTTGTCAATCATTTTCGCCATGTTTATGCACGCGATCATGTTAGTAGTGAGTTGTAGTCAGAAGCCAAGACTGAAAAGTTTTCCTTAATCGACTCTGCTTTTGGCAGATATTACTTATGAATATTGAAAGTGTTTTGTCGTTTATATTTCAAATTTGACTTTTCAAGTGGGGCATCATCCTTTCTATTCCGGACGTTTTTTCGTCCGGACTGACAGGGTTTCACTGTAGGGGACACAACATAATATAGCCTTCATTCGTGAACGATATAATGGTGGTATGTCGATCATGCACAGATGTGGTTTTTACCCTGTATTCAAATGGGAGCTGTGGCTTGAAGTACTTCCTTGTGTGGGAACCGACGTCAGCGTGTAGGGAGAAGGTGGTAATGGTTGGCCCTTCTTTTGTCTGGTTTACCATCAGGCCTGGTTGACACAAACACAGAGACCGGTTACACTGATGTCAGAAAATGTATTACTAAATACCATATGGCAGATCAGTAACGCACATACCCAACAATAAAGCACTCATCAATACCCTATTTATAATATTATTATTATTATTGAGTGAATGATGTGTTATGTCTCAAGCAGAAACGTAACAGACATCATGACGGTGGATCAGATAACCCAGTGACTGAGATCATGAGCATGGATCAATACAGCTGGTCACGCATTGCTACCACCAGACCATTTTCTTGTCGGCTCCTACAAACAGAGGACTGGGTGCCTATCTGCGCTTTACTATACATGGAGTGAACTTTTGTCATGCTGAATTTGAATTCATTAGAGGTTTCATAGTTTACTCAGGCGGAGAACTATCGTTTGTCAAAGAAGAAAACAAACATAATTTTGTGTGGCTCTTGTGAACTCTTCGGCGCGTGATAACGGAGAAACGTACCAGTTGCTTCTTCTAATACAGCGGCGAATGTGCTGATTTTGAGTGAGTTGTAGCGCCTCTGGTAATATGGTCTCAAAAAGGCGGCATCAAATGAATAGGTAAAGCAACCAGTCATCTGAAAATAATAAATATTCATTCAAATAATATAGTAATGTTGATCCGACTTCACCATGCATTAACATTGGGGATGATGGTGGCTCAATATGATTTGACGAATAGCGTTCACTTGGGTTTAACACAAAAGTTAACTTCTATCATCTGTACTATGATCTCGCTCAAGCCGTTCCTGCATCTGACCACCCACAGTGGTGTACACGACTAGTCGTTCATACATCTGACCACCCAAGGTTGTGTAGACGACTAGTGGCTCATACATCTGACCACCCACAGTGGTGTACACGACTAGTCGTTCATACGTCTGACCATGCACAGTGGTGTACATGACTAGTCGTTCATACATCTGACCACCCACAGTGGTGTACACGACTAGTCGTTCATACATCTGTCCACCCAGAGTGGTGTACACGACTAGTAATTCATACATCTGACCACCCACAGTGGTGTACATGACCAGTCGCTCATACATCTGACCACCCACAGTGGTGTACATGACCAGTCACTCATACATCTGACCACGCACATTGGTGTACATGACTAGTCGTTCATACATCTGACCACCCACAGTGGTGTACATGACCAGTCGCTCATACATCTGACCATGCACAATGGTGTACATGACTAGTCGTTCATACATCTGACCACCCACAGTGGTGTACACGACTAGTCACTCATACGTCTGACCACGCACAGTGGTGTACATGACCAGTCGCTCATACATCTGACCACCCACAGTGGTGTACATGACCAGTCACTCATACATCTGACCACGCACATTGGTGTACATGACTAGTCGTTCATACATCTGACCACCCACAGTGGTGTACATGACCAGTCGCTCATACATCTGACCATGCACAATGGTGTACATGACCAGTCGCTCATACATCTGACCACCCACAGTGGTGTACATGACCAGTCACTCATACATCTGACCACGCACATTGGTGTACATGACTAGTCGTTCCTATATCTGACCACCCACAGTGGTGTACATGACTAGTCGTTCCAATATCTGACCACCCACAGTGGTGTACATGACTAGTCGTTCCTATATCTGACCACCCACAGTGGTGTACATGACTAGTCGTTCCTATATCTGACCACCCACAGTGGTGTACATGACTAGTCGTTCCAATATCTGACCACCCACAGTGGTGTACATGACTAGTCGTTCCTATATCTGACCACCCACAGTGGTGTACATGACTAGTCGTTCCTATATCTGACCACCCACAGTGGTGTACGTGACTAGTCGTTCCTATATCGGACCACCCACAGTGGTGTACATGACTATAGGGATTAAGCATGAAACGCCTGAGATGCTCACCTCCCCATGAATGACGGCACATGGTCTCGTGCTCGTGCTGTACGTCTGATAGGAATCCGTGACGCACGTTTCCACCATGACCTTGCCCTTCACGGGCTGGCCATATGTATACCTGAAAGCAGCAGGTGTATCGATACAAAGTGGTATACAGGATGTGACAGTATTATATAGCTAACACCCACCGGCCGTTATACGACAGTACGATATAACTAACACACCAACTGCCCTTTATACCAAAGTATGATATAACTAACACACCATCTGGCCGTTATACCACAGTATGATATAACTAACACATCACTTGGCCGTTATACCACAATATTATATAACTAACGCACCATGTGGCCGTTATACCACAGTACGATATAACTAACACACCATCTACCCTTTATACCAAAGTATGATATAACTAACACACCATCTGGCCGTTATACCACAGTATGATATTACTAACACATCACTTGGCCGTTCTACCACAGTATTATATAACTTACTCACCATATGGCCTTTATACAACCGTATAATATAAAGAACACATCACCTGGCCGTTATACCTAAGTATTATATAACTAACACACCATCTGACCCTTATGCCACAGTATGATATAACTAACACATCACCTAGCCGTTATACCACAGTATTATATAACTAACACACCATCTGGTCGATATATCACCGTGTTATATAACGGACACATCACCTGGCCGGTACACCACAGTATGATATAACTAACACTATCTGGCGGCTATACCACCATATTATATAATGAACACATCACCTGGCCGTTATACCACAGTACGATATGACTAATAGACTATCTATGCTTTATGCCACAGTTTTCTTTTAATCCTTCTGTTACCTATTCCATTATTTCTTGCTTCTGATCCCATGGGATAGTATAGCCCGACAGTGTTGCTTTGTAAGATGTATATCCACAGAAGGGGACCGACCGACCTACGAAACCATATCGCTTTTTTTTTTCAAACTATGAGGCCGAATATCAAATGATCGGTCCTCAAGCACTCACTTGCAGCAAACCTCTCCCGTTATGGTTTCCGTCTTGTCGTCAACTCGCTTTGGGGGAGACAGCGTCATCACAAATTTGGGTAGCACTGTCAGAATAAACAAATAGAACATAAGGGTGTTACTACTACTGCACGTCTAGGGCACCTTCCTAAGCTTCCCAGGGGCGGTCGGGTAGCCTAGTGGTTAAGGCGTTAGCTCGTCACGCCGAAGACCCGGGTTCGATTCCCGACATGGGTACAATGTGTGAAGCCCATTTCTGGTGTCCCCCGCCGTGATATTGCTGGAATATTGCTAAAAGCGGCGTAAAACCATACTCACTCACTCACTCACTCCTAAGCTTCCCCACTCATCCTTAATCCTTCACATCCACCCTCAACCCATTGCAACATCCACACGGCAAACCCTTCAGTTTCCGCAGTCGTTTGGAAGGGTCCGTATGTTCGAGTCACATTAACAAACGAGTACTACCGTATTCGGATACTTTAAACTGGGTTCGCGTCTGGCTGCCTCCCGTCTCCACCATTATCACCCAGTCTCCGAGCAGTGGCTCCGCCGCCAGCTGGAACTCCAGGGTCAGCATCCCTGAGGATGAGAGGGACAGACAAATAGAAACACTTCAACACTTAGTCAAACTTCCAACAAATACAGGGGCGGTCGGGTAGCCTAGTGGTTAAAACGTTCGCGTGACGCCGAAGACCCGGATTCGATTCCCGACATGAGTACAATGTGTGTAGCCCTTTTCTGGTGTCCCCCGCAGTGATATTGCTGGAATATTGCTAAAAGCTGCGTAAAACAATACTCACTCACACTCAAACAAACAAACAAGCACAAAACGTGTCATTAAGGTTTTCATATTGCTTCTATAATAGTTTCAAACTAATTATCATAAAACATATATGAATACCCGGAAATCAGTAAGTCAACATTTTCACCAGTGAAGCAACAGATACATGAAAAAATAGCTGACACAATAAGATTAAATGTTCATCTGTGATGGAAGGTAATAAGCTGACCAGTTAACAAGTTCACCTACCCACAATGTGCGAGTACATACCGTTTCCGTTTTCAAGATCTCGCCATTGCTTCATGATGACGTCACTCGGTGTTATTATACGAACAATAGAAATCTGCAAATAACATGAAAATGCTCAAAGACAAAGTAGGAGGGGTGAGGGGGGTGACCTGAAGAGATAAATATATCTGCATTCTATATGAAGTAACAGATGTAGGGGACTTACATCTGTTACCCCCTACACAGGACACTAATGGCCGCCCTAAGTAGTTGGGATACCTACCTTGTCCAAGACAGGCATTAAATCGGAGTCGATGGTCATGACCCGGAATCTCACTGCAAAATAGATATCAGGGTTGTTTTATGCTGAAACATACCAGCTATCACCAACGGTAAAGGTACTGATGGAGTGGGTTGCATTGTGTGAAAAACGGCTGTGATTATTTTTTTAATGTCACGTGTCTAGTATATAGATTCGCAATCTAAATTCTCGGCATGATGTACTGTGTGGATTATGTTTGTAAGTAAGGAGCACACGTATTCGCACTGAAATTGCTAATCATGACATCTGAGAATTGGACAGCTCATCGCTGTTGGAAAATCCATTGGGTTTTGGCTATTGTCTCCCACATACATACGTTTAAGTACATAGCATATAGAGCAGAGGTACAGAAGCTCACCCTTCTCTATTTCTCAGTGACCAAAACTTGTGTAGTGGGGATGTGCAAAACCAGTTCATTTTGATTACGAAGGACTCTGAGCGCCAAGACGAACGTACCTCTATATCTTTATCACTGTATTTATAGATTATCGATCTCTAAGATCGTGGGAGAATGTAGTTTCGGGGCTAACCGACAGTGAGACGGATGGAGTGATGGACGATCCATATCATAAGTTCATCCATGTCAAGACGAGTTGAAATCGCTTGCTTAAATGAAAACCAACGACAAGTTTGAAACCAGGCACGTCAGATCCCTATACCATCCATACAATTGGACCACAACGCTACACCGGATTCCTCCATACCTAGACCGCCTCCGTGGTCTAGTAGTTGAGCGTCCGCCCGGAGGGCGGAAGGTCCGGTGTTCGATCCCCGGCCGCCTCACACCAAAAAACGTTAAAAAATGGCACTTGTTGTTACCCTGTCTGGCGCTCGGCATTAAGGGTTTTCATGCAATTTCATTAAAATCAGATCTAAGTTCTCGCTGGCGCTAAGATCTGAGGACATCCCATCATGGGTCACGTCAGAACGACCTTTCGCGAACTTTGACCGACCACTGAAACAACTAACAAGAAATCGACATCAGCCAATTAGAAAGCAGCTTTCTCGAGCTATACGGCACTCGTTTCAACCTGGCGACTTCCATTTCAGACTACGCTTGAAAAAAATTGTTGACACAGTTCTCTATCAAAATTTTGAAAACTGAACAAACGAACATTCCGGAATGTCTAATATATGGTTGCGATTGTATGGCTGTGCTTCTCACGTACTGTGCAACGCCTCCTCCCACGGAAGCGAGAGATAGACGACAATTTTGACGGAATCAGTCGTATGGGCCGTAACTGTCTTTCGGAATACCCCGTGTTAACCTTTTCGAGGTTGCATGATTAGAAAAGAAATTCCGATTGTCATTTTCATGATCTGGTAAGCGACGCTTTGATTGGTCGGATGAAAGGTCGTTCTGACGGACCCGTACTGGGATGTGCTCAGATCGTTGTTTAGCGATAGCGAGAACTAAGATCTGATTTAAGGAGATTGGGTTTTCATGTTAAACTGCGACATGGTATCTCAGTGGGCCAGCATTATAAAATCGGCATCAGTTGGGACTCGTACAAGCAGTCACACACACGTGCATGCACGTCGCTATATAAGTGCAATAATCTTGGACGCGATGTTGAAACCATATTTCACCCCACCTCTGCACCATACCTTACCTAGCTGTCCAGGCTTGTAGATTGGTTTGTCCGAGTGTATATAGGTTGTTCGCTGGGGGGCTGTCGTTGCGAAGTAGAAGGAACTGTGTATAAGTACTCCTCCAGGCCCGATCATGCTCAAAACTAGCTTGTTTGGCGCTCCAGCCACTTCGATGGGTATGGTAAAGGTGATACACCCGCCTTTGCCTGTATAATAGAGTGTGTGAGTGAGTGAGTATAGTTTTACGCCACTTTTAGCAATATTCAAGCAATATTACGGCGGGGGACACCAGAAATGGGCTTCACAGATTGTACCCATGTCGGGAATCGAACCCGGGTCTTCGGCGTGACGATCGAACGCTTTAACCACTAGGCTACCCGACCGCCCTGCCTGTACAATAGAGTGAGTGACTTGGGTTTAATGCTGTACCTGACCAGGGCCCACTTGCACAAAACGATCTTAGCGCTAAGACTATTGTAAGCCTATGCAAAAGTATGGGAGTTACGATAGTAATTAGTGTAATTATATCACATGCCAGCATTACGTGGAGGACATTCCAAGGTCATGCAGGTCACGTTGGGAAACCACTAGCACGGGCATGATGCTAACAGACCAAGTATCATAATCGGCTGAATCTTGGATGTTGGGATCCCTCGGCAAGCGGATCCGCATTCCTCCAAGGCAACCAGTCGAACCACGTGGACATAAAGTACTCAGTAGAGCTGGATCATTAGCGACGAGGGGATATCACGTGATACCCTTATACCCGTCATGTACAAGATTGACTGGTTCATCGTCTGGATATTCCGGCAGAATGGGGTTGAGCTGGCCACAATCACAGTATTTGCAGTATTTGTGACTACAATGAGTCATACCATGACTGCGTCACCAGCTCACGGCGGCGTTGATTCCACCGGGTAACCTCGAAGCAGGCTGTTTGATTTGGTAATCGGACTTCATTCTCACAGCTGAAAGTTGACTTAGAGTTCTCACCTTTCCTGTATTTCTGTCCCTGGTAGAAGTATCTGTTGCCGGAGGACTCCAGCGTGTAGTACACGTCCATACGGTTGTACTTGTACAGTGTCAGACAGATCCTCTGTTGTTTCCCCACCTCCATCGCCTTGGGCATCGTCAGCAGGTAACTCCTAATAGCAGAGAGTAAATGAATACCTAGAACATCATCACCACACCCGCGACCGTGCGTTTCATCAGATCAGGGGGTGGGGAGCTTAGCTTAATGCTGTACCTGACCAGGGCCGACTTGCACAAAACGATCTTAGCGCTAAGGCTATTGTAAGCCTTTGTTAAAGTATGGGAGTTACGATGATCTTAGCTTAGACTGTTGCCACTGTTGCCAACAGCTTCTTTCCCCTTCATATGTGCATTAATGAGTAAACTTGGATTTTAGTTTTAGATTAATCTATTGGTAAAACACTAACCAGTCTTTAGGCAAAGTGGGCGGGTGAGTGAATTTTGTTTAACGCCGCTATGTTCCAGTTATATTACGTGTCAGCTAAATGTGGGAGGAAAGCCCCAAGTGATGCAGGTCTCAGACGTTTGTGAAACCCACGAGCACGGGTATGGTGCTGACAAACCTAGAAACATAATCGGGGTGAATCGGAACTCGAACCAACGACCATACATTTGTGGCGTGTCCAAGGGACAGCGACTTTCGGCAGCGCCTTAGACGACTGGGCCACCCGTGCCCAAAGATGTACAGGATGACACATTATTTTGGACCCACAATACGGGGTTTTCCTTCAGTCCACAATGAACTATCAATTTTTAAACAAATTCAATCCTGAACAAATTTTTTTTACATTTGCAATTTTTCAGTCCTGGGACAATTTCGTTTCAATACTTCATGAAACAAATTACGTTTTTCATTAAAAGCATACGATAGTGCCCCTTGGGTAAATCTTAACGTCACAGAGAGAGTAAGCTTCGCCTGAAGGTCGCACCGTGAGACCTTGTCAATAGTGGGTAACTCTCGGTAACAACGGAAGGTCGGGGGTTCGATACCCGGCCGCGTCATACCAAAAGACGTTAAAGATGGTTCTTGTTGTTACCCTGCCTGGTGCTCAGCATTAAAGGGATAAAACAAGACCTGGTCGGCTCGGAGTCAGAGTAGTGTGTCTGTAGTCATGTTAAACTGCGTCGTAGTATCTCAGTGGGCTAGCAATAGAAAATCGACATTAGTCCGGACTAGTGCAAGCAGCCACACACACGCACACACACGTGTATCCCTAATAATCTGCTGTTATAATGGAAATAATCTTGAACGCGATGTTAAAGCCCATTCCATCTCACCACCACACGACCTCGGTAACAGAGATGAAACCGTCTGGGTTATGCCACATTAAACAGAAAACGTTGGATCAAATAACGATCATAGCATTACATAATTTATCAAGTAACTTGATTAAACCACGTGAGAATATTTTCTAAGATAGTTTTTGTATGAATGGTAACAAAGGATTCTTATAAAATACATCTATGTGTGAAGATTAGTGTTTAATATATAGACTGCATAAGCAATTATATTAAAAGCATCATATTATAGTTATTAACCGAGATTCTCGTCACGATGTATAGAGTTAAGACAACGATACTGACGTCTACTTAAGACGTTCCGGGCGCCGGATGTAAGGAGGGGAGAGACAGATGAGATAGGACTGGCGGATCTCTTGACAACCTCCACGCTTGCTGCTTGAATCTCAAACAGTGTGGCTTATGGTACGGACTTTATATGGCGAAAGGTCCTTTAAATTCAGGTTCACAAAAGAAAAACGCCGCTGGCAATACACACAAAGCTTATAATACATATATTAGAATGCTTCACCTAAAAATTGTAAACACTGAAATAGGTATGGCTCAAACTAAATATACAATTTTACAGATGGGCTTCTGTTATAAGACTGTCGTCCTTCGGGCGGTCGGGTAGCCTAGTGGTTAAAGCGTTCGCTCGTCACGACGAAGACCCGGGTTCGATTCCCGACATGGGTACAATGTGTGAAGCCTATTTCTGGTGTCCCCCGCCGTGATATTGCTGGAATATTGTTAAAACCGGCGTAAAACCATCGTCCTTGACATCTGATACTGGATAAGCGATGTCAGTAACCGATAAATACACTGCAGGAACCATGTAGGCGGTGTTTTACTAAAGATGCTTCATGGAGCACTGTTTAAAGTGAAAGTGTCTCGTGAATCATGCCATGAACAGGATAGCATACGTCTTAGTATACCTGTTAAAGCTTCTATTATAGAAGTTTTTAGTGTGTTATATGGTCGGGGCATATACAGGGTATCTTTATACATCTTTAAGTATCTAGTGGGTTGGGCAATAAACGGGATATGGTGCCTCCTACTGTATATCTGTACGTATATAGTTGGTTGAGCGGTAAACGGGATATCGTCCTTCTCTGTATTTATTTAAAAATCTAGTTGGTTGGGCGGTAAACGGGATATCGTTCTGCTCTGTATTTATTTAAAAATGTAGTTGGTTGGGCGGTAAACGGGATATCGTTCTTCCCTGTATTTATTTAAAAATGTAGTTGGTTGGGCGGTAAACGGAATATCGCTTTTCTCTGTATTTATTTAAAAATGTAGTTGGCTGAGCGGTAAACGGGATATCGTTCTTCCCTGTATTTATTTAAAAATGTAGTTGGTTGAGCGGTAAACGGGATATCGTTCTGCTCTGTATTTATTTAAAAATGTAGTTTGTTGAGCGGTAAACGGGATATCGTTCTTCCCTGTATTTATTTAAAAATCTAGTTGGTTGGGCGGTAAACGGAATATCGCTTTTCTCTGTATTTATTTAAAAATGTAGTTGGTTGAGCGGTAAACGGGATATCGTTCTTCTCTGTATTTATTTAAAAATGTAGTTGGTTGAGCGGTAAACGGGATATCGTTCTTCTCTGTATTTATTTAAAAATCTAGTTGATTGAGCGGTAAACGGGATATCGTTCTTCTCTGTATTTATTTTAAAATCTAGTTGGTTGAGCGGTAAACGGGATATCGTTCTTCTCTGTATTTATTTAAAAATCTAGTTGATTGAGCGGTAAACGGGATATCGTTCTTCTCTGTATTTATTTGAAAATCTAGTTGGTTGGGCGGTAAACGGGATATCGTTCTTCTCTGTATTTATTTAAAAATCTAGTTGATTGAGCGGTAAACGGGATATCGTTCTTCTCTGTATTTATTTGAAAATCTAGTTGGTTGGGGATATCGTTCCCTTCTGTATTTATTAATATATTTAGTTGGTTAGGCGGTAAAGGGGATATCGTTCTTCTCTGTATTTATTTGAAAATCTAGTTGGTTGGGCGGTAAACGGGATATCGTTATTCTCTGTATATATTTAAAAAAAATCTAGTTGGTTGGGCCATAACAGTGATATCGTTCCTTTCTGTATTTGGTTGGTTAGTTGGTTAGGCGGTAAAGGGGATATCGTTCTTCTCTGTATTTACTTAAAAATCTAGTTGGCTGGGTCATAACAGGTATATCGTTCCTTTCTGTCGTTATTAATATACCCAGTTGGTTAGGTGGTAAAGGGGATATAGGTCTGCTCTGTATTTATTTAAGTATCTAGTTGGTAAGGCCATAAACGGGATATTGTTCCTCTTTGTATATAAACTGAGGAGCATCAGAAACTATGCATCTTCTCAGTTTATGTTAGCATATGTTTGATTTACAGTTGACAGTTAGTGATAGTATATTAACAAGTTAACTGTACTAGCGCGATGTTCAGCAACAGAAGAATACGTCTACATAGTTTTTATTTTGTAAATATAATTTCACTTTAAAAATTTAACATTCAAAAACGTTTGCATAACACACAACAGCTGAAGGGTATCTTAGACACCTTATCTTTGAAAACCAATAAATGAACATTTTTCGGCACAGATTTACATTTCAAACATGGTAGGGGTCATGTGGTTGCAAATTCATTTTTTACCCCACTCTTCACTGAAACAGTTTGGTTGCATACAAAATTACCCAACCTCAGATTACTTTTTACAAACTGTTGCGGGAAGGAATGAGGGATGCTTAAATAGACACAATCAAATGTAATAATAACAGTCCTTTCAGTTTTCAATTGCAGCAAAAAATACAAAGTCGGTGTACTTTCTATTGCCCCTCAGTTTAATTAAATGTCATTAGTTTGTCATATGAACATAACCGATAACTTTCATAATACACTTTGTAATCTGCAACACCAGTCATACCTGGTGCGTCCCAAAGTATACTAATCAAAAGAAGTTAAAGAACACCTGATTTTTTTTACAGGACAGTAGCTTCTTTGTCAATGAGATTACCTTTGGTCATATGAAGAAATCAGGTGTTCTTTAAGTGTTTGGGATTTTTTTAGTAAAACATATTTCATTCACATGAATAAGTAAAATGAAACGGTTTCAGTCAGTTGACATTTATTCACAGGCCTAGCTGAACCACGATGTGACTGTCCCCAGCAATATATGTTGATCGTAAGAGGTGACCACATCGGGCGCTTGGTTAGGCTCCATGGCTTGGTTGCGTGTGTCATCGTGCCCAGATAGATAGCATCGACATGCTCATGATATCAACCACTGACTTATACTGTCCATACTAGCTTATTTACAGATATCGGTAAACGTCTGACAAGAAGCAACTCACCCGTTATTGTTACCCAGGCATGGCACCACTACAGCAGCAGCGATGAAGAGGAGTGCTGCCAACATGGTGATGGAAAGAAAGCTTCACAGTCCACACTTCCTAATGCAACATTCAAAGGCCGACAAGATGTTGTAAATAAGATAAAGCTGTTATCTGCATGCGTATCACTATCCTAGGGTACCGAAATGTCTTGAAATGTCCTGCTCCTCGCTCTCCAAACTCAGGTAGTGCCAGACAGGACTGCTGGGGACAGCTCACCTGCCCTTAACTCGGGTAGAGCTGGACTGGACTGGACTGTCCGGCACAGCTGACCTGCTTTTAACTCGGGTAGAGCTCGACTGGACTACTGGGTATGCCCAATACTTCCAGACTGCCCATCTAGTGGGCATGTCCTTGGTCTTGATGTAGTGGGAGGAAGTAGTGAAGTATGTAAGTAGATAACTTCCCTTCAATGGGGCTACTGCCTGGCTATGACACCAGGGACGACTGATAATGAGTGGTTATCTTGAAGGATGACTAGGTTCTAGGTATTGTGCACTCTCAGCGTGTTTAAATACAGTCATTATGATAACACTTTACCTATGTAGTAATATATAATACCTATAATAATTTTGTTTTGCAGAATTTGATTCAAAAGTACTTATCTAAGACAAATGGACGATTGTATTGTTTATCTGTTGATTTTTAAAAAGTCTTTGATCGTGTTAATCGTAAACTGTTGTGGTATATTTTGTTAAGAAAATGTAAACATGGTAGAGTTCTTGGGGTAATTAAAGATATGTACTCCAAAGTTACATCAGCCGTTAAGTTATCTAATTATGAAATTCCATGTTTCTTTGATACTTTAAGTGGTGTCAGACAGGGATATCCATTGAGTCCCCTGTTGTTTTCTTTATTTATTGTTGAGCTAGAACTCATGTTGCAATCTTCAGGGCAGAAAGGTATTTTTGTTGGACAGGACTTTGTTGATATTTTGTTTTTATTATATGCAGATGACTTATGTTTATTTGATGACAGCGTTATTAGGCCCTAGAGCAAGATTGATAAACTTAAAAAATGTAGCTTGAAATGGGGATTGCATGTAAACTTGGATAAAACTGAAATTTTAGTTTTCAGGAATGGTGGCAAACTTAGAAATAAAGAGAATTGGAAATTCCGACGCATTAATATCAAAGTTTCTACTTATTACAGCTACCTAGGTAAATATTTTCAAACCGTTTGTGTTGGACTTGGGGCGTAAATACCCTGGTGAATAAGGCTAATAAAGCCCTCTTTGCATTGAAGCAAATAAGAATTCATTTTAAGAATATTCCTATCTCAGCCTTATTAAGATTTTTGATATGCAAATAAAGCCCATATTGCTGTACCCGTCAGAAGTGTGGGATTTTAACAAAGTGCCAGTTGAAAAATTTCATGTGAAATTTTGTAAGTTTGTTTTGGGTGTTGGAAATCATGTAACAAGTGCAGCAGTATAAGGAGATTATGGTAGATATGGATTGTATGTTGATTACCATAAAAGGTGTATTATATATTGGTTACATTTATTATATTTACCTTATACTAGCTACCCAAAGCAATGTTATATACTATTGAAGTCTCTTGATGATGCTGGTCGCATTACATGGGTCACATGTGATAAAAAAATGTTATTTGATTATGGATTGGGATTTTTTTGGATTTCGCAAGAAGTTGGTGATTGTAAAATATTTATGGATACCTTTGTACAAAGACTGAAAGGTGGTTATCAACAAGAATGGTATAGTAAAGTTTGTGAATCTCGTAAATTAATATTCTATAAAGAATTTAAGTTACTTTTGAACGTTAAATTCTATTTAACAAATTTATCTGGCCAACGTTATAGACATATTTATTTCAGTTGCGATCTGGTGAGCTACCCTTGATGAAAAATGTTTGTAGACGCTGTGGTGTTCAATATTCTCAAAGACTTTGTAATTATTGTGACACGCAAGCTGTTGAAGATGAATTCCATTTCATGTTAGTATGTCCATATTATAAGCATTTAAGAAACAGATATTTCCCAAAATATTATTGTCATAACCCATGTTTTAGAAAATTGTACTCTCTAGTGTCATGCAATAAGCAATTGATGTTTTTTATTTGCTGTGCAAAGTCTATATACAACTCTCTGTTAGACAAAACGCACATCTGTCTCAAAATTGATTTTTGTAATTTATTGTACGTGGGCCAATGGCCTTTCTTCTGAATAAATTTTGATTTGATTTACCTATGTAGTATTCCAGTTATATCTCTGCCTGGCAGCTTAATGTGGTAGGAAAACCCGAAGTGATGCAGGTATCAGACGTTTACCACTTCGGTGAAACCCACGAGCACGGGTATGGTGCTGACAAACCTAGAAACAGAAATGTACATGGGCCTATGTCCTCCCATACATGAATAATAAAATTTAAAATTAAAAAAATACTAAAAATACCAACATCAACCTTTCCAGTCCAAAAAGATTACTTCAAGGCCATATCCTTAATCAAGATAAGCTCCCAGGATCACTGACAATGAATGATACAACCATGTTTTACAATAACTGCAAACATGACTTAGACCTTTGATAGACATGGCATGATGGCACCAACATTAGAATGGTAGGATGTGGGAGGTACATGGGTTGGCCAAACGTTCTAAGCCCATCTATATTTCATCATTTCATCATAATCATAGTTGGTTTTCTTGCATAGTATATGATGGACTGTGGGTGCATGGTGGGTGCTACTGGTAGAGCAGGTCATGCTAACCCTTTCCCCAAACATTTCGTGTCATGTCAGTGATCCACTCATGATCCAGAAATAAGCAGAAATGACATCATCATAATTTGCATAATGCTTGACGGACAGTTCAATCTAAGTTTGGGAAGAGGTGGATACAGATGATGTTCAATGATTTCAAAGTGACAGTGTTACATTGTGGCCATGGCGACAACAGACTTCTGCACAGCTGCATTGTCCTGGTGGATCATACCTTTGGTATCCCAGAAAACCAAAGCCACCTCCTTGCCAGCTGATGGAACATACTTCTTCAGACCTTAGATGTAGCTGCAGTAACTGTATCTCCATGTTGCTCCATAAAAGAGTTTTTGATATGACTTGTCACTACACTGAGCTATGTGAAGCTTGTGCCGACAGTGAGGTTTTATGGCTGCCTGTTAGGCTTGGTATTGTGAGGTGAAATGCAGTTCAACGTTGCATCCAAGATTATTGCACTTATATAGCAACCTGCGTGTTTGTGTGTTGGGTGGGGGGTGTCTGCTTATACTAGTCCTGACTAATGCCGATTTATAGTGCTAGCCCACTGAGAGACCATGCCACAGTTCAACATGAATACCCCACTCAGACACATTATACTGACTCCGAGCTGACCAGTCCTTGTTTCAGCCCAAAAATGTCGAGCGCCAAACAGGGTAAAACAAGTACCATCTTTTGACTTCTTTTGATATGACGCAGCCGGGGATCGAACCCTGGACCTTTCACTCTCCAGGCAGACGCTCTACCACTAGACGACGGTGCGGTCCGGCTTGGTATGGTATGAGATACCACCGTGTGACTACCAGCTTGGGTAACTTACGAGGCTGTGTTTAGCAACTCCTGTCAGTGAATAAATGTACATTATGTTGGGAAATGGAGAACAAAAGCTATATGAAAAACCACAAATGTTAATATCATGTTACACCTCTGACTGTAGTGCATATATCCACATTCACGCTATGCTTAACTGATTATTTCTCAGGCACTAACACTCGCATCAACTCTGCTAAGAGAAAACAGGACAAACGATAAGCAATCTCACATTTATTTACTAAAATATATGTAGCAAATATTTGACAATCACATTATCAAACAACTAGCACTCATCCAAAACTAAAAAGTGATGTAATGCTTAAGGAAGACACTGAATCTGGGGTACATGTTACCATAGTTACCAATATCATAAATGTACTAATGATCATGTAAGATTGTAAAGTTTAAATAAATGTATACCTATACCACTTCCTTAAAAGAGAAATGCATACATCATTAATACTGTCAATCTGTATATCAATTGTAGAATCTTGAATTTTGACATATTGCCAAAGGAAAGAGCAGGACCTATTGATAAATAGCAACACCTGTGATTGTTAATCCAAGCATAAGTACTTACCATATTCGACGTAATAAGCGCCCAGGGCGCTCTCAAAATAAGAAATAGGGGGCTCTTATTAGAATATTATTTTGGTATAAAAATAAACAGAGTTGAAAGATAAATTTCGTTGTTTATGCTGTCAGCCTGAAATGTTTATGTACGACAGATATATTTTTCAAAATTAAATGCCATAATTAAGGGTGCATAACACACAAGTGCGTATTATACACGAATAAATAAGTCTTCCGTACATTCATCAATCGGAAGGGGTGCTAATTGGGATTGTTCACTAGCCAATATCTTAGCAAATGTCGCCGTGGGCGCTTATTAGAGCGGGGCGCTTATTACGTTGAATACGGTATTCCAAATGACAATTTCCTATCCTGTCTTTCTTTAACAGCAATAACTGGAACCAATAATTTTGTTAGGATAAAAACTCTCAGACTAGCACTAGCAGTAAATGCTAAAAGATCTCAAAATAAACAATACTGTTAAGGCTTTAAAAAATATAAAAAATTGATTCTCAGGCAATGACTTTTGAAAATATAGTGCGGGGGGCACAGGTTGTTTTATTTTATCTTGTTCAAACTAGTATAAACAGTTGTGTACCATCAACCTGGGAAAGGGCCTCCCTACATACACAAGTATACAAACTCCTTTTGCCGCCACAAACATAACATGAGATCAGCAGTAAAAGCAGTGCGCATGTAAAGGGAAGTAAGTTCGCATTGTTTTTATGTATTAGGAAATAAAAACCCAACATGCAGCGGACTAAATGATGATGAGGGCATTGCCTGAGAACCAAGATTATTATTCTTTTTAGCCCAACATACCAAATAAAAGTTAATACTGAAACACAGATCAGTCTTCACATCACGTCAAATTACAGGTGTTTAAGATGCTTGACGACTTGGCACAACTTGTAGTATACAGTGGAGGATCACCTGGAGCTTGCAACGTCATTCCCCCAGCTGGCAAAGCCTGTCTGAGTATTGTCTGCGTGACAGAGAAAACTTTCAGCATTTGACCCTTCATCATTTGACCTCTCATATCTCTTATTACCTAAATGCTACGACCTGCAGAGGGAGGGGGGGAATGTGACGGACGTTGATGATGAAAGGAGCAGCAGCCGTGCATGAGAGGATGTACAACTGTGTGTTTATTGTTGTGCTATGCCAAATATGGTAATGATGATGGACCTAGGTTGTGAGCTTTCTTGTCAGGTTTAACACAGCGTGTGATTGATGGTTTTGTGTGTTGTTCCACAAAGTAAGACATGGCTACATCCTAGTGTCATGTAATAATTGTGAGCGAGTTGGGTTTAACGCCGCTTTTAACATTATTCCAGTTATATCATGGCGTGGCAGCTTAATGTGGGAGGAAAGCCCGAAGTGATGCAGGTCTCAGACGTTTACCACTTCGGTGAAACCCACGAGCACGGGTATGGTGCTGACAAACCTAGAAACATAATCGGGGTGAACCGGGATTCGAACCCACAATCATAGGTTTCTGGCGTGTCCAGGAGACGCAACTCTGCACAGCGAATCGCGGCGCCTTAGACAACTGGGCCACCGGTGCCCCCTGTCATGTAAAAAAGAATCTCGCCCAAGTGTCTTTGATAACAAATATACAGTTGTATCAACACAGGTCGATAAAAGCTTTTATGTATCATTTAGGTATTTGATATCAAAGGACATGACTTGTAGATTCTATCTATCATCAAACATCAATGTTCCAATTTTTTCAGTTTGTAAACAGTAATAACCAGTCTTGTGTTTGTTTGTTTGTTTTTTAACATCGCACTCAGCAATATTCCAGCTATATGACGGCGGTCTGTATATAATTGAGTCTTGACCAGACACTCCAGTGATTGACATCATGAGCATCGATCCATGCAATTGGGATACAATGACATGTATCAACCAAGTCAGTGAGCCTGACCACCCAATCCCTTTAGTCGCCTCTTACGACAAGCATAGTCGCCTTTTACGGCAAGTAATTTGATGTCATTTGCTCGTGATCGTGATGTCATAGTAACCGATGATGTCACAGTGGTCCAAAAAGCATTTAAATGCAACCTTTTGGGATATCGCTTGATCTCATGTAAACGATATCTCCTTTGGAAGCCAGTTTTGGAGGATAAACAATGGTGTGGGGGAGATGGAGCATGAGAATTTGGTATCGATTTGAAGATTCCAGGGTAGAATAGGTCTTCAGCAACCCATGCTTGTCGAAAGAGTCGACTAATGGGATCGGGTGGTTGGGCTAGCTGACTTGGTTGATGCATGTCATCATATCCCAATTACGTAGATTGATACTCAAGATGTCAACAACTGGATTGTCTGGTCCAGATTATATTATTTATAGACTGCGTCATATAGCTGGAATATTGCTGAGTGCGGCATTAAAATACAAACAAACAAATCTGAAAGACCTGACAATTACCTTCAACTTACCTGTGTTTATTCAAACTTGATTCCCTGAGCTAACGGCAACTCGGTGCTGTAGTTGATGGTACTGAAAAAGTGCATCACACATATGAGTAATGGGCACTGTTTCCATGACCTGATCAGTTTTTTATTGACCCCGCCCCCTACATCCCCTCTTATTAAAGACATTTGCTTGTATCAGATTATAGAAAGAGGCACTATGTTGATCTCACCATGTTGATCTCCGCATGTACTGTTTCCAAGCGTCACTGCCAGACTCACGCCCACCGCCGGTGTGCTTCTCTCCACCTGAAACAGTCCACTAACTACATAGACCAAGGCTCATGACGAAACAGATGGGAACAGAACAGAACAAAACCCTCGTGATTCCTGTGTAGAACTGGTCCCCAGTAATCTCTGCTTGTCTAAGGAAATGACGAAAATGGACAGGGTTGTCAGACTCGGTGACTTGGTTGAATGTACTCAAATGGATTGTGGGTCTGATACACACTGGGATCACTCAGTGTGACCATATTACGACATGGATGGGATCCTGGGTCAGACACACACTAGGATCACTCAGTGTAACCATATTACGACATGGATGGGATCCTGGGTCTGATACACACTGGGATCACTCAGTGTGACCATATTACGACATGGATGGGATCCTGGGTCTGATACACACTGGGATCACTCAGTGTGACCATATTACGACATGGATGGGATCCTGGGTCGGATACACGCTAGGATCACTCAGTGTAACCATATTACGACATGGATGGGATCCTGGGTCGGATACACACTGGGATCACTCAGTGTGACCATATTACGACATGGATGGGATCCTGGGTCGGATACACGCTAGGATCACTCAATGTGTATCTCACAACATGGAGGGATCCTGGGTCGGATACACGCTAGGATCACTCAATGTGTATCTCACAACATGAAGGGATCCTGCGTCGGATGCCTACTCGGATCACTCAGTGTGACCATATTACGACATGGATGGAATCCTTGGTCAAATACACACTAGGATCACTCAGTGTGTATCTCACAACATGGAGAGATCCTGGGTCGGATACACGCTAGGATCACTCAGTGTAACCATATTACGACATGGATGGGATCCTGGGTCTGATACCCACTTGGATCACTCAGTGTGTTTCTAACGACATGGATGGGATCCTGGGTCGGATGCCTACTTGGATCACTCAGTGTGTCCATCTCACAACATGGAGGGATCCTGGGTCCGAAATACACTCGGATCACTCAATGTGTTTCTAACAACATTGAGGGATAGGGGTCGGATGCCTACTTGGATCACTCAGTGTGTCCATCTCACGAAATGGAGGATCCTGGGTCCGAAATACACTCGGATCACTCAATGTGTTTCTAACAACATGGAGGGATAGGGGTCGGATGCCTACTTGGATCACTCAGTGTGTCCATCTCACAACATGGAGGGATCCTGGGTCCAATACACACTCGGATCACTCAATGTGTTTCTAACAACATGGAGGGATAGGGGTCGGATGCCTACTTGGATCACTCAGTGTGTCCATCTCACAACATGGAGGGATCCTGGGTCCAATACACACAAGGATCACTCAGTTGTCCATCCTACAACTGATACCCGCCCGGATAACCCAACTGCAGGGTTTCAGAGATGGATTTACACTTACCAAAAGCTCCTCCTATTTCTGCCCCACTGGTAGGAATGTTCACATTGACTACGCCACAATCAGATCCTTTAGGCCTAAAAAAAGGAAGATTTTTCTCATCAGACTGATTTCCACAAGCAGTAATTTGGGTAGCAAAATAAACTGTCTGTAAGGCAATGGCAGCTTAGTACCTTAGCTTTACTGATCCATGACAGAGTAATTCAGTGAACATTACAGGGAGATCAACAAGTAATTCTTGTAAATAACTAACCATGGGAGCTAACTCTTTATATACAGGCAGCAACAGGAATCACTATAGAAATAACACATCTGAATAACTTGTCAGGCTACAGACATTAACCCATCCGAACATCTTGTTTGGACAACCCACTCACCCCATCCAAACATCTTCTAAGACAACCGACCAAAACCATCCAAACGTCTTGTTATCCACAACCAACCCAACCCATCCAAACATCTTCTAAGACAACCAACCAAAGCCATCAGAACATCTTGTTTTCGACAACCCACTCACCCCATCAAAACATCATCAAAGACAACCTACCCAAACCATCTGAAGATCTTGTTCGGGTTTCTTGTGAATTTAAACTACCTGCCAAATCCATCTGATCATCTTGTTTTAGACAACCTACCCAATTCAACTTCTTGTTTCAATCACCATTGATGAGACAACCCACTCAACCCATATGAAGATGCTATTTTAAACAACCTACCCAATCCACCGGAAGATCTTGTTCGGGTTCCTCGTGAACAAGCTGCTGGTGAGTCCTTGTTTCACTTCATTGTTAAGTTCAACAGCCTCCTCAAAACTCTGAAATGTCACAGTTAGATAATTACCACACAGTACAGCAGTACATGAGTGGACAATGGGTATAGCTTATTCACCATTCATTCCTTCAGTATCACAGCAACATACATGGTTTAAACACTAGCCAACCACGGCCAACACTTTGGGTTAACCTATCCTTCAGTTATATTGATATCATACATACCTTACACTTGAGAGCGTACACAATGGGGGCAAAAGTTTCGCGTTGAACGACTGCAGCATCATGGGCAAGGCCACTGATGATAGTTGGTTCCACAAAGTTCCCTGGACGGTCAATCACCTGCAGAACCCCAGACTCGATTTAGCAATTCCATATTCACTTTATTGAGTGAGTGAGTGAGTGAGTTTGGTTTAAAGCCGCTTTTAACAGTATTCCAGTTATATCACGGCGTGTCAGCTTAATGTGGGAGGAAAGCCCCAAGTGATGCAGGTCTCAGACATTTACCACTTCGGTGAAACCCACGAGCACAGGTATGGTGCTGACAAACCTAGAAACATAATCGGGGCGAAACGGGATTCGAACCCACAATCATAGGTTTCTGGCGTGCCCAAGGGACGCAACTCTGCACTTTATTGAGACATACATTGTACAGCAGACTATAGGAAATCTATCACACAGACTTGAGCACAGAGCCTCATATTATTCCTTCTAGTTCTCCACAAACATGTCTTCTACACTGCGTCTTTACATCTTCGTAGACATAAACTGCCGGCAAAGGAAAGAATACATCTATGTTCTATGGAGTCTAAAAATGAGACACACATGAAATGGTTATTCGATGGTGATGTATTCGTGTTTTGGACCTTAAGTTTTCAGTGTTATGGCAACTGTTTTTAGTCTTATAACGTTTCGTTCATGTTAATATTGTTTGGGCAAATCCAATTTTCAAGTGCATACTTTCTTTTGCCCAGCAGTTTATAGACACATATACTGTCAGAGTAAATATAACAAAAATCAACTATTTTCTCAGTCGCTAAGATGGAGACTGTCACAACAGTATTTTCTTAATCTTCTTCTTTTAAGGACTTGGCATCTATTGAGATATAAACACACACAAAATGACAACCCTAGTCTAGCGTTTGTCCATAGTTTCATGCCCCCATTGGCATTGTTCCACTCCTAACAAAGACTGACCTTGCCTCCATACTCTATCTTGCCTCCCTGTGCCACTGCATCAGACACTGCCTGCTTGTACTGGGCCACGCCCTGCTTACTGTGCAATGGCCCGTACAACACTCCATCTGAAACAACAAACATGCAGATGTAAGTGTCCAGGCCATGTCCTTCACTGCACATTTCGTTCGTTTGTTTGTTGTTTAACGCCGCACTCAGCAATATTCCAGCTATATGACAGTCTGTAAATAATCGAGTCTGGACCAGACAATCCAGTGATTGATATCATGAGCATTGATCCACACAATTGGGATACAATGACATGCATCAACCAAGCCGGCAAGTCTGACCACCTGATCCCATTAGTCACCTCTAAGGACAAACATAGTCGCCTTTTACAGCAAGTATGGGTTGTTGAAGATCTACCCAAGATCTTCACGGGTCTTCACTGCACATCATCTGATCATCTTCTAGCCTTTGCATGAACTATAAATATGATATGATACAAGTTTTGAACCCAATTTTGTACATACCTGCATAATCTGTTATGTTATGTAATTCCATGGTAGGCCTGTGAACATTTTAAAATCTGGGAGAATCCGGCATTCGAACCCATGACCAACAAGCGTGGATGGTCACTACCTGTAGAGCCACTCACCATCGAGGGGGTCCCCTATCCTCAGCTGACCATACGCCTTGACCAGCCTTTCGACTACCTGGTCGTGCACCTTCTCATGGAGAATCTGAAACAGACACAATGAATGTGTAGTCTACAAGAATGATCAGAGAGAGGAGAATCTGGACTGCTGTGATACAATAATGGCACACATGGCTGCTGTGTGAGTTCCACAATCAGCTGACATGCTTTGTCCAGTGTTCCTATGTTACTGGATGCCATCAAGCTCGATGTAAACGACTGACAAAATATACATTTCTGTGCCTGTCCACTAAACTAATATGGGTTTTTCAGATTAAAAACGATGTTTTATTGGTCTGTTTTCAGTCGTACAAATGGGTATCTCTCATACCCTCACGTCTAGTCGCAGGAAGCCCGACATGTTGCCACGTGTAAAATCAAGTCAAACAGTGAAACACGTGTTGAACACAACAATGCATTACCAAGGATTACATTCCAGGAGCCTACAGGGAAGACATATTTATTATTACTTTATTAGAACAACAACTGTAGACAAGCGATAAGTACTAGCAGAATACGAACTAGCAGTATTCTACCGCGAAAGCCTTTCTCGAGCGACCAGCTCAGAGGCGCGCTTAGAGATTTGTGACATGCCATAGGGAGGTGCGTGCGCAACCGGATGGAAACAAGTTTAATGTTTACATTCCAGCTTCTGGCTTTCTTTTAAACGTGCGACTAGACGTGAGGGTATGAGAGATACCCATTTGTACGACTGAAAACAGACCAATAAAACATCGTTTTTAATCTGAAACAGACTAAAACATACTTATTCATCACATAATGTGTAGGATAAAGCCAAATGGATATAAAAAGGAATCTGCTGGGGTCATTTACAGATATATAAAGGTCAGTTAGGTACTACTTTCAGGGTTTACATATGCTATGGCACATCCCTTGTCTATTGGCGATCAGACCCGTGAAGATCCAGGGTAGAATAGGTCTTCAGCAACCCATGCTTGCTGTAAAAGGCAACTATGCTTGTTGTAAGAAGCAACGGGATCGGGTGGTCAGGCTCGCTGACTTGGTTGATGCATATCATCGTATTCCAATTGTGTGGATCGATGCTCATGATGTCAATCACTGGATTGTCTGGTCCAGACTCGATTATTTACAGACCGCCGTCATAATAGACCGCTGGAAAATTGCTGAGTGCGGCGTAAAACAACAAACAAACAAAAAGATAGTGAGTGATTGATCAATGCAGCTCTAGCAGTAGGCAGTGTCTCAGTTGATACAGTATCACACATGATACTAACTATAGACCTACACTGGAAATGAACCCAGGAGCTAAGTTCTTTCTTGTTCATCTTGACAAAATGTTGTCCTCATTCACAACAACAGATAACCTCCAGCAGCTTAATTCTGATCACTATTGGTTCTACAAACAAACCTACTGCATGGTGGCAAACAGAGGGGGACAGTGGGACTGTACAAGGGGGACAACTCCACTCACCAGGCGGCGTGTTGTGGTACATCTCTGACCTGCAGTCCCGGCACAGGCGAACACTCCTGCCCTCACAACCATCTCCAGATCAGCATCCTCATCAACTGACAGAACACAGGGGAATTACTGAGCGCTCGAAGAGTAAGTAGTTGAGAAAATGTCGTTTCCGCTGCAGCAAATACTCCCGCCATATCACTGTCAACAGTCTGGCACAGGCAATCCACTGCCTGGCTGCATACACACACACACTACTACATCTGGGTGAGTGAGTGAGTGAGTATGGTTTAACGCCGCCGTTAGCAATATTTCAGCAATATCACGGCAGGGGACACCAGAAATGGGCCTCATACATTGAACCCATGTGGGGAATCGAACCCGGATTTTCAACGTACCGAGCGAATGCTTTAACCACTAGGCTACCCCACCGCCCCTACTACATGTGAGCAAAGTGACATACACAATGCGATCAGGTCATCAGTATGTTGTCTCGCATGAGAAGGGTACAGATGGTGCAGATGACCTATTCTGGCAGAGGAGTCATGGTGCAGTTACTTCAATCCTGATTAATTAAAGCTCATGAAAGACATAACTCTGGTAGCAGTTTTTTACATATTTAAAGAAATTCAACAGATTAAATTTTCATGTCATGTCTTGTAGCTTGATATTCCATCTTCTATAACATACCTATTATTGCATTGTTTCCACCAAGCTCCAATAAAAACTTGCCTGAAAGAATAAAACACCACTGTTAAAACTTCTAATGCCACCATGTTTTTCACCCTGAAACGAAACCTTCAATTATTCTACTTTAAATTGTAAGTGTAGATGTTTTGATTTGCTGTTTCACAGTGAGTGACTTTTAAGGGGTTAACACATTGATGTCAGTGATATCACAATAAGTCAGCTTCTTGCTGGTGGAAAGCATAAATTGATGCAGGTATCAGACTCCCACTTTGCAGACCCATGAAGCATATCAGTATGGTGTTAAGAAAACTAGGATCAACTGTGTGAATTTGGGAACCCATAATCATCAGATCCTGGCACATCCAAGGGATGCAACTCTACCACAGATTGGTAAGGCAACTGGGCCAATCCGGCTCCTGCTGCTTAACAGAAGTCGTCAGACTATTTGAATGTGATATGAAGTGCTGATGGAGTGCGTGAGTAAGTATGGTTTTATGCCGCTTTTAGCAATAGTCCAGCAATATCACGGGGGGAGACACAGTGGGCTTCGTGCATTGTATCCATGTTGGGAATCGAACCTGGGTCTTCGGCGTGACAAGCAAACGCTTTAACCACTAGGCTACCTGACCACCCTGAAGCGCAAAGGTTTCACAGGAAAGAGAAAACAAACACAAAGGAACATTACCAAATCTCTCCTGGACCATCAGTGACACCTTCTGACCAATCTGCAACAGAACAGTATCATGTTAAATAGCTCAACAGTTACAGAAACTAACACTTCTCATTCAACTTCAAACACAACAGTGCTGCTTTATCTTTTTGCATTCAGAACTGCCCGATTGCATGCATTTTCAAGATGCAGACAATTTATTCATTCAGGGTATTTGCAAGTCTCAACCTAATTGGTTGATTAAATACTTCACCTGACACGACACGATAGAGGAATCTTAGGATCTTAAAAAAGGAAGGTATCGTAAAAAAACAGATTTGAAGGAGATTGAAATCACAGTGAAATCATGGTTGTTTGAAAGCCTAGCAGGAACATCCCATGTCAACATGAATAATGATGTGGTGAAGAGAGTGACTGAATGTTTAATGCCTCAGTTAATATATTCCAGTTTTATTGCATGATTGATATTATGAGCAACGTTCCATGCCTTTGGGGTATAAATACAGGCAATCAACCAAGTCACCGTACTGACCATCTGATCAATTAAGTCACCTCTTGTTACTAGCATAGAATTCTATTTCTGTGTAAATTGAGGACATTCGTCTTCTGTAGTAAAATAATATTTTTCTCATCGATTGACTTGACAAAAATGATATTTACATGAATGGTGCAGCCAAGAGTGAATATGTCGATTTTCATACTGACATTCATGAGTTTACTGAGAAAACCATGGTGTCAGTGAATCAGACTGAAAGTAGTTCCGGCTAAATGAGAAAACCATAGTGTCGGTGAATCAGACTGAAAGTAGTTTCGGCCAAAAGTGTTATTCACTCGCGTGAGACAATATATTATTTTACTTAAGAGAGATATCAATATTATTTTGATAGATTTATTAAATACAGTATTTCATCACAAAATACACAACAATTGACTTTAAAATGATCAAGTAAACCAAGATACATTTGTTTGTTTGGAATTAGTGTACTTACAGGTGTGCTGCCAGTGAAAGACACCAGGTTCACTCTCTCGTCTTTGGCTATCAGGGTCCTGCAGAATACAGACCAGAGTGTCATTAGATAGATATCCTAGTCCGGACCAATGCCAGTTTTAATCATGTTTATAGTGCTATCCCACTGACATAGACAGTTTAACAAAAATACCCCACTCAGACACAGTATACTGACTCTGAGCCGACCAGTCCTTGTTTTAGCCCCTTAATGCCGAGCGCCAGACAGGGTAACAACAAGTACCATCTTTTAACTTATTTTGGTAAGATGCGATCGGGTATCGAACCCCTGATCTTGCTCTCTTCAGGCAGACTCTCTGTCCACTAGGCCACAGAGGTGGTCATGAAACAATTATAAATGCCAGTATCATATTTACACAGATGGCAGGCAAGGGAGCTAACCCAGCAAGGGACATCTAGTGTGACTATCTAACACGATGGACAGAATTTGTATGACTGACTGACAAAAAACCATCACAGATGTTGGGAATAGAACTGGCAATACCACTAACCACTAGACTACCTATTGGATATATTTATATTTATACAGATGGCAGGCAAGGGAGCTAACCCAGCAAGAGACATCTAGTGTGACTATCTAACACGATAGACAGAATTTGTATGACTGAGTGACAAAAAACCATCGCAGATGTTGGGAATAGAACTGGCAATACCACTAACCACTAGACTACCTATTGGATATACTTATATTTATACAGATGGCAGGCAAGGGAGCTAACCCAGCAAGAGACATCTAGTGTGACTATCTAACACGATAGACAGAATTTGTATGACTGACTGACAAAAAACCATCGCAGATGTTGGGAATAGAACTGGCAATACCACTAACCACTAGACTACCTATTGGATATATTTATATTTATACAGATGGCAGGCAAGGGAGCTTACCCAGCAAGGGACATCTAGTGTGACTATCTAACACGATAGACAGAATTTGTATGACTGAGTGACAAAAAACCACCGCAGATGTTGGGAATAGAACTGGCAATACCACTAACCACTAGACTACCTATTGGGTAAACAAGTCAACAACCCAGATGGCTTCCTCACCCGATATCAGCACCACCACAGACCAAGGAGCACACTGACCCCGGGATGTTGTTGTCCTCTAACACCTTAGATACAATCCTGAAATAATAAAACAAGCAAATAACAGCTAAAAATGGCTTTTTCATATCAAGACAAAAGTGTTACTAGAAATACAAGGATTTACACAATGATTATAAGGCTATGTTAGTGCAAGTTCACAACAGCCTACCATTAGGCTTCACAATGACAGACACCCACCTGGTCATAGCTACACTCGTCAGTGGGGTGGTCGGAGCGCCTTTCCTGTGGACAAGACAAACCGATGTACAATTAACACAGTATATGCTCAACACATAGTGAGACATTCCAGCAATATCATGGTGGGCTCAACATCTCTACCATTCTTGCTATTGGATAACAATGACATTCCACAACAGTCAGATTAGTAATAGAAGGGAGATAACTCATTCCTGATTCCTCTTTATCATCATCTCCAATATGGAACAAAATAGCAAGAGATATTGCTTAATGACTGTATAAGGGAGAAAACAATCTTCACGTCCAGGAATGAGAATTATCTCCCTTGTGGTGACAGTTATCTCCCTTACATCATCAAAAAGAGTTGAGAGTTGTCCTTATTGTCAGTCTCCATGTGCAAATTCTTATCGAAAATAGAATGATTAGCTGTCTTGTTTTTGACTAATACCTATTTCCTTCATGCAAGAGTTCTTAAAACAAAATTTGACTTTAATTTTACTCATATATGGATGTACATTCTGTGCCAGATAAAGGAAGTCTGAGAAAGACATAAGATGAAGGTGATGGTCACTGACCACAGCACAGTGTTTCCCGTGACGAGGGCGAGGCACGAGTTCCAGCCATACACGGCACAGGGGAAGTTGAAGGCGGTGATGACCCCGATGACCCCTAGTGGGTTCCACTGCTCGATGAGCATGTGTCCAGGACCTGGAGTAAACACACATCTTTACTACAATCTCATTAAAATCAGATCTTAGTTCTCGCTACCGCTAAACAAAGATCTGAGGACATCCCATTAGGGGTCACGTCAGAATGACCTTTCATCTGACCAATCAGAGCGCCGCTTACCAGATCATGAAAGTTACAGTCAAAAGTGTTACGAAAACAGTTAAATAAATTTCAATGAATAACATAAAAAAAATAAACATGTGATGCTGGTCTTACTCTGACTTAAAACAGTATTTGTTTCTTATTTTCAAAGTTTACTGTGGTAGACAGCATGACCACATTATACTGCCGGCTAGTCCACAGAACATTTCAGATTAATGATTATGCAAAATACTGAGATATTGGGAGAAAAAAACGTGGTCTCAAGAATAGTGGACTTGTGGCCATGTCTGACCCTGCTGTAGTTATTATTCCCATACTATGAATGTACAGTAAACTACGGTTATAACAAACTCAAAGGGACTACTAATTTTAGTCCGTTATAACCGTAGTTCGTTATAAGAACATATACAGCATAACTACAGCAAGTCTTCGGGACCAAAAATGTAAGTTCGTTATATCCGTCAGTTCGTTATAAGCGTGTTCGTTATAACCATAGTTTACTGTATAACACTGTTTCCTTACGTTCTGATGGAAAGACATGCCCAGCAAACATGCGAGAGAGTCCGACGGCATAGTCAGCGATGTCGATATATTCCTGCACTTCTCCCACCCCCTCCGGCACGATCTTCCCCATCTCCATCGCCAACTGAAGGAGGACAGGGCGAGAAAATGAATGTTGTTTTACAATATTGCAGCAATACCACTGCAGCCTGTAAATAATCAAGTCCGGGCCAGGCAATCAGTGGTTGATAGCATGAGCAACATTTCATGTTGTTTGGGTACAATGACACACAATACGCCAGAGCATACATTGCAGCCACACTCCTGTCATTTCAGTCATATAAAATATACAATAAAATATCAGCATTTTGTTTCATTGGAAAAAATATCTACACTGGGTCTTTACATTTACTCCAGACAGTGTAAGTACTCTTAAAGGTAAATGTCTAGTGCCAAGTCGAGTGAGTGAGTGAGTGAGTGAGTGAGTGAGTGAGTGAGTGAGTGAGTGAGTGAGTGAGTGAGTGAGTGAGTGAGTGAGTGAGTGGGTGGGTGGGTGGGTGGGTGGGTGAGTGAGTGAGTGAGTGAGTGAGTGAGTGAGTGAGTTTCAATTTACGCCACTTTTAGCATTGTTCCAGCAATATCACGGTGTACTCATGTCGGGAATCGAACCCGGGTCGAGCGAACGCTTTAACCACCAGGCTACCCGACCGCCCCCCCACATGTACAGTGATTAAGTGTACATTCATATCACAATGCATCTCACCAACTTTCCCAGGAGGTTGATGTTTTTGCGGAATGCCTCTCCAATCTGCCTCACTATCTCCCCCCTCTTTGGACCAGGAACCTGTAGGGATGTAATAATGAGCTGTCAACAAACATTTCCTGACCAAACAGACATGCAACTATGAATAATTATTACATACACAAAAATCTGTCATAATAATACTGGTGAATTCAAATCATGTGATGGTTCACTCCGAGCAACAACATTGGTAAGTGGTAAAATACGTCAACGATAATGCATAGAGACTTTCATATACAAAGCCCGAAAAGATTTATGAGTTGGCGAATATGTTTTACTCAGCATTACTAAATATTCAACCTCAATCACAGTGCAAATAAATAATCAAGCCTTGCTCAGAAAAAAACAGTGGTTACAATCCTGAAATAATCAAACACAAGTCAATAATGGCTGAAATAAAGCCATGGCATGATAAGTGAGTTTTAGCAATATCATGGCCGGGGATATCAGAAATGGGCTTCACACATTGTAACAGATCTGGGGTAGAATAGGTCTTCAGCAACCCTTGCTTGCCGTAAAAGGCGACTGTGCTTGTCGTAAGAGGCGACAAACAGGATCGGGTGGTCAGGCTTGCTGTATTGGTTGATGCATGTCATCGTTGTGTGGATCACTGCTCATGATTTTGATCACTGGATTGTCTGGTCCAGACTCGATTATTTACAGAACGCTGTCATATAGCTCGAATATTGCGGCGTTAAACAACAAACCAACAAACATCAAGGAGGTAACTCTTTCAAGAGACACACAAGATGAGGTTCTGAGGATGTCATCTGTTGGATGACCCCACACCCTGCTACATTTCAAATGGGTAATACATGTATTCTGGGTCATGACTTAATGGAGTACTGTAATTGGTTACGAAGTCGGTTATAAAAAACATGGTTTCAGGAAAACACTGTACTCACATCTGCCCATACTTTCCACGCTTCTTTGGTTGCAGTGATTGCCTTCTCATAGTCAGCAGGACTTCCCTTAAATAGAACACTCAGAAATCAATCAGTCTAATTAATAAAACTCACTAAATGGCAAGTTTGCCACAAGACAAACCTGACTGACTCACAGTTTCAGCTAACTTATGAAAAGAGCGAGTCATCATGACTCGCTGCATATTCTGTTCAGTCGCAAACAATGTAGAGAGTCATGCATGAGTTTAACTTTAGGTCTACAAGACACGGGAGATAGCACCATGACCATAATGTTGACTGAAGGATACACTAATGAGAAAAATTAACATCATGAGCTTTTTGTTCACTAAACACATAATCATGATAATAAAGAAAGATTAATCAATTCCCTTGGATGTTCTTGCAGCAACTTCTGCTGGCTGATAATATGTGGCATTAAATATGATTCAGCAGAATATGATAAACAGCATTGGATGAAAACAGCTACGGATGCACGAGAAGCTGCAACATGACAACCCTGCTGTCAAGTACATCAGAATTCATGAGAGATAAATTACTGTAACAGGTGTTATACTAAGAGCTACATTTTATTTGTCAAATACAAACAATGTGTGTGCGTGTGTGTGTCTATGTGTGTCTGAGTGTGTTTGTGTCTGTGTGTGTGTGTGTGTGTGTGTGTGTGTGTGTGTGTGTGTGTGTGTGTGTCTCTCTGTATTGGTGTCTCTGTCTGGGTGTCTTGTGTCTCTGTGTGTGTCTGTGTCTCTGTGTGTCTGAGTGTGTGTTTGTGTCTGAGTTTGTGTCTGAGTGTGTGTGTGTGTCTCTGTATTGGTGTCTCTGTGTGTGTCTGTGTCTCTGTGTGTCTGAGTGTGTGTTTGTGTCTGAGTTTGTGTCTGAGTGTGTGTGTGTGTGTGTGTGTGTGTCTCTGTTTGGGTGTCTCTGTCTGTGTGTCTTGTGTCTCTGTGTGTGTGTGTCTGAGTGTGTGTTTGTGTCTGAGCGTGTGTGTGTGTGTGTGTGTGTGTGTGTGTGTGTGTGTGTGTGTGTGTGTGTGTCTCTGTATTGGTGTCTCTGTCTGGGTGTCTGTGTCTCTGTGTGTCTGAGTGTGTGTTTGTGTCTGAGTTTGTGTCTGAGTGTGTGTGTGTGTGTGTGTGTGTGTGTGTCTGTTTGGGTGTCTCTGTCTGTGTGTCTTGTGTCTCTGTGTGTGTGTGTCTCTGTGTGTCTGAGCGTGTGTTTGTGTCTGAGCGTGTGTGTGTGTGTGTGTGTGTGTGTGTGTGTGTGTGTGTCTGAGCGTGTGTGGGTGTGTGTCTGTGTGAGTGTGTCTGTTTGGGTGTCTGTGTGACTCTCTGTCTGGGTGTCTGTGTCTGTGTCTGTGTGTGTATCTGTGTGTCTAATAAGCATTGTAAATGTTTTATAAAAAATGTACTGTAACATGTTTGTTAACATTATACTTTCTCCCCTTGACTTAAGGAGTAAACTCAAGCTTGAGGTCACCCATCCAAGGAAAGTAGTTGCTCAGTATTCATTGTGGCCAGCCAATACACATTGCCTCAGTCAGTGACAAACATGGCATATCAACAACTCAGATCTATTTGCCCCAAATCAGGGTCTGGCTCACCTGAATGACTTTTGCTATTGGCTGATTATTTGCAGGACAATAGGACGTTGTTTCCTGAAAACACATGTAAACATAACTGTTTGTTTGGCGTTCTATAGTTGTTGAGTAGAGAAAAAAACACAACTTTGTGGATAACAACTTCAGGTTTATGTAGATATTTACCCCGTGGTCAAGCTCATTGACGATGTAATAATCTACATCGAAACGTGGCTAAATGCAATAGACTAAAAGTTGCTATCCATAAAGTTGTATGTTTTCTTATTTTCTGACAAGTCAACACACTAAATGAAATACTACGGGAAAACACAAAACGTTGAATATGTCCATCAAAGTATACTCATGAAGATTCTATATCATATTCAAGTGGGAAACTATATATTGATCATTTCCATCACGTTAATTCCAGCCAAATTGATATTCTAGGATGGTTTCCACATTTCCATGTTCAATATGAGGGATATCAGTCAGCACCAAATAACTTTGGTGAACTTTTTTATCACAATCCAAGAACTAAATAAATATTTATAATATAAATCAGCATGATCAGGGTAATAATTTGACTTCTGAAGTCAATTTTGATTTTTTTAAAATACAACAAATGTTCAAATAAATAGATTGTGTGTAATACAACTACAAAAATGTCTGGCATAAAACAAATTATATATGTGACATTCCAGTGCACGTGGCTACTGTCAAAATGAAACGGGTACACATGTACAGGCATTTCTGCTAGCTGATTGGTCACGCCCCCGCGACCTTCACCTACATTGCCATGTGTACGTGTTCGCACTAAAACAAGAATGGAACTTTTTCTGATATATCGATGTCGCAGAAAACATTATGTGTTATCTCAGCTGCCACAACATGCATAAAGTATCATGCACAAACTTTCGTAGCACTGAAAGCGAATTAAGCGAACTTGATACTAAATACGGGCCCTCCTGTTCAGCCTGACCTCCGACAAACTCACCTCACCCTCGCCTCCCCAAACACCGTAATATACACCCTTGTTTTGCGCAGATAATCCAAGTTCTTTAAGCCAAGCAAACTTTGGGTCTTCAATGAGTAATCCCGACATTGCAGCGTAATGTCGTGTGGTAATAGATGAGCGGATGACAAGAGAAGATGGACGTTTGTACCGCAACAACACTCGAACAAAACTCGCCATCAGTGTGTTGACTTTCCACTTGGCTTTGGGCCGGTCTATATGAAGAGAAGGGGGGAGAGGTTAGGGTCTGAAAAAGTGTCACCGGCTATCTCTGACGAAAACATGAACAGCAAATCTTTCAAGAATTGTACCTTGATACCCAACAAATTTTATGGTATTTTCAGTTTATGAAGAGCTCCGAATAACTGTGGTTCGAGAAAAAGCGAACTACTGATAAAAATAAATTAATGAATAAAAAAATAAAAAAACTGGCTTCGACGGGAAATATTGCATAGTCTCACCCTTGTATATTTTGAAAATTAAACTCCTCGGCAGTTTTAAACTTGTACGACCCGTGTTCATATAGTTAATATAAAAAGACACATGGGTGAGATTCCCTATGTGTTATAATCAATTGCATTGTTGGCGTAAGGCAATATATAATTGTTGACGTCGTGTTAGTTACGTCACAATAGTAATGACGTTACACCGTTTCATTGTCGACGTCACGTTGACCCTGTTAACTTCACGACGGCTTTTTATTATAGAAGAAACTAGTTCTCTACTGCACATGTCACTTAGAGCTTTATAAGCCGAATGTTTCCGTTTTGTAAATGTTGTATGTTGTGAATACAAATTGTATTGTCATATCGTGTGTTAAAAATATTGAATGTATTATAAACATATAATCCTAATAAAATACCGATTCTAATTTTGATCAGAAAATAGCAACATTTTCACAGCTCTGTGGGCATAGCTAATATTAAGATACTCATTAATGAAAGGTTTTACGGTGTCAGCGGTGTCATTGATTTACAGCAGATGGAATGACGCTGCAGGTACTGTAGACATGACCTTGAATAAATATATTCACCCAAATTTTCCTTTTGTCCTTTGTCCATCTCAAAGAAGTCAGGGATGTTGACATAAGCCTGTCTAATTGATGCTACATATGCACTGGCGCGCGCGACGAGGAACCAGCGAGTTTGTGTGCACGTTTTCGTTTTCACAATGACAATAAAAATACAGTTTACTCAACCAGTCTTGTATTGAGAAATCGAGAACCACATGCGGTGGTTAATTGTGAGTGAAAGTTGGCGGTTGCGGAAAGGAGAGACAATGTCTGACATTTGTAGCATATGTTGTGTTTTTTGTTGATTTACACAGCACTCAGCAATTTTAAACATATAAAATGAAACTCCGTAAACAATCGAGTTTTAGTCAGACAAACCAGTGGTTGAAATATACAGAGATTATTAGACAAACCAGTGGTTGATAGATATAGAGATTATTAGACAAACCAGTGGTTGAAAGATACAGAGATTATTAGACAAACCAGTGGTTCAAAGATATAGAGATTATTAGACAAACCAGTGGTTGATAGGTACAGAGATTATTAGACAAACCAGTGGTTGAAAGATACAGAGATTATTAGACAAACCAGTCGTTGAAAGATATAGAGATTATCAGACAAACCAGTGGTTGAAAGATACAGAGATTATTAGACAAACCAGTAGTTGATAGATACAGAGATTATTAGACAAACCAGTCGTTGAAAGATACAGAGATTATTAGACAAACCAGATGTTGAAAGATACAGAGATTATTAGACAAACCAGTGGTTCAAAGATATAGAGATTATTAGACAAACCAGTGGTTGAAAGATACAGAGATTATTAGACAAACCAGTCGATGAAAGATATAGAGATTATTAGACAAACCAGTCGTTGAAAGATACAGAGATTATTAGACAAACCAGTCGTTGATAGATACAGAGATTATTAGACAAACCAGTCGTTGATAGATACAGAGATTATTAGACAAACCAGTCGTTGAAAGATATAGAGATTATTAGACAAACCAGTCGTTGATAGATACAGAGATTATTAGACAAACCAGTCGTTGAATAGATATAGAGATTATTAGACAAACCAGTCGTTGAAAGATACATAGATTATTAGACAAACCAGTGGTTCAAAGATATAGAGATTATTAGACAAACCAGTGGTTGAAAGATATAGAGATTATTAGACAAACCAGTCGTTGATAGATACAGAGATTATTAGACAAACTAGTAGTTGATAGATACAGAGATTATTAGACAAACCAGTGGTTGATAGATACAGAGATTATTAGACAAACCAGTAGTTGACAGATACAGAGATTATTAGACAAACCAGTGGTTGATAGATACAGAGATTATTAGATAAACCAGTGGTTCAAAGATATAGAGATTATTAGACAAACCAGTGGTTGAAAGATATAGAGATTATTAGACAAACCAGTAGTTGATAGATACAGAGATTATTAGACAAACCGGTCGTTGAAAGATATAGAGATTATTAGACAAACCAGTGGTTGAAAGATACAGAGATTATTAGACAAACCAGTGGTTGAAAGATACAGAGATAATTAGACAAACCAGTCGTTGAAAGATATAGAGATTATTAGACAAACCAGTCGTTGAAAGATACAGAGATTATTAGACAAACCAGTAGTTGAAAGATACAGAGATAATTAGACAAACCAGTTGTTGAAAGATAAGGAGATTATTAGACAAACCAGTGGTTGAAAGATACACAGATTATTAGACAAACCAGTGGTTGAAAGATATAGAGATTATTAGACAAACCAGTGGATGATAGATACAGAGATTATTAGACAAACCAGTCGTTGAAAAATACAGAGATTATTAGACAAACCAGTGGATGATAGATACAGAGATTATTAGACAAACCAGTCGTTGATAGATACAGAGATTATTAGACAAACCGATGGTTGAATAGATATAGAGATTATTAGACAAACCAGTGGTTGAAAGATACATAGATTATTAGACAAACCAGTGGTTCAAAGATATAGAGATTATTAGACAAACCAGTCGTTGAAAGATACAGAGATTATTAGACAAACCAGTGGATGATAGATACAGAGATTATTAGACAAACCAGTGGATGATAGATACAGAGATTATTAGACAAACCAGTCGTTGATAGATACAGAGATTATTAGACAAACCGATGGTTGAATAGATATAGAGATTATTAGACAAACCAGTGGTTGAAAGATACATAGATTATTAGACAAACCAGTGGTTCAAAGATATAGAGATTATTAGACAAACCAGTGGTTGAAAGATATAGAGATTATTAGATAAACCAGTCGTTGATAGATACAGAGATTATTAGACAAACCAGTCGTTGAAAGATACAGAGATAATTAGACAAACCAGTCGTTGAAAGATATAGAGATTATTAGACAAACCAGTCGTTGAAAGATACAGAGATTATTAGACAAACCAGTGGTTGAAAGATACAGAGATAATTAGACAAACCAGTTGTTGAAAGATACAGAGATTATTAGACAAACCAGTGGTTGAAAGATACACAGATTATTAGACAAACCAGTGGTTGAAAGATATAGAGATTATTAGACAAACCAGTGGATGATAGATACAGAGATTATTAGACAAACCAGTCGTTGAAAGATACAGAGATTATTAGACAAATCAGTGGATGATAGATACAGAGATTATTAGACAAACCAGTAGTTGATAGATACAGAGATTATTAGACAAACCGATGGTTGAATAGATATAGAGATTATTAGACAAACCAGTGGTTGAAAGATACATAGATTATTAGACAAACCAGTGGTTGAAAGATATAGAGATTATTAGATAAACCAGTCGTTGAAAGATATAGAGATTATTAGATAAACCAGTCGTTGATAGATACAGAGATTATTAGACAAACTAGTAGTTGATAGATACAGAGATTATTAGACAAACCAGTGGTTGATAGATACAGAGATTATTAGACAAACCAGTAGTTGACAGATACAGAGATTATTAGACAAACCAGTGGTTGATAGATACAGAGATTATTATACAAACCAGTGGTTGAAAGATATAGAGATAATTAGACAAACCAGTCGTTGAAAGATATAGAGATTATTAGACAAACCAGTCGTTGAAAGATACAGAGATTATTAGACAAACCAGTGGTTGAAAGATACACAGATTATTAGACAAACCAGTGGTTGAAAGATACACAGATTATTAGACAAACCAGTGGATGATAGATACAGAGATTATTAGACAAACCAGTCGTTGAAAGATACAGAGATTATTAGACAAACCAGTGGATGATAGATACAGAGATTATTAGACAAACCAGTCGTTGATAGATACAGAGATTATTAGACAAACCAGTCGTTGATAGATATAGAGATTATTAGACAAACCAGTCGTTGATAGATATAGAGATTATTAGACAAACCAGTCGTTGATAGGAGATTATTAGACAAACCAGTGGTTGATAGATAGAAATTATTACACTAACCCGCATGTGTGTCACACTGATTTTACCAAACGGGTTTTAGAATTCTTGTATTTCCCGAGCGAGGATGAGGGTTATACACAAATTCTTACATGCGAGTGTAATAATGTATTACCCATTATTTCTTAATCCTTTTGGGGTCCCCTTTAAACAATACACTGATAAGGAAAATGAAAACCACAATTGTCGAATGACGTCAGCAATCTTCTGCTATGATGTCGTTTCTAATGTGACGTAATTCCGACAACTGAGCCCACATGAGCCCGTATACTGTCAGTCAAGATGGTTGTTACTGACCTAATATGAGACCGTATACCGTCAGTAACAGCCATTTTGGATTTTTCGACACCCACCTCACATGTTTCGCATGAAAAATCTGGTACAGAAATTCGTGATTCGACACTGTTTTGTGTTTTAATATAATAGATTTTGACGTGGAAGGACGTGGTTTTGGGGGATCAAGTTCGTTAAAGTTAAAATTATCAACAAGGTTTGGCCTCTGAGGTTTGAAGAGTAGTCACCCTTTGACCCTTACGTCTTTATGTTAAGTTTTGAGTTTTAAGTTTTGACATGACATGTGCGACAAAGATACCAAATAGTGTTAACTTTTCGGCATAATAAATTCGTTATGGTGTCTTTAGTTGCCGTATACGGTGTCATATTAGGTTAGCAGCGAAGAGACTGAAATTAGGTAATATGCCATCCAGTCGAATGGTCATATATACTAGTATCTATCCTGTCTGGGCTCGAGCTGCAGTGAAGTTACTTACAGGCCGCCACGATATGGCATGAATATTGCAAACCGAGATGTTAATTAAAGGGGCACTGATCTAACGGACTGGTTGTTGCCTTTGTTATTCCCCCGTGAGTACCCGGATGATACGCAATGCAACTGAGCGTGACCAGAGACTGGGCTACCGTCTGCAAGGACAGCTAAATAAACTTGGAGCCTGGAGGCAATATTTATTTCACGCATTTTTGCATAAACACTGATTGGTTAACCGTGATCTATAAAGTTTCGACAAAGGGCGCATGTTAATTAATTTCTTTAGCCTAAACAAACAGACAAAAACAACAAGGGAGCTCATCGGATGTCGTCATTTGCAAATACCCCAGATGGTTTTAGTTTTATTTTAAAAAAAGTATCCATGCAGTGAAAGCATTTTCGGATTTCGGCTTGCGTCGATAATACGATTACTACTCCCTTGTTGTCATCCACGTTTTCTCGTATAACCCTACACTTGTGTATTTGTCGTCATTCACTTGATGCTCAGTTAATGAATTTATTACAGGTACAATTAGTGGTAGCACCACTTAGATTACCTGACAAAGGTTCCCATTTGGCATTTATTGTGTCTGGGGTAATTATTCAATCTAAATCCAGGTTTGAAGTGAGGTGAAATGTGTGTTATGTAATATACACGTGGCAGCCCAGCAAGAGATGAATGATCAGTTGATTTACTTTTTTTGTAAATCAACGGATCGTTCCTAGTCATCAAAGGATTAACAGAAAATATGTTGATTGATTAATCACTGTTATCTTGCACAGTGGATATGTCAAGAGTGAGTGTTTACATGTCTAGGTTTACTATAACAAAGGGAATACACTCATATCATAGCACGAAGTGCCGATGTAAAAACAACATACTTTGTTCAAAGGACCGCCTCCGTGGTCTTGTGGTAGAGCGTCCGCCCGGAGAGCGGAAGGTCTAGGGTTCGATCCCGGGCCGCGTCATACAAAAAGACGTTAAAAGATTGTACTTGTTGTTACCCTGTCTGGCGCTCGGCATTAAGGGGCTAAAACAAGGACTGGTCGGCTCGGAGTCAGTATACTGTGTCTGAGTGGGGTATTCATGTTAAACTGCGGCATGGTATCTCAGTGAGCTAGCACTATAAATCGGCATCAGTCCGGACTAGTACAAGCAGCCACACACATACACGTGCATGCACGTCGCTATATAAGTGCAATAATCTTGGACGCGACGTTAAACCCAATTTCACCTCACCTTGTTCAAAGGGTTAACTGATAACACGTTGATTGATTGATCATTGTTATCTATCACTCAATGGATTTTTTAGGAACCGTGGACGTTATGAAAAAAGTTGTCACGTGGGCTTTCTAAGCCGACCATTGAGACGCGACACCTATGTAAAACACCTGAAACAATCCAAGCGATCAGTTGAGAAACGAACACGGGTTATAATATCCCGAAACGATATATATCTTTTAAAACATTTGATTGTTACTGAGACACGTGACATCGAATAAGTTTCTTTGTACAGCTGCAGACGAGTGGGATATTGTTCCTTTGTGTGGATATTCACGGATACATTCCTCAAACTAGGAAGCTGCCTAAAACTTATACACATAAATTTGGTAGATTGTAATTATGATATTTGCATTTTGTTTTCCTTCATTTGAACCGATTCGTTCTTGTTTCTTTACGTCTTGGTTGGGAAATTCTTCAATGCGCGATAGACGTTGTCACAGGTCTCTTCCTTTGTAAGCGTGTATATATTACCGTCAATTTGTAAAATGTGATTCTCTCAGGCAATTTATAAAATGTGTAAATATTTCAGTCATTTTGACTAAAAAATCTGTCCAGACTGATCAAGACGATCAAAAGGGCCTACAAACATCACAACAGATTGTTATGTAGGATTAAAAGCCAAACAACTTAGGAATGTACTTTTCAACGTAACATTTTCAGTCTCTTGGTGATGACATTAAACATCAAAATGTTTGGAATTCATTGTCATAATAATACAGATGGAAATGTTTTTCAGTCACTTTGTAAAATAACTGAATATTTAGACGTTTAATAAATTTGTTACACATTTGACAGTAAAAAAATATACACACTATAAAAAAGCATATGCTCAGGTGAAATATTTACTTTGTGTTGCAAGTCAAAATAGTGTAAACGAAAATCGGAAAATTACCAAGCAAGTGACTTGTCAAAACTTCGTCACCATTACCGATGCTACTCACAAAGATACCTACATTTCCTTATTATCTCGAAAACTGTATTTCATTGTGTTGATCAATGTGACCATACGCCATTACTACCCATAAAAGTGACTAATGCGCTTACGAATGGCGCAGCAGAGGTCGCGAACTAGTCTTGATTTCTGCTATACATCCGGGTACTCACTGGGGAAAAACAATAACAAAGGCAACAACCAGTCCCGGGGAATTGCGTTAGATCAGTGCCCCTTTAAACAACATTTGTTCACTCAGCTGAGTTTATGAGTTTCCTTATCAACGCGTTATATAAAAAAACCAAACAATTCACTGTTAGAAGGGGAGGCTTTCATACTATACTGCATATTATTTGCTCGGGTGGTCAAACTCTGGAACTTTGATGATGGCATGTAATAGTATCCCAGTTGAGTGGATCGATGCTCATGATGTCACTCAGTGGATTGTCTGGTCTAGACTCGATTATTTACAGACTGCCCTCATATACCTAGAATATTGCTGAAAGTGTCCCAAAACATCAAGGCTGTCATTTGCACCACGTTAAATGCATTGACACTGCCAATATATTCCACCCCACCACGGTCGAGGCTATAACATCCAGCTGCTGACATTAGTTATGTTGGATGTCTCTATTGTCACAGGAGAAGAAAACATTGCCCCAGGGTATCGAACGATATTGATGGTTGACAGGTACGTTCAACGACTTCGCTGATCCTGACGAAAGGAACTAACCGTAACACTGGTAACCGGAACTAGATATTATTGAAGTACAGCCGAGAGAGAAGCATGGCGGACAACGTGGCGGAGGGGGTTCAGAAGATGGAGATATCTGGAAAGAAGCAGGCACGACGATTTTGATTATATATCACGTTCTTCAAATCATGATTTCCAGGATAAATTTGTTCCGCTTAGGAAAGAAGATAGGACTCAACTATGTCAGGGCCATGGGAATGGTGTGTTTCTGTTGTGTCAACTTGTGTGCGCCTGATAAAACAAATATACTGTAAATACGCTTGCTACATCATAGATAATGTGGGTAACTGTGAACGATCCGGCTGGATGTGCATGGAAATTCTATTATGATCAGTGTCAAGTAGTCATCACATCGCGTGTTTGTTTCGTCACACCCGCATTGATTGTTAGACGTTGCATCAGCCACCGGGCGGTGTAGACTCAAGTCGTGACGCCCATGAAAAAAAGGGACCAACAATGTTTTCCATGTAACGTTTTTCAAACATGTCATTGCTTTGTTCAGTAGATCTAACCCGGAGAAAATGATCTATTGAACAATATTATTACCTCATATCATTTCAATGATTTAATCATGTTCATGTGGATGAAATTGTTACAACAATAATATTGATTACTTTCCACTGGCGGCTATTTGAAGCAACACCCTTAAGGGCTTATAGTATTTATGTATGTCAGTCATGCTTGACATTGTTTCTATGGGACAGTACAACCTGTACTAACTGAACACCTTACATTTGTATTTCATCAGCCAGTTTGTTGAGAAGAAAGATAACTTTCTCAGTACTATAAACAAGCCGGGCAGCAGTGTGGAGCTATTTAAGAACAAATCAACTCAGGAGTAGAGCAGTCGATTGTTATAGCTAAATCAATACAGGGTAACATTGCCTGTACTCAGTAAAACCTAACCATGGAAGACAAACAAAGCATGGTAAGATATATAGTGCACTGACTTTCTGCCAACATGGTCATGGTTGTATGTACATACTTGTAGTCGTGTCACAGCTGGCAGGAAAAAAATCTATACAGGATTGTGGGGACAAGAATGTGTGCTCTCTCCATGCTATTTGTTGTTTCAATCATATCTATATTTTCAATTCTTTCAACATGCTCAATGGTAGTTTATAATATATACAATCATAATTGGATTAAGTTCTAATCATGCTAATGACTACATGATTTTGTCTTCAGAAATCGAAGAAGAAGGGCTCAGCTGGAGGGGATGGAGCCAACCCTGCTCGGGTAAGTACACTGCTTGGAAAGTGGAAACTTACAAAGGGGGAGAAATATTGGCAGAAGGAAACTGAAAATATTTTGGGCATACCATTGTAGTGAAACTTTGATTACTTGCTAGAAGTCCTAGAGACTGTCAAATATATGTATTATACAGATATGCTATTGCAGCTGCATGACAACATATCTTTCTACATCAAAGTGACTGTATCGTTAGCTCTCCACAGGGTTTTGATCTGGGGCTGTACAACTAATGTAAAAAAAGTGGAAATAGTTTGTTAGGTTTTAGGATATGTTCTCAATGAAAGTTAACCATTTCATGACAGTTGTTGATCTAAATGTGTAGACTTTTAAAAAACTGAAACAGATGAAAAACATGTAACTTGTTGAAATAACTGTGTAAGATGTGACGAATCATCACATGTCACTAGCCTGTGGCAGAGGTACCAGGCTGACCGCATTGAACTCTGGGTAGGAGAGTGCCCCGAATGTTGTTGACGAAGTGTACGAAATGATACAAATGCACATAATATGGCTACCCAGAAACCTTCCTCTTTGTGGACATTTTGGAGGTATAAGTACATGTATGTGTGTAACATTGAACACATGATAAATATCGCTATTTGACATCACCCGATATACCAACATTATGATATGGTGGTAAATATCGCGTCAAGAATAACCCTAATTTACTGATATACAGGTAATACCACACACCCTTAGTTAGCTTTCTCTTTTAACGAATGAATCCAATGTATCCAAACAACTTTTATGAAGTTTCGTGGGTTTTTTTTAAACTTTGCTACTGCAAATGCACATAAAGGTAAACATTTTGTTTGTTTGTTGGTTGGTTTGATGTTTAACGCCGCACTCAGCAATATTCCAGCTATGTGACGGCGCTATGTAAAATAATCGAGTCTGGACCAGACAATTCAGTGATTTACATCATGAGCATCAATCCACTCAATTGGGATTGATGACATCTATCAACCATGTCAGCGACCACCCGATCCCGTCAGTCGCCTTTTACGACAAGCATGAGTTAACGTGAAAATGTCCCAAGCTTGATTTCTTTTTTGTTATTATTTGCAAGAAAATAAGTCACAAAACTGTTCATACAGCCAATAGCAGCCTGTGCCATTTATGCACATGCATATGTTCCAAGAACAAGACACTTTACAGCAGTGTTGTGTGGCGATATTTCTACAGTCCTCTGAACCAGGGGCAGTACATAGCCAAGTAGTTAGATCTTTTTCTCGCCATGCTGAGGACCCTGATACAATGCCCATTTATGGTGTCCCACTATCTTGATATGGCAGGAGTTAGGGGTTTCATTGATTGGAGATTTTGGTATCACTACATGGACTCAATATCACAATATTTGAGTATATATCGATTCACCCATGAAGATCCGGGTTAGAATAGGTCTTCAGCAACCCATGCTTGCCGTAAAAGGCGACTATGCTTGTCGTAAAAGGCGACTAACGGATGAGGTGGTCAAACAACAAAAACAAACAGTATATTGATTAATTATGATGTGGATTATTCTGTGTGTACAGATATAAAGTACCTTTGTAGGCCTGCAATTTAGTGCTAAATATGAACCATGGTAATCGCAATAAATGCAAATGTTTCTGTGGCAATGAAATATTCATTTAGTGTCAACATTCAGAAGTTTGTGTCAATACACAATAATTAAATTTTCGTTGTGTTCATGGAAATTCCTGCATTCTGATTAGCTGAATTGGTCACGTGTTATTGCATTCATTTCCCAATGAATGTAAAAAATTAAGCCACGCCCACCGCGGCGCACTACTTTTATTACTTCGGAATGTCGGGGAATCACAATATTACAGTCGAGGGAATTCCCTTTCTGCTCACGTGTATCGTCATGCACAGGACATTTAGCGACTTTCATGCATATTCATTGTCCAAACTACCCTTTGAAACCGAAGGCCGAGAATGAATGAAACAGCAAACGTGCAGGCTCGCTCGCCTGTTTTTTTCCCGCTCGCCCCGGTTAAACTTTCATGTCTTCGGGTTTCATTTATAACTAGCATTTCTCCAACTGTGATTTACCGTAATCAGGGAAGTAATGTTTGAATCACGCAGTAAATGACCATGTTATTTGAAACTGCCGCCTTCTCTCGGGCATATTTCTTCCGGTTCGTTACAGTCTGACTGTTGCAGTTCTTTTCGCCTCTTGCCTTAATTGACAGGTCAAATGAACATTGTTTTAATCCGACTCTCCGTTGATTGGCTACTGACTGTGTAGGTGTGTCAAGTTATGTGCATAAATTAAACAATCACCTGATTCATGTCACGCCACTGTATGTATTCCTACACCTGGAATGTTTATCAATGTCGTCATTTTTGTCTGTTTTGATATATGCAACTGTTTTGGGTTAAACTATTGTAAATAAAACATGTTTTACGTTGTCAAATTTATTACATTAAGTAATACGTTACCACTGTTATACCGAGGCTGTTGTCTCCCACAACTGCTGCTATAGCGAAATCTACCACAGAGATCTCAATTACCTCATGCAGCACGTGCGTAGCCACCTAGCTGCCATGTGACACCCTTCACTCTTGTCTCCTTCGTCTGCTTAGCAAGACGTGTTTTCTCCTGCTGAAGCGTTCCTTGAAGATTTGGTGATATTTATTATAGTTTATTGTCTAATAAACTGTGCTTTTATGGGGCGTTGCGGTAGCTACGCTTGGTTATAATTTTCCCGCCAAACGGAAAATTTTTCCCGCCCTTTTTTCTATATACTTGTGGGGTTCGCGTATGCACGTTGTGTTTTACGTTTCCCCTGTTCTTGTATGTTTTGGGGGTTAACATAACTTATTTCTTTACTAAAAGTTATATGTGTATGTTATATGTTCACATTGCTCGTTTATTTTCTTGTGAAAATGTTCGTTTGTGAATCATTGTGGTGCGTGCGTTGTAACCATGTTTTGTTCTTTGTTTATAGCAAACAATCAATGTCTGACATGGATATGTCCTCAGTATCCACCCCCTCTACCCCTGCTCCTCGGAGTTATGGGGTGTGCAGAAAGTTTTTGTCGTCCCGGGATCCCCACGATAGTTGCCCGCGGTGCAGGGTTCCTTGCGGGGACACCCGGTGCATCCTGTGCGAAGGTCTGGGGCCTGCGGATTTTGAGCGGTACCGGCTGTACGTACAGTCCGTCTCCACCCCTGTGGTGGCCGGTTCGTCCGGTCGGGGTCCCCGTGCGGGTACCACCTCCTCGGCTGCGGCGGATCCCCTTGCGGCCCTCGGGCTGTCTGGGGATTCCGTCGCCGCATTGTTGTCGAAACTTGTGGATTCCAAGCTGGCGGCCTTATCGCAAGATAGGCCGCTGGCTGTTCCGTCCCCGGCCTCTTCGGTGGCCGCGTGGTCGGACGCGGGGTCCACCGGTAAAGCGGCGGATCTCTTGGCGGCCCGTGTGCTGTCCGGGGATTCCGTCGCTGCATTACTTGCATAACTTGTGGACTCCAAGCTGGCGGCCTTATCTCAGGATAGGCCGCTGGCTGTTCCGTACCCGGCCACTTCGGTGGCCGCAGGGTCGGACGCGGGGTCCACCGGTACGGCGGCGGCTCCCGTGGTCACCGGTCCTTCCCCCGAACCGTTGCTCCCGCTATCGGTTTAGGACCGCGTGGCCATGGTTTATGACCTCTTTGAGGACATGCCCCGGCCGGTACCGCGGGGAATCCACGACTGTGGGTTCCTCCGAGGTATACGATGAGTCTTCCGACACGGCTTTCCCCGCATCAACCTTGCTGCGCGGTTTCAAGCCTTCCTTGGAGAACGCCTTCGCGGCGGCCTCCGGTCGGGGTCTCCCGTTGCCCCGAACACCGGGGTTTTACTCCAGGATATTTCTCGTTCCCAAGTAGGACAGTGCCGAACTCAGAATGATTCACACGTCCGCTCCCTGGCTGTTCACCCGGTTAACCACCCCCATAGTGGGGTTCCTCCACAGGAGGGGTGTCCGGTACTTCGCGTACCTGGACGACTCGCTAGTAGCAAATCGAATGACGGACACCCTGTCACGCCATCTCGATTTCGCACGTCGGCTCTTGGAGCAATTTGGGTGGATTATCAATCTCCCCAAGAGCGAGTTAACCCCTTCTCAGAACTTGCTGTTCATCGGAGGTCGGTTCAACACGGTGTCCCATCGCCTCTTTGTCCCCCCAGACCGGTGGCACAAAATTCAGGCGATGATTGCCAAAGTCTTAGCGGTGCAACAGACTGTTCACTTTTGGGAACAGCTGTTAGGGCTACTTGTATCAGCCCAGGACTGCACCGCACGGGGTCGTCTCCAACTCCGCCCGCTGCAACGGTTTTTAATCCAGTTGTTAGCAACGGAGGTGAACAGTGCGACCGTCGCCCTCCCGGATCGGCTCCGACCGCATCTGGAGTGGTGGACGGTCCCTTACATTGTCTTATCAGGAGTCTCTATGCGGCCCTACCGGGCCACGTTGACCCTGTATACAGACGCCTCTCTAGTGGGCTGGGGCGCCCATCTAAAGGGGGAGGTGAGCTCGGGGCTGTGGTGCTTAGACGAACTAGGTCTTCACATCACTTGTCTCGAGTTCAAGGCAGTGATCAACGCAGTCAATCACTGGAAGCATCGTCTCGTCGACGCCCGGCTCATGCTGGCGACCGACAACACGACGGTAGTGTCCTATGTGAACAAACTGGGGGGAACCCACAGTCACTCGCTACTCGATCTCACGTTCGAGTTTTACGCTCTGGTGGACAGTGTCCCGTGCCAGATACGCGCCCGTCACATCCCAGGTGTGCGGAACGTACTGGCCGATGCTCTATCGAGGCCTCAGGATCCGAGCCCCACAGAGTGGATGCTGAACCCAGTAGTGTTTCAGTGGCTGTGCGAACGTTTGGGTCGTCCTATGGTCGACCTGTTCGCAACGCGGTTCAACAATCAACTCCCGTTGTTTGTATCACCAGTCCCGGTCCCGAGGGCCATCGATCACGATGCTCTCGCGTTAGACTGGACGGGCTTGGTCGCTTATGCTTACCCGCCGACAGCGTTGATACCACACATTCTAAGCCGGCTCCGAGGAGTTCGCTGTCGAATGTTACTGATCGCGCCCATGTGGCCGAACAGATCGTGGTACCCCGACTTGCTGACCCAGGTCAAGCAGTCGCCACTTCCACTGCCTGTGAGACCGGATCTCTTGATCCACCCTCACACCAGTCAGCTTCATCCAAACGCAGGGCAGTTCAATCTGCACGCGTGGATGTTGTCACCGAGCGTCTGAGGAGTAAAGTTTTTTCTCGCCGGGCGTCTCGGGCATACGTTAGTATGCATCGTGATTCTACCCAGAAGGTGTATAATGCACGTTGGGTTATTTTCACGAAGTGGTGTTGTAAACATCACATTCATTCACCAGATAAGGTATCTGTGCAGGATATTGCTCGTTTCATGTCTCACTTGCGAGAGACCCGGAAACTCTCCGGGGGTTCCATTGCCAACTATGTCTCGTCCGTTGCTACGGTACGGGACGTTGCTATGGGTACCAGTCTCTCCAAAGAGCCGGTGATACGGGGTATTATCAAGGGTTTCAAACAGCACGATCTTAAGAAGGGCCGCCTTCGGGCACCGGCCTGGGATCTTTCCCTAGTGTTGCAATCACTTACGGAAGCTCCGTATGAACCCTTGCATAGTGCTTCGTTCCGGCATGTGACTTGGAAAACAGCATTTCTCCTCTCCTTTGCCACGGCGGCACGTGTATCCGAAATTCATGCACTCGATGTCGCCAAGGTACGATTCGATAGGGGTGACGAAGGAGCGGTCCGCCTGGGCCTGCTCATGGGCTTCGTCGCCAAGAATCAGAGAGTCGGGCAAACGGAGAGAGAATTCACTGTAAGATCACTCAAAGAAATCTTACATCCTGCTGATACTGAGGACAGAGCGCTGTGTCCGGTTAGGGCCCTTAAGTATTATCTTAAGGCTTCGAATGAACGTAGACAAGGGCGTGACCGTCTGTTCATATCGTGTAACCCTAATCGCACGGTTGACATACCTCGCAACTCGATTGCGTTGTGGCTTCGTTCTGTCATCAATCTGGCGTACCTGTCTCGGGGGTTACCGGTAGCGGGGTCAAACCCGCACGAGATCAGGGCGCTAGCGGCAACATTTGCCCTACACTCGAATATCTCTGTTCGCAGAATATTACGAGGTTGTTACTGGCGTTCTGACTCGGTTTTTGCCAATCATTACCTCAAACAGGTCGCTGATGCCGTCGTGGAGAGTGTGCACCGTCTTGGCCCGCGGATCGCGGCGCAAGCGGGCACCTAAGGGGTGTGCCCAGCGCAATTCCGAACTCCTCAGGCGTTTGACCTTGCACGGTGGTCAATCTGGGTCTACTCCAATGTTCCCACTGCCGTGGGTACAGGAGTTGGGGTCCCGCAAACCAGCGCACTCACACCACAGGTGAGGGCGGCTTTTTGTGTGCTTTGTCCTTATTTGTATTTTGACAATTATGTCTTTAATTGTCTGTCGTGTATCCCAACCTTGTGATGCATGCTTACAAATACTGGAATTAGGTCACGCGCCTAATGCATACTTTAAGTAGGCTTGCTCTGGGATATACGGTCTGAATGAAATTAATTTCCCTCTTTTCGACTGTTTAACCTGATCTAAGATTAAGCTCACGCGGATACAGTGTTCTCATCCGCTGCGGCGATGAAATACCTATCCAGTGGGGCCGTTTGGAGTCACCAATCGTTTTGGCAATGACGATTGAGCCTTACGGTATGCGCTTGACAGTGCTTTGGTATTCCTATAGGGTAACGCCTAGATAGGTGCATGCGCATCGAGTGCTTCCGCCTTGGTGTTTACTTCCGCTGGTCGGAAGGAACGCTAGCAGTCAGGATTCGGGTTGTAGGTGCTCCCCACCGCCTACTGTGGTAGTCAGCCTCAGTATAACAGTGGTAACGTATTACTTAATGTAATTTGTAGAATTTTCCTATTCGGAATATTCTATAAGTAATACGTTACCACTGGGCTGCTGCCCGCCCGTCCGTCCCCCGAGCACTTGCTCTCGCAGGAGACAAGAGTGAAGGGTGTCACATGGCAGCTAGGTGGCTACGCACGTGCTGCATGAGGTAATTGAGATCTCTGTGGTAGATTTCGCTATAGCAGCAGTTGTGGGAGACAACAGCCTCGGTATAACAGTGGTAACGTATTACTTATAGAATATTCCGAATAGGAAAATTCTACAAAATTATAAGCATTGACTGTATATTTTTTTCGGTTCATTGAGGTATGAATCGAAAAGCCGATGTGCAAACTTTTGTAAGAATCCGCAACGCGGATTCATACAGTTTGCATATCGGCTTTTCGATTCATACCTCAATGAACCGAAAAAAATACACAGTCAATCCTTAAGTATTGACATTACCAATACATTTATATCACGATGTACGATTACATGCCTTGCTAGGATATTGCTGAAACAACCCAACTCAGTGACTGACTCCTCTGAAGCTGTGTTAAGCAACTCATGTTTGGGATTCATTTCAGCTGGAACCTCCGCCAGAGTTCATTGCACACAGAGAACAACTGTGGGCCAAACTAAAGAAGGAGCATGAGGATTGGGTGGCAGCTCAAACTCCCCAGCCAATCAAAATCACTCTACCTGATGGCAAGGTTGTTGAGGGAGAGTCATGGAGAACTTCACCGTATGATGTTGCCAAGGGAATCAGGTAATGGGGTGATGTCATGGCAACGATACAATTCTTGTGGAATTTCAACATTTGAACCAGATTGGTTATTTTCTGTTTGTATGAAACATATCCCATCATTTCATTCATGATTTAACCCGTGGGATTCCAATTTCACCATAATGAACTGTGGGAATTGCCTACTGTAGCGCATATCCCTGTATATAAGTAGTTATTGGCTGTGTTGTCTCAGTCAACGGTTAGCTCAAGTGGAGTTGACACAGTACAATGCTACATGCATACTACTGTTTCTTCATTTTCCTACAATATAAAATGGTGATCCACACACACTTGTTGCACATAAAGGTCTTGATGTCAGAACTTTCCAAATTCAACCTGGAAGGGGCTACAAAGGATATAATCTTAATGCAATGTAAACCATCCACACTTTGTGACATCTTTCTGGACATTCCAAGTTAGAATAGGTCCCTAGTAACCTATGCTGGTTGTAGGAGGTGACCAAATGGATCATGATGTCAGGGTCGGTGACATGGTTGATATCGTGTCCTCGTAACCTGATATTATGGATCATTGTTCACAATATCAGTCACTGGATTGTCTGGTCCAGACTTGATTTTTTCCAGGCAGTTGTGGTATTGCTGGAATAAATTCATTATTGAATAAGACAGAAATTGAAGTCATGTGAAGTCGGACAACAGTCTAGTACAAGAACATCTACTGTAATCTGAACTGTTGTTTTCCATGATCGAACATTTTGAAGATTGAGTTATCATGGTTATGATAGAGATTCATCTTAAAATGGTTTTAAATGCTTAGAAGTAATATAATATTCTACTCTTTATGATTTATGTTCGTGTGATATGAGGGGGCATGGGTGGCCCAGTCGTCTAAGGCGCCGCGATTCGCTGTGCAGAGTTGCGTCCCTTTGGCACGCCAGAAACCTATGATTGTGGGTTCGAATCCAGGTTCGCCCCGATTATGTTTCTAGGTTTGTCAGCACCATATCCGTGCTCGTGGGTTTCACCGAAGTGGTAAACGTCTGGGACCTGCATCACTTCGGGCTTTCCTCCCACATTAAGCTGACACGCCGCGATATAACTGGAATACTGTTAAAAGCGGCATTAAAACCAACTCACTCACTCACTCGTATGATATGATAAATACTACTTCTTGGGACCCGTGAAGATCCGGGGTAGAATATGTCTCCAGCGCCCATGCTTGCCGTAAAAGGCGACTATGTTTGTCGTAAGAGGCAACGAACGGGATCTGGTGGTCAACTTGGTTGATGCATGTCATCATATCCCAATTGCATGGATCGATACTCATGATGTCAATCACTGGATTGTCTGGTCCAAACTTCCTTATTTACAGACCGTCGTCATATAGCTGGAATATTGCTGGGTGCGGCATTAAACAACAAACAAATCACAGCCACGTTATGGGTATGTTTTAAATGCTCAAGCCTTGACCAGGCCAACAAACAAACAAACAAACTACTTCTTGGGAAGTAGTGATAATCATAAGAGATCATTTGGAAACCTCTGCATACCAACTGTTGAGAGCGTATTACAATTGGACATGTATATTTTCCAGCCAGGGTCTTGCAGACAACACTGTGATAGCTAAAGTAAACGGAGAATTGTGGGATCTCGACCGGCCACTGGAGAAGGATGCATCTCTGCAGTTACTCAAGTTTGATGACCCAGATGGTAAACATTTAAACATGTCAACAATGCCGTGAAGAACTTCTCCATAAAGAATACTAATACTACATCTTGATTACTGATAGTGAAGATATATTTGTTATAAAGTATTAAGGATCTCTGAAGGCTAGTAAGAAAATTAGGCAGTCTCTTGCTCACCTTAAGCAGTCTTGTAGAATGGTGAAACAAATCCTTCAGATGATTAGCGTCAGATGACTTTGTTTTGTCTGTTTGTTTTCATTGTATGACTGCTGGAAAAAGTGGAATAATTTGAGTTACTATGACTTTGGTTATGTTGGATATTGATTGTTAAACTGAAATGTGTACTTGCAGCTTTTAGCAACTTAGAAAACCTCTTGTACATTTAGAATCTTCTGGGGATCTGCAAATTTCCGCGAATTTTAGTGACCACAAATTTGTTAAAATCTGATGGCTTCCCCCATAAACTCCTCAAAATTATAGCCCATGCTCCATTGCAAAGACATTTCAGCTGAAAAGGAGAATATCCATTCTCATTCCTGTACATTAACAACTACTGTTCCACGTTTCAGGTCAGTATGTTTTCTGGCACTCCAGTGCTCACATTCTGGGCGAGGCCATGGAGTGCCACTATGGCGGCCATCTTTGTTACGGCCCACCTGTAGAGAACGGCTTCTACTATGACATGTTCCTGGAGGACAGGTAAGTCCAACCTGTGCCGTTCGGTTGACGAATGATAACATAGTAAAGTTGGTGTGGGGAACAGGATTACAATGTTGACTCCGATCTTTAACACGTTACACGACACACACTCTAGCTATTTCTTACACCAAGCCACTCTGTGAAGTGAAACTAGTCAGCTGACATATGTTGATCTCTCCCTTCAGACAAGTATCCAGCAATGACTTTCCCTGTCTTGAGGGCGTCGTCAAGCAGGTTGTCAAGGAAAAGCAGCCCTTTGAGAGGCTAGAAATGAAGAAAGAAGATCTCCTGAAGATGTTTGATGTGAGAATTCTAAATGTTGATATATTTATCAGGTAGTTCATTAAATATTACCAACGGAGATGTTAATAACAAACATTCCTTGAAATATCTTTTTAACATTATTTAATTGTCAATGTATGTTCTGTGTTTCAGTATAACAAATTCAAGCAGAGGATTCTCAATGAAAGAGTAACCACCCCTACCACCACTGTATATAAGTAGGCATTCTTTGTTTCTTACTTTGATTATTTGACATACCTATAATAATAATGATGATGATGATGATGATAATAATGATAATAATGATAATAATGAGTGCAGTTATAATATTGGTTACCCATTTATGCTGCTATGGCAACAGAATTATATTTCAAACAAAGTCTGTTGCCGAAGAAGACACCACATGTGCTTCTGTTTGGGGCAGGAATGAAGCCCAAGAAACAGTCAGAATTTTTCTTAATTGTTTGACTTACTTGTTAATCCTAGAGAGGCTTAGGTACTTGAGTTTACGATGAATGTTTAACTGTGTATAGATGCAGACTTGTGTTGAGGACTTGAGTTTCAACTGTACATTGCTCTGTTTTTAGATGCGGCCCTTTAATTGATTTATGTCGTGGGCCTCATGTACGACATACTGGCAAGGTCAAGGCCATGAAGATAACCAAGGTGAGAGTTTTGGTCTTCCTCATCAAGTTTGAATACTGTGGATCATGTGTCGTCGCGATCTGATGAGACGGGTCATTGCTCACACTGGCAGCCATTAGATGACCCACTGACCCATTATGCTATTGAAGAATGTGTATCTCTGGGGGACTGCATCATATACTGTTTGCCCCCCACTCCCCCTGCCCCTTTTTATGTATTATAGCTATGATAAATTAGGATGAACTTGCTGATACACAAACAGTATCACTGTTTTAATACCTCGAGACATGATCATATGAGTACCCACAGGGAATTACTAGAACACTGAATCAGGGAATGCTTTAAATGGGATATTAAGGATGGCGAAGTTTGTGTGACCTGTGATCTTTGTGTTACCCAGAATTCCTCCACCTACTGGGAAGGGAAGGCAGATGCGGAGTCTCTACAGAGGATCTACGGCATCTCGTTCCCCGACAACAAACAGCTGAAGGAGTGGGAACACTTCCAGGCAGAGGCAGCCAAGAGGGACCACCGCAAAATTGGAAAGGTGGGAACAACTGGATACCTTAAACATACTTGGGGACAACCGTGGCCCAGTTGGCTTTCCTTCTGCAAGTCCATGTGCAGAGTTGTGTCCCTTAGTCAAGCTAAATTGTATGGCTGTGGGTTCGTTCCATATGTGCCCTGCGTTTGACTCGTGGTTGGTCAGCACCATACCTGTTTGTGGTTTTCACCAAAGTGACAAATGTCAAGGTCACATGAAGATGACAGCCGTGATATGACTGAAATACTGGTCAAAGCAGCTTTAAACCCAAATAACTCACTCACTCATGACCTATTGATTGTATACAGCATTTTGTATGAATTTCGCTGTTATATTATCACATATTTATAATACATTGTCATGAAAGCCATATAGGCCAGATTACCTCCCAGAAATCGACCTGGGAAGATCCGGTAGAATAGGTCTTCAACAACCCATGCTTGTCGTAAGAGGCGACTAACAAGATCAGATGGTCAGGCTCGCTGACTTGATTGATGCATGTCATCGTATCCCAATTGCCTGGATCGATGTTCATGATGTCAATCACTGGATAGTCTGGTCCAGACTTGATTATTTCCAGACCGCCGCCATATAGCTGGACTATTACTGAGTGCGGTGTTAAACAACAAACAAACCACATGTTGGTCACAATAGCCAACTGATGAGAATTTGGCAGAACTGTTTGTTATTGTCAGAGTCCCATTGCTGTTCCTGTTGTCAGAACCGTGTTCACTATTTTGCTTTTGTTTAGGATTACATCTGATCACAAATCTGACAAGGAACAATGAAGGGGAATACCTTGGTTGTATTTTGAGGACTGATAGCTTTTGGCTGTCACATTGTAAGGCATCTCTTCTTTTTGAAATCCTAAGGTGTCAGCTTTAAGCTGTTGGTCTTTGTTGAATGTCTGTTTGATCTGATTCAATTTGTCTTTCAGGAACAAGAGTTATTTTTCTTCCATGAACTGAGCCCTGGAAGCTGTTTCTTTTTACCCAAAGGAGCTTTCATATATAACACACTAGTAGATTTTATCAAGGTGAGTGTCTGAAGCAGCTTTCATATGTAATTGTTCAGACGATGTATATATGTGAACATGTCTACAGACATTGAATTGTTCAGACGATGTATATATGTGAACATGTCTACAGACATTGAATTGTTCAGACGATGTATACATGTGAACATGTCTACAGACATTGAATTGTTCAGACGATGTATACATGGTCCACTGATCTTGTTCCAGTCGGAGTACTTAAAGAGAGGTTTCCAGGAAGTGGTGTCACCCAACATTTACAACAGCAAGTTATGGGAGGTGTCTGGTCACTGGCAGCATTATGCTGTAAGTACTTGCCTGTAACCATAGTAACATAGTTCTGAAAAGTAAGATATTAATGTATTCTAATGGAAAAAATATAATGCTATATTGAAGATGAAGGAACTTTGAAATTTACGATTACTATAATGGAAAATTCTTTTGAATTTTGTTTGCAGGAAAATATGTTCTCATTTGAAGTTGAAAAGGAAACCTTTGCCTTGAAGCCAATGAACTGCCCTGGCCATTGGTAAGTGAGTGAGGTTTTACGCTAATTTTAGCAATATTCCAGCAATATCACAGCAGGAAACACCATTATTAGGCTTCACATATTGAAACCAAATCGGGAATCGAACCGGGTCTTCGGCGTGACAAGTGAATGCTTTAACCACTAGGCTTCCCTGCCACCCCAGCCATTGGTAAGACTTGATTTAGTGAAACCTATGTGATATTTAAACTTTCTCTATGATTTAAAAACATTGCATTACATGTAAGAAAAATATTATAATTTTTGACTGAAAGTAAAGCTGTATTGTATGTTCGTGTATAGTTTGATGTTCGACCATCGAAACCGGTCATGGCGAGAGCTCCCACTCAGAATGGCAGACTTTGGCGTCCTCCATCGTAATGAGTTGTCCGGAGCACTGTCCGGGCTGACCAGAGTGAGGCGGTTCCAGCAGGATGATGCCCACATCTTCTGCAGATTTGACCAGGTATGTGAAGTGTCTGGACGATTATTAGGTGCACTGATGTATGATACAATATGATACATGCTAGACTCCCTGTGGAGACTCCAGTTCCAGATCAGAATATGTCCTTATTATCCAGGCTTGTTTCCCTGTGGGGATTCCAAAGCTGAATGGGTCCCTGGTACCAATGCTTGTCTCCTTGTGGAGATTCTAGTTCCAGAACAGAATAGGTCCCCAGTACCCATGCTTGTCTTCCTGTGGGGATTCCAAAGCTGAATAGGTCCCTGGTACCCATGCTTGTCTCCCTGAGGGGATTCCAGTTGCAAATTAGAATAGGTGCCTTGTACCCATGCTTGTCTCCTTGTGTGGGACCGCCTCCGTGGTCTAGTGGTAGAGTATCTGACCAGAGAGCGCAAGGAAGGGGATTCGATACCCGCCCGCGTCATACCAAAAGTATTGTTTTACCACTTACCTGACGCTACGTCTATAGCACTGTGTAGCATCGGGTAAGTATAAAAACATTGCATTTAATCAGAAATACTCACTGTTGTTACTCTGTCTGGCGCTCGGGCATTAAGGGGCTAAAACAAGGACTGGTCAGCTCGGAGTCAGTATACTGTGTCTGAGTGGGGTATTAATTTTAAACTGTGGCAGGGTATCTCAGTGGGCTAGCACTATAACATCAGCATTAGTCCGGACCAGTACAAGCAGCCACAAACGCACGCAGGCATGCATGTGCATGCACATCGTTATATAAGTGCAATAATCTTGAACGCGAGGTTAAACCCCGTTTCACCTCAACTCAACCTTGTGGGGAAGCCAGGTCAGAATAGGTCCCTAGTACCTAATGCTTATCTCCTTGTGGGGAAGCCAGGTCAGAATAGGTCCCTAGTACCCCATGCTTATGTACTTGGTAGGGATCCTAGGTCAGAATAGGTCCCTCATACCCAATGATGGCAGTAACAGTTGACAAGAACAGCAGCTGATCTGATGGTGACAATGTGTGACATCATTCACAAACCCACTCACTGATGACATGTGTGTGTTGCAGATCAAGGATGAGATCCAGGGCTGCCTGGAGTTCCTGAAGCATGTGTATGGAGTGTTTGGGTTCAGCTTCCAGCTGAAGCTGTCCACCAGGCCGGAGAAGTTCCTTGGAGACATCGAAGTCTGGAATGATGCTGAGAAGGTGAGCTCATCGTATTTATAGCCCTGTGCCTCATTTAAGTCCGGGGTAGAATAGGTCTTCAGCAACCCATTCTTGCCGTAATAGGCGACTATGCTTGTCGTAAGAGGCGACTAATGGCATCGGGTGGTCAGGCTCGCTGACTTGGTTGATGCATGTCATCGCATCCAAATTGCGTGGATCGATGCTCATGATGTCAGTCACTGGATTGTCTGGTTTCACACTCGATTATTTACAGACCACCGTCATACAGCTGGAATATTGCTGAGTGCGGCGTTAAAAAACAAACAAACAAACCTTCCACCAAGTGACCCCAGCGCTACAAATGTAAAAGTCTACGTGAGAGTAAGGACATTACGATCGCTGTAGCGCTAAGATCACTTCGTAACATGGGGCCCTGACCAGTCATTTAAGGCAGCGTTATAACCACTCAGTAAGCAGGATCTGTTTATTGTGTTTCCAGGCCCAGGATGAGTGCCAATATTTGTGTCACAGTAATATTTACATACATGTGGTGCCAATGCTAAAAATAGCGTCAATTAATATTAGCTCCAGGACTTGTGTAAGGAACTTCCGTGACAATATATTGTCAAGTGCTCAATTGACTTGTACTACTTGACCTTAGTGCAGATAAATATTCTGCTGGCACCAGTAAGTTTTGTCTCCAATAACCATTCATCATTTTAATGGAGTGATGAATACAAGTATTCATGATCAACTAACATTGTGGTATGCTCAGTGCTGTTACTTGTTTTAATGAATGAAAAAAGGTAACTACATTTGAATTGGAGGTGGAGTTTATGATCTCATAATGCTCATAAAGAATTAAGATTATGATCATGATCATTTTAGAAATGCTATGAAAATAACAGTTGGAGTTCATGTAGAGCCTTGTGTGAAAAGACACAGTATCAACAGAATCCAAGTGGCATTTTTGTAATGAAAAGTGATGTTGTTGCAGCAACTGTCTGAGAGTTTAAGCAAGTTCACTGACAAGTGGGAACTCAACCCTGGTGATGGCGCCTTCTATGGTCCCAAGGTGAGTAAGTTAGACAGACGTTCTTGATACCTGTAAAGATCCGTTAGAATAGGTCTTCAGCAACCCATGCCTGCCGTAAAAGGCGACTATGCTTGTCGTTAGAGGCGACTAACGGGATCGGGTGGTCAGGCTTGCTGACTTGGTTGATGCACATCATCGTAACCCATTTGCGTGGATCGATGCTCATGGTATCAATCGCTGGACTATCTGGTCCAGACTCGATTATTTCCAGACTGCCGTCATGTAGCTGGAATATTGCTGCATGCGGTGTTAAACAACGAACAAACAAACAAACGTTCTTGATGTGTGGACAAAAGTCTGATTGATACATGAAATTTGAAGTGTTGTGTGTTTTTGTGGATTCGCGGGCTGAATTAGATAAGAACCTGGATGTCGCACTTTATGAATTGGTGTCATTGTGCTCTTACAGCTTCGAAAGATCTGACAGCCACGGACCACTAACTTTCGTAGCCAACACTCAATCATTTACAGGCTGCTGTGAAAATCAGAATAAAACAGCATTCTCTCACTTGGTTTGCTGATTGAAGATTGTTTATCATCCAGAACTGGCTTCCACAGGAGACATTGTTGCAATAAAATTGCAGTACAATGTCCTTGTAGACCATTGTGATGTCATCGGTTTCCATGATGTAACAATCAAATGACCTCACTAATAGCACTGTCACTGAAGCTGGGCTGTGTTCCACAAAGTGATTGTAGCACAGCTACTGTCATAACTTGGTTACAGTGTGGGAGTTGAAATGCCAGCCTCAGTACTATGATCATTTGTGGAATGGGCCCTGGTTAGCTGGATCTTTTACAATCAGGACACTACTTATTACTGTTTATGAACTTAAAAATTTGGAATAATTATGTTGGATAATAAATAGAATCTCATCTATCAAATATATCAATGCTTGTCGTTAGAAGTATAGATGAGTGTTGATATGTACTGTGCATAAAAAGTAGGGGATATTTTGTTTTGAGGTGAAACTTAAATGTCTGGCAGTAAAAGTAAGTGATTTATTTGGGAAGCACATTTCCTGAGAAATCAAGCTCCTGTACACAACATTGTAACAGTCATGAAGCAGGGGCGTTTTACCCGATATCAGTGACGTTGGCTGCAAATGCAAATTTCGAATTTGACCCCTGACCTCTTTAACGACCTAGTGCGCCACCATCTCATCACACCAACTATTAGAGCCCATCAGATCTGATTGCCTCCTCCCCAGCAGATATCGTTTCCATTTGCCAATACCATATAGATCAGATGGATGATTCCCATCATCCCCAAGTTTTTGGGCATAGTATCTTTGATTTCAAAAGACAATCATGTGAGATTCTCTATTTGAGAGTACTCATGTTTCAGATCGACATCACCATCCTGGACGCCCTCCGTAGAGCCCACCAGTGTGCCACCATCCAGCTGGACTTCCAGCTGCCGAACAGGTTCAACCTGGGATACATCAAGTAGGTAGTACTGGAAGAGGACAACAATCTGATCATGTGAACTTCAAGAGCAGTATCTTTCATCTGTACTGAAACAGTTCAAACATGAATTGAAAAGATATCAGTGTGGGGAATTTCTTGTCTGTGTGTTTAGTGACTAAAATCCCATATGTAAGTGTTTAATGTCGAAACATCCAAGTCAGAACTGTTAGGTGTGTCAAATATTTTGGGGTACTCCAATAAATGTGGAGATGGAACTGATGCACTTGTTTTGACATGTAATGGCAATATTTTATATGTGTCTCTTTTATGTTTCACTTCCTGTTTCCAGCGAGCAAGGAGAGAAAGACAAGCCTGTCATAATCCACCGTGCCATCCTTGGATCTGTGGAGAGAATGATTGCCATCTTGTGTGAGAACTACGGTGGAAAATGGTGTGATATTCTTCAGGATATGTATCTATATTAATGTACAACTGTTTGGAAAATTCTCATTAATATATAAGATCTCCAGGGGTGAGAATCTTCCGGGGATCTACAAATTTCCACGAATTTCAGTGACCACAAATCTGTTAAATCTGATCTCTTTCCCCATAAACACCCCCAAATTATGGACCAAGCTCCATAGCAAAGAAGTTTCAGCTGAAAAGGAAAATATCCATTCTCATCCCCGGATCTCTACAAAGACTTGTTGATAACTGAATTTTCCTGATGACCTGGCAGATTGTTAGTACCTATTGGTCAGTGGTGTTCTGGTACACCAATTAATGATATATCATTTTAGCACCAGCAGTAAATTTTCCAGGCCACATTTTGGGACTAAGTAAGAAAGCAATAGACAGTTGACTTTGCAGACTTGGTGCCGTGTTTGTTGGTCTCATGTTGTCTACTCCTGTGTGTTGCAGGCCCTTCTGGCTTTCCCCTCGCCAGTCTTGTGTCATTCCTGTTGCACCTGCCTTCGATGAATACGCAAACGAGGTAACACACATTTCAACAGAAATGGACATTAAAAATATTTTTTCACATACCTATTTTCAAGGGTTTTTTCTTCTTTTCTATTTCTCTCTTTAGCAGGGTGAAGATGTGTGGTCAGGGTAGGGTCCCCAGTGCCCCAGGGTGAAGATGTGAGGTCAGGGTAGGGTCCCCAGTGTACCAGGGTGAAGATGTGTGGTCAGGGTAGGGTCCCCAGTGCCCCAGGGTGAAGATGTGTGGTCAGGGTAGGGTCCCCAGTGCGCCAGGGTGAAGATGTGTGGTCAGGGTAGGGTCCCCAGTGCACCAGGGTGAAGATGTGGGGTCAGGGCAGGTGCGCCAGGGTGAAGATGTGAGGTCAGGGTAGGTGCCCCAGTGCCCCAGGGCAAAGATGTGAGGGCAGGTTAGGTGCACCAGGGTGAAGTTGTTGGGTCAGGGCAGGTGCCTCAGGGCGAAGATGTGAGGGCAGGGTAGGTGCACCAGGGTGAAGATGTGAGGTCAGGGTAGGTGCCCCATTGTCTCAGGGTGAAGATGTGAGGGCGGGGTAGAGTCCCCAGAGCCCCAGGGTGAAGATGTGAGGTCAGGGTAGGTGCACCAGGGTGAAGTTGTGGGGTCAGGGTAGGGTCCTGAATGCCCCAGGGTAAAGATGTGGGGTCAGGGTAGGGTCCCCAGTGCCCCAGGGTGAAGATGTGAGGGCAGGGTAGGTGCACCAGGGTGAAGTTGTGGGGTCAGGGTAGGGTCCTGAATGCCCCAGGGTGAAGATGTGAGGGCAGGGTATGGTCCCCAGGGTGAAGTTGTGTGGTCAGGGTATGGTCCCCAGGGTGAAGTTGTGTGGTCAGGGTAGGTCCCCAGGGTGAAGATGTGGTGTCAGGGTAGGGTCCCCAGTACCCCAGGGTGAAGATAGGGTGTCAGGGTAGGGTCCCCCATGATAATGGGTGGTTACAATGTGGGACTTGGCTGAAGGTATGTCATGCGTCAACAGCAAGGATTGCTGTTCACACTCACTCACTCACTCACTCACTCACTCACAGCTGTTATGTGATGTCTATGCTCCATGAACACATCAATGTGTTGCTGTAGACCTGCTGAGCACTTCGCTAGTCAAAAAGAATATCAAATTGTTTGATACGAAGTATATCTTAGAAGATGACGGAAGACAAAGTTGACAAAATTTTGTGGATAGCGGTTTCTTTATTATACTGTAGTAGGGAAGTTTCAGTATAGATCCTTATACCATTGTTAAGTAAGGTATAAGCATCTTGACAATGGTATAAGGATCTATACCAAAACATCAATGTTACAGTATAATAAGGAAATTGTTATCCATAAACTTTTGTCTATTTTAAAAGAATATATGTGAAGGTGCAAACAAACCTCAAGTTGGAGTGTATCCGATTGTGTTATTGCATCCCAGCATGGATCAATGACTAGTTGTTAGACAAGGCACCTCTTGTAGTCTCTCTCCGGTCGCCTCTGTAATACTTTTTGTCTTGTCCAGGTGAGGAGACAGATTCACTCGGCTGGGTTTGTGTGTGAGACCGATCTGGACACCGGAGCTACTCTCAACAAGAAAGTCAGGAATGCTCAGCTGAGCCAGTACAACTTCATCTTTGGTACGTGCTACTAGTGTTCTGAATCTTAGTTTGCAAATCAATGCCAATGTCACCAAATTCTGTCTGGACACCATGATTTATCATGATGTCACTTTGTGGCTGACTCAGGTCGAAACTTATTGGCAAGCACAATTATTTCATGATTGGCCTTGGATATTATCAGACCCCTCAAAATATAGGCCATAGTGCGTGCTAACTGTACTGGGGCTGGGACGGGTACCCGGGTCGGGTGGGTACTGAGTAGGACCCGGGTACCCTCAGGACTACCCGGACCCGTGGTTAGTCATGTGATATATAGTTTAATGACAAAAATTATCTGAAACTCTATGGTTACACTGCAAGTCACTAATGTTCGCATTTCTTTCTGACTATGCACCCATTCCTTCTGACTTTTCATATGGTTGAATAAAGATATAACTTAAGTCAACTTCAGATCGTTTAATACATGTATCTAAATACGTTTTGCAAGTGCTGTGGTAAAACAAAATCCCTAATCGGACATTTTGTATCTCTTGAGACCTACACAGGGTACTCGGGTAGGGTCGGGTAATAGAGGGGTGGGTACCCAGGTAGTAAATTTGGACTCGTCCCAGCCCTATTCTGTACCATGGAATCGGGATCTTCAATACTTGGTTTTTGTCCCATGGTTCAACATGCTTTGGTATTCTGACCTGTTACCATTGTTATTTCATTTAACATGAATCCTAAGCACAAGTTTTTATTTTTATTTTTTATTGTTGTAAAATTGTGTTGAATCCTGAAATATTTTGGCAACCACATAACAGTCTTGATGGGCAGTTGGATATGCATATGACAAGGAATATTATATTAAAGGAAGTTGTTATCCAAACTATTCCTTGTCGCAAGGAAATAATATTTGACGTCATAAAAATCTTGAACTTGAAATCTGATAGACGTGTAAACCATACTCACTAGAAACAAGCTTATTGTCATTAAACAAGGATGAGCTCTCAGTGTTAAACTGAACCTTATCAATATACCTAATCTCCACAGTTGTTGGTGAGAAGGAGAAAGAGAACAAGACTGTCAACGTGCGTACCCGAGACAACAAGGTTCACGGTGAACACGGCATTGACCATGTGATCTCAAGGTTCACCCACTTCAAGACCAGCCGATCCCCCGATGCTGAGGAGACCTTCTAGACTCCACAAATACAGCAGCACTGCTCTGTGCCCAAGGCAGAACAGTGACACTGTCCTGTGAACACTTCCAGTGAATGTGAAAACTCAGATATATTTGTTTCACTTGGGTAAATTATTTGCAGATAACAGTGTTGTGTAAAGGATATGATGTCACATTGAAATTAAACTCCATTCATGAATGATGAATAGGACTGTATTCTCTGTGTGATGGGGACTTCAGGCAGTAATACTACTGTAGACTTAGGTTCGTGTTTTCGTTCCTAGATATAGTTATCACAAGGTTATGAAGCACTCTAGTCTTACATCTTTTGTAGAAAACCTCATTGCCCAGTTGTAGAGATAGATGTGATTATTTCCATATTGATCTTATTTATTTTCATGACTCTTGTTCATCTTTGTTATTACCGATACATACTTTTATGTAGAATCGACATCTACAACTTTTGTCTGGAATGCAGAACATTCTGTGATATGGATCTTTCTGTTCATTACGTTCATATCTAAACATTTAGTTGACATTTGACAGGTTGAGAACACCAATAATTGTACAAAATAAATTATAAAGATTCATAAAGATGTACTTGAAACGATATAACAGCTTATGTTAACACAGGATAGTACTGAAGTAATCACATTCATGGTAATTCCGATATGACCATTGTTCCACTGTCATATCTTATCTTCAGCCAGTTTTCTTCTTTGAGCGGATGAGATAGCCTAGTGGTTAAGGCCATGTCACCCAACACCTAGGTTTGATTCCTTACATGAGTGGGGAGGTCGGGTAGCCTAGTGGTTAAGGCCATGTCACCCAACACCTAGGTTTGATTCCTTAAATGAGTGGGCAGGTCGGGTAGCCTAGTGGTTAAGGCCATGTCACCCAACACCTAGGTTTGATTCCTTACATGAGTGGGGAGGTCGGGAACCTAGTGGTTAAGCATTCGCTCGTCAGACCAGGGTTTGATTCCCGACATGGGTACAATGTGTGAAGCCCTTTTTCTGGTGCCCCCCACCGTGATATTGCTGGAATTTTGCTAAAAGCAACGTAAAACCATACTCACTCACTAACCTTCCATGAGTAAAATGTTTGAAGCCAATTATTCGTTTCTCCTCGCCATGATATAGTTTGAAGTATCACAAAGGTGGCACAAAATATTCACTACAATGCCTGACCAAGACACTTGTTCCACAGTCTTCTGGATGTAGTTTTTTCTCACGTCATTGGTCACATACGGTCACTTTGCCAAATGAAAGTACAGAGTGAAACAATATATGGCAACCATTCAACCAGAATATTACCTGTATCACACCTTGACACTTTCATTTTGTTACATGACAACCATGCATGAATGCTTGTGATATGACTAGGGAAATTGTGTGTATTCTTATCAGTGTGTACGGAGCATAGCCACAAACGGAGGGCTATATGGGAATCAATGTGTATGTGTGCTGTTAAATTCAGCTATATATGGTATTACTTTGGATTTGAAACTGTAGTAGCCGTGGTCAGATGTTCTGAAGCATGTAACTAACAGGAGGAACATTTGGATTAGCATCTAGTGTACACTTAACGCTGTAAAGATCAAGAATAATTGTGAGAAATATTAGACCCACACCCAGAATGGGCCATTTTGTGCAGAGCACATGATTCAGATTCTGTGTACATACTACAGATAGAACTCTGCCTCTGATTGATTCATCAAGTAGTTCCTTTGTTTCTTGCAATAGCGGGTAAGTAGCATAGTCCAGTGGTTAAAGCGTTCGCTTGTCACGCGGAAGACCTGTTTTCGATTTCCTGGATGGGAATGTGTAAAGCACATTCCTGGTGTTTTCCACGTTAATATTGCTGGAATATTGCTGAAAGCAGTGTAAAACCGTACTAATTGCTATAGCTGACGCACAATGTGTGACAGCAGCAATACGATGTTAGAATCGTATTGTATCCAACAATTTCACACAGGCAAGTTGTTTCTTGTACATTATGTTTGCTGGGTGATAAGGGACAAAGGGAAAAGTGATAACATGAACTAACAACAGTAGGTGCGAGATAAACACAGCTCAACCAGTAGGCACGGTGAGCCAGGGCTCTGTTCCTCCAGCACTGTGAGCCAGGGCTCTGTTCCTCCAGCACTGTGTGCCAGGGCTCTGTTCCTCCAGTACTGTGTGCCAGGGCTCTGTTCCTCCAGCTCTGTGAGCCGGGGCTCTGTTCCTCCAGCTCTGTGTGCCAGGGCTCTGTTCCTCCAGCACTGTGTGCCAGGGCTCTGTTCCTCCAGCTCTGTGAGCCGGGGCTCTGTTCCTCCAGCTCTGTGAGCCGGGGCTCTGTTCCTCCAGCACTGTGAGCCAGGGCTCTGTTCCTCCAGCTCTGAGAGCCGGGGCTCTGTTCCTCCAGCTCTGTGTGCCAGGGCTCTGTTCCTCCAGCTCTGTGTGCCAGGGCTCTGTTCCTCCAGCTCTGTGAGCCGGGGCTCTGTTCCTCCAGCTCTGTGTGCCAGGGCTCTGTTCCTCCAGCACGGTGAGCCAGGGCTCTGTTCCTCCAGCACGGTGAGCCGGGGCTCTGTTCCTCCAGCACTGTGAGCCAGGGCTCTGTTCCTCCAGCACGGTGAGCCGGGGCTCTGTTCCTCCAGCACTGTGAGCCGGGGCTCTGTTCCTCCAGCTCTGTGAGCCGGGGCTCTGTTCCTCCAGCACGGTGAGCCGGGGCTCTGTTCCTCCAGCTCTGTGAGCCAGGGCTCTGTTCCTCCAGCTCTGTGTGCCAGGGCTCTGTTCCTCCAGCACGGTGAGCCAGGGCTCTGTTCCTCCAGCACGGTGAGCCAGGGCTCTGTTCCTCCAGCTCTGTGAGCCAGGGCTCTGTTCCTCCAGCACTGTGAGCCAGGGCTCTGTTCCTCCAACACTGTGTAGAACAAACTATATAGATAAAGGAGGGTGGGGGCCTGTGCTATTCCTTCAATATTGTAGTGAGATGTGGTGAACTCTTTACCATCTTGCAATTGGTATGCTCAAATAAAATGTTGTTCTTTAACATGCTGTTTTTTGTTTTTTTGTTAGTGGTATATAATAGGTGTGGGTGTCTGTGTGTTAGAATAGAGTGATAAACATTTGGAGTGCATTTGGGATATACACCTCCACTCCAATAACCAGCTTTGATAGATAGAAGTTTAGGCAAATGGGAAGAGATATGTGTTTGTTGATTCCACAACACCATCCTTCTTTACAGTAAATGGTTTGACAGCTGCGACAGACTGTTCCAGTTCCATGGCAATTTGATCTTCAGCCATGCCGATAGGATTGCCGATAGGCAGCAAGCTCAGTGTCTTGTGCACTGAGACAGCTACTTTGATATTAACAAACTCTTTTTGTTTGAGCAGTTTCACAGATTGCGGTCTCCATTGTTATATGGCAGTGTATTTTATTGTTAAACAATGCTTGTAACTGTATTACATTGTTTCTGTTCAGATTCGGTAGAAGCTCACTGAATTGTATTGGACAATGCTTAGTTTTCAGGAATGTTTGTTTGTTTGTTGTTTAACCCTGCACTCAGCAATATTCCAGCTATAGGACAGTGGTCTGTAAATAATCAAATCTAGGCCAGACAATCCAGTGATTGACACCATGAGCATCGATCCACGCAATTGGGATGCGATGACATGCATCAACCAAGTCAGCGACCCGACTACCCGATCCCGTTAGTCGCCTCTTACGACCACCATAGTCGCCTTCTAGGGCAAGAATAGGTTGCTGAAGACCTGTCCCGGTCATCAGGAATGTAGTCCTATTTAATGTAAGCAGTGGTGAGGAAGTTACTATATTAAGATACTACTGTGATCTGAAAACTTTCGGAATAGTATGGATGGATATCAAATGTTATAAAAACGTGGAATATTCTGTGATGTGATGGCACTATGTGGAAAGTTCTGGAAGCTAGTTGGACTATATTAGTGGAGCGGGCACGTGCCTGTCTCATCTCACATTTCATTACATCAAGACCAACTTTTGTGTTTAGTCCACTTACCCCACTGCCATGGTCTTTTTCAGAAGCTGTGCAGTTACGTCCCTTTGGCATGCCAGAAACCTATGTACTAGGTTTGTCAGCACCCGTGCTCGTGGGTTTCACCGAAGTGGTAAACGTCTGAGACCTGCATCACTTCGGGCTGTCCTCCCACATTAAGCTGTCAAGCCGTGATATAACTGGAATACTGTTGAAAACGGCAAAAAACCCAACTCACTCACTCACTCTTTCTCGGAAGCTGCTGTTATTAACACAGACTTTAGTTATCACCACTGTTTTTGTATTTGATACTGACCACTGTCATCATAGTATATATTGCCATTGAATATTGTACTACCACTCTCTTGTGCACTGCCATTATGGCATTTTCGCTCCACAGTCAGTAGCCTCATACAGCAGGTGATGCCAACAGGAACGATTACTAATATACATATACTGTTATGTGTTGACTTCCAAATTGAAAAAAAAGGTTAATCCAGAAATCTGTACATACAAGAATTCAATGTTAAACCAACAAACAAACGACAAATTGTGTACAATTAACAATTGAATTATAATATTAACTAGGTTACCGGTAACTACGATTAACAAATCGATACTAAATTACTGCACAGCAATTACAATGGCAGTGCAAAATTGACTGGCAGTACAAGTACAATGGCAGTATAAACATATATGATAGCAGTAACATGTGATCTTCACACAAAAGCTGGTCTTGATGTAAGTGAGATGAAGTGTGAGATGAGAGAGCCACGCTCTTGTTCCCTGATACAGTATAAATCCCTTTTGGAAAATTATATCCAGTGCTAGATCAGTCAAGCTACGCTACAAAATTCCAGAAGACTCCAGATTACACTTGACCTCACAAGCATCTAAATATAGTTACTTCTACACCAATGTTTAGATTAAATAGTACTACATTACTCACAACTAATTATTGTCAAAACACAATGCTATGACCTACTGAATGTCAACAGAAACAATGTTATACAACTGCAACATTATTCAACAATAGGACTACCTCCGTGGTCTAGTGATGGAGCGTCCGCATGGAGAGCGGAAGGTAGTGGGTTCGATCCATGGCCACGTAATACCAAAAGACGTTGATAGATGGTACTTGTTGTTACCCTGCCTACGCTTGGCGTTAAGGGGATCAAACAAGGACTGGTCGGTTCAGAGTCAGAATGGTGTGTCTGAGTGGGGTCGTCATGTTAAACTGCAGCAGTGGGCTAGCAATATAAAAGCAGCTACACATACATTCACGTCCCTACACAAGTGCAATAATCTTGGATGCAAGGTTAAACCCCATTTCACCTCACCTCTAAGTTGAAAGAGAGCTCTGAGTGGCCATAATCCTCCAGAGGCTGCTCATAATGAGCTCCATGGTGACATGACAAACTGTATTTGTCGTTTGTATTAATGAATTAAAATAAACTTAAGTTGTGAGTTTGTTGTTATTTGGATATGTGGATAAAGGAGTACAGAAGTGATGACAACTACAGATGCTGTTGAAGGTTATATATGAGCTGAAGATGATAGTATTAGACATCGACTGGTCTCGTGTGGGCTATATGTTGATATACACTTTGCTGGCTATAGTTGCAGTGGCAGGATCCGAAGACAGGCTTGAATCTCCAATTTGCATTGATTATATTCCTTGATTTGTCACTATACTCATGTTCATGAGTAGGTTTTCTACCATCTTCCCGAGGCAAGGGAGTTAACTGACTATAAAAGCCCTGTTTCCATCCTTGCCGAAATAGGCTGGAGTTATATTTTGGCTGGACTAACGAGTATAGTCCAATCAAAATCATGTAATGAAATCAACTGCCGGTTCCATAAAGTGCCGTGCAGATTCGGTCGAATGCAGGATTTTCAAAGCATGTGTACCGTCAACAGATATTTTCCAAATCTTTTCATGTTTTTATTCAAGTTGCTCACATGATTTTATGTACTTCGGTAAGTAAGGTCTGTTTTATTACAGAGTAGATCTTGATTATCGATCAGGTCGTCTTGAGTGGACGCTGCCATTTTGCTACAAACTGCGTACTAGTAGATAACTTTTGATAACTATCCCACTGCCCAGGGGCAGTGCTTCTATTGTCTGTCTATTGTCCATGACCCATACTGTCTATTGTCCATGAACAATGTTGTCTATTGTTCCATTGTGTCCATAAACAATGCTGTCAGTACTGTCTATTGATCCAACAACTTCAGCTTCCATGACGTCACAAAGGAATTAGACAATAGCTTACTATTCGTATTGTATTACTGATGCAGTTTATGCAGGGTTGATGGATATTATGCAGAGAAGTCAAACAATCACATATGCATATCAACCATTCAATCATCTAAATAAATATTAAATAGAATCAAATAAACTATCAGTAACGTTATAAGATGTTATAGGTAAGATAGGTTATAAAGCCTATAGTAATGTCTTTCCGTATAAGGAAGTACCACGACCCAGAAATTCCAGCCTAGTTCGGCACGGGTGGGAACTTGATTTTTACAGTGAGTTAACTCACTTGCCTCGGGAAGATGGGTTTCTACCTGCTTCGAGCTGGCACACCGTGATGTAACCTTTTTTACCCGTTATACTTTATCCAGCTTACTCACTCACTCATTCATTCATTCATTATATTCTGCTTCATATTTTTATTTTGTTTCTCCTTCTTTTCATTGTCGTAGTCATGCTCATTAATCGCATTTTCATACCCCTCATTCAAACATACAAACATTCAGTTTCAGTCTATGCATTTACACCACACTTAGACAGGAAACGCACACTTGACCCGCACGATGCTGCAGGAGATAATGGCAATAATATACAAGGAAGCTGGAACCGCGGATTTCACTACTACGTAAATCTTTTGTTGACAAATTTAACTGCTTCCCGAATTAGAAGTGAAAGTGGTATCAAACAAAATGCTTGCTTAAATGGGAACAAACAAGTTAATAATGTCAGAAATTACATTTGTGATATCTTCGATTTTTCAGTAGGACCTCATGTCGACTGTAAACATCTTATCAACTCTACAGACGCGGGACTTTGATGGAAGGTGGGTCACATTTACAACGTGGTATCGCTAGCCGCAAACACATCAGCAAATAAGGAAAATAGCAAGACTGCAAGAAAAGCATTTTATTCACTGACAATGCAAAGCAAGACAAAAACAAGTCTTCCACAAGGTAATATAATAAAACTGGGTGTCAGATAATACATATTTCAATTTCACAGTATTCCAGCAAAAGCTGTATAATTCTAATTCTTTAATGATATCCACTGGTCCTACTGAAAACACCAACGAAGGGCATGTCCAAGACTTGGCAATAGTGCATTCATGTGGGTACAGAATGATTGTCGTTGCGAACAAAGGCTATTGCCTATCTTTTATTCGTAGAATTTCTGTTCTATTAATGTTCAGCTAAACTTCAATAATCGCCAACACCCGATGGGATGATGTAAATCCTGCTGGGGTCCATGCAGGTAGCAAAGGTACTGTAAGTCCCCATGGTCCCCAGTATGGTGATCTACCTTCAGTTGCTGGTGATCTATAGCCCGTTTTATCATGTATTGTTATATATACAGTAAACTACGGTTATAACGAACTCAAAGGGACTACTAATTGTAGTTCGTTATAACCGTAATTCGTTATAAGCATATATACAGTATAACTGCAGCAAATAGTCGGGACTAAAAAGTTAGTTCGTTATATCCGTTAGTTCGTTATAACCGTAGTTCACTGTATCTGCTTACTCCTTCATCAGGTGAAGGAGTAAGCATGTACTCCGAAACGTGTTCCCCATGATAAAGAAGTTGACCTCCATATATTCTGTTCCTTATGTGATATTCTAGTTCTTTTACTGTTCTTCGTTGACAGGTTTTATAAAGTCTTCAGGATACATTGATTATGTAAACTTTTTCTAAAGATATGACTGAAATAATTCTGATGGGACTTTAAATTTAAACTTACTCATACTCACTTACCCAATATTGCTTATATCAATGGTAGTATTCCCTGGAGCCAAGTAACTGATTGTACATTCTCGGGAAACACTTGCCAGGGGTTCTATATATGCAAGACTCGCTGAATATTTTGTGAGGAATCAGTTGCATTGTTTCCATTAAGATTAAACGTATGTTCTAAGCATATACTGTGAATGTGTGACCGCCTCCGTGGTCAAGTGGCAGAGCGTCCGTCCGGCGAGCGGAAGGTCGGGGGTTCGATCCCCGACCGCGTCATACCAAAAGACGTCAAACGATATTACTTGTTACCCTGTCTGGCGCTAGGCATAAAGGGGCTAAAACAAGGACTGGTCGTCTCGGAGTCAGATTACTGTGTCTGAGTGGGGTATTCATGTTAAACTGCGGCATGGTATCTCAGTGGGATAGCACTATAAATCGCCACCAATCGGTACAAGCAGCCTCACACACACACACACACACACACACACACACACTAGCATACACACTAGCACGTACGCACACACACGCACACACACACACACACACACACACACACTTACGGGCATTAATTGTCTGGCGATTTAGATTGCATCTGTAAGAAACAGGGTAATAACCCTGAGTGGTACGTGACAACATACATGAGACTGTCCTGGCCGGATGGTGATTATCTACGCCATGGCGTTTCATATTATAGAAGAGCAAACTGAATCGTGCGACTATATTAGGGAATGTATTACGTAGACCTGGATGTGAAGATGACCACATTGGTAAATAAATCACTCTTCACAAGAAATCTCACAGGAACATATGGTGGGTACACCTGAAAATGACACTATTGCATCCTAGCACAAAGAAGGTGTTCAGAAACATTTCAAACATAGGACCTATTCTACCCCGGATCTTCACAGGTGAGACAATATGTAGTCCACCCGTGAAGATCCGGGGTCTTAAGCAAGCCATGCTTGACCTAAAACGCGACTATGCTTGTCGTAAGAGGCAACTGACGTGATCGGGTGGTCAGGCTCGTTGACTTTCATTGACGCATGTCATCGTATCCCAATTGCGTGGATTGATGCTCATGATGTCAATCAGTGGATTGTCTGGTCCAGACTCGTTTATTTACAGACCGCCGACATATAGCTGGAATATTGCTGAGTGCGGCGTTGAACAACAAACAAACAAACAATATGTAGTCAGTGACTAATGGGTGGTATGTACTGGGCACTGAATAATACATTCCACTGGTGTTACACAGATGTAAAGGAGTCCTCCTTTCCACTTCCCGGTCTGTCTGTCAAGTAAAATGCAAAGCAAACTCATGTCTTCATGCGGCATAATGATTTGAGGTATTGTCTGAAGGTAGCGTTACAGAAACTATATATGAGTGGATTGGAGATACTTTGTATGAAGTATGACCGCTCCAAGATGGCCCCAACTACAGGTGCCTCGTCGAGGAGGTCGGGGTGTGCAGATCTGGCAACGACCAGGACTAGATAAGGGAGATAACTTAGGATGAATGTCAGCGTAATAAGAAAGAGTACCATTGTTATCTTGTAGGTTCCATGTTTCCCTTGAGCAGATGCTGACGTCGACGTTTGTCGTGGTATGGGCACTGCTGGCATGAATGTAGGGGAACTGGGTTGACTACAACTGTAGGTAATGACTGCCCGATCACTGCTTGACTGAGAAGAATCATTCTCACATCTCACATAGTTCTGTATAACACATGAAGGTGCTCCATTGTTAGCAGCGTCGCTGTAGGAATCCCCTCTTACCAGACTATGTGTATTGTTCCCCTCCCCTCCCTGTGGGGTGACACAGTTGAATGGTTGGACACAGTCTTTATCCGACGTCCTTGCAGAATGCTTTTTGCCTCTTGAACATGGCGTTGGAGTGCTGTCTGAACTTCTGCATTCGGAAAGTCGTCTTCTGATAGTTTGCTTTCGACGAATCTGGCGCCATATCAATCCATACAACACAACGAGGGACACTACGGCTCCAACGAAAAGGAACATCTGAATTCCAGAATACACTATGGGAAGGTTAGAGTCCTCATTTCTTTGACTGCATATTGTGGCATTAATCTGACCTACGGGTATAGTTTTAGGTCCATCTATGACAGACGAGGGGATCGTGAACAGTCCTGAGACAACACAGCATATAACGCACGATCTTTTTGCTGAATAAGGTGTCATCTGTCTCTTGAAGGGCCGGCATATCTTTCTGTACCGATCCACGGCCACGACCAGCAACACGGCAGCAGACGACATGGTGAAGAAGGTAACACACATCATTATTAACTCACACAACCCAAACGTCCCAAAACTTGCAGTGTAATTCAGCTCCAGGATGTGAAGTGGTATGCTGACAGCACAGTTAAGTAAGTCTAGAATCCCCATGACAACAATAAAACAGCGGTTGTTGCTAGGTTTGAACTTAAAAGAGTACACATAACACACCAAAGAATTGCCCACCACACCCACGGCCAAGAGAACGGCGAGGAATACGATGACGGGCAGGTTCTGACGGGCGAACATGGTGTTGTATTGGTGGACACTGCTCATGTTGAACAACATGTTGAGTAGAATTAGCATCTGCCTTTGCTAACGCGTGATGAGGAAATGGCAAGATGAGTCCTGGATGAAATTGAAAGTTGATTGTTATCACAACAAATTACGAAATAGAATCCTTCCGCTTAGGCATTTAATCCTGATATTTTTCAGAGGCGGAGAGATATATTTTCAAGATGACATAAATAGAACTTGAAAAGATGTGTCCTACTAGATTCGCCCATGTGCCATCGCCTTCCGTTGAGTTAAAATTTAACGTCGCATCGGCATTATTTCAGCCATATAGGGACCGGGCATTGCGCAATAGCCTTGAGCCTTTGTAAACAACTTGCAAGTTGTATTTCTTAATTCAATAGATGACCATGGCAAATCCGTTGTTCAAAAGCGAAAGCAAGTATTTTCAAAACATTTATGCAATTATGACTAGATGATTGATAGGATCGAACCCCTCCTACCCACCCGTCTAGGTGATGTAAGGGACGAAGTTGTTTATAGGGCACGCCGAAGATCCGGGTTCGATTCCCGACATGGGTACAATGTGTGAAGCCCATTTGTCGTGTCTCCCGCCGTGATATTGCTGGAATATTGCTAAAAGCGGCGTAAAACCTCACTCACTCTAACGACCAGCAGTGGGGTGCTAGGGAAACCTACATTTCTGGGTCCCAACGGGCTAAATTCTCATAGACGCTGCTGATAATGTCATTACCTTACAGAATCGGTATCCATGTTTGACATGGATGTCTTTATCCTAATATACATGTGTGTTTGTTTGTTGTTTAAGGCCGCACTCAGCAATATTCCAGCTATATGACGGCGGCCTGTAAATAAACGAGTCTGGACCAGACAGTCCAGTGATTAATATCATGAGCATCGATCCACGCAATTGGGATCGATGACATGCATCAACCAGGTCAGCGAGCCTGACCACCCGTTACCGTTAGTCGCCTCTTACGACAAGCATAGTCGCCTTTTACGGCAGGCATGGGTTGCTGAAGACCTATTCTAACGGATCTTCACGGGTCTCTAGAACGTCTGTCTAACTTACTCACCTTGGGCCCATAGAAGGCGCCATCACCAGGGTTGTGTTCCCACTTGTCAGTGAACTTGCTTAAACTCTCAGACAGTTGCTGCAACAACATCACTTTTCATTACAAAAATGCCACTTGGATTCTGTTGATACTGTGTCTTTTCACACAAGCCACACGTGAACTCCAACTGTTATTTTCATAGCACTTCTAAAATGATCATGATCATAATCTTAATTCTTTATGAGCATTATGAGATCATAAAATCCACCTCCAATTCAAATGTAGTTACCTTTTTTCATTCATTAAAACAAGTAACAGCACTGAGCATACCACAATGTTAGTTGATCATGAACACTTGTATTCATCACTCCATTAAAATGATGAATGGTTATTGGAGATAAAACTTATTGGTGCCAGCAGAATATTTATCTGTACTCGGGTCAAGTAATACAAATTGTATTATTTAGTGCGAACACAGACAAGTCAATTAGGGCACATGTCACTATATTGTACCAGAAGTTCCTTACACAAGTCCCGGAGCTAATGCTCTCTGCAATTTCATTGGTCATTAATTGACGCTATTTTTAACGCTGCACTCAGCAATATTCCAGCAATATGACGGCGGTCTGTAAATAATGGAGTCTGAACCTGACAATCCAGTGATTAATATCATCTGCATCGATCCACGCAATTGGGATCGATGACATGCATCAACCAAGTCAGCAAGCCTGGCCACACGATGCCTGACCTCCTACGACAAGCATAGTCGCCTTTTACGGCAGGCATGGGTTGCTGAAGACCTATTCTAACTTCACGAGTCCCTATATTCATGTATAGTATGTACACTATCAAAGGCCAATTGCGTGGATTGATGCTCATGATATCAATCACTGGACTGGTCATTGGACTGGTCATATAGCTGGAATATTGCTGAGTGCGGCGTTAAACAACATACTTAACACTATCAAAGGCCTCGCAAAGTTGTGCTGCATTAAGTCGACAATGAGGCTTATCAAATGGATAACCACACAATTTCAACACACAAGCTGTATGTGCATAACCTTCTCGACATTCATCCTCCACTCATTGTTTTCTCATACCGTGTATATGAGGTTTTGTGTTGTGTGAACACAAACTACTTCCCCCTCTCTACAAAATGACATCTCGTTTCTCACTGAGGTTCCTCTCTCATAGACTGTGACCTGATTAAATTGTCTGATTAAAACGTACTGCATGGACATGTGGCGTAAGATGGTAAATCAGAATAGGTCTGATGAACGTGAGTGACTGAACTGAATTGGACTGTTTAACTCCTTTGCTCATGGCAGGTCTGCCAAACACACGGGACCCGTGAAGATTCGGGGTAGAATAGGTCTTCAGCAACCCATGCTTGCCGTAAAAGGCGACTATGCTTGTCGTAGGAGGTCAGGCATCGTGTGGTCAGGCTCGCTGACTTGGTTGCTGCATGCCATCGATCCCAATTGCGTGGATCGATGCAGATGATTTGCATCATGGACTATCTGGTCCAGACTCGATTATTTACAGACCGCCGTCATATAGCTGGAATATTGCTTTAAACAGCGTTAAACAACAAACCAACCAACAAAACACACGACTTCAGTCATTGTTTTCAATAATACAATATTTGGCTACATTAACTTCCCTGTGACAATGTCTTTTAAACGTCCTGCTTCTTTTAATCGTATATGCGGAGAAACTTAAGCAACACTCTCATTATAATTTGCAAGTGTATTCTCATCAGCAAGTAACAAGGCGAACATCCTCTCACGGTTTAACAATGTAAGTGTTTTAATCGCATACAAAATTATAGAAAATGTATACTTACCACGTATGCGTGGTTGGCAGATAACTCCGTGCGCCCATGCACTCTTCTGTCCGGCTTGTGGGCACGACTCGTGTTCTACTACTCGGGAAGTGTGTCATCTCATAGTTCCGTTCCACTTTACTAGAAATAGATGAGTGAATTGTCATTTTATGGCAATAGCATTTTCGTTAATCGAAAAGCTTCACTTTCAGTCAAGAACATTATGACGTTAAGATTAGTGTATAGTCTGTGTAGCGACATATGGCATCAGCACAAAACGAAAACATTGTGGGATTCTGCTTAATTAAACGTTATGGGAATGTTTTAAATGCTCAAGTCTGAACTAGGCTAACCAGTCGTCGATGGCGCTATCAACGGCCGCCGCATTCGTGTAGATGTCACAAGGCCAGTCAAGTCAGAGTTTATCATGAATGTGAGTTGATATTATCTGATGCTGAAAGTAATAATGAGAATTGACTTTCACTTTGTGTGTATCATTGGATTCATGGAGTGTGTTTTGGGAAAAGCCTGTGTAAGTCAATGTCTTCTGACCCCCCGTTTTTTTAAGATAAAGGACAGTCTCGCCACAACACAGCTGTTGCTGAAAGGGGATATAAACAATAACACAGAGATGTGGGTCAGCTCACTGGCACTTTTTTCCTGGCACATGTGCCGATCAGTGGCATGAGCCTTCCCCATATGAGTGAGGACCAAACTGTTTGAACGTCGGATCTTTACAGTTTAAGTCAAGTAGGCTAACCAGTCGTCGATAGTGCTATCAACGGCCGCCGCATTCGTGTAGATGTCACAAGACCAGTCAAGTCAGAGTTTATCATGAATGTGAGTTGATATCATCTGATGCTGAAAGTAATTATGAGAATTGACTTTCACTTTGTGTGTATCATTGGATTCATGGAGTGAGGACCAAACTGTTTGAACGTCGGATCGTTACAGTTATAGGGATTAACTTTAAAGGACCAGTTATCTTTAAATGCGATGTACTGTGACATTATAAAGTTGTAAATAGGTAGATATAATTCTAATCTAAAGATGTAAACACATTTGATGATACATATGTGAGGATTTTAGTTTATTTTGACAGCCCGTGCCAGGTCGGACTAACTATTCCTCTTTTATATGCAATCTAGCTCGGCCACGACTTCATCATTTTCAAGCGATTTACTCGCTGCGCGTTTTTGGTTTGTGATTGTACATTAATGCCATGTATGTTGCATCAGTAATATGTAGGTATGGTCGTCGGTATTGGTGTAAGTGTGTCGGTCCGACTTTTAGGCACCCCCATAAAGATGTTGTTATCCTCACTTGATACTCCAACTTCTAATGGCTCTCAAAGAAGCAGCTTAGCCTGGTTTACCAATTACCAGTAGTAATTGGTGAAGTGGGGCTTTCCTTTAAAATCGGAATCCCTTGGAACCGTTTCATCGTGGACATTTTATATTTTTGGTCCACCGTTTCACGAACTCATTTTACGCTCCTTTGATATCATACGAATATGGTTAAGTTGGTGGAGTTAGAAGTACGTATGTAATGGAGGACGCGGGCAGCGATGACTCCAATGAAAACATTGCTAGCTGCAAAGCCATGTCGGCTAAGAAAAGGCGACTTTCTTCATCATCATCATCCAACGATGACACTCATAAAACACCCAAAAAGACTGATTCGTGCAGTCATTCTGCTGGCCAGGTACTGTGAACCTTGTACTAACGATACATTTTCTTTTGTTAACACCCGGACAATGCCGGTGTACTATAATACCGGAAGGGCGAGTAAAATATCAAACGTATAATAATCCAAGTGTTCTTGAGTGAGTTCAAGTTTGGTGGAGAATGTTATGTACGTATTTCAATATACGCAGTCACGTGCCCACAATATCGTACAAAACTGTTTTGTTCTGGGTTCAATATTTAAATAGTTACTTTCACCTAGATTTTCTACGACAGTGGTCAGAAGTTTACGGCCTTTTTTCATTTGTTCGATTTTTTTGGTGAGGAGCACGAAACCAGTTAGTTCGTTTATTCTTCTTTGCTGGTAGTCCTATGTTTAATGGTCTGTCACAGGATGCCTCTTCTCGGAGCTCTGGTAGAATAAGGCAACGGCAGACTAGACAGTTTGTGATGCCCTCCAGACACGAAATCTGGGATGCCATTCCAACAACCAAGACCCCCGAGAAGAGTCATATTGACTTGAAGCCTAGAAGACTAGTCAACAATTTTACACGAGTGTAAGTACAGGCAAGTGGCACATATGTTGCATTCAAACTTTTAATATGAATCCAAGCGTGAAGAGAGATTGGTGCAAAGTGTTTGTCTTCCTATGATGAAGGTGTGTTACAAGTCATTGCACACTCCGTCGCATGGAACTCTGGGTAGGAGAGTGAAGTCATGGCAGTGATGTGTGTTATGATGTCAAGTATTGATGAGACGAGGCTGCCGTAGAAATTCCGATACACAACATAGTAAATACATGTGTTTTTAGAATAACATGCAAAGATCAAAGACGCAAAAACACTTATGAGGAGCATCTGATTTAAAAAAATATTTTATTGATGTCAATCTGGATTGGGAAAAGCACATCTTGCTTACTGGACCATCTCCAGAAATACTTCATACATATAGTCATCATCATAAACAGAAATTATGTATTAAAAATGTAGCATAAAATAGGAGAAAGAATATAATTGATAAAATCGAACGTATCAAACTAATGAAATCTTTTTCTTGTAATAACATGCTCTAAAACATGATTTATACTTTTCGAAAAGTTTACATTACCAAACAAAATTGTATCAACTTTAAGGCCTACACCACTTTTAGAGATCTCAGAAATTAATTGGGAATGGAATTTGGTACACCTGTAATTAAGGCATTCAAGACAATAATGAAAATAATGAAAATAATTCACTTTCTAAACCATTATGGCATTATTGGGTGACCAAGATTTACACCAAATAGATCATATTGCATAGAGCAATGTGAATGCCTACTAAAAGCCTAGTATGAAGACCCTATTATTATTTTGTCACCCTGTAAGTAGAATGTGTAGCACTTTTACAGAATCATGGATAATCTTATCTAATCTAATGCACACATACATTCTGTGAGTGAAAAATCGAGCTATATCACAGGTTTACAGTTACCTATACTGTGTTCACTACAGCACCCACCGCTACAACCACGACCCCGTCTACACAAGTGATGAGGGCTCATCTTTAGATGGCTTCCTGGCGATGGACGACGACAGTAGCAGTGACAGTAGTGACTCAGACTTCTGTGACGACACACCACTGGAGGTTCGTGGAGACAAGTACAAAGGCAATTGTTAGAGACCACTTTGTCCCCAAACTGCTGCAACAGTTATCATTGATTTGGGTACATATACTTAAATTTTAATATCCCCACAGAAATTGGAAAGAAAATGACTTTTATGTTGGAGGTATACGTGGTGAATAATGTGATATTAGACTTTACTGATTCTCCAATATTAACAAGAAGCAACACTGATTGCTTGTGGTAGTGAATCTGGTCATGCATGTCCATGTATAAGTGCAATAGTGCATTTCTCCTCACCCCACCTCCATGCTGGACTAGTCAAACTGTGACATGGTATTCGTGAGCAACGATCCACGCCATCAAGGCAGGATGACACTCGACTACTCACAGAAGCTGACCACCAATCAAGTTATGATTTTGCTGACTGGGTGAACAGTGTATATGTATCTGTTTGTGTTTTTTTGCTTCAGCCCGATCATCGCAAGAAGAAGACAAAGCACCGTGTGAAAAACCGAAGACTTATTCAGCCATCATCTGGGTCCGACACTGATTCAAAGTTACCGGAAGAACGTGACAACGAGGACAAAGATGTCCGAAAATTGCTTCGTCAAAAACTACTTAAGAAGACTAACAGCGTTGACGGAACCGTTGATGGCGACACTGGGGTTACAGAGGTTGGAACCGAAGCCGTTGTAGTTGGCCTAAAAACAGGGGTGAAGAAGTCAAGTAAGGTCATAGCAAGTAGTTCTGATGAGGACAAATCATCGAATAGGGAGGGTACGTCTAGAAGATCATCCTTACGCAGAAAGAAATCAAGGAATGATTATAGCATCCGTGATTCGAATAAAGGGGATAATGATAATGATGCTAATCAAGCTGTGAGAAAGCAAAATAAGGATGGTCGTCGTGTTCCTGCAATTCCATCTTCACATGATCCAAACACTAATAGCACTGCTACAGACGACGACGAAGATGGGAGTAGGAATGACACTTCCGATAGAGCACTAGAAGATGATAGCGAAGATAGTGTACCAAGAACAATGAGGAAGAAACGGAAATCCCTTCTGGATAGTGGTAGTGACAATGAGAGTGGTAGTAACAATGGTTGTGGTAGCGACAGATCCAAAGCAAGGCGAGACAGAGCTGTCGGTCAGAAGGATAGACGTAACAGTTTGTTTAAGGACTTCAAACAAGCCCGATCCAAATATGATAAAAAACCCAAACATGACAGATAGTCAAGTCACTTGCCTACAAGTGGTAACCGACAGGTCACTTGGTATTTCTAAGCAAATATACCGGCTGGAATTATAATTTTGGTGGACTGTCTATTTCTGTCCCGTCTGAGGTTGACGGTTATCACCCCAAGCCTCTCAGAAAGGAAAATAGTCCGGCATATCATTTCAGCGTTTTATTTTGATATTTTGTTATGTTTTGCTTTTACAAATAAAAGATAAAAAGATAAAAAATATATTTATATTTAGAGAAACTTAACTTTACATCCAATATTGATTACAACACTGGCGTGCCACTACATACCATGCCACAGTTTAACATGAATCCCCAATAAGACACAGAATACTGACTGTGAGCCGACAAGCCTTTGTTTTATCACCTTAATTCAGAGCGCCAGGAAGGGTAACAACAAGTACCATATTTGAACGTATTTTGGTATGACGCGGCCGGGTATCGAACCCTCGACCTTCCGCTCTTCGGGCGGAGGCTCTATCACTCGACCATGGAGGCGGTCACGCATTCACAGTATATGCTTCGAACATACGTTTAATCCTAATGGAAACAATGCAACCGATTCCTCACAAAATATTCAGCGAGTCTTGCAAATATAGAACCCCTGGCAAGTCTTGGCACCTGGGAAAACTCCTATAGAAGGAAGTGGGAACTAAACCATGTGTACACGGACTTAATAAAGGATATTATTGTTACAATAAATGAGTATTGAATTAATAACGTCAGTGTTTCGGTCCTTAGATCCATTTGAATTAAGAAAACCAAATACCGGTAGCTGTCAACAGGTTTGTTGTTTAACGCCGCACTGACCAATATTCCAGCTATATAACGGCGGTCTGTAAATAATCGAGTCTGGATATAAGCATTCATCTTCGCAATTAGGAGACGATGACATGCAACAACCAAGTCATCGAGCCTGATCACCCGATCCCGCTACAACAAGCATGGGCTACTGAAGACCAATACTAACCCGTAATTTCACGGGTCTATCAACAGGTAATAGTATTCCAAGTAGACTGCCACTCGAAAGTTGAAAGTCAAATTTATTTCTGTATAAAACATCGTCCATAAGTGATTTGTGTCAGCATTACCAAAACGACAGACGCGAAACATGGAGGAATTTGACATTCAAGGGACAATATTTAAGTCACAAATATTTTCTGGTCAATACAATGCCATGTCACCCGACTACAATTAGCACTTACAGTTCTTAGATGTAGTTACTTTTTCTTTTCTTTTGTTGGTATGAATAGGTAAATATTAACACACCGTAACATACATCGACAGAATAGATCTGTAATCGGAAGGTTTACATAGTTGTGTATAAATGGTCAAGTCATACACAGTTTCCTCATTAAAAATGAATCTGGATAATTTGTTTATACCCTTAAGTCAAAACCTGAAAATCAACCCATTCACTTAGTGGTTACAACATTCCATCATATTAGCTGCGTTATAGCTAATACGAACGTATGACTTCACCTCAACAACATGATATAAATATTTATCATATTATGGGTGGGTTTCTCGGCTGGATAAAGCCCACGGATAAAAACGGCATCTGTTGGGGCCATATGCGGATAGAGATGCAAATATCAAAGGTCAAGGACCACTTTCACTGTTTATTAACAAACATGGCGTCGCCCTTGTCATTCAGCGATCGTGTCAGAATTAACCATCGGGAACCTGGAGAAACTACTGGGATAATTGCTATCCTTAACAAAAGAATAGTCTCGTATATGCTGAAAATCAGTGTCTAACCGTGACGTAGCTAAGGCAAACGCACTCGCGTGATAACCTCTATTACCACGACTGAGACTATCTGCTTCGTGAGATACTATACTGTTCAGAGCGGGCAGTGATCCGATCTGTAATATTTTGTCCCGATCTCGTCCCGGTTGCTCTGATCCGGGACACTGGCGCGATCATCACGTTTGGTCGAGTTGAGATATAAATAGAAACATACGACATGTTATTAATTATATAAAAGCACTCTCTCTGTGGCCCGAGCGTTTGCACTGCTGGCTAGCGTAATACATCAACTCAACGGCATGTTAAATGTAATTCGTCCTGGGATGTCACACGGAGCGGTGGCACCTTCTATGTGTTGATGTGAATGCGGAAGTAACCAACCACCTGATCATACCTGACGACAGGGAAAAACAACATCGGCTACTCGAACAAGGAATACGCACTTGGATCTGGAAAATATGAGTAGATGTCATTATATATGGATTAATTAATGAATAGGAGTTATTGTAAGTTAAATTTTAATCATGTCAATCGGTCTCCGCGCGAACTATAATTTATGCGCTTCAAACCCTCGAAGCATTCCACAGTTACCTCCCTTGGTACGAAACGCTACCGTGGTACAAGGGTGCTATTAATTTTGTAATGTGAACAGAAATTTGTTTTATCAGTTAAATTGTTAATGAAACGATTACTCCTCGTTAGTTTCTGAAAGCATGAAATCTTCTAGTGTGTATTTTCCTTTTAACATGTTTAAATTAGATCTTGATTTGAATTGTTTGACCTTGAATGCGATATACTGAAACACAAAAACGCATATTCGATATTTTTGCTAGAGCGGATCGAGCATTTTCTCAAGGAAAGGGTACGGACTCCTTAACCATCTCCCTCTGGATCCGCCTATGTTTTGTAACATAATGGCCACAAAAATCAACTTAAGTTGTTCTGGGTTTTAGGCATGAGATTATCAAACACAACAATGTCGCACGTTTTAGAATCTCACACGATGTGTTTGTAGATGGACTTCAGCACAAAACACATCTATTCTGGTATATAGTTAAAGTTGATTATATGTTTTCAGCGTATATGCTGATAGGCATGGAAATATCAAACGTCAAGTAGGATCGATTACTTCAAGTGTTTATAAACAAACACGGCGTCACCCTTGTCATTCAGCGATCGAGTCGAAATTAACCATCGGGAATTTGGAGAAACTGCTGGTATGATTGCTATCCTTATCAAAAGAATAGTCTAATAAACTGAAAATCTATTCTGGTATATAGTTAATGTTGATTATGTGTTTTCAGTGTCTTTTAGTGTATGACATATGTTAATGATCTTCAACATAGATGTTATTGATCTTGTTAACAAAACTGGAGACACTCTGCAAGTTCGATGATGCGGCGTTACGCAACATTCATTCACTCATAGAATATATGAAGCATGTTTTTATTCTCAGTAGATTCATAAACAGATCAAACATGAAATCAATGTTGTTACAGAGTAAATTACATATTGAGCAAGGGGGGAATTAAGATATACGATAATTATTATTAAAATTCAAAATGTTTAAGGCCTCACATGGAATCACAGAATCAAAAAGAGTTTCAGTGTGATCTTCTTAAATCCACTTGGTCCCTGTACAGGTTATCCCTGTACTGTCCTATAGACGTCTTCATCTTGGTGGGGCGGTGTGGTAGCCTAGTGGTTAAATCGTACGCTCTTCAATTCGTTCGCTCTGGGTTCGATTCCCAACATGGGTACTATGAATGATGTTCGTTTCTGGTGTCCTCCGCCGTGATATTGCTGGAATATCATTAGAAGCGGCGTAAAACCATACTTACACACTCTTCATCTTGGTCTCCAAAAAGGCCTCCACAGCGCAATACATCGTCCTTACTGGTAAAAAACATGCTGGTGTGATTTAATAGCAACAGTATGCAATGTGATCCCAATAGTGTCAGCGATATGCTGAACTGTAAAACGTCAGTTAGCCATACCCATGCAGTGGACAGCCTCCATTTTAGTTTCAGACGTGGCATCTTTAGGATGACCATACCTGAGGGTCATCGTCTGCGCTACTTTTGCGTCGCTTAAATTCAGCAGCCAATTTCTCAACAGTTAATTGTGAAGGCAGTCATCCCCAAGCGCTTTTGATATCGCTGTGTATCTGCTTTGGTACATTCCGCTTTTAATGCAGGTACTTAATAACCATTTGGCAATTCTCTCTCACCCCTATATTCTTAAGTTCACTTCTCGAAAACAGAATAATGCCATTATCTGTTTGTAGCTTGGTGTTATATCTTCCTAGAAATAATATTCTTCTTCATACACGTGTTGAAAACCTCAGATTACACACGAAACAATATATATGAAGCCACGAACCCTTTTTACTCTTCTATACAAGATGGCCACAAACATGATGTCTGTTTAAACGTTCCATATGTTTTATTTCCCACAGGTTCTTGTCGTCTGATGGCGTCACAGACAGCAAGTTTGTTATGCAGCTTCCCCGCGCGGATACATGAGAGCACAGACAGGGTTATGAAGGACGTCCGTGAAGAATGGATTCGAGATATCGTTGTCTTAAGAGAAGACAGGATCATTGTGTCAGATTTTGGCAACGGTTTAAAGTTATTCGACTCCCAGGGCTCGCCGTTGAGCAAGATCAGCAGGCCCATTCGTGTCTGCGCCGTGACATCATTGTCACCCACACTCATTGCTTCGACAATAAATTTCGATAGCGATCCACAGACTGTTCTTGTCACCGTCGACCTTGACACTGGTGAAATGAAGGTTCTCAAAACTGTCAGCACCACCATCAATTACCGTGGCATTGTGGGAATTGACGAACACACGTGGGCAGCGAGCACTGCTTGGTGGAACGGCGGCGGTGGCATCTACATACTCAACGACGATGGTGAGATTGAGCGATCCTACAATTGTCCAGAAAAATCCAAAGTCATGATGCAGTGTTCATTACACATGACTGTATCGCCGAATGGAGATTTTATTGCGTCGGACGGAAACGCGGGAAAAGTCGTGGGAGTTGACCCCAAAGCAGACGACAATCCTGTAAAGTTTGTATACAACGGAGAGAAGGGTCACACCTTAGAGGCCCCCCTTGGGGTTGCATGTGACGCCCAGTGTCGGATTTATGTAGCGGATCAGCGTCTCAACCATGTCGTCGTGTTGTCGTCTGACGGCAAGTATATACAAACGATACTGGATTCTAAGCAGCTGAAAGAACCCAGCGGCGTATGTGTGTTTAAAGACAAGCTGTACGTTGTGGAGAAGGTGGGGTCAGTCAAAGTATTCCAACTTGCAGATCAGTAATGTCTGAATGGAGATGATCTGTCTTGTGGTGGGAGTTCTTTTAGGATTTAGTCCACGAAGTCCGCACTGATGAGATGAAAACAGCCTGATAACGATTAAGGTTAAGAAAAACATACAACTTTATGGAAAACCAGCTTGATACCGGTGTAAGAATCTACATCGAAACGTGGCTACATGCAATAAACCAGAAGTTGTTATCCATAAAGTTGTACGTATTTTGTTTGTTTTGGTTTTTTTGTTTTTGTTTTTTTCTTTTTCTTAATTATTTGCCAACTTCTAGAATAAATGATGAAGGAGTAAGCATATACTCCGAAACGTTGTGTTCCTCATAATAAAGAAGTTGACATCCATATATTCTCTTCCTTATGTGAATCACTTCTCAAATGCCTTTCAAAGACCTGAACTTCTAGAATGCCAATCAAACGGTTAATGATTAAGGTGATTCTTTCCACTGTAACAGAGCACGAAGGTGGGTGTTTGAGGTGAGGGTGGGATAGGTGTGTGTTGATTTTGGTCTTATTGTTACTTAAGCCACGTACTATCCTAAGTATAGTTATGGATGTAATGGCGTAACAAGGTCACAGACTGACCATATGGGATCGAACATAATCCTTTTTATATGTAAGGCCTTTATTAGGGACACGGGTAGGCGCTGACCAAGAGTGTGACCACTAACTATAATAATTACATCAACAGAAGTACGATAACCATTTGCTATCGTTTGAATATAAACTGCTGCGTTCTCATTGGACCAAATGAGCAATAAATCATGTACAATTTCATTTGAATGAACATGAATAAATTAAGTTTACTTGATTGACATTTATGCTTATCTAATCTATAATAAAGCGGAGACTCGCCCTGCATGACAGGTGGCCTTTCGCTTGGGGCGTCAATCAGCCATCCTAAAATTTCAACAACTTTACAAAGGACGGACAGGATGTGACACTTAATTATCTAATAGTGCTTTTAGTGTGTGACGTCAGTGCGTTAACTATGCTGGACGATACGGTCTTAATTCAGTGATTTAACTTCTGACTTTATATTTCTTTATGCTTATAGGTTATGAAAATCTGTATGCACATTGTAAATATGTAAATACATAATGGGTATCTGTATGACATTATTATGAAACTAGGGGGCACGGGTGGCCCAGTCGTCTAAGGCGCCGCGATTCGCTGTGCAGAGTTGCGTCCCTTGGGCACGCCAGAAACCTATAATCGTGGGTTCGACTCCCGGTTCGCCCCGATTATGTTTCTAGGTTTGTCGGCACCATACCCGTGCTCGTGGGTTTCACCAAAGTGGTAAACGTCTGAGACCTGCATCACTTCGGGATTTCCTCCCACATTAAGCTGACACGCTGTGATATAACTGGAATACTGTTAAAAAGCGGCGTTAAACCCAACTCACTCACTCACTATTATGAAACTGAGGAGGGCGTATTTCTTCACGGGGGAAAACCTCCTTGCCAATGTTAAAAAATCAGCATAAACGTCGTCGGTAACATAGTGTTAGCCGTGTACTTTCACTTCCTCTACTGTGAGAATTCTTGATTGTTTTTGTTTCAATGAGGGATTTATCATAGTAGTCTCAAATCGCAAGTAACAAAATGCAACGAACATGCAAATATTTATTCTGTTGGACCTGGGATGTTTGCATATATGTAAGACCATATTGACGCATGCGCAAGGACTGCATATAATTTGCATGTAGATCTATGAACCCTATGTAAACAGTGGTATTAATAATAAAAAAAGTGATCGTTACGTACATTTTATTTTATAGCTCTCTAACGAATAGTGTCATTTCACCATAATGGACCATATGGTGAGGTGAGGTGAAATGGGGTTTAACGTCGCGTCCAAGATTATTGCACTTATATAGCGACGTGCGGACCATATGGATAGCCTACTGTAGTGTACATCTCTGTATACTGTATATGTTATTGGTGCTTGTCGTAAGAGGCGACCAACGGGATCGGGTGGTCAGGCTCGCTGACTTGGGTTATCCATATCATCGTATCCCAGTTGCGTGCTTGGACGCGACGTTATACCCCATTTCACCTCCCCTCACCCAGTTGCGTGGATCGATGCTCATGATGTCAATCACTGGATTGTCTTACTAGACTCGAATATTTTACATACCGACGTCATATAGCTGGAATATTGCTGAGTGCGACGTTAAAAAACAAACAAATAAACAAAAAGACATTATTGGCAATATTGTCTGTTGTCGGTTTGATCAAGTGAAGATGACACAGCATGGAATACATGCTGATACGTGCCTATTACTGTTCTTTCAGCCTCCTACACTATTGAATGGTGTACCACTCGCGAATTGTACCACGATACGTCTATACATGAAACATCGAAATATTGTAACACGATACGTCTAGACGTGAAATATCCACATATTGTTACACGATACGTCTATACATGAAACATCGAAATATTGTAACACGATACGTCTAGACGTGAAATATCCACATATTGTTACACCATACGTCTAGACGTGAAATATCCACATATAATTACACGATACGTCTAGACGAGAAACATCGAAATATTGTAACAGGATACGTCTAGATGTGAAATATCTACAAATTGTAACACGATACGTCTAGACGTGAAATATCTACATATTGTAACACGATACGTCTAGATGTGAAATATCTACAAATTGTAACACGATACGTCTAGACGTGAAATATCCACAAATTGTAACACGATACGTCTAGACGGGAAACATCGAAATATTGTAACACGATACGTCTAGATGTGAAATATCTACAAATTGTAACACGATACGTCTAGACGTGAAATATCTACAAATTGAAACACGATTCGTCCAGACGTGAAATATCCAAAAATTGTAACACGATACGTCTAGACGGGAAACATCGAAATATTGTAACACGATACGTCTAGACATGAAATATCCACATATTGTAACCCGATACGTCTAGACCTGAAATATCCACATATTGTAACCCGATACGTCTAGACATGAAATATCCACATATTGTAACCTGATACGTCTAGACGTGAAATATCCACAACTTTTAACACGATACGTCTAGACGTGAAATATCTACAAATTGTAACACGATACGTCTAGACGGGAAACATCGAAATAGTGTAACACGATACGTCTAGACCCGAAATATCCACATATTGTAACCCGATACGTCTAGACGTGAAATATCCACAAATTGTAACACGATACGTCTAGACGTGAAATATCTACAAATTGTAACCCGATACGTCTAGACCTGAAATATCCACAAAGTGTAACATGATACGTCTAGACGGGAAACATCGAAATATTGTAACACGATACGTCTAGACCTGAAATATCCACATTTTGTAACCCGATACGTCTAGACATGAAATATCCACATATTGTAACCCGATACGTCTAGACGTGAAATATCCACATATTGTAACCCGATACGTCTAGACGTGAAATATCCACATATTGTAACCCGATACGTCTAGACGTGAAATATCCACATACTTCAACACCATACGTCTAGACGGGAAATATACACATACTTCAACACCATACGTCTAGACGGGAAATATCCACATACTGCAACACCATACGCCTAGACGGGAAATATCCACATACTGCAACACCATACGCCTAGACGGGAAATATCCACATACTGCAACACCATACGCCTAGACGGGAAATATCCACATACTGCATCACCATACGCCCAGACGGGAAATATCCACATACTGCAACACCATACGCCTAGGCGGGAAATATACACATACTTCAACATCATACGTCTAGACGGGAAATATCCACATACTGCAACACCATACGCCTAGTCGGGAAATATCCACATACTGCAACACCATACGCCTAGACGGGAAATATCCACATACTGCAACACCATACGCCTAGACGGGAAATATACACATACTTCAACACCATACGTCTAGACTGGAAATATCCTCATACTGCAACACCATACGTCTAGACGGGAAATATCCACATACTGCAACACCATACGCCTAGACGGGAAATATCCACATCCTGAAACACCATACGTCTAGACGGGAAATATCCACATACTGCAACACCATACGCCTAGACGGGAAATATCCACATCCTGCAACATCATACGCCTATACGGGAAATAGCCACATACTGCAACACCATACGCCTAGACGGGAAATATCCTCATACTGCAACACCATACGTCTAGACGGGAAATATCCACATACTGCAACACCATACGCCTAGACGGGAAATATCCACATACTGCAACACCATACGTCTAGACGGGAAATATCCACATACTGCAACACCATACGCCTAGACGGGAAATATCCACATACTGCAACACCGTACGCCTAGACGGGAAATATCCACATACGTCAACACCATACGCCTAGACGGGAAATATCCACATACGTCAACACCATACGCCTAGACGGGAAATATCCACATACGTCAACACCATACGTCTAGACGGGAAATATCCACATCCTGCAACACCATACGCCTAGACGGGAAATATCCACATACTGCAACACCATACGCCTAGACGGGAAATATCCACATCCTGCAACACCATACGCCTAGACGGGAAATATCCACATACTGCAACACCATATACGGGAAATATCCATATACTGTAAGCTGTGACCAGAAGCTTTGTGATAACCAGCGTTTGACACACTTGCTGGCCTGTTGGACCCAATCTAGTAAATCTTCTCAATGACTTATTTCCAGAATTCTAGCCCATGGTATAAGCACTATCAGAAACCCCTAAACAACCCTGCATATAGTATATGGTTTTCTATTTGTATTAACAAGTACTATAGCTACTTTTTGGTCGGGATAACGAGAGACCGAACATGACCAGGAGATCCTTCTACCTGCTGGTTTTACTGAACAATTTTGCTCACTGCCAAACACTGGTAAAATACTTTTTGAATATTTTCATCTCCGTCTCATACGCGGTTTCAGAGAATAATACATAGGATGATAATACGTTTGTATCTTTCATATTCTTCATATTGTTCGGTTGATGCAAGGGAAACAATGGTTTGTATTTCTATTATCAAAATTTATGTTTTCGTTTCAAATCGATTTTGTTTGGCCCTTGCTCAGGGAAATGTCGTTATAACAAAATGATAAGCAAAACTTTAAGACTTCCAGAAAGAATTTACGAATTGCATACATCTATATATTTTCACTCAAATCAAGGATTTAATATTCATCTAATACGGACTCCCTGCTTATGTAACGAAACTCATGAACGTCTAAGATCTCCAGGCTTGAACTGTCTGTCTCACAATTATTTTCCCTTCCGCCCAGCACTTTCTGTAATGCAAATTAAGCCCTACATGAAGCTGGTCAAGATTTTTCTCAGGTTCAAAATCCCCCATCTCACTAGGGCTCCTTTTCAGTTTAAATGAAGTTGTTAGTTTTGTTTCTAACAAAATAATATATTTTCAGAGACTAAGTATAAGTTTCTGCTTTGAAGCAGTGTGGACAGTTTTTAGCGGTACTTAGTTTTAACAAATTACCTCCCTTGTATATGTAACGACTCTTAGAGTTATCTGCGTTTCGCATGTGCAGAAGTTCGGTTTACAATGGCAAAGTCAATATCCGTTGCTCAATCAAGGTTTGCAGTATTGTCAATTGATGATGGTGGTGATGATGACAGAAAGTCATCAAAGAAACAACAGGGAAAGTCAAATGAACAGCCAAGTCAGCCAAAGAAAAAGAAGAACAAATCAAAACAGAAACAAGAAAACTCTGAAGTAAGATAAGAAGGAATGTAGCAGCTTTGTTTCTACATTGTTCTACCGTATAAAATAATACCAGTTTTCAGTTTTCAACATCTATTTTAACTGCAGTAAAGTTTGCTATATGACAACCCCGCTTGTTTATGCACAACAACAAAATTAAGTGAATGGCATAGTCTATCTTTTCTTAATTTCTAAGATGTTTTCTTTTGAAATTGAATAATTGTATTTTTCAAGAAAAAAATGCTGATGTTTTAGTCCTATTAAATGGAATGGAAAATATACGTCACCATTTTTTCCATACTTGTCAAAAATGGTGATTTTTTATTAAATGGAATGGAAAATTATGGATTACAATTTCTCCATGCTTGTAAGAAATGAACTAATCTTGCTAATGAGGATATCGAAGTATACTCAGTGATTATTACCAGACTAGACCAATTGCACATGTCATTGTCAGAATAGTGTGGATTGCTACTCACGTCCACAACTATTAGCCAGGGCCATGTTCCACAAAGTGATGTTAGTGCTACGATGGTTATAACTCCCATACTTTTACCATAGGCTTACATCTGTTGTATTACAAGCCACTGTCTTATGGCTTGAATATATTGCTGACTGCAGCTGAAACAATATTCACACACTCACTCTTGCAACTGACAGTGACACTGTGGAAATTGGAATGTTAATATGATAAAAAGGTCCTAATACATATATCACATATTGCATTTTTTATTAATGTGTTAAAAAATAAATTTCTGATGCAGTTGAAACAGTTGGCATTTGGCACTCGCACACCTCGGCAACACAAGGACTCTTCCTCTGAGCATAACAAGAAACAGAAATCAGGAGGTCAACAAAACAAACCTGAACAATGGGATGAATGGAGACAGAAAGATGAAGAGGTATTGTAACTGCTTGTGGTCAGACTATCTCTGACGGAAACATTAACCAAACAGAGTGGATAATGCAGGTGGGGGCAGATAAGCAAGGTCCTACCTCAAATTTACAGACAGACCCTATCGCGGGTTAAGCCATCCCTCCGAAGTGCTTGGCAGACAGGCCCAAAATTATAGATACTATCACTCCCCCTGTAGAAACAGTAGACAAAAGAATATATAGTAGTTAGCAAGCAACCAGTGAGCTTGAATTGTGTTTCGGAAATTAGCTCCTTTGTACGCATGCTGAAAAAGCTTCATTGGGTATTTACATGAGCTGTTGAGTTTTTCATTTAATGCATGCGTTTCTGTACGCAAGTTATTTGAAAGTAATTAGGTTTTGAATATTTCTGGGGGGTATTTATGCAAATACGCTGCTTATCTGTAGCTCTGGTGATAAAATCCATAAGGTGATAAAGCAGGTTGGCCAAATGTTTAGCAGGCTGAAAGAGATGAGGAATATATGAAATGACTTTATTGCGGCCCCATCCAGGTTCCATGTGTTCAGTGCAAGAGAAGACTGTACTAGATGTTGCACCTCTGTGGTCAGGTGTCTCGTCTGTCTGCGTTGCTGCTTGCTTGAACATGGGCCACTGAAAAGTGAAATCTCGAAAGTGAATCACCTGTAACATTTACATATGTAGGAATATAAGCTGCTTTGAACAAGATAATATGTTGTAAACAGAGAAGTGCCAAAGCAATGACGTAACTCGGGGTGCTTTTGTTGTTTATTTATTGATAATTTCTACGACAGCTAGGTTGTCACACAACAAACAGCACTCGCTTGTTTCTTAGATGTCTGGCCAACAGCCAATTAGAAACAGCTCCAACAGAGTGTTGTCCTTTGTAAATCCATTCTGCACCCACTCATTGTTAAGCTGTCGTACGCATTGTTAGAGTGACATGGCGGTTGGGTAGTAGAGGTTTGTTTTTTTCTGTTGTTGTTGTTTAACATGTTTAACGCCGCACTCAAGAAATATTCCAGCTATATGACGGCAGTATGTAAATAATCGAATCTGGGCCAGACAATCCATTGATTGATGTTGTGAGCATCGACCCACACAATTGGGATACGATGACATGCATCATCCAAGTCAGCGAGCCTGACCACCCGATCCTGTTAGTCGCCTTTTATGGCAAGTAGAGGTAGTGATGTCATATGATCACTGGGTAGTGACGTCAGTGGGAGAGATGACTTATGGTTCCTATGGGGAGATTATTTATGGCATTGTTTGGTGGGATAGTGTGGGAGGGGAATGTTTGTAAACAAAAGGATAGTGGTAGTAGTAGTTATGCGGTGCTGACCATAAATCAATTTAACGAAATAATGCTAAATCATATATAACAGAGGTTAAGTTCCACATTGTGTGTGTTCTGGTGTCCATTTAAAATTCAAGGCCTGTTCATTATTATGATATCATGGTAATAGGTACATTGTCTAATGTTAGATTAATTTATCTGTTATTGATTGATTGATCTAGATTGGCATTAATCCTTCTAGGTCTGTATTTTGAAACAAGAGGACCCTTCTTGTGGTTTTATAATTTGAACTCACATACGAATATGACGATAATACGAAATGATGTACAGTGTTCAAGCATTATGATTCTTGTGTGCCCACAGCAAACACCTGAACCACAAGTCTTTGAGTCTCCTATTATAGTAATCATGCGGATACTTATATTGCGCTAGCCTCCATACACTCAGTGCATGATCAAGGGGCAAACATTATTAGCCAGTCATTGGATCTGTGTGCACTCGATTGTCATTCTCAGCTCCCTGGGGAGTATACAACTCTGGCTGCCTTGTCAGATGCTAGAAGGATAAATGTCACATTTCCATCTCATCCGACCGGGTACCAATTATTACTGTTGGGTGAACGCAGGCAAGATTCGAACAAAGTCACTTGTCCAAGGAGACACCACATGTACTACATGTGCTTCAGTGTGGGGCAGGACCGAAGCCCTAGAACTCTCAGGAGTCATGCTGCCGAACGTGGTCGCCCATCCAACTACTACCCGAGACCGATGTTGCTTGACTTCACCACAGGACCACATGCCACCCCATGTAGCCCTAGCTGGAATTTCAGAGACTTTATAACATACATTTGGGCTACCATGAGCTTATTGGACCACAAGATTTGCTTCAGCTTGAAATTAGCTGTCTTTGCATTAGTGGCCTGGTTTGACAATATTGTATTGATTGAGATGCCAGGATAATTCTGATTGAAGGTACAGTAGAACATTACAAATGTCTTTCTCCCCATTAGTCTGCCACAGGCACTCTTTCGAAATCCTAGATATCTCCCTGGAAGTTAGGGTATAATATTGTAAAACAGTGCACAAAAAAGTACGAGAACTGACTATAATACAGACTGGATGGTGTGAACCTGAGCAGGCTGATGGCAACCAAGTATCAACAAATCTGGCCCAGTTCTAACTTCTAGACATGTTTTGAATTTCAGTTTGCCAAAGACGTTTATGAAAAGGATCTTGAGCAAGCCTTACTGCAGAGTAAAGTCGACTTTGAACTTGAAAAACAGGTAAGCCCAGGATAGACACTATTGAATTGATCCAACTAACCTGCAGCTCATTTCACAGCTCAAGTAGGTTTGTGTAGCATAACTACTTGGAGAAACAGCTTTCACTAGTCTCTTGTGGCCCTGTCTGACCCTGTAAGCTAGGTAGTCAGTGTGGTCAACTTCTTGTCAGCAGGAGCATGTTCCATACATCATGTGCACTGTATATATTTCTACAATATTGGCTGGCTCAAACTCACTTCTGAGTTCCGTCAGAAGAGTTCAAAAGCATTTCAACAGCTGGTAGTCAAAATGATAAATGATAAGAATGTTAGTGGATAACATGAACAAGACTACGACACAATGTAATGGTGAAGACTTGTAACATGTGTAATGGTATCCTCAGCAAATCTCTTTCAAAATCTAAGTGGCTAATGGTAAAGTTTTTTTTGGAGTTAGTAGGCTGGTCAGCAGTGCCCACTTGCACAAAACGATCTTAGCCCTAAGATGATCATAATGTTAACAAAGGCTTACGACAGTCGCAGCCCAAAGATCTCTTTGTGCAAGTGGGCCCAGGTCTGACATGTATCTGATGTGTTAAGTGTAAAGCATACTTTTCCCCAATGTTATTGTATCGATTTTGAAATGAGTCCTTTCTTCTACCCAGAAAAAGGTAGAAAATGGGGCTACGGTCGGCAGTAATGGCGTCATGGCTGACAGCAAGGAAAGTAAGCGGAGCAAGAAGAAGAAGGACAAGCCTCAGACCATGAGTCTGGAGGAGTTCAACCTACGAGCAAACGCACCCCGAGACGACGTGGATGGTGAGTCTGTGATGGAGAGCACCTGTCACACGCTCACAATGTGAGATCAGCCTTTCACGCTAGTCAACTAGCCCCAGACTACCCAAATCTAATGCTGGCAGTCCTCATTGATAGCCCCCAAATGCTACTAATCAATCTGGGCCAGTTTTCATTGCTTAAAGTTTGCTTCAAATAGGAACCAAATAAAAGGAGCCTTGTTTTTCATGTTTATTGTGTGCAGTACCTTAATGTATTTGATGATGAACTTGATGGGAGGTCCATCTTGTATGATTCACAGTCAAATGTCATATTTTGCACATGCAGATCACAATCTTCTGTTACTGTACTCCTTATGGTCAAACAATGAATCTCATTGGACAAGAGCCTTCAGCCGCGCATTTGCTCTTGGCAAACGGATCAATACCAGTGGTATTATAGAGTTATTCCACTGGGTGATAGGTGACATCTTTGGGGTGGGAGGGTAGCCTTGTGTTTAAAGTGTTCGCTTGTCACGCCGAAGAGCCGGCTTCCATTCCCAACATGGGTACAATGTGTGAAGCCCATTTCTGGTGGTGTCCCCTGCTGTGAAATTGCTGGAATATTGCTAGAAGCGGCATAAAACAATACTCACTCACTCACTTTACAAGTAATTGTTTAAACATGACAAAAGAACACAAAGCATACCCTCTAGGCATTATGATAACGAGATACAGGACAGGTGGAAATATCTAAGGAAGGTATACATTATTTTTAGTATTTATTGAGTATTTGATGCCAAGAAATTTCATGTGTTAATGTTGCTAAAATTCACTCTCCCGGGACAAGTAGATTTGACAATTCACTTTCCCCACAAGTATTTTTCAATTTCCTCACCCCTTGAGATAGTTGACAGTGATCACAATAATGCCTACTGGATTCCCAATGTTTTTCAGATTTAGATAACATCCCAATGCCTCGAGTACCAACTGTAGCGATGGGGGAAGGCGATGCCAAGTTCTTTGACAAAGTTGAAAACGACGTCCACCGAATTATACAGAAGGAGAAGATTCAGGAAGAATACAAGAAAGTGAGTAGTGAATGAGTGATGTCTTCATGGACTAGTTCCTCTGTACCCTCTACGCATGGAGCTGATGTCACATAGATCATCCTTAGGAGTACTTGTCCTGTGGACAAGATGACTAACTTTAACATGATGAGGAAAAGCCCCTCAACAAATATTGATACATAACTTTAATGGCTGCTGTGTTAAGAAAACCAGTCTGTTGCTTTAAAAGTTTGGAAACTACTAATAGTATAATTTGTCCATATAAACATTTGACTTCTTGTTACAGCGCTATGTCCTTGAGAGTGCCATGACTATAAAAGTTTGACTTCTTGTTACAACGCTATGTCCGTGAGATTGCCATGACTATAAACGTTTGACTTCTTGTTACAACACTATGTCCGTGAGAGTGCCATGACTATAAACATTTGACTTCTTGTTACAGCACTGTCTGTGAGAGTGCCATGACTACAAACGTTTGACTTCTTGTTACAGCACTATGTCCGTGAAAGTGTCATGACTATAAACGTTTGACTTCTTGTTACAGCACTATGTCTGTGAAAGTGTCATGACTATAAACGTTTGACTTCTTGTTACAGCACTATGTCTGTGAAAGTGTCATGACTATAAACGTTTGACTTCTTGTTACAACACTATTTCCTTGAGAGTGCCATGACTATAAACGTTTGACTTCTTGTTACAGCACTATGTCCGTGAGAGTGCCATGACTATAAACGTTTGACTTCTTGTTACAGCACTATGTCTGTGAGAGTGCCATGACTACAAACGTTTGACTTCTTGTTACAGCACTATGTCCGTGAAAGTGTCATGACTATAAACGTTTGACTTCTTGTTACAGCACTATGTCCGTGAAAGTGCCATGACAACAAAGTATCAAGAGGACCTATCAAATAAAGACAGAGAAATAACTGAATTAAGGGAACAAGTAGAAACATTACAGGTATGTTTGCATGGTGATGAGGGCAGTACTGCTGTTTGTGCTTGGTGTGCTCTCTCAAATGCTAGCAGTCACTGAGGCGACTATGCCTGCTGTAAGAGGCGAGTAATGGGATCGGGTGGTCAGGTTCGCTGACTTGGTTGATGCATGTCATCGATCCCAATTGCGTGGATCGATGCTCATGATGTCAATCACTGGATTGTCTGGACCAGATTCGATTATTTACAAACCGCCGTCATATAGCTGGAACATTGCTGAGTGCGGCGTTAAACAACAAACCAACCAACCAGTCACTGAGGACTGTCATCAGTGAAGTTTGGTTATTGCCTTCAGCATTATTTTGTAGCTTTGGGCTGGCAGACTAGAGTAAATTTTGAATGGTGCTGCCTGTCTCTGGTCTGTCTGGCATAGATTTGATTACATTGACCATAACATGCCAAGGATGGTATACAGACTTGTCAAACAATGCTTGAATAGTAAGGATCACTGATGTTAACAATACTATCATAGATGTTTGAGAAACTAACTCATCTTTGTAAGGATGAGATATATGGATGAACAACCTCTTTATTACAATCAGGAGCAACGTCTAAATGCCTCTCAAAGAAGTAACTCACCTTTGAATCTTGTGAAAGAGACCACAGATTCTTCTTAGATCATGTTTTACAAATCTGATTCCACTTGCACAAAGCGATATTAGTGCTCCAACGATCGTAAGTCAATTACTTTAACATAGAGTTATGCTAGTCATAGCACTAAGTCACTTTGTGCAAGTGGGCCCTGATCCACAACACTCCAAAGATTGTACTTGGAGTAATAGGGAAATTAAGTCATTAAAATGACATCATCTGTAAGCCATGTTACCAACTGGTAGAGACCTGTGAAGATCCGGGGTAGAATAGGTCTTCATCAATCCATGCTTGCCGTAAAAGGCGATTATGCTTGTCGTAAGAGGTGACTAACGGGATCGGGTGATCAGGCTCGCTGACTTGGTTGATGCATGTCATCGTATCCCAAATGCGTGGATCGATGCTCATGATGTCAATCACTGATTGTCTGGTCCTGCCTCGAGTATTTACAGATCACCATCATGTAGCTGGAATATTGCTGAGTGCGGCGTTAAACAACAAACAAACAACTGGTAAAACTTGTGTGAAATTACAACCAAGCTTGAGCATGTTGAGATGATCTAAGTCTTGTAAGTCCTTAGAAAATGTTAATGTTGGACTGGCAGGCAGCTATATATTCAACACTGATGTAGGATGTGATCTTGCATATTGACAGTGGATGCTTGTGTAGCCCCATGGTTAATGCATTTGCATATCAGTAAATGAGACCCAGGTTTGAATCCGTACACAGATGCAGTATATGAGCCCTGTTCCCTGTAGTGAGATTTGTGAAACGTTGTTTAATATGTTAAAACATGTTGCTGAAGAATCCAACTCACTGAGTTTGTGGAGTGGTTTATGGCAACCAGTGGTCAGTGTTGTACCAATTAGTGACATGGAGTGAAAATCTGTTATGTTTTTTCCTGTGTGCAGGGGGAGTTCAAGCAAGTAAAGAAAAGGAACAAGCAGCTATGTGTGATATTAGCCCAAGGAGAAAGTAAGTGAGAACCACAGAGCCAACAGGTTACCTATGGAGAGAGTAGGATTAATTTATTTTGACTTGTTCATGTTTTAGAATATTCAGTATGGATCAGCAACCCATGCTTGCAGTAATAGGCGACCATGCTTGCCGCAAGAGGCAACTAACGGGATCGGGTGGTCAGGTTCGCTGACTTGGTTAATGCATGTCATTGCATCCCAATTGTGTGGATCGATGCTCATGATGTCAATCACTGGATTGTCTGGTTCAGACTCGATTATTTACAGAACGATTTACAGAACATATAGTTGGAATATTGCTGAGTGCGGCGTTAAACACCAAACAAACAAACAAATAAGATGATTGGATGGGGCTGATGTGTATCTTCGTACCAGGATGGCCTACGTGTTGCTCATACTGTCAACCAAAGATACATGCATCATACTGTGCTTTCCTCATTCAGCTGGGGACACGGGTGGCCCAATTGTCTAAGGGGGCGCAATTAGCTGTGCAGAGTTGCGTCCCTTGGGCACGCCAGAAACCTATGATTGTGGGTTCGAATCCCGGTTTGCCCCGATTATATTTCTAGGTTTATCAGCAAAGTGTAAAACAGTATGATGGTCATCGTTTATCAGCAGACTTTAGATATATTGGACAGTGTTGTCTTGGTGACTGACAGTGTGCCAGTGAGGTTGTTTATTGGCTAGATCTGGGTAACAGAAGGAGAGCCTGAATTGCAAGACATTTTCAGGTTTATATATTTTGCCATGTCATCGTTCTTCTGTTTGGCACATAACATTTGTTTATAATCTACAGTGAAAGACAAGGCCCAAGTTCTGATGCAGTTGGAAGACCTCACACAAGTCCGAGATGAATTAACAGAGCAGGTGGGTTAAGTTACCCTAATGGAATGACTTGATGTGGGTAACATTACTGTCACATGGTGTTTTCAGGGACTGGCCTGAGCCATGTCCGTCGGACCAGCCTGTGTTAAACGTGCCCAGACATTCACCAGGTAACTAGTATCATGGTAGTGCCCAGGTCCTGTCTACCAAGCTCGTGCCAGTGTGAGTTTCAAAGGTCCTTGGTTACATGATATCAATTAAATGATATGCGACATGCGACCCTGTTTATCCCCCTATTTTGGAAAACGGGGGGATATAGCAAACCAGCATGTCCATCCATCTGTCCTTCGTCCATTCTCCATTTCCAGAGCAGAACTCCTGAGCCATTGAATATTCTGATAAAACGTGCTATACCGATCAGTCTGGGGATGAACTGGTGCCTATTGATGAATTGGGATATTTTTATGAAAAAATATTTCATTGTGTTCATGACAAGATGGGCTTGAACTGAAAATGAGGATAGTGCTCGTTTCCAATGCAGAACTCAAAAACATTGAATATTTCTAAATGAAACTTGCTATACAGATCAGTCTAGTGGTGAACTTGTGCCTTTTGATGATTTGGGATATTATTTGTTTGTGTGTTGTTTAACCATTTTGGGGCAGGATTGAAAGTGCACATGCCTGTAACTGATGTGTTTGGACCCTAGTGATGTAGGTATAGTGTGTGAACAGACCAGATCAAAGAAACAACACCACAACGAAGATACAATATTCTTATGTGGCTTGTCTTGATTTGATGGGAAACAATAGTCACGCCGCTTAAAGTGTATTAATTTATGTATAGATGTGGTTTACACTCTCATCTTGTGTTCTAACATCACTGAAAATAAGTCTTTTAAGACCTGTGGAGATCTGGGTTAGAATAGGCCTTCAGCAACCTATGCTTGTCATAAGCAACTATGCTTGTCGCAAGAGGCAACTAATAGGATTGGGTGGGTAAGGCTTGGTGACTTGGATGATGCATGTCATCATATTCCAATTGCATAGATCGATGTTCATGATATCAATCACTGGATGGTCTGGTCCAGACTTGATATTTTGCACACCTCCGTCATATATCTGGAAAATTGCTGCGTGTGGCGATAAACAACAAACAAATTATAAGTGTAAAATACTTGGAGATACTTTTCATTGGTCTTCCAACCAAATTTCATTTAGTTTGTTAAAAGGCTGGGTTGTTTTTCTTTCAATGATTTCTTGCTGAAACAGTTTCTTTCTTTTGCAGGTTTCACAACTGACTGCCGAACTGGAAAAGGAAAAATCCAAAGTGCATGGTTTAAAATCTGAACTAGACAAACTGAAGGTAAGAATTGTTTGGAAACCAATTAAACTGTCAAATGTAAACAAAAAATATGGCCTTGCCTGATTTTATCAAGCGTAACAATATTTTTGTGACCATCAGGCCAGCCTTTTCCTTAAGCCTTGATCACAGATTTAAGTTGAGCAACTACCAACAGAAACCCATGGGGATTCTGTTTTAGAACTGGTGCCCACCAAACTATGCTGGTTGTAAGAGGCAATGGATCAGAGGGTATGGCTTTGTGACATTGTTGATAGCCTGTATCCGTACCCTCACAGCGTAGATCCTTGCTCTGGATATCAGTCACCTGATTGTCGGGTCTAGCCTTGATATTTACAGGCTGTCGTCATATAGTTGGAATCTTGCTGATTGCAGCGTATAGCACATAAAACAGACTGCCAGCATAGATCAGTTCTCAGCTGAGGGCAATGTAATGGGAGTGCTGCTGACAGTTTTGCCCACGGACTGATGCAGGACTTTACAGGTTGATAAGACTTTTATGCTGAAACATTGTATGTGATTTGTGTTCAAATATTATCAGCATGATTCGATCGGATGGTTTCTTTTTGCTTTCAGGGAGGGAAGCATTATTCAGGAAAGTGAGGACCACTTTGCCACATCTCCATTCCGTGTATTTCAACTTCGATGACACACATCAAACCCAACACTGGAACAGACACATATCGCAGTGACATGATGCACAGCACATCACCAACATGTTGGCCGTCTACCATACTCATGTATACTCCAGCATTTCGTTCAAAGAGAAATATTTTGAATTTCTCCACTCATATTCTCAAAAAAAATTCATGTATGTTCTAGTAAATATTCAGTATCAGGTGATACCTATTCATTATCTCTGGACGTTTTCTGAGTTGAATTTCATACAAATGTTCATGTTTGCGGAAAGTGCTTAAGCGTTGAAATTTCTCTATCAGATTTCAGTGTTCCTATTATATTGAGGCCATTATTAAGTTACAAGTCAATGACAAGTGGCTTTTTATATCTAGGTATCCAAACACTGAGACACTTCGAGGTATATTGCTTGAAGATGAATACAGAGAAAATATTTGAATATCTATAGTATATCTGATACAGTCAAACTATAACGCCAAAGCCAAGTTTCTTTTTGTCCTATATATTTCCTTGTTGAAAAGGTGTCTATGATCAAACGGGATTAACAACTATTACCTGTATTAGCATGATTGGTTGGTGGTTGATCAAAGATATTACAAGACTTTTATTTGTTGGTTTTAGTCTTTTTATTGAAAACAAAATAAGCATGATAAATGAAATTATACAAGAGTGACTGTTATGATGTTATCTTGAAAAGAAAAGAAAAAGAAACGAGAAAGAATCTGATCTGTTAAAAATACAAATGGTCTTTTGTTTCAATCTCATTAAAGCCAGATCTTTTACTCTGGTATGACAACTCTCTGTATGAAGATGCCTCCAGAGAGGGTTGGTCAGGTGAACTCACTAGTCAACTGAAAAGCATCAATGCTTCTAGATCCTTGGCATTCAGACAAGCATATCTGATTTCTGCAAAAATCTGCACAATTTCAATGTACACACTGTCATTTGTGAGCACTGTGGCATCTACACCCAGAGTGAGTTCCACTGTTGGAATACAGTAAACTACGTTTATAACGAACACGCTTATAACAAACTGACGGATATAACAAATTTATTTTTTGGTCCTGGCCATTTACTGTTTATTACTATATATGCTGTATTTATGCTAATAACAATGAATAATGAACTACGGTTATAACGAACTAAAATCAGTTATCCCTTTGGGTTCGTTATTACCATAGTTTACTGTATTGGTGTTCTGTGTAGGTTTTCTTTTGTTGAAATCAAAATTTGAGAAAGAAATGGAGCTGAATCATTTTACAAAACTGACATCAGTTTGGCACAAAATCCTAAACATCTTTCATTTAGGGGGTGATGGGGTAGCCTAGTGGTTGAAGCCGTCGCTTGCATGTCGGAAGACCCGGGTTTGATTCCTCACTTGGATACTATGTGTGAAGCCCATGGGTGTCTGATGTCCCCGCCGTGATATTGCTGGAATGTGGCGTAAAACCATACTCACTCACTCCTTCATTAAGACCGGGAGTCCAAGATTGCCCAGGAGGTGTTGTCAGCTCTTCAAGCTGAGAGGTTTCATATCGCAGTAAATGATCAGATTTTATTGAGGTTGTCTTTTGTTTTTTTAACATTATAAAGTGTATAGTTATTCAGTATCTCACTTGATTCCCAAGGTTTAGATCCATTGTCTGGGTGATATGATTCTTCAGGTTATAGTTAGCATGTGATCATACTGAGGCCAGACCAGCTAGTCCACTATGTCAAAGGAGTGGTCAGAACAGAAATACAAACGTACTGTCATCAGGGTTGAGTTTAGTCTCCTACCTTTATATATATGAGGCTTAAAAATATACAGAATTGGTTCTCAGGCATTTTAAAAATACAGTGCAGGTGGGCATGCAAACTCCTATTGCTGCCATTACCATAACGTGAGATACGCAGTAAAGCAGTGAGCATGTAAAGGGAAGTAACTGCCTGCTATATTAGATCGCATTGTTAATAAGTATTAGGATTTCTTAATTTTAAAAAAAATGGAAATATAACTAAATATGCAGCAGACTTTATGATGATGCGGGCAGTGCCTGAGAACCAAGACTATTATTTTTTTTAGCCTGTAATAGAACTTTTAACAAAAAAATACAAAGGTGTTTTAAAAGCATTTTATCAGTCAATTTAGAATTTGTTTCCTTTTGCAAGATCACAATTGCTTAATCATTAAAACTCTAGCGTACATCGGTCTGGCCTAATCCCCAGACTGGTTCAAGTTGACGTGATATTACTGCCAGACAAATGTGTGTGCTGAATCACTAGACCTCAGGTCACCATGTCAGGATTCAGTGAAGATCTGGTGCGATGGGATGACCTTGAAATGGAAGGGGGATGTTTCTGGCTTCATGTTTACTCAGTGACTGCATGTAAGGGTTGTGGCACATATTTGCAGGTCCATGATGGCGTCAGTAAGTATGATTAGTATGTACATACCATTCACTTCAACATACAGTCAAACACTGTTGGGGCGAACTTTGATGTGTCGAACTTACGGTTGTCTCCAAGTAAAAGCTTGGTCCTTGCGTATTCCTTCTTTATTCATCATTTTCGGTTGTGTCGAACACACAAAGTATTTATGTAGGTTCCTTCAACTTCCCGCAACAGTGTTTGGCTGCATTTGCATTTCTCGCTCTGTTCTGAAGAAGATTCAGATTTCCTTGTTATAATTCATTATTGCCAGTTTATTTCAAGATGGAAATAAATGATTACAAACTTTTTTGTGTTTCTTTATCATTATGCAATGCCAGTCATGTTGATCTGTCAAAAATCACATGGTCTGTAAACAGCTGATAAAGCTAAAATTTTGCAGATCTCTGCCACTGAATGGATTGAAGTCACATGCATCTGAGTGTTATCCAGCTTGTAATCTTCTGCTTGACCATGTACTTCGAAAACAAACCTTCAGACCTGCAGCACAACATCTGACCCAGCTAGTTAAGACCATTGGCAATTTAAGATGATTGTGACCCGTGAAGGTCCGGGGTAAAATAGGTCTTCAGCAACCCATGCTTGCTGTAAAAGGTGACTATGCTTGTCGTAAGAGGCGACTAACAGGATTGGGTGGTCAGGCTCTTTGACATGGTTGATGCATGTCATCGTATCCCAATTGCATGGATCAATGCTCATGATGTCAATCACTAGATTGTCTGGTCCAGACTCAATTACTTACAGACCGCCGGCATATAGGTGGAATATTGCTGAGTGCGGTGTTAAACAACAAAGAAACAAACAAATAAGATGATTGGATGGGGCTGATGTGTATCTTCGTACCTGGATGGCCTACGCGTTGCTCATACTGTCAACCAAAGATACATGCATCATACTGTGCTTTCCTCATTGAGCTGGGGGCACGAATGGCCCAGTCGTCTAAGGAGCTGCAATTAGCTGTGCAGAGTTGCGTCCCTTGGGCACGCCAGAAACCTATGATTGTGGGTTCGAATCCCAGTTTGCCCCGATTATGTTTCTAGGTTTGTCAGCACCATACCCGTGCTCGTGGGTTTCACTGAAGTGGTAAACGTCTGAGACCTGCATCACTTCTGGCCTTCCTCCCACATTAAGCTGACACGCTGTGATATAACTGGATTAATGTTAAAAGCGGCGTTAAACCAAACTCACTCACACTCCTCATTGAGCTGCCATGCCATGACATAACTGAAATACATACCAAGTGGTGTTTAACCCAACTCTATCACCAAAGCACTATCACATGCATGTACATCTTTTCTTTGTCATCTTGGAAGTTATTTTCAATATAGTTCGTTATTTCTGTATTTCTTGAAGGTGACAAAGTGTGTGGACATTATCCACACTGTTGACAGTGCAGTTGCAATTTGCATCTATTGAGAAGAAGTGATCGACACAAATACTGTTTACTTTGACATATGACCTGAAGAAATGCTTGATTTGTCACATCCATACTCATTTACTGATGCACACCACAGATGACAACTGGAATTTTGTGAATATCCTATGCACTGCAGGTATGTTTGTACTCGAGAGGACAACCAGATCACATTAACACGTAATGAACATCTTACAAAATAATGATAGGGAGATTCAAACACAATTTGTTTTATATACATGTATGTTATAACTTAGGGTGTGCAGTATTGCCGGTATATCGGTATATTGAGGTTCACTCTTTCCATGACACATCACAATACAAGCTGAGATGAGTATTAAATGAAACAATGCGGCTTATGTTTGTTGTTGCTGTGATTTGATTTTATGTGAGTATAATGCCAGATCTGTGTACGATATGTTTTTTCACAACCGGAACAAAAGGCAGAATGATTTAGATCACATTCAGCCGGATACAATGAACGTAATTGTTTTACAAATACACACACGTGTACATGGACTTGGAATTAAATTTCATCAGTTTATTTGTAACTTTATTTGCTTTAACGCGAATTTAGGGGGAAATTCTTCATGCATTTTTGGGAGCCATGGTTTACCCCGCGGTGCATCCGGAGTAGCGGTACATCGAGGAGCGTTAAGTCGAGGGACCACTGTATCATTTTTTAATGCTCCGTATATCAGGTTATTTCAAATAGCAATTTTTATCATGTGTTTAATGTTAAGAACTTGCCAAATACCGGGAGCTTGCATTTGTGTGAATTTATTGAATTAGTAAAAATACTGTTCCAGCATCTTGTAATGTTCAATTTATGAACTTCAATTCATACAATGGTGTTTCAAACTGCTTCTGAATTGAAAATTTAGAATTATACAATATATAGTGATACGTATTGCAATATGTCCTTTTGCATCATAAAATATTGTGATACACTTCAAACCTCCATCTCTAATAATAACTGATACAGCATTATATATTATATTTATCAGGTACTCCTGCTTATTGAAAAATAGGAAAAAATGCATAACTTCTTAATAATATCGTGCTAATAGTTTTTACATAAATTTCTAATGTCAATACATTTTTTTTAGTTGTTAACCAAATTTTCAAAGTAATTTTTATGTTATGATTTTCCAATGATTGTTTCATTTGAAGCAGACCAACAGCTATGTTTCTTTTGTATTTTTAGTCTGCTGCATATAAACATATTGGCTTAAGAAATGTGAAAGTAAGATATCAAATATAACAACAGATATAATATTAGCATTGTGGTTTACATATGCGACGAGAAGGGTGATAATTTGTTTATGACATGATTATCCTATCTCAGAGACTGATTTTATGGCAACCTCTATCAGTTCCTATAGTGGTCAAAGGGAGGTAATTAATGTTAACCGGTAGTTCCTTCATTCTAAAAATAGACTCGTACTAATGTGTCAAAATGCGACGTTTGAGCTGTTGATATAGCAGAACACGAACACCCACAGAATGACTGACAAGACAGGAGAGTTACCTCTTGTTATACCTGTAAGTATAATCTTGTTTCATGATAGTTGCTAGTCTTTAATAATGAATACCATGGGTAGACAAATGATAGAAAATACGACGAGATATTACAAGGCCTCGAGTGGGTTCCACATGAATTTCAGGCAATTCCTTTCTAGCTTTTACCAGAGACCATATAGCGTTATGGTCTCTGCTTTTACTAAACCCACAGTGATCAATATCCAGAAGGGATAAAACACTGAACAGCAGTATCATCGTCCACAGTAGGACATCTTAGATGTATTCCTCTCAAAACAGCTTAAAACAAAGCTGTGAAAATGTCAATATTGAAAATAATTTTGAGAAACAGCCAGTTCAACATTTCAAATTCTTACAACTAGATCTATATGTTGTTAAAGACCTATAACAGTCAGTGCTATACATATAAATGTATGATGACAAGGGCTACTGTCCTAAAGTTACTCACAAGCAGTAGGAGGGGGCACGAATGGCCCAGTCGTCTAAGGTGCCGCGATTCGCTGTGCAGAGTTGCGTCCCTTGGCCATGCCAGAAACCTATAATTGTGGGTCCGAATCCCGGTTCGTCCCGATTATGTTTCTAGGTTTGTCAGCACCATACCCGTGCTCGTGGGTTTCACCGAAGTGGTAAACGTCTGAGACCTGCATCACTTCTGGCTTTCCTCCCACATTAAGCTGACACGCCGTGATATGACTGGAATACTGTTAAAAACGGCGTTAAAACCCAACTCACTCACTCACTGACAAGCAGTAGGACACCTCCGTGGATAGATCATCTGCCTGGAGAGCGGGAGGTCAGTGGTTTGATACCTGACTGCGTCATACCAACCTCAAAAGATGACACTTGTTGTTTCCCTGCCTGGCACTCGACATAAGTGATAAAACAAGGACTGGTCTGCTTGGAGCCTGAATACTGTCTGAATGGGGTATCCATGTTAAACTGTGGCATGTTAATTAATGTAGTTTCCAAGGATGAAGGCAAGGAGTGGCTGAAGAAGAAAGCTGACAGCCCTGAAAACGGCGAGAGGACTCCTGGCATCATGGCCATGCACCTCTCATGGTAGTTCCACTTTATTCTCAGATCTCTATCCTGGAGGAGTACTTCCAGTGTTCAATATGCCTGAACAACATGACGGACACCATGACGACGGTGTGTGGACATCGCTATTGTGGGAAGTGTATTCAGGAGTGGGTTGACCGCAACCATAACTGCCCGTGCTGCAACAGCTCGGTCAACTCCATCCAGCTCATCAAGGACCATCAGTTCGACAGTCTTATAGGTGAGAGCTACCTTGTGATGTAACTAGTTTCACTAGGAATTCAGAAGTAGGCTTGGAACGAGTCCAAATTTACTACCCGGGTACACGACCCCCTATTGCCTGACCCTACCCGTGTACCTGCTGTAGGTCTTAAGTTGGGTACAAAAAGTGTTTAGATATGTATAAAACGATCTGATTGTGCAACTGAAGTTGACTGAAGCTTTTTCTTTACTCAAACATTTAAAAGTTAGAAGGAATGTGCACATAGTACTAGTGTAACCATCAAATTTTATTATTTTTGTCATTAAACCATATATCACATGACTAACCACGGGTCCGGGTAGTCCTGTGGATACCCAGGTCCTGCTCAGGACCAACCCTACCCAAGTTACCCATCCCAGCCCTATTCAGAAGACAATATAATACTGTATCAAATATACAGGAAGAGTATTATAAAACACATAAAAGGAAAATATAATAAAAGTTATATACGCTTTAGTGACTTGTACTGACAAGTGTTCAATGTTTTGTAGTGTGACTACGAGTACATTCAGAACAGAAATTACATGTTATTTAAGACTTTCTTAATTTAGGATATATTCATGTCAGCATTTCATGTTAGTGTTACACATTTCTAGCTGATCTGTAACCTGTCTTTGTGATTATTATTTTAGGTGAGGTTGATGCTGAAAAAACCAAGGCAGAGGCTAACTACTTTGAGAATCTCATCAACAGTGGTATGTTGGAAATAGTTTATTACTATTATATTAGTGAATATTTCTAAATGAAACTTGCTTTACAGATCAGTCTAGTGGTGAACTGGTGCATTTAATGGTTTGGGATATTGTTTGTTTGTTGTTTAATGCTGCACTCAGCAATATTCCAGCTATATGATGGCTGGCTGTAAATAATCTGATCTGGACCAGACAATCCAGGGATTGACATCATGAGCATCAATCTACACAATTTGGATATGACAACATACATCAAGGAGGTCAGCAAGCACCGTTATTCTTGTAATGACGGCCTGTAGAGTAATTGGGGCTGTAGCATGTTTCCTGGTTACAGCCTGGTGGACCTCTGACCATGCTGTCAGCCACTTGTTTGGTCCAGACTTGAAAATTGAAGGCAGACATTAATTGGTTGACTGGTGTAAACAAGATTCTCTCTCACTCATTTTCCTCTCTGCAAACAAAAGATGGATTTTACCGGGCATGAAACAAAAGAAAATTATACTACACGCTAATTACTTTCCTTGTAATGCATCCAGATTTATGTTGTCATGGTGATTATTCTCTGAGAAGCAATGTCCGTTGTTTGCCTGAGAAAATGTTTTGTCTTGATATTGTCCCCCACCCACAGCTTCCTTTGCCTTCACAACAAGGGGGGACAACTCTACACAAGTTACAGTCTCTGTGTCAATGTGCTCCCCAAGTCTCATCACCGCCTTGCTTTCCCCCTCACCTTAGGATTGGGTTGTTACTTGTGTGCATTGTGAAATTTATTGCTTACTAAATCTAATCCAGTTAAAATCTTCAAACTGTTGGCTAGACTTGAGGCACAATATGTCTCCCAAGTACCATCACAGAGTTCCAGATACCAAGATTTGTTGGTTTAATGCTGCACTCAGCAATATTAGAGCTATATGAAGTCAGTCTGTAAATAATCGAGTCTGGACCAGACAATCCAGTGATTGACATCATGAGCATCGATCCACGCAATTGGGATACGATGACATGCATCAACCAAGTCGGCGAACCTGACCTGCTGATCCCGTTAGTCGCCTCTTACGACAAGTATAGTCACCTTTTACAGCAAGCATGGGTTGCTGAAGACCTGTTTTACCCCAGATCTTCACAGGTGTCAAGATACCAAGCAGGCTAGTTAGTATGACAGACTCCGTTAGTAATAGTGGGAAGAAGAGCTGGGTTCATTGTACTTCTGCATTATTTTGCATGTATTTCTCATCTTGGAAACCTGTTTTTTATATTTTTATAGCTACCAAGTCCTCCAGTGACTTCAGTGATCGCAAGTTCTCACCAGTAGAAGAAGTGTTGAAGAGTAAGTCATGGTGTATAAGTAGAGCTCTAACAAGAAACTTTGTGATGATGTGATACATATCTCCATAATAAGGTTGTGATGCGATACACGATACACGATACACTACACGCAAACTCCAAGCTTGTCCTGCTGGGAGCATGTTGCCTCATCAAAGGGAATGCATTGAACCAAACCAAACAGATATTTAGTAGATTTAAGTTCATTAATGAAAATGTCGCCTGGGCAGTGTGAAAACCGTGTGTGACCATGAAGCTGGATTGCACCTCATAAACTGCTGACAAAGCAGTCTCAGTACATTTCTCAAGTCATAGTTGTTTAGAATCTTTGAATGGAATACATGTTGTGACTGCTTAACTGACTGATATGAGGCTTAAAAAATAAAAGAATTGGCTCTCAGGCAATAGCTTTTGAAAATATAGTGCGGGCGGGCGTTCGGTGTTTTTGTTTTTTTTGGTTCAAACTAGTATGTAACCAAATTTTGTCTACAATATTTTTTGCAAAATCATATTCTTCTTAAATATTGTAGCATTTAACTGCTGGGGTCGTGTGTTCAAGATGCGGACTATATAAAGATTTTTGTTTTCCGAAAATGGAAATAATAACGAAACGTGATGATGATGATGCGGGCAGTGCCTGAGAACCAAGACTATTATTTTTTAGTACACACACATTACTGGGGCTATTAAGGAACAAGGTGTTGAATGTACAGAACGTTGCATGCCACTGTCACTACACTCCTGATACTGGGGTTGTTTCCTTGCAGAGCATTTACGACAGAGTCTGACATCACATGAAAAGTACTTCCAGGTGAGAAAGTCAGGTGTCGCCTGCTCCTGTGACGTGTGAACACCTGTGTCGTGTGTTCACCTGTGTCGTGTGTTGAAAGGACTTTGTGTGAAGGATAAAGCACGGCTCCCTGGTTATGGTCGAGGAAGTAAGACCTAGGCAATCAGGTATTGCTCCGAAGTATTACATTGCTGATACCTGATTGCCGAGGTCTTACTTACTCATCCATAACCGAGGAGCGGTGCTTTATCTCACTTATAAACCGTTTAAATGCAAGAAATAACAGAAAAAATAAGAAAACATTGAGATATGTTATAGTGAAACAATACAGTGTGTCGCAGTATAAAAGGAATGTGATCAAAGCCTGCAAGAGAAAAAACGTGCAGCATAGACAAAACTAAGTCATGACATCTAAAATTGAACATTCTCTCATTCCCTGCCCCGATGGCTCAGTGTAAAAACAATTTGTTACAAAACTCAACGCGATATGTGTGGTTGCATGTTCGGTTCCTGTCATCCATAATAAAAAAAAATCATTTCTTGTCTTTGATTTTAGAACTTTGAACTTTTGAAACACTAAGGCCAAATTCCATCTGCTAATCAAAAACATCAGGTCTTACTAGGAAAAAGTAAAACCTCATACCCAGGATGAGGTCTTTACTAGGAAAAAGTAAAACCTCCCAAGAGATTATTACAAGATAGAAAGACACCTACAATATAATAGGCAATAGTAGCAGGAGCTCAATAGGTCAAGTTGTGTACCAGTGTATGAATTGGGTGGGGCTCTAGGATATATGTGTACAGGGACTTACTGGATGCAAAATGGTGCATCTTATAACTGATAATGGCCACACACAGAATACATTGCGAGGCCTGTGGGATGCAGAAAAGGTATGGTTGTTTGATTCACTAAATTCATCAACATTGTAGATTGCATGTATAATGATGTTTGAGTGACATTTATTGTTTGGTAAGGAGTAGTTCTAGATGTCACTGGATTTTCTTCACTCTCAAAAAACATGATAATAATCTTAAGGCTTCTGAGCATGTGCAGTGATATTACATTAGTAGAATTCCTGGAAATCAAGTGAAGCGTGCCACAAGTCAAGACCTAGGACCCCCATGGGAAAGTAATGGACACCCCGCATGTATGCCTGTTAGCCCCCTGGCCATTAAAGCAAGCAAGCCAGTATGGTTTTACGCAGCTTAGCAATATTCCAGCAATATCACGGGGGACACCAGGAATTGGCTTCAGACATTGTACCCGTGTGGGGAATTGAACCTGGGACTTCGCCGGGATGAGCGAACACTTTAACCACTAAGTGTGAACGATGTGTCTACAAGTCTTTCAACATGGCCGTGTCTTGCTGTCTTGCACAGACATCTCCTGTCTGACCTGTATGCACTGACCTGGCCTCATGTTGCAGATGAAACCTGCATCACTTCGGGCTCTCCTCCCACATTAAGCTGACACACCGATATAACTGGAATAATGTTAAAACAGGCATTAAGCCCAACTCACTCACTCATTCACTTACTCATGTTGCAGAGTCTGCGCCTGGAGTTCACACAACGCATGCAGATGTTGGAGAGGGACACGGAGAGGGCGCTGCAGACGCTGATGTTCGATGGACTCTCGCCTACAGGTGGGGCATATCTAACTGACTGGTAGTCTGTAGCCCATGGCAGGAGGGGAGACTAACATTATTATAATGATTGCTGTATGAATGCTTGGCAGTGTGTTCTTGACAGTATTGAGGAAACTAACATTATCATGATGAAGTGTTTTCAAATTTTCAAATTTCAATATATGGAAATGTCAATAACATCTGCAATTTGAAAACATTAATATTTGACCCGTGAAGATCCGGGTCAGAACAGGTCCTCAGCAACCCATGCTTGCTGTAAAAGGCGACTATGCTTGTCATAAGAGGCGACTAATAGGATCGGGTGGTCAGGCTCGCTGACTTGGTTGATGCATGTCATCGTATCCCAATTGCATGGATCGATGCTCATGATGTCAGTCAGTGGATTGTCTGGTCCAGACTCAATTATTTACAGACTGCCGTCATATAGCTGGAATATTGCTGAGTGTGGCGTTAAATAACAAACAAACGTGTAGTATATATTAAAATAGTAAATACAAAACGTGATTCTTTCAAAGCATGCTCTTTTTAAGAGTACTCTATCAGCACTGACACTTGACATCACTTGATAGTTCACAAGAATGTTCACAAGAATGCTTCCTCTAAGCTGTATAACACCATAGTAGTTCTAGAATAGGTCAGCAGTATGTCATCTAAAGAGGATTGGGTGGTCAGGCTCCGTGACTCGGCTGATTTGTGCCCAGATGACGTCGATCGTTGGTCATGCTGGCAGTCACTGGTTTGTTCATTTCCACCAACACAGAAGTACTTGGACAACAGTGCTGAGAACATTCACTCAATAAGATGTGTGTCAATTGCAGAGGTGCAGCTCCAGACCGCGGAGATGGAGTCGCGGCTGACGTCACAGAAGGATGCGCTCACAGATCAGCTAGAGCGATGCATGGACCAAGTGGCAGACGCCTACGACAGGTCAGACTCCCAGCCAGATAGTCATCAGAGTGCATTTTATCTATTGATAGGTTTCCACCAATTCCTGCTTTATTTACAGGTTGAGGTGTATCCAGGAGTGTGAAAAGGGAGGTAACCCAGTAACACAGTGAAGAAGAACACATGGTTCTCTCCCTTGCCCCTCCTTCTGGATCCACTGGTGTAGATTCAAGTTGACGTCATTCAGGCTTTGGAGTCAAACCTTATATTACTGTTTTATAGATGTGGTCTTTTGAAACCTACTTAAAGTTAAACAAAACAACAAAATCGTGATGCCAAGTTTATCAGACTTACCACATCGATAACCCTATCCATTATAAGATAATCCTTGTCATTAGAACTACAGAAGATTTTTAGTTAAGCCTAAGTTACCTGATGTCATAACCATCACCACTTGTTAGAAAATACAAGAAACTGTATTACATATATATCTCTTAGATGGAAACTTTATCATAAAGCAGCACAATAATTGAAAGTAAAAGTGAGTATGGTTTTACACTAATTCCAACAATATACCATTCACCTCCCTGCAGGGGACAAGGAAAATGAACTTCAACATTGCCCCTCATGTTGGGAATCAAACCCAGGCATTCAGTGTGATGGGTGAATGCTTTAACCACAAGGCTACCCCTGTCTGACTGTAAGATGAAAGCAGGGCTATGTAGTGATGTGATCATTATGTGTGTACTTTCCACATAGTGTGACACAGCCCAGGTAGTGGGAAGAAGGCAGCAGTCTGTTGTTCTGACACTAGCTCTATGTTTTCTAGGGGCGGTCTGGTAGCCTAGTGGTTAAAGCCTTCGCTCATCATGCTGAAGACCTGGATTCCCGACATGGGTACATTGTGTGAAGCCCATTTCTGGTGTCCCCTGCTGTGATATTGCTGGAATATTGCTAAAAGCGGCGTAAAACCATACTCACTCACTCACTCTATGTTTTCTTCAGATATCTGACCAACCACATCCCCATGTTGGAGATACTTCCGGTGAAGGTGTCTGTGTACGTCATAGACAAGAACCTGCACATTCCAGACGTTACCATCAAGGCTTCTGACGAGTGAGTCACTTCTCACACATTGAACAATCTACAATGAGTATGATTCTTTGCCAGGTTGATCAAGATGTTGTTGTAACATTGTTCAGAATACCGATATTATAGATCAATGGCATGTTTTATTTAGTTTTTATTTGTTTTAATTTACAATTTTGAGGGAAAAATGTTTTATCCTACGAAAGCCTAATGGTGCCACTTAGGTAACATTTATTTGGTTTTTTTTAAATCAAAATTTCTCTTTACTTTGATTATTATCCTCCGCCACGAAGTGGAAGGGGGATATAGGTATGGGTGCCGTTCGTCCGTCCTTCCGTCCGGCTGTCCGTCCGTCCGTCCGTCACATTTCGTTTCCGGAGCAGATCTTGAAAACCGTACCATATTTCTTCAACAAACTTGGCACATAGATAGATCTAGTGGTGAACTGGTGCCTTTTGATAGTTTGGGATTTTAAAAAAAGTTATTTTTCGAGTTTCCATGGCAACGACTTTGCTTTAGACTGAAAATGGCGGTAGTCCTCGTTTCCGGGGTAGATCTTGAAAACCCGACAATATATATTCACCAAACTTGACACATAGATAGATCTTGTGGTGAACTGGTGCCTTTTGATAGTTTGGGATTTCCAAAAAAATTATTTTTCGAGTTTCCATGGCAACGAGTTTGATTTAGACTGAAAATGGCGGTAGTCCTCGTTTCCGGAGCAGATCTTGAAAACCGTACCATATTTATTCACCAAACTTGGCACATAGATAGATCTAGTGGTGAACTGGTGCCTTTTGATAGTTTGGTATTTTCAAAAAAAATAATTTTTCGAGTTTCCATAGCAACGACTTTGATTTAGACTGAAAATGGCGGTAGTCCTTGTTTTACGGAGCAGATCTTGAAAACCGTACCATATTTCTTCACCATACTTGGCACACAGATAGATCTTGTGGTGAACTGGTGCCTTTTGATAGTTTGGGATTTAAAAAAAAGTTATTTTTCGAGTTTCCATGGCAATGACTTTGATTTAGACTGAAAATGGCGGTAGCCCTCGTTTCCGGGGCAGATCTTGAAAAACCGTACTATATTTCTTTACCAAACTTGACACATAGATAGATCTAGTGGTGAACTGGTGCCTTTTGATAGTTTGGGATTTTTAAAAAAGTTATCTTTCGAGTTTCCATGGCAACAACTTTGATTTAGACTGAAAATGGCGGTAGTCCTCTTTTCCGGAGCAGATCTTGAAAACCGTACCATATTTCTTCACCATACTTGGCACATAATGTCATCTCACAGTATTGAACAACATTTCCTTTCTTGTTGGTAAGTTCTGCATTGCTTGACTGTATGTTCCTCCAAAAGTGTCATGGACATGGTTGTTACATTCACTGACTAACTTCATACAGAAACACAACTCATTACAAATAAAACAGTGTAACTGATCTTAAACCTACTCAACTGTATAAACAATATATATTCTTGTCAACCATACTCTGTACTTCACTTGCTTGATAATGGTGTTAGAACCTACGGAGAAACCGCATTATCAGTGGTTCATATTGGGAAAGGGAGGTCACTCTAATTTCAAACGGGAGCTATCTCCGTTGTTTTCGTATTTGCGAGAAATGGCGTCAGTCAAGCTGAACGTTGTTGGTCCAGCTATTAAATGCCCAGCTTATCCCTAGGGTAAAACGTATCTTAATTAAATGTTTGAATGCATTATATATTTATGTTTCCATCCGTACATCATCTTAGATTGGTTTAGTGCTGATAACCATTTTCTATAATGTAGGCCCACATTTTTCCCGTCATATATGGTAATCGAAACAAGTGGGCCCACATTTGTATATCGCCTAGCTTCGTTACGTTGTTTAATTAGTTCGGTTGATAATCAATTCCTAAATGTGGGCAGACGTTCTTCCGTCATATTGATTGCAACAGGAGGGACCACATTTATTAATCGCGAAATTCTACTTAAATGTTGATAACCATTTTCTAAAATGTGGGCCCACATTGTTCCCGTCATATATGGTGATCGAAACAGGTGGGCCCACATTTGTAAATCACTTGGCTTCATTGGGTTGACTAAGTCATTTAGGCTAGTGAGCTCACATTTGTCATTACTTTGCATGGGTATGTGACATTATATATTATTCTCATTTTGTAATATTGATGGGAAATATCTTTATAAATGCACAGAAAGTCTTTGAAGTTTGAATAACATCATCATAGCTGACCACACTAGTTTTGCAAAAATAGTTACAAAGCAAGAAACTTAGATCTACTTCAAATTAAATTTACAGAGGCAATACCACTCATTCTACTTTTTCCAGTATAACACATCAATCTAATCATAAGTTTGCCACTGGAAATATGTCTACACTTGATTTGATCTCGGACATGACAGTCATGATACAAGCCTTAAACCTTTCCGAGAACTTGTTCTATGAAAGGAATAACTCATGAATATTAATGACCCCACGACCTAGTTTGGCGATGTTCGTAGAAGTGAGTTCTGCTGTATTGTCATCGCATTTGTACATTCTAATCCAATTATAAGTCATAATACTTATTTTAAATAGACAAAATAGCAGTTCATAATGCGTGTTTGTTTACATAGTACATATTCTCAACAACAAGTGCGTTTAGTTTCGAATGTGGGCCCACCTCGAACTTTCGATTAGGCAAACGGAGTTAGCTCCCTTCTCGAACCACTGATAATGCGAAACCATCGCTCCTAATTGTAATAAAGAATGCCGTGATATGACTGGAATACTGTTAAAAGCGGCGTTAAACCCAACTTACTCACTCACTGTAATAAAGAAGTTGTTCGTCCATATGTCTCATCCTTACTCATGACAAATTCAGTAACATATTCTATCATAAACTACAGATGGAAAAACAACACCAGTAATAACTTTTTTTTAGTGCTGCAATTAGGCCATTTACAAAAAGGCCCAGTGAACATAGTTCACAGGAGCTAATGCATTGCACACACCCGACATGTCATACTGGCGGGGGATGTGAGTATTTCATGCTTGTTTTCTCGTTACTTTGATTATTTTCTCGTAATTTCAATTTTGTTGTTGTAATTTCTTGTTTATTTCAAAAACACAAAATTTCCATTTTTTTCTTGCTTTTTCAATTCATTTCTCGAAATTACCATTTTTTGCTTCTTACTTTCTCGTAAGGAGAAAAACCTCGAAATTGAGAAAATAATTCATATTACGAGAAAATAGTCAAAGTACCAAGAAAAACTCAAAGCAGCAAGAAAATAAATGAAATAACGAGTACTTAATTGAAGTACAAATTTCAAGTTTTTTAAATAAACTTGCAATAATGAGAAAATAATCGAAGTAACGAGAAAAAATTGAAATTTCGGGGTTTTTTAAATAACGAGAAAATAATTGAAATTATGAGAAAATGATCATAGTAACGAGAATAAACTAGAAATTTTGAGAATACAAACAAATAAATGAAATAAGAAGAATTTTCTGTTTAAAAAAAATATATATGCTTCCAAAGTGGCATCATTAGGCTTTTGTAAAACATTACAAACACAATTGGGACAATTATTACTGTATGACATGATAACACTGAAATTGGATTGACTGATGATATTCTGGTAGATACTTATGTTGATGCTTCTGTCAACTGTTCCAGCATCACCCACATACAGACTGTCATAGAGAAGACACTGAACCTCCGAGGGGACCCTCTCATCAGATGGGGGTGTGAGGGAAGAGTATACCTGGTGGGGTGAGTGTGTGGGGTGACTCTGTCATCAGATGGGGTGTGGGATTGGGGTATACCTGGTGGGGTGAGTGTGGGGAGTATGGGGGACCCTCTCATCAGATGGGGGTGTGAGGGAACAGTATACCTGGTGGGGTGAGTGTGGGGAGTATGGGGGACCCTCTCATCAGATGGGGGTGTGAGGGAACAGTATACCTGGTGGGGTGAGTGTGGGGAGTATGGGGGGACCCTCTCATCAGATGGGGGTGTGAGGGAAGAGTATACCTGGTGGGGTGAGTGTGGGGAGTATGGGGGGACCCTCTCATCAGATGGGGGTGTGAGGGAAGAGTATACCTGGTGGGGTGAGTGTGGGGAGTATGGGGGGACCCTCTCATCAGATGGGGGTGTGAGGGAAGAGTATACCTGGTGGGGTGAGTGTGTGGAGTATGGGGGGACCCTCTCATCAGATGGGGGTGTGAGGGAAGAGTATACCTGGTGGGGTGAGTGTGTTGAGTATGGGGGACCCTCTCATCAGATGGGGGTGTGAGGCGACCCTGGTGGGGTAAATAGTGTGATATATATGAACATAAGGCAATACTTGTATTTGAAAATTTTACGGTATGAAAATTATTTGAAACACACTGTTTCATGATGGTATGTACAAGTGTTGTATTTGTTAGGTTTAGTTTCTAGAGTCAACAGAGTAATCTTGGCTCTATATGTGCCCAGGGATTTATCTAGACCTGCTCAGAGGCTGACATTTGGTCCCAAGTTTACAGTATAATTTCCCAGTTTGATTTAAAAATTCCCAATACATCAGAATTTACAAAAATAAGAACATTAAAAATATCAAATTTTGAACAATATCACTATGTGCCTAGTTTGGAATCTTAGATAAATCGCAGTGTGCCTTGTTTGGAATCTTAGATAAATCGCTGTGTGCCTTGTTTGGAATCTGAGATAAATCGCTGTGTGCCTTGAACAATAGGAAGATATTACCAGAGATAAATTAGCTTTGCCAGAAACACTTGAATAATCTCCAACATTAGTATGAAGGACACATGTTAATGAGTTCATGAAGAATCAAGGATAGAATCTCCTGGCTTTTGTCACTTTTCCTGATTATACACACATCTCAATCTGCCACAATTAAGTTATGTCTGTACCAAACACATGACCAACTACGATAAGAGAATCTTCTGCAGGACAGTTTTCATATTGTAAGCAAGATAAATCATGATGAAGAGTGCCTGTATTCAGCAACCTATATCGCCTGTTTCAGTCCCTTGTCCGGTGACAACAGATGTGACCTTCAGAAGGTCCTTGACAACCCTGACTGTATCGAGTCCTTCCCGGACATCCACCTGCTGACCTGGCACTCCCGACCGGTTCTGCAGTACAGCATGGTGAGCTTCACCCCTTCCCCTGCATGGCATAGGCTAAAAAACAAGTAGTCTTGATTCTCAGGCACCGCTGCTTCTTCATTAAGTCAGATGCATGTTTTAGTTTTAGTTTCATTTGGGAGGTCGGGTAGGCTAGTGGTTAAGGCGTTCGCTCGTCATGCCGAAGACCCGGGTTCGATTCCTGACATGGGTACAATGTGTGAAGCCCATTTCTGGTGTCCCCTGCCGCGATATTGCTTGAATATTGCTAAAAGCAGCGTAAAACCATACTCCCTTTTTTGCCTTTAAAAAAAAATAAATCTGTAAATATTCTGTGTCTTGAACACATGACCTTGCTAATGCAATGCTGCAATACTGAAAATGAGAGGATCCAATATACTGCACAGTTACTTCCCTTTTCATGCCCATTGCTGTACTGTGCATCTGGTGTTATGATCATGGTGGCAGTAAGAGTTTGTGTGCTTGTTAGGGCTGGGACGGGTAACTCGGGTACCATGTTAAGTCTATGTTAAATTATCTAGAACTATATGGTTACACTAATGTTCGTATTTCGTTATGACTATGCACCATTCCTTCTGACTTTTATATGTTTGAAAAACGATAAAACTTCAGTCTACTTCAGTGTATGCATGACCAGATTGTTTTATACATGTATCTAAATACAATTTGTCCAGGGCTACAGTCAAACTATTCCCAATCGGACATCTCTTTATTTTTATTATACGTGTATCTCCTGCTACAAATACAGACCCTCTTATACATTATAAAATGTTATACATAAATTCCATGTATAAATCACTATCCGTGAATATATGATCATGATGATAGCTATGCAATAAATTGCAAAAAACAATGAAGAACAAAGCATGTTTTTTTTCACGATCAAACATTGTTCTATCATGATGTCATTTCTGGAGATTCGAACATGTGCTCGCAACTTGATGATGTCATAAATCAGACAACGTTATTTTTGAGAGGGAAGTGTCCAGCGAGTTGTTTTCCATATATGTAGCTGGGAAACGCAGATAAACGCGATCGCCGAACAATCGCATCCAAAAGAGGGAGAGATATGACATCAGTATTGGGAGGAAAGGTACAGGTAATTGACGTGAGGATTGTGAGAATGTGCAGGAAATACACACCTGTGCATAAAATGGGCTTGTCCGACATTGCCGAGGTCGGATTGTATTCAGGGAGTCATCATTATTAAAATATGGGAAAATATTTTTAAAGCATGTACACTTTATTGACATCTTTAAAAAGGATGTACAAAATGTTGATATCTCATATAAGAAATGAATGAATGAATGAATGAATGAATGAATGAACAACTTCTTTATTACAAGCTCACTTCTCTGGTGTAGGTATTTATTCTTTCCAAGGGTTGAAATATGGCACATGGAACATGTTATGGGTATTACGTCAGTGCGAATTTGTTATTTAAAACCCTTGGGACAATGAGAGATGTATTGAGTTGTAGTTGAGCTGTATCTGAGACACACTGACTGTCCATAGTTTAATGTTTTGAGTGAACAAGGTTTGACTTTAACTGCAGAAACCCGGCAGCCAGATCGTGGTAAAGGGCTGCTTCAAGTGTGAGAGTGACCTGCCCAAGATCTGCTTCGTCCAGAAGTACAAGGAACAGGGGCCCCACCCGGTCGACTACTTCTCATGTAAAAACTGTGGATTCAACTGTAAGTGTCCTGCAAACCACATCATTGACTATACAGTGATCCCTCGCTTTTGCTACATTACACGCGATCGCACGAAACGATGGAAATAATAACTTAGATGTAAGTTTGATTACTTTTAGATATATTTTTGTTGATTTTATTTATCACTTTGTATATTATATTTAAAGATTTGCTTAAAACGTCTTTATTTTGCTCTTTGACATGTTCGATGCGGACCCGTTGTCGAAATGTGTGTCCGAGAATTTTATTTTCAATAACATTGCGGGAAATAGGGCCTAGTGAATAATTTTTTAATTTATCGATAAAAAATGATAAATTGAAATCGAATACGTATTTCAGACATTGTGAAATGTGACAGATTTAATAAATGAATGATATTACAGGTAGATCTAGGTCCATAAAAATATATACTATTTTGACGTGACGTGAGATAAACACATATTGATGATTTGAGATTTGCCGAGCGCGCTCCCCCGCCTCGGCCACGGTTAAACGGCTCATCGTCTATAACGCCCACCAATTATTTGGACCCCATTGGTAGCGTTGTAGCGAGGGACCACTGTATCACCAACCAAGTCAGTATAGCGCAACACCGCTGTTAACAATAATCAAGCAATATCACCGCAGGGGACACCAGAAATGGGCTTCAAGCATTGTGCCCATGTGGGGATTAAAACCCAGGCCTTCAGCATAAGGAGCCACCACTTTACCCACTAGACTACCACACCCTAGAAATGTTATTGCATAGTGGCCATTATGAAATGTTTGTTAGTTTGTGTGTTGTTTAACACAGCACTCAGAAATATTCCAGCTACATGACGGCAGCCTGTAAATAATCAAGTCTGGACCAGACAATCCAGTGATTGACATTATGGGAATCGATCCACGCAATTGGGATATAATGACATGCATCAACCAAGTCAGCGAGCCTGACCACCTGATCCCGTTAGTTGCCTCTTGCGACAAGCGTAGTGCCTCTTATGGCAAGCATGGGTTGATGAAGACCAATTCTACCCCAGATCTTCACGGGTTCCATGGGGGCACGGGTAGCCCAGTCGTCTAAGGCGCCGCGATTCTCTGTGCAGAGTTGCGTCCCCTGGACACGCCAGCAACCTATGATTGTGGGTTCGAATCCCGGTTCACCACAATTATGTTTCTAGGTTTGTCAGCACCATACCCGTGCTTGTGGGTTTCACCGAAGTGGTAAACGTCAGAGACCTGCATCACTTCGGGCTTTATTCCCACATTAAGCTTACACGCCGTGATATAACTGGAATAATGTTAAAAAAGCGGCGTTAAACCCAACTCACTCACTCACCTACGGGTTCCATTATTAACTGTATTAGTTTTGATGGTGGTTGTATGAGCCCTTGTAGGGTGCTGACCATCAGTTCTCTGTACAACAGGTGGGATTCACTCGTTTTATAAAATTGGTATTACACGGGAGCTCGTTTAGTATTCTACATGTATCTGTGTGATGTCACTAATCAGGCTGTTTGTATCTTACAGGGATCTGCAAGTCATGTGTTCAGATTTGCCATCAAGGTAAGTTTAGTGGCAGTATTTTCCATTAGTTAGTGAGTGAGTGAGTGAGTGATTATGGTTTTACGCTGCTTTTAGCAATATTCCAGCAATATCACGGCGGTGGACACCAGAAATTGGCTTCACACATTGTACCCATCGGAATCGAATTCGGGTCTTCGGCATAACAAGCGAACGCTTTAGTCACTAGGCTACCCGGCTGCCCCAATCTCCATTAGTATTGGAAAAGACAATTAATGTCTTCCTTCAAGTCTTGCAGATTCACTCTCTGATGATTAATAAACACAACATGTTTGGCGAACATGAAATTTATCTTATAAGCGTGTAGTCTGTCATATAGTCCCTGAAACAAATATATCGAATACAGCCCATGCAAGTCTATAATATATGGCAAGTCTAGATTACTGCAGTATCAGGTTTCTGTAAAATATGTTCATTTCCTCGACTAGATGTTAGTCTATGGTAAAAAGTGTAAGGTATTTTTGTCATTGTTTACTTGCAGGACATGAAGTCAGTGCACATGTACTCAACCACAAACCAACCTGGTAAGTCACCATCCCTCCCAGAGACAACAGCAACAAGGATCAGTGAACTTCTTACCTGGCAATAGTTGGCTGCTTAATTACTACACGATATTTGTGAAAGTTATTTTGTGTTCCCTTCCTTTCCCAACTGTTGTATTTTGCATATTTCTGTGGATTATCCTTGATTGCTCCTTGATACAGAGCCATGGGGTCTACCTTTCATGTTGAAAGAGTTTTTCAAGTTAAGCTGATTTATCCACAGTCAGGCAGCCAGTTAGTCCTAGATTTACATTTCTTTGTGGTCTGTCTTCAAATTGTGGATAAAGTTTCAATGTGTAGAACTATCTACTTCAGAAAATATAATGCATTGATATTAGTTTTTGTAGAATTGAACATAGTGAACCGGGCCTAACCTGTCCATCATGTCCCCGTGTCCTTAGAAGTTGTGAGGGAATTGAGGAAGGTACATCTCATTATTATTATCGTTAAAATTTCTGAATGTAAACTCACTCATGTTTTTGAGGTAAATAAAGGTTGGTTGGTTTGGTTTGTTGTTTAACACCGCACTCAGCAATATTCCAGCTATATGACGGCGGTCTGTAAAATAATCGAGTCTGGACCAGACAATCCAGTGATTGACAGAATGAGCATCGATCCACGCAATTGGGATCGATGACATGTATCAACCAAGTCAGTGAGCCTGACCACCCGATCCCGTTAGTCGCCTTTTACGACAAACATAGTCGCCTTTTACGGCAAGTATGTTTTGCTGAAGACCTATTCTACCCCGGAATCTTCAGGGTCAACAAAGGTATTGTGGATAAAAATTAATGGATGAATTAAAGAATAATAGTTTGTTTTGTCATATACAGTGAAACATGGTTCTGATGAAGGCAGCGGGACTGTCGAAATGTCCGTATTTCATTCCTCTTTGCCTGACCCTCGACATTACAGGGATAAAACAAGGACTGGTTGGGTCAGAGTCAGTATGCTCTGGCATGGTATCTCAGTGGGTTAGCACTATAAAACCTGCATAAGTCGGGAGGAGTACAAGCAGCCACACCCACACACAAACCCACCTGTGCATGCACGTCGCTATATAAGTGCAGTAATGTTGAATGTGACGTTCACCCTATTTCACCTCACCCCCTGTAGGCTGTGAGTCATGTCTGTGTTGTCTGTTGCAGGGCTTGCTGCTACTGCCCAAAGAAGAAGAAATGTCAGCTCCTCACATGATGGAGGAGTTCCGTGTCCACATCCTGGACTGCCCATGGTAGTCATCTCTCTTGGTAGTGCATGCCCCACTGTGTGCAGTCTATAGCTTACCTGTGTGCTCCCAGTCCCCAGTGCATGTGGTAGAATCAGACTGAGTCTTGCATTTGAGGATGGTTTAAGAATGGAATCTCTTTGTGATGGAAAGTGTGCTGAGATTAGTGAATGTCTGCTTGTAGTGCAGGGTGAGTGAGTGAGTGAGTGAGTGTGTGAGTGTTCCGTGGGCTGCATCCAGCAGACCTCCAGCTATGTCGGGCAGTCCTGCATAGCTTGTTTGAATGAAGGACATAGAACCCTATCTGGGAACTCGGCGAGGACCTTGAATGTAAGCACACTGGGGGAATACTTTGTAGTGCTGTGTGTGTGACATGAGAAAGATGCTGTGATATGACAGTATAAATCGATGTATTTTATAAAACATGTTTCCTCCAAATATTACCTAAAAGGTACCTCTTTTTTTATTTATTATCAATCATATGTCTGGAGATAATAAGTCATTAGAGATTGTTAAAGTGCAATTAAAGTCTTCATGGGACATTTGATGGTGTATTAAAAAATAATTCAATCCTGTTTCCATATGACAATGTTCATGGAAGGGATGTTGATAGTTTTGTACGTCATTGTGATCAAAATTACCCTGATCTGGGCAAGTTTGTTTGTTTGTTTGTTGTTTAACGCTGCAATCAGCAATATTACAGCTACATGACAGGCATCTATGATGGCCATAAATTTGTTGAAGGGACCAAATTTCATTTTTATTTGTTATGGATTTGTTACAACATATCTTTGTTTTCGTTAAATGAAAAAGAACATAAACTGTACTATCTGATGGTAGAGTCTCCTATCAACATAGAGGTAGGGCAGCAGTTGTTAGGCTTCAATGATACTGTTTCCTCATAGGAAGGATCTAGTCCCCCTTCGTACCTCTCAGCAGTTGTTAGGCTACAATGATACTGTTTCCTCATAGGAAGGATCTAGTCCCCCTTCGTACCTCTCAGCAGTTATTCTTGTTAACCATCTCAGTCAAATCTTTGAATTTATATACCAAAATATCAAGTTTCAAATATAGAAATGTATATTCTGAAGAAAAAAGGACAGATATTGTGTTCTTGTAAGTAAATTGGCTTTCATTAAATTAGTGGAGTCATGTAATCTGAGCCCCGATCACATTAAAATCGCTTGCTACTTCTCAACAAAGATCTGAGGTCGTCCCATTATGGGTCACAGGACGACCTTTCATCCGACCAATCAGAGCATCACTTACCAGAAAGTGAGTGAGTTGGGTTTAACACGCTTCCAACAGTATTCCAGTTAGATCGTGGCATGTCAGCTTAATGCAGGAGGAAAGCTCAAAGTGATTAAGGTCTCAGACGTTTACCACTTCGGTGAAACCCACGAGCACGGGTTTGATGCTGACAAATCTAGAAACATAATCAGGGGAACCAGGATTCAAACCCACAATCATAGGTTTCTGGCGTGCCCAAGGGACAGCGAATCGCAGCGCCTTAGACGACTGGGCCCATGTGCCCCCTGTGCCACCCCCACCCCCCACCCCCTTACCAGAAAGTGACAGTCTAAATGTGTTTTCTAATCATGCAACCTCTAAAAGATCACATGGGGCATTCCGAACAACTATACTACAGATTTTGTCCCGCTTCAATAGGATAAACATTTGAAATGGGAGAGACCATCCTAAGCTTGTGGGAAGTACTGCTATGCATTTTCAAAGCGTAGTATGGAATGGAAGTCAGCAGTTTGAAACTAGTGACATAAAGCTCGAGAAAGCTGCTGTCTGATTGGCTAATGTCAACTTCTTGTTAGTCATTTCATTGGTTGGTCAAAGTTTGCAAAAGGCTGTTCTGACGTGACCCGTAATGGGATGTCCTCAGTTCATTGTTTAGCAGTAGCGAGAAACTAAGATCGGATTTTAGGGAGATTGTGTGAACCCAATCTCATATTGTTTCCTGTGTTGATCTGATTACTTAGGGAACATCAAGTATTGATTGTGTTGTTTGTTTGTTTTTTCTGGTAATACATGATATAGAAATGAAATGGTAACTGCTGATGTGATTATGGAAGAAATACCCAAATGACAAACTTTTATATATGTGTGACTCAGAATGAGGAAGAGGAGCTTTATAACTTAATGTCAGAAGACGATAAAGTGTATATAGTTATGTATATAATATTACCCCTAGCGGCACCAATATTGGTTATATGAGCATTACCTCATTGTTGTATGTTCCTTATTGTGACTGGCTATTTCATAGATTGTTCCATTGATGTGATTGTTTGAGAAGCAGCCTGAGTAACATGATGTCATATCAGCACATTGTCACAGATAATTGAAGCATTACCTCATTGTTGTATGTTCCTTATTGTGACTGGCTATTTCATAGATTGTTCCATTGAGGTGATTGTTTGAGAAGCAGCCTGAGTAACATGATGTCATATCAGCACATTGTCACAGATAATTGAAGCTGATGCCATCCATTGTTCTTGATGTCACAGAGGATATGTACGATATTGGGGGATGTTGTTCCAACACAAGATTAACTGATGTATCCATTTGTGTATGGGAAACACACATTTTATTTATTTTATTTTAACACACAGTTTGTTGGAAAAGGAAACTATGGATAATATATAGAACAAACTACAAGTGATGATATATTATCTGTTCTATGTGAATCAGTGTAACAGTCCTTGTTCAAGGCTTGGGTCTTGAAAAGAATTTCTTCAAACGTGACACAATCTGAAGTCACTTGACAATAGAGAATATCACCTGATTTCTTTTATATCAAGTTATATCAGCATATCTCAGTAAAAATAACTCTTGACGCTTTCCAAGATTTAGACTTTTATCAACAACAACAACAACAATAATAATAATAGCTATTTATGTTGTGCATATTTCCACACCACTCAGGGGCATGCTCAAAGCGCTATTATTACCCCAATCACTAGATCAATATGCACTCAATAAACAAGTGTTTTTATTTTTGATATAAAGAAGACACTTGGGTGAGATTCAATTTTTCATCCAAAATCATTCTTTCCACTTTGTAAACCGTATTAACCAGAGTCTAACAAGCTTGTCACATAGTGATGTCATTTGATTGTCACATGTGATTACACCCAAGTGATGACCACCTCAGTGGTCTAGTGGTAGAGCGTCCACCCACAGTGCAGAAGGTCCAGAGTTTTGATCCCCGGACGCGTCATACCAAAAGATGTTCAAAAGATAGTACTTGTTACCCTGTCAGGCGCTCGGCATTAAGGGGCTAAAACAAAGACTAGTCGGCTCGGAGTCAGTTTACTGTGTCTGAGTGGGGTCTTCATGTTAAACTCCATGGTATTCCAGTGGGCTAGCACTATAAATCGGCATTAGTCCGGACTTGTACAAGCAGCCACACGCATGCACACACACACACACACACGTGCATGCATGTCACTACGTAAGGGCAATAATCTTGGACGCGACGTTAAACCCTACTTCACCTCACCTCACTCAAGTGATATTTCCTGTGAAAGCCAGTTTTTGGATGATACAATGTCATGACTCAAAGGTTATTCTGTGAGGGCTTCAGTATGCTGTGTGTGGGCAGGGATTTGTCAGTACAGCTGCCTTGTGATCCATGTGACAAACATCGTACAGGTTCTCCAGCACTGACTCATTGCCCATCAATAGCTGATGACTTTGTAAATGATACAGATGGTAGAATATTCTCTCTCAGTGGTTCATCCACATTAATCATGTTAATACCAAGATATATCTAATTATCATTATCATGTTATAATGTGTTGCCATGGTTATTCCTATGCCTCTAACTGTGGAGTTTCCATGGAAACCATTAACCCTTCATGTGTATCATGGCATCTTCATGTGTTTGAAGTATAAATTCTTTCATTACAATTTTGTTGCTGTTTTTGTGACTATTGATATTTTACCTTGTGTGTATCCTGTGCACCAGCCTGCTCATTGCGCCATTGTTTGTTACTGTGTCATGGTAGGTTTTTCACATTTATTTGGCTTACCCTATTTTCAGATATGTTATCAATTTGTTGCTGAAGGAATAAACTGTTGAATCATTTGCTTCATGATCCCCTAGTTGTCTGGATTTTATCCCCCGGCCAAACTAAGCTTGGCGGGGCATATAGAAATGGGTTCCATCTGACCATCACGTTTTGTTGCAGAGCATAACTTATCTGTTTAACCGTTCAATGTTTCGTCATGAAACTGTGGCATGCACTGAACAGGTGCTTTTTATTAATCAGGAAGTTTGAATGTTATGTCAGGGCAACAGGTCTTCAGCAACCCATGCTTGCCGTGAAAGGCGACTAACTGGATCGGGTGGTCAGGCTCACTGACTTGGTTGATGCATGTCATTGTATCCCATTGCGTGGATTGATGCTCATGATATCAATCATTGGATTTTCTTGTCCAGACTCGATTACTTACAGATGGCCATCATATAGCTGGAATATTGCTGAGTGTGGCGTTAAACAACAAACAAACAATCAATATGGTCGGTTAGGGACCAAATATTGAATCCCTCTTGGGTGCCTCTCTCAAGAATATTTTCTAAAGTCACATAATAAATATATATTTAAATTAGAGAAGACTGATAATAGAAAAACATGTTAAGTAGACAGAGCAGTTGATGACAAGTCCAGTCTTGGTAGTTATACAAGAAGGTAACGTAAATATTCCACGTCAGAGGATACCACAAATTCAGCAGTTGGGACAGATACACACTTTATTATCAAGAGAACGGTTAGCATCTAAAGAGTCGAAGGTCTGTGGTTCTATCCCCGGCCGTGTCACACCAATATACCTTAAGAGAAGTACTTGGGTTAAAGGGATAGAACAAGAACTGGTCGTCTGGAAGTCCGTATACTATGTCTAAGTGGGGTGTCATTGTCATTGACTTGGGTTCCATATGTCACACATGGAATAGTAGATTTTCAATATGAAGGCCACCATTACTGTCTAAAACTGGCATCTTTGCCCCATGGATGCAATCAGATGCCGAATTGTGGCCTGGGGAAGGTTCACCCACTCTGCCTGCAGTGCCTCTGCCAACTGTCTGAGGTTCTGTGGTTGTTGCTGACGTCCTCGCAGTCGTTGATCCAGTGCATCTCATTAATGTACGATAGGGTTTAAATCTGGAGATATAGAGGGCCACGGCAGGGCCTGAATGTTGGGATTCCTGAAAAAGGCCGTTCTTGTCAGTCTTGGCGTGTGAGGTCGGGCGTTGTCTTGTTGGAAAATTGTGTTCGCTTGTTGCATAATGGGAGGACGTGTGGCCGAAGAATCTCATCCGTGTAACATTGTGCCGTCAAATTCTGGTGAATTCTGTTCTACTTGTGTAGGAGATGGCTGCCCACATCATCACACTACCACCACCAAATCTGTCCACTGTGAAAACAGTAACACTATCGTCTACCATCCGCACGGGGAAGAATTAAACGTGACTCTGACTTGTCTCCATCCCAGTTGTGGCCATACTCTGTGACCTTGACACCATTCACGTCGCAGCTAACCTGGCTACAGCTAAAGATGAGTCTCCTATTTGCAGTCGACACGTGCATGCACGTCGCTATACAAGTGCAATAATCTTGGACGCGACGTTAAACCCAATTTCACCTCACCACACCTATTTGCAGTCGGCCAATGGCGTTGTTGCGTTGGACTTTATTCATTCAATCATGGCATGTTTTCGCTGTTCACTTGCTGTAAGATTGTAATGGCATACAATTGAAAACCCAACGATTTTATAGCCCATCAAGTGATGTTGAACGTGCATGTCATGTTGGTGTGTTTCGGCGCCAGGCGCTCACGTGGTTATGTTTTTGCGATTTTTGCATCTTTTCACAAAATTTCTGCAGTACCTCACTCTTTCCACACAAATCAATCCGAAACCATGTGGAAATGACCAATTCAGTTTTGGTGTTAAGTTTGTATGGATGTCGGCAACACCGATATTTACGATTTTACTACTTATGCGTTTCTTGTTTAGTATGTGTATTAGGAACAAACGTATCATGCTAGCCTTTGGAGAACATAATACATATTTATTATTCCTAATATTTGATATTTATGAAAGGGTTACGAGGATAATAATCACCATCACAAAATGTCATAGAATAAAAATGTCTTTAAAAAATTAATGTTTCTGGCGTAATTTCGCAAAATGAACTAACTTTAGAAAATGTGCGTGAACATTGAACTGTTCCATTTGTCTCATGGTGCCAGGTGATTTATAGCCATGTTTATCTACATGATCACAATGACATCGAAAATTTAATAT